TATACAGTGCCTTTTTGTGAAGATCACGGATATTTCCTAAGCGAAAATATATTTAAGGTGGGCCAGCCTTGTGACACCAATCGTGACGCTGATATTGCATATCGATCGAGGACTGGATGTCAGCTTTTTACCGCGATTCAATTCAATTAGAACCTGAAATCATCATCCGGACATATAGTTAATATTATAAATAGGTATTAAGTTTGAATGAGTTATTTAATTTAAAGTCTAAGTAAATAGTACAACAGGCAGCGATTGAGGTTGCAATATATATGAAAACGTTTCGTAAGCGATTTTGCGAAATCCGCGAGCCGCGCCGACGACGAAGGCAACCTTCCCGAAAAGTTAAAATCGATACCGGGCTTACATAACGAAGCGAACCGCCGACCGACCGACAGCGCCGCGTGCGTACACTTCGGTCATCCCTTACCGACATTCGAAAAGGGGGTTTAGCGGCGCTAACGATTTTGCTTTCGTCCATTTTGCGAGTAACTAATTATCCTACTTTTATCTGTACGCATAAAAGAATTCTGGCCACCTGCCTATACCGGAAAGTAGTTTTATATGCACCCTTTAAACTGTTTTTCTGTTGTTTAATTTCTGGTTATTTGTCGATTTTAAACACATTTGGTCCCCCAATCGATTACGTTTGCTCGTTAGAAATGTACAACGGCCATTACGATTAGGAGACGCGCCGGTTGGAAAGTACTTTTACGAAGGGTCGACCATCGATTTTTCGGGAATGTCACCGCCGCCGGCGCCACACGAGATTGACACGAGTGGCACAAATGGGCGTTACTATCACGTAACCTGCCATAAATAATGAAACGCTCACATACCTACATATTTCGCTGATTATTGTTATTTCTTTGTTTTTCGGCCGGAAAACGCAAAACTAACGCGTTGCGTGCATTCCTAATATTTGTGCTCCCAAAACCAACACACCTACAGTTGTAGCGAGCTCACAAAGTAAAGAAAACAAAACACCGCTTAACTTTGAACTAGAAACGGTTCGGTTTCTTAGGCACATCGCCATTCTAAATAAATTTTAGTATTTAGGTCATTTAGCTCGGGATAATGTTGAAAAATGTTTGCATACAAAATCGATTAAAATAACTCCGCATACACACGGCGCACAAAGATTTACTATTCGGTCACAATTTGATAGTACAAATCGATAGTAAAAATAACACATCGCACAGAAAACGTCATGCTTTGTTGTTCTTATGCAATTCTGATTCCTATTTATGCAATTGCGCATCGATAAATACTAAATGATAATTGTTTCAGAACACATTAAAATCTAATTAACTTGTCGGCCGACATTTTAATCCGAATTCATTTATTGTACTGTGCAATTATGTATTATTGACTTAATCAGTAGGTTCAGTCACGAGAATCAGAGGCAGATAATATTTATTGATGATTATCTTGTCAATTCGTATGTCTTTTTGATTGCAAAATACCATTTGGTTATTTCTCCATTTCGCTTGTGTGTGCTGTTCGGCCTTGTCTAGACCGGTGTTTGCTGCACTTGAATGTTAGCAGCAGTGACGCGGAATGACATATATCATGAGATCGTAACATTGTAGCGCAGATTAGATAAGACCTGAGGATTTCAATTATTTGCATTCAGTTGCTTGGTGTGTTAAATTTCTCAATTATATATACTAATACCAGTGACACATCAGAAATTTCCATTATTATTAATTACCGAGTGATTAATAATGTAATAATAATTTCTTCCGAAATATGATTGATATTAAGTTGTGGTGTTGTCGCAGAAGTTTATTAATAATAATAATTTGATTTAAAATTACAAGCAATTTTTGTTTAATATAATTTTTCTACTTCCACCCTTGGCGCCAGTTTTTCACGGACGGCCAAGGCCGTGACTAAAGTACTTTAGTCACAGTTCGCGTGCGCGACTTCCCATGCATTAATAACTGTGCACTTTTGAGTAGTATGCAAACGAAGTTCTAAGTTTTACAATTCAATAGTTCCACCACAACCCAAGTATTCTTCTACTATATAAATCTCATCGTGGTAATAGAGTTGAAGTAGAAAAATCCGTAAGCATCACGTTGCTAAACGTTGATAACAATCTCGTGTCTAAAAGTGTCGCTTAGCTCACTTGATACTTCGTATACTAATCAAGTTTTTACCAAATGGAATTGTTTCATGCAATTATTCTGAACTTGGATAAATTTAGAGTTTATTTGGAAATTCAATAATAGAAGAATGGTCGTGGTGTCACCGTTTTGTTTTCGTATTTAGTTTCGTCTAAGCTGCAATATCAACTGTACATTCGGGGCCTTGTGTGTCGTTTATATGTCGTGTATGTTTTTTTTCTTCATGAAGTGAATGTACACGATATATAAACTAAACACAAAGATTATAATATGCGTTTGATATTGGCACTTTCGCAAGTCATATCCAACAGAAACAAAATTGAAGTACTAAAAATTAAATCCAAGAATGGGAGAATGTGCCGGTGATTGCGTGGATATAAAATAAAGACTAAAGACAATTATTATGTAATTATGTAATATAAAACACCAGAATACCTTACAACTTTGTATATGTATTCGGCGCAATTAATTCAAACAGCGCGTGTTGTTTTACTAAATATTGGTCGATAATGACCGAAAGAAATAAGACCTTGACTCGATTTAAACCATGGCCGCACATACGAAATTAATGTGCGTACTGTGTACAGCATATTCTTTTTCACCTCTTTTGATTCACTGTACCTACATGTCATTCAAAGTCGAGGTAACCTGAACATTCGTATGTTTCAATGTCAAAGGTTATATTTAATTAGTACTAAAATTATTTAAATTATTAAATTATCACAGGTACTCAGATAAGTTTACTGAGTACGAACCTTTACAATATTCTATTTTATTTGGCACCAGTAGATTTTCAAGGTGTACAAACGATGTTTTATCATTGTCTAAATTCCAGACTTTCTGAATCGATCTTGCGCCGAATTTTATTAATTCACAGTGTATCAAGTTTTACTTTTGCTACAACCTGTATATATCATCACTCAGAGACGTACTTTACACCAGGTAAATAAACGCGAAGCTTGTGCACGGGTTTGATGTCGAGAGAACTAGTTTCGACCAGTTGATGGCGGATAAACGCCGCTCCTTTTCCATACAAAACAAGACGCTAGCACGTATAACGGAGCCATTAAAAGAAATTCACTTACGAATCGTAATTACTCTATACCGCGCGTAATCAAGCACGCGCAAACTAGCTGACAACGTGCAGTAGTTGTGATTGCACATCGGTTGAATAATAGAGTCACAGACAATTAGTGTGCGACTACTTAATTTAATTACTGCGCAAGCGGTAGACCACGATATTATGCATTGATATGTATGTATTTTAAATTCTAAATTGATCTTTATCAATGTTTTGATGCATCACCCAATTCATAATCATTTTATGTTATCTTAATTGTCTTTATTGTGATGTTTATCATATATTTAACTAAGAAATGCAAAAAATCACCATTCATAATATATAGTTATTTCTATTTTGTGGAATGATTTTAAATTTTGTAATAGGTAAGTGTGCGCTGTCGCGATATAATCCTCGCACAAAGTTCCAATGCTAACGCTTATTTATAAACTTGGCATACATTTCATAAAAACTGATACAAGAAAAAAATTCAAACACACATAAGTTACGCACATCGCTTTTTTATATTTATAACTTATAACAGCAAACCTTTTTGCAGTTTATCATATTAATTGCTAATATTCGATTTTTGTAATAAGCTCCTTCAATATATAACTAGTTTTGTTCTTTTGTTTAAACCAATATTGTCCTTGATCAGGATGCAATTGATGCGGTTTTAATTTGCTTGAAATGTGTTTGATACTGAATTCGTTTTGTTTGGTCTATTTTTACTCTTGTTTTCCTGCTGCTGCCGGTCAATAAAACACATTTACGAAAGGCGCGTATAGTAATCATAATCGATGAACAATCATGCTCAACCACAAAAACACATTCGTCACACATATTACGCGCCTGTAAATGTGCTGTGATTACATAAACTAATCAATTGCAGTGCGATTTATTTTATTGTCGTTGTGCCCTTGCTTGCTGGACGTGATTATAGACAGCATGTTTGGTGTATTGTGTGTAGAGATGTGCCGACATGCGTTTGGCCGAAATGCCGAATAGCCCGAATATAATACATATTAGCTTATTAACGCAATCAATGATTTCTATTTTTGAATTTTTGTTTCGCTTTATCAACAGCTGTACCAACTGTTTAAAATTTAATAGACTTTTGGACATGTTTGGCTTAATAGGATTTTGCTTTAGGTACCTCTTTCCATTCAACGATATCGCGCCTATTATAAAGGGGGCCAAATATTTGGCTCTACTGCCTAGTTGATTAACAATTCGGTACATCTCTAATTTCGTGTGTCCTGTTGTTTGGCAATACGTTTATTTTTATTTTGCATATGATTTTTGTGCCCCTTAGAAGTAGTTGCTTGTGTTACAGCACGGACGCTCGGACTCTTATCGCGGGGCGACGGTCCGTACAAATTACGACGATAACAAAACGGCTGATGGAAGAGCAAAGGTAATGTTGGGATTTGATTTAATTTATAGGTGGCGGTGGTGGCCTGATGTTTCTACAAAATTATATGGTGGTGGGTTATTGTAGTTTTTAATAATTCGATTTTAAAAATGTATTTTTATTTTCATTAATGTTCATATTTATATGTTGCATGCTCATTAATCATCCAAATTTTGACGGTAATTAATGAAGTAAATCTAACTAATTTTGGCTGAAAACGAACCTAGTCTGTGGATAGGAATTGATAATTACAAATAGCACAAATATGAGTAAGCGTGTGCGATTTCGGAACACGTTGGTTTCGGTGGCACGTTGGATTTTAAATGGAATACACACACATTACTGTAATTCTTGTTAAAGATAAAACTAATATTAATTGTTTTATATTTAATAGTCACGAAGGAAGGTAAAATCGAAGGCGAGGAAAGGTGACGACCTAGATGATTTAAAACAGGAATTGGACATCGATTATCATAAGATCTCACCAGAAGAATTATACCAAAGGTTCCAAACACATCCAGAAAATGTACGTATAAAATGGCGGGTGTATACTAGGTCGAGGTATGGAGCTATATATCGTTTCTGTAAACAGGGCCTCAGTCATGCAAAAGCTAAGGAAAATTTGGAAAGGGACGGACCCAACGCACTCACCCCACCCAAGACCACCCCCGAATGGGTTAAATTCTGTAAAAATTTGTTCGGAGGCTTTGCACTGTTACTGTGGATCGGTGCTATCCTCTGTTTTATCGCATATTCCATTCAGGCTAGTACCGTTGAAGAACCAGCTGATGATAACCTCTATCTTGGTATCGTGTTAGCTGCCGTTGTTATCGTTACAGGTACGTTGGTCGTATCTTGAAACCGATAGATCAGATGTAAAGTGTAGATTTCTTTGTACACAGGTATATTTTCGTATTATCAAGAAAGCAAGAGCTCCAAAATTATGGAGTCCTTCAAAAACATGGTACCTCAATTCGCTACCGTACTTAGAGAAGGTGAAAAGTTGACGCTGCGCGCCGAAGATCTGGTACTGGGCGACGTTGTGGAGGTGAAATTCGGCGATAGGATTCCTGCTGACATTCGCATCATCGAATCTCGCGGCTTCAAGGTCGACAATTCGTCACTGACAGGCGAATCCGAGCCGCAGAGCCGAAGTCCCGAATTCACCCACGAGAATCCATTGGAAACCAAAAATTTAGCGTTCTTCTCGACAAACGCTGTTGAAGGCACTGCCAAGGGTGTCGTGATCAGCTGCGGCGATCACACCGTCATGGGCAGAATCGCCGGTCTGGCGTCCGGTCTCGACACCGGCGAAACGCCGATCGCTAAGGAAATCCACCACTTCATCCAGCTCATTACCGGAGTTGCTGTGTTCTTAGGCGTTACGTTCTTCGTTATTGCATTTATCCTAGGTTACCATTGGCTCGACGCTGTCATCTTCTTAATCGGTATCATCGTCGCGAACGTACCCGAAGGTCTGCTTGCTACCGTGACCGTGTGCCTGACGCTCACCGCCAAACGTATGGCGTCCAAGAACTGCCTCGTCAAGAACTTGGAAGCTGTCGAAACGCTCGGCTCCACCAGCACAATCTGCTCGGACAAAACTGGCACTTTGACCCAGAACCGAATGACTGTTGCCCATATGTGGTTTGACAACCAGATTATTGAAGCCGATACCACTGAAGATCAATCTGGCGTACAATACGACCGCACCTCGCCAGGATTCAAGGCATTATCTCGCATTGCTACCCTCTGCAACCGCGCCGAATTCAAGCCTGGTCAAGATGGTGTACCGATTCTCAAAAAGGAAGTCAATGGTGATGCTTCGGAAGCTGCTCTCTTGAAATGCATGGAATTGGCATTGGGCGATGTAATGAGTTACAGACGCAAGTGCAAAAAGATCTGCGAGGTGCCATTCAACTCGACCAACAAATACCAAGTTTCCGTCCACGAAAGTGACGATCCCAATGATCCCCGTCATATTTTGGTGATGAAGGGTGCACCAGAACGAATTCTGGAACGTTGTTCTACTATCTTTATCTGCGGCAAGGAGAAAGTTCTTGATGAGGAAATGAAAGAGGCATTCAACAATGCATACTTGGAGTTGGGTGGTCTTGGTGAACGTGTGCTTGGATTCTGCGACTTTTTGCTGCCCACTGACAAATATCCTCTGGGCTACAAATTCGATTCAGATGATCCAAACTTCCAGCTTGACAACTTGCGTTTCGTGGGTTTGATGTCGATGATTGATCCTCCACGTGCCGCTGTACCGGATGCCGTTGCCAAGTGTCGTAGCGCTGGTATTAAAGTTATCATGGTCACTGGTGATCATCCCATCACCGCCAAGGCTATTGCTAAATCGGTCGGTATTATTTCCGAGGGTAATGAGACCGTTGAGGACATTGCTTCCCGTTTGAATATCCCCGTCTCTGAAGTAAACCCGCGCGAAGCCAAGGCTGCCGTTATCCATGGTGGAGATCTTCGGGATTTGTCTTCTGACCAACTTGACGAAGTGCTTAGGTATCACACTGAAATCGTTTTTGCCAGAACGTCGCCGCAACAGAAACTCATCATTGTTGAGGGTTGCCAGCGTATGGGCGCCATTGTGGCTGTAACAGGTATGTTCTTTAATCTGAAGTACAATAATAAGCAATTGAATCAATTTTCTTCTTTTATTTCGATTCATTAGGTGACGGTGTAAACGATTCACCCGCTCTGAAAAAGGCCGATATTGGTGTTGCTATGGGTATTGCTGGTTCTGATGTGTCAAAACAGGCTGCCGATATGATTCTGCTCGACGACAACTTCGCTTCTATCGTCACAGGTGTGGAAGAAGGTCGTCTCATTTTCGACAACTTGAAGAAATCTATCGCCTACACGTTGACCTCGAACATTCCCGAAATCTCGCCCTTCTTGGCTTTCATCTTGTGCGATATCCCGCTGCCACTTGGTACCGTCACCATTCTCTGCATTGATTTGGGAACTGACATGGTGAGTGTTATTTTCAATTACTTTCCAATTCAATTAATTAATACAACATAAATCAACGAATACATTGATAGCAAATTGATCAATTTATCACAAGAGATTAAAAGGCATCAATCAGGTTAGATTCAGATTGCAATTTTGTTCAGAGAAAAGGAACAACGTGATTGTAATCACTATAAACGTATTGAGAGTTATGCAAATTCAATTAATGCACTAAAAATGATGAGTGACATACATAATCTGAAAGATGAAACATTAATGCTTAGGTGCCCGCAATTTCACTTGCGTACGAAAAAGCAGAATCGGACATTATGAAAAGGCGTCCCCGTGACCCATACAACGACAAATTAGTAAACGAAAGGTACAAATTTGACATCGCATACAGTTATCTACTATATTATCATTATGATTTTTTATTCAGTACTATATTCTACAATTTCTTTCAATTTTACGTTATTTTATACGATATGCGAGTATATTATATCTATTTTTAAAAGCGCATGTAGTTGAAGAGATTTTGTGCACATTGTAGGCTCGGTTTATTTCTTTCTTCATATTTGCAAGATTTGACCAAGCGGTCGAACCTTCGTCAACGTCTGCGTCAATCAATAAAATTGATGTTTGAGATCGTTTGACTTAAGTCCGGCACGCGCAGTCAATAAGTGCTCTTCTCTCTGGTACGGTTGTAAGTTATTTTTAAATAATTCTGAAAAACAAATACTGAGCAGATTCGAAAGAAGTGCATAAGCATCGAATTAGATTCCATTGCGTTTACTTTGGTTGTTTTCTTCAAACATATGCGAGGTATTTTGTTTGTTTATTTGCTGATTGCGTAATCAAGTTGAACACGTGTGATAACTGAAATCGAAACGTTAGCTGAAAAAGCGCATTATTGAAAAAGGTAAAGTGAAGCAGGTATAAGTATTTTACATTTATTTCCTGTTACTAATTCATTACTTTTATCTTATCTTATGATATTTACTACGTTATATCAGAGAGTATTTAGCAATCTATCTTATAGTATTTCCAACTCACCATTGCAATTCTGTTGAATATTATTTGAATTATGTAAAATGGGGATTTTTTTGTTTTACGACTCGAGGTGGGTTTACCTAGAGTTCAGTAGTAAAATTGTTGTCATAAATAGAAAGTGGATTGAAGAAGTGTTCTCTGGGAGGCATCGATACTTGATGTTTATTTTATGATTACCTACACTTTAATTTCTATTTATTTCTTATTTTTATTTTATTTTTATGTGAATTATTAGGTGCCTGCCATTTCATTGGCTTACGAAGAAGCTGAAGCCGATATCATGAAGCGACCCCCTAGGAATCCATATGATGATAAACTTGTGAACTCTAGGTGCGATTTTTTGTTTTAATTTTCTTTTATTACTAACAACGTTTATGTTGGGTGGGAGTTTTTATTAATCTAATTAGTAACTTCACGGAAACGAAAGTTTTGCTTTTTGAGTTGGTTTTTTGCCAAATGCAAACGTCTCGAATCTCACGCCATTCTCTTCTGATTTATTCTGCTTTTAAACTATTTTAAGCAAAGCTACTTTACGAATTAATACCATTTTGTTATTCGATGCAGGAATAACATTCTTAACTGGTTTGATGCCTAACTATTATATTGACGAGTACGATGTGACGGTGAAATGATCTATGCATGAACTTTGCATTTTTAATATGACGATTAATTCTCATTAGGTAATGAATAGATTTTCTGAATTTTTAATCACTACTGTAATTTTACTTTATCAACGAACTAGCTGCAGCAATCCGATATTATAACGTATATTCTCTCTTTCTCTCTTGTAAACAAACAATATTTTAGTTTATCGCCAAACTAAATTCTTAGATAAAGAGTAGTAGGTTCTTTTCTCCAATGTAGTCTTCACATACTGCTACAACATGAGCTACATCTCGCAAGCAGAACACAACACATTTACAATTTTTACAGACGAATCCTTGTCATTTCCCTGTGACATAAGTTTTTGTGCTCCTTACAAAGTCGGCTTATTTTTGGCGCACAGCTTGCTTGAATTAACTCTTCATTCACATGATTTTTGATGAACGCCAATTGTTGTTGTGTAGGTATGTTATAAATTATTCTCTCAACACGTCCAAAATTGGTAGATTCGTTTCGTCGCATTGCTCACATACTGATTACTACGAGCAACTGCAGTTGATGAAAATTTTAGAAATAGTAGATTTCGTAATTCTAGTCCAATTCATAGCCGTGCTGTTGTGCATGCGTAATCAACACATTCATGAAACGTATTCCCGTTTGTCGAAATTCAATCACCAGATCGTTCATTACTAATCAATCAATCATTCACTCATTCATTCGAGTGTTAAAAGTAAAATCGATGCATTTGATACGTGCGCGTGCAAAAGAGTCCAATTTCATATTTGCGCGCGGAAAAATTCCATTCAATTGGTTTGACGTGTTTTGTTGATTCTCTTTTTAAAACGAGCTCAGGTGCCCGCCATATCTTTGGCTTACGAGGAGGCCGAGTCTGATATCATGAAGCGTCGCCCTAGAAACCCTTTCACTGATAAACTGGTCAACGAAAGGTAATATCAAACACTACGGTTCTAAAAATGCCTCATTCTCTTTCGATTTTCTGCATCGTTTATGAGAACATTTTCGTATTTTTATTTCATTGATTGCTCTAACAAATCAGACAATTCAAGAAATAATGATTTTTTGGAACATACAATAACGCCATCTCCCTTATTTTCCCATTCGTTGCGAGTTTGATCGATGTAACATCCGACTATTAATTCGCCATTGATTTCGTGACCGTTGTTTGATATTCGTATCTCACTCTTTAAGCGCATCCTAACTTCTGCTTACAAATTTCATTGTCTACCAAAATATCGTATATCGGAAAAATGAACCATTTGTAAATAATTCTTTCTTACATTATCTTGCTTGCACGCGAGCATTCTACCACTGTCTTTTATTATTTCATTTTCTGTAATTGCTTATGCATTTCCATCAAAAGAGTATTACTAATTTAGTTTGCAACGCATCTTCAATTTTTTGTTCTTTGCTCGAGTGAGCTGAGCAAGCTAAGTTAGTATTATTCATTGGGCGTATATTAAATGTGAGCATCGGTAAGTAACCCCCATGTGAACACAAATATTCCAAAGATCGTTTTTGTCACGCATCATGGATGACAGTGTTTCATGCCGCCCACCCCACTCTCCTTTCTGCCACTAGCTTTGTATCGCCGACAGGCCCGCCCTTATTTATCCCAGGCCTCTGTTGCCATACTGACCAACAATAATCCTCGATTCGAAGTAAGGCTTGACAGCGACCAAATCATACTACTTCTCCAACTTTACTTCACAACTACACTGAACTAACAAATTCAGGACAAGATTAAACCTCTGAAAAATTCAAAACGAAAAACACTCTGTGCATGTCGTTTCTCACTACTAACTGTATGTATATTGCGCCCGGTCACTATATAGGTGCCTGCTATATCTCTGGCTTATGAGGCTCCGGAGTCGGACATTATGAAACGACAGCCGCGAGACCCTTATACAGACAACTTGGTCAATCGAAGGTGGGTCCACCGCCGCGCAATTTTTGTTCCACTTAATAACTTATGATTTTTACTATCTTTGTTTTGATTTATTTCTGAATATTATTACTCGATACTCTCCACCTGCTATCGCACCACACTGACTATTCGATTAATACCTCGCAGCACACACGGAATTTTCCGAAATGGTTTCTTTGCTTACTGTGGACTTTTTACGAAACACGTATATTTTTGAGAGGCCGAGGTATAGTTTGGTGTGATAAAGGTGTAGTGCACTTATTAGTAGACACTGATACCCTGCTCTCTGAATCGTTTTAACTGGCTGTGTGACACACAGTATGTTTTTTGTTTTTGTTTTTACAAAGTAACGACCTGAATTTCTGACGACGGACAAACTTTTCATTATCCACGAAACGACAACCCTCTTAAGTGCATGCATTGCTGTTTGCTTCTACCTTTTGCAAAGTTCACGTTTCCTCCTTTTTTTTTTGATAAACCCCTGATAACAACATGTTTCACTGACAGCATTCGAGCAGAAGTACGTAATAAGTACCTACATAAACTGACAAGCTTTCAATGTATATAATCTATATCGCCTGATGTATCACTGTAATCCTTTTGAGTTCGGATTCGTTGTGACATTATTCTTTGATTCATTGATGTCGCTTTCTCTACCTGGAGGTTGAGGTAGTACATGCATAAACTTATGATTTTATTTAACGCTTTTCTTTACCGAGACGATTCGTATGAATTACTGTCGAAGAATTTCTCCTCGAGATTCTGGTTCGATGAATGTGTATATGTTAAATGTGCCCATAACGTTTGTCTAACAAATCCACAAAATGCATGTAAGTGTTTAAATGTTAATTGAGCTACTTTAGCATGGTGGATGTTTTTCGTAAGTACTCTGTTTTGAGTTGATTTATTAAAATTGCTCTTTCATTTCTTTGGTTTAACTTTCGGTTTACAAGGAATGTTACTTTGAACCAATGTGCTCATTATTTTAATGCACATAAAAGGGTTCCAAGTAATATAGTCATGTACTGTGATTGAACCGATAAAAATCTTTAATCAAATATTTAGGTTGATTTCGATGGCCTACGGTCAAATTGGTATGATCCAAGCGGCTGCCGGTTTCTTCGTATACTTTGTCATCATGGCTGAGAATGGTTTCCTCCCACTAACACTCTTCGGAATTCGTAAGCAATGGGATTCGAAGGCCGTCAACGATTTGACCGATTCATATGGACAGGAATGGGTATGTTATTTGACTTGGTGTGGTGGTGAAAATACAATATTCATTTTGGTTTGTTTTGGGTTTGTAGACCTACCGCGACAGGAAAACTTTGGAATACACCTGCCACACCGCTTTCTTCGTGTCGATCGTCGTCGTCCAGTGGGCCGATTTGATCATTTGCAAGACTAGGCGTAACTCCATTGTCCACCAGGGCATGCGGAACTGGGCCCTCAATTTCGGTCTCATTTTCGAGACTGCGCTCGCCGCCTTCTTATCTTACACACCCGGCATGGACAAGGGTCTCCGCATGTTCCCACTCAAGTGAGTACCGCCAGGCTATGTTAGATGCGTCGATCGATGGTTTACGTTGTTTAGGAACGGATACAAATTGCTTGCGTAATTGTTTCAGATTCGTATGGTGGTTACCTGCTCTACCATTCATGTTGTCAATCTTTATCTATGATGAGACAAGACGTTTCTATCTACGCCGCAACCCCGGAGGGTGGTTAGAGCAAGAGACTTACTATTAAGTGCAGCGACTGCCAACGTTCTGTGCCTCTCTTTTATTTAACTAAACCAAAACAACCAATTGAAACATCATCAAAACAACCAAACTAACAACTTATTGCAAGCATAACATAAGAGACGGGGCGCAGTTAACTCGATAGGAAGGATTTCGTTCGAAACCATAATATAATATAAACAATTTAATGAAAATGAGAACTAAGAGAATACAAAACGATTAATTTATTTTTGTGTACTTTAGAACGTGCACCGTTTTTTGGCAGCTTATATAAATCTATATATTGTCTCTACGTAATGTTTAAAGAAGATGAAACCATCAATTACCAAGATAAACAAACGTTCTAAGCAAACCAAACAAAGAAAAACAAAAACTAATGGGTTCTATCGAATGCACAATAATAACAAACAAAAAATAACGTAAATTATGATGTAATTATGATAATTAACGATGTCGTTCCCTATCGATATGTTGTACAAATCCTGTTGCTAATCTAGTGAAAAGTCCTGCTTTGCGCAGAATCTATTAAGTAAAAAAGTACAGAATATTTAAGAAGAAACCTGAGAAAAAAGAAAATAACAAAAAAAATTACATTAAAATATAACAAATTATATAAGTTATGAAACATTGCGTGCGCGAGCTACGGGGCAGTCCCCTTCCCGTTGTTTTCCTGTTGATTTGGGCGGCCGTGGCTCGCGCACCCTCCTTAGCTCTATAAGATGATTTAAAGATAACAAACAAATAATTATAAATCGAACATGAGAAGAAATTTAAGATACAAACAACAATATTGTAATAATATTAACGAGAACAAGAGATGATGATTACGAAATTAAATACAAGTAAAGAGGAATAAGTACAGTACACAGTAATTACATACAGATGATAATGATAATAATTAATTAAAATTAACATTAACGGGAGCATAGTGCATAATGTAATATGGTTGGTTACGAATTCGTTTTTCGTTTTTACACTATCTAACTGATTACGTTTCGTTCGCGACACTCCGAAATCTCAACTTACGAGCTGGCGAGCACGCAGAAACGAACGATTTTTCAACTTCAATCACTTCAACCAAATAAGTGAACAAAATAAAAACCAAAAACGAATGCAATCACACGAACTATGAAAAAGGAGAAGAAAACGCATGAATGATGTTGCCCGAAAGTACATCCGTAACAGAACAGAAAAAAACAGGAAACACGAAAACAATGGGAAGAAACTTGCTGTCGAATATTACGTTACGTTTTAGATGCAATAGTGTTTTCATACATTCCAGTTGAAAACAGTTGCCTTAGTGCTGTCAGTCAGTCCGTTTTACGAAAACTAACACAGATTGGAGCCCTCGGAGGCTGGGCCACACGGCAGGTTATTGTTTTTTTGCCGCGGTGGCTCCCTCCCCCACAACACTCGATGGCGTAAACGAATTATGCTAACAAACAAAGCAAAATATGAAACATAAAATGAAGCATCTGTAGTGTCGATGTGAATGACGATGAAGTAGTAGTATTATTAGGCTTTCAACACTTAGGTTTAGCTAGAGTTGTAACTGTGTTGTTATATCGTGTTAAGTGTAACCAGGTCGTGCTCAATACACATGACTACAAAACTAATCACGATGGTAAACGTTCATTAAGAAGTAAAACAAGCTAAGATGATAACAAATTGCATAAACTACATGAGATTAAACGTTAAGTATTTCAAATGGCGAAATTGCAAACAAACTAACACATTGATAAGAAAGCATAAATAAGTAATTGAAGCATATGGAAAATTCAAATTTAACAATTATTACATATTATTCTAATTATCAATTAATACGATTATGAATTACTCCCTACTTTCTTTGTATATAGTTTAGTATTATGGAAATATTATGATAACGTTTTAATGATAACACCGGGCGGTACCTACTACCAGACCGTCCACCAAAATAAACATTCAAGAGAATTTGCTGACGACCACGAATATATTTACCAATTAATACCGATGTTAAGATATAAACTAATATAACGAACTAATAAACAACTTGAAACATGTAAGACGAAATTGTGCTGCCGACCACCGCGGAGCGTTCCACCCGATTGTGTAGTACTCATAATATAACAACACACACACACACACACTGGACATAACTGTAATTAAATATGAATGATAATTACTGAAACAAAGAAATATATAAAGATTACATTGTTTTATCGAATGCTGTAAGATGAGTATACTGTCTACTGACAGCCGTTCACGATTCACACTCGCTTTTATCTTATATTCTTACTGTGAACACTTCTCTTCACATAATTCATTGCGATTCTGTTTAGGTTCTATCTGATTCAGATGAAGATGATGCAAAAGTACACGTTGGTGACGGTGACAACTGGAGGAGCGTACCGCCGAAAAGAATAACATAATAATTAATGATAATATGCTGCTTCTGTAGAGCCCTATTTTCATATACTCTGTCGCGCCCTGGTCCGAGACCAACTCACCATGGTATTGTTATCTTATTGTAAATATTTTTAAGTGATCACTTAATTAATTGTTTGCCCATTTCCGTGTCGAATCTATGATTAACATTGAGAGACGTTAATATGAATTCTCTATCGATTCAATTGACATATATTTTTGTTCATTTTATTATCAATTTGATTATAATATATATATATCGCTTTTGTGTTCGTTTCACACATTAATGTTTTCGTATGTATTGAAGTTGTATAAATTTGGGTTTTAATAAAATGGATGATAGAATTAAACAATTCACGTCACATTTTTAGGCTCAGATGGCTTTTTTTAAATGGAGACACCTATTTATATGCATGTTCATGATAGATACATTCTGGCAGGCGTAGTTTATTTATCAAACCGTATTATCGTCAGTTTACGATCTGATTTAGGACCGTTTTGCGCAAGTGGTAAATTACCACATTTACTAAATATATATTCGTCGGTGGTTTTCGTCAGCAAAACCGACTTCAAACGAATCAAAGCAATATTTGACAGCTGCCAATCTACAAAATTCCAGTGTTGTTCACACACTGTCATCGTGTTCACTGATGATGACAGTAAACTATGTAGCTACTAAAATCAGATTATATTATAATCTGTAATATAAGATTTAACTCGAATAAACACATAAGCACAGACGATATGTCTCGCGAAGATTCAAATGGAGAAATGTTCGAAATTATCGACAAAAAAATTGAAGAACTGTCAACAGCAGGTACCTACTTTATTCCGTTTCAACTTGGGTTTGTTTTGGTGCTACAAACAATAACAAGATAAGATGCTGACTAGCCACATTTACATTTTTTGTTGACGCTTTTGGAGATGAATCATCATTGTGTGTTATTTTAATATCTCTTTTTCAGATTCAATCAGCAGTATGTCTTCATCTGCATCATTGCTTCCATCACCTGGTGTATCAGTCTCCAGTGTTCCATCTGGAGGAAATATCCTCTCAGTTGTCCAGCCTCCATCGACTTTACCCAGTTTTATTGCACATCCCGCTATATCTCCTGCTTCTACTGCTTCTCTTTCAAGTACAACAATTCTGGATCCAACATCAACAACAGTTCCTTCATTTATTCAAACAAGTCAAAACACACCAGCAACAAGTGCAACAAATTTAAATGAAATCAAAAATACAGCAGAGGTATCTTCATCATCTACTGATGTATTTTATCCCACACAGTTTAGGTTGTTAATAATTGCTTATGATATTGTTGATTTTATAAGTTTATTTTATTTCAGTGCTGCAATTCCACCAAGCAAAGGAATAAAACATGGAATGGACCAGGTTCCAATTGGAAATGTATCAGCTGATAATGGTGGTTTTATGGACTGGATGCGTGGTGCAGTCTCCACAGGGGGAATTCTTTCCAAAGTAGCAGAAAAAGCTAAAAATTCTGTTGATTCAATGATAACAACTTTGGATCCACAAATGCGTGAATTTATATGTAATCTGTCTAATTAATATTTTCAACAGACTTCTTTTATATGTTTAATTTTTAGATTCTGGTGGTGATTGTGAAATATTAGTTGCTTCCAAACAAGAAGCTAAGATTAGTGCTATTAGGGAAGCATTCCAATCAGTATTTGGCAAAGCTACAGTTCAGTAAGTTTTTGATTTTACTTTATATATTTTGGCATTCCAAAATATTAATTTTTTTTTAGGGAATAGAGGCACAATCATCAAATATTGCCGCACAACCTGTGGGATTTGCAGCTGCAGTGAAAGCAGCAGAAGAGCGCATTCAAACTGTTCTTAAGAATCCGAAAATTTCAGCGCCATTGCCAGTTGTGGCAATTGAAAATTTTATTCTTGAAGTTGGGGAAGATAAGTGCGTTAAATGCTCTAAAATAATTCAAAATCTTAATTCGGTGTTTTTTGTTATTAGATGGTATGATCTTGGCGTGCTCATTTTGAACGACCCAATCAAGCAGATTAATTTACAAATTTTCACCCAAATGACACCGGTTCCAGCGGAAATTGTTGCCTTGGCTCAAGAAGATACTCCAGCTGACTACCCTTTGCGATGGTCTGGATTAAGCGTTACTATTGGAAGTTTAATGGGCAGTAATTTGCATGTAAGAAAAAACAGTGGTTTACATGTCATCATCATGTGGCTAATAATTCAACTTGTTTCATGTTAGGTTCCCAACAGCGAGTGGCACCAAGCACTGACAGGAACATCTCGTCGAGATATCATTCTTCAGGCCGCCAATGTATTGGCTACTTTGTACAAAAATAGTAGTAGCCCCATTTAGTTATTTTTTTTATTATAATTTTGAATAATCTAATTATTTTATGCTTATGAGTGTCATCAAATTTTTAAGGCGCTTTGATTTTATTGAAATCTGTTTAGATTTTACAAATCATGGAATTTAATAATTCGTATTTGTTGGTAATCAATCATAGTAATATACTATACAATTATAAACAGTTACATACCATTCACTGTGCAATCCCCCTAAATCACCTGTAGGAGACATGCTCACCATAAAAGTGCGAAGTAATATTACAATGGTTAATAGTTTATAGAACGAAGTTCTTACAACAGTATGAATGCAAAAATTGTAACAGGACGAAAGCGGGAAACTCCGTTCCTGTGCGACTGTGACACATTCGACGCAATATACTTAGTTATGATGAAAATGCTGAATTACACAAATACCATCAGACCATATTCTGAATCAAAGAAATCCGTGGAACGAAAACGATTAAACATAGTGCTTAAAGTATCGAAAATCAACGCTGCGAAACAACGGATATATACAGTAATTGCGTCCCAAGTGCATTCAAATTAGTCGCATACCTGACCTACAAGGGTATACAAAGGGTTGTTACTTTCTGAAATGTGGATAAGAACTGCTTTATAGTATCTTGCATCTTATCTTAAACTCTCCTACTGGTAGGTACACATAATCAGTTTGTATATCAGCCCTTGGGTATATTTTAACTGATTTGCAGCTATTCCTATAGGTATGTTTTATTGATAATTATATTAGGTGGTTCATTTGCGAACATAATAAGTTGTTCTTTCTCCCCTTTCATTTCTTTTGCCTAGTCCATATGGTCCAATGAAACTGCCATCCTTATCTCACTTTTGAATTGAAATCAACCAAATCTATATTCACATCCTGTTTCATAGTCTGTTTATCTTCATTACCTCAATAAATTGTGCGTAAAATGTGTTGTTGGTGGTGTATACTCCTGAATTAGATTTACTACTACTTACTCTGCTGACAACAGTATTATCATTATTCTTTCTGAAATGGGTATGAAGTTTTTAACATGTTTTGCAATTCCCTTGTGTTCATAAGCATTCCTACTCCATGTGATCTTTCTCCATTTGTTGTGCCAGGGATCACACTGTGATCATTAATGTTGACCTAGTCGGCATGTGTACATTGCATATTATTTATGCCCATATTTGATATATGTATTCAGCTTTCAATTTCTTGAATTGCATGTTTCAGGTACTTATCTTAATTATTTCGGATATGTTCAGTTTCTTATTTACTTATTTTACAGGGTTCAATACTATCTCCCCGGAGACAAAGATTCCAATTGGAACTTACATAAATCAGTTTAATGTTCATTTAAATTTATGTATTCACGCGTCAAAGTTATTTAGATATGTATTTGAATTATTCTGACTGAGAATCGTCCGGCAGCCAAACCAACGTTCGTGTACGTTCGTACTCTACTGTCGTGTACCCTTGTTTCCATGCGTAGGCCAGTAGGTCTCCATGTGAGTATGTTGTGAGTCGCGCTTGTGTTCCAAACAAATGTCACAAACGAAATTAATTCAAAATTATGGCGAGTGCCGAGATGTTATTCACGCATTTATTGGTCCTATTACTTATTAGTGGCACTGGCGCATTGAAATTGAACGTAGCACGAATTCTTCTACCAGTTTTTGATGATATTTCCACAAATTTTACCCTGCATACCACGGACGATAACTGCTTAAAATGGTGAGGTTATCTCTGTTATTGAAAGCATGAAATGTTCTAAAATTTGAATTAAAATCCTCATATAGGACTACAACTCGAGACGACATTGTAAAACTAACGCCTTTGCAATACAATCCATCAATGAACTGTGCTCCAAGTGTAGTTATATCCACCAATACCAAAGATCGATGCAGGCAGTTGGCTGACATTTTCGCAGAAGATCCTGTGACTATGCAAATGGTGCGATGTGTTGTTATTTTTGATGTCATTCATTCTCTGGCAATTACGACTAAGACAAAAGAGTTGATTCTAGAGGAAGCCCCTGAGATTTTTGATGTTAGAGCTTATGATAATCAAGGTAGGTACATTAATATTTTATAAACATACTAGCTTTAACCCGCGGCTTCGCTCGCGTTGAATCCATCAAATAAATATTAGAAATAATTTTTTTTATTAAATAAAAAGTAGCGTATAACCATTCGGGGACCACTAAGAATATGTGTACAAATTTTCATGATGATCAGTTAAGTAGTTTTTGCATGAAAGTGTAACAAACATCAGGACTTTCACATTTATAATATTAGTAGGGATTTAATAGAAGAATAACTTTAGAAATTATAACAATGTTAGAATCTATATATGCTTGTTACTATGTAAATTGGCTTGAAGTTGAGAAACTAAATTATCTAAAACGTCTCAAACAATTATATTTGCATAGTCACATTTGTTTTTTATTTATATAATAATTGGTAATGTTATTGTAGGAAATGAATTCAGCACTCTAGCAGGTGTACCTCTCCATTGGTTCATATCACCTCTAGGTGCAGTAAGTGACATGCCAGTCATAAAGTTAACGCCCTTTAAAGATTCTTCATATGAAACTCCGGAATCGTTAGTTGATTTAGAAGAAAGAGGCCTATGGGGAGATAAAGTGTTAATTGAGGGCTTTAAAACTGGCATATCCAAGGTATCTGTAAAGCTATCACAGAAGGAGTATGAGAATGTAAAGAGTAACGACATTGTTTTGAGTGTCGTTGCAAATCTTGTGGTGCTTCCACCTGAGGTGTACATAATGGTTGGTGATGTAGTCAAATTCAAAGTGATTCAGGTGAGTTTCAGTTAAATTTAAATAATTTTGTTTTATATTTAGCTTTGTAGACCAGCTATGGTAAAATGGAAGAGATAGATCTTAGCAAGTCTCAATATTATCTTAAAGTTGTCAACACGGACGTGGCTAGCAATGAATTCGAACCGGGCGTTGTTAAAGGTCTTGCCCTTGGTGAAACCAAACTATATTTGCATGATAATAATATTGCAATTACCCAAGACTCCGATGTTCTTTTGCCAATGCCTAGTGCCACTATTAAAGTGGTTCAACCTGCCTACTTGCTCCTAAATTTACAACCGTACAAAAACTGGATAACTGTTGTCTCCGAAAAACACGATATTGTTGCGGAAATATATACAGAGTAAGTTTATAAACGATGTGCTTTATAGTATTGAAGTGTGTACTTAATTATATTGTATTTTATGTAAACTTTTAGAGATGACCGAAAATTAACCCTCGGGCCCGGTTTTAATATCCATACCACAATCGGCGAAGCGTTCCACGTTCAGGAGCGCGCTTCCAATGGCAGCTGGCAAACAGGTTGGACCGAATTAGAGGGTACAGCATGGGTTACGGCTATTTTGGATTGCGTTACTCCGCCGTTGCAAGCTTCAGGTGAAATTATAATCTATCCTAGAATAGTCCTTACCCCGTCGGAGGTGATTTTACCTTGGGATCCAGTTGCCAGACCAAAGTAAGTGACATTTATTTTTAGTTATTTGACATGCGTGTGACTTTTTACCATATTTTTACTCTTGCCATAATTATAAACCATAAGTGCTTTGCACTCCGGGCATACGAAGAAGTCCAATTAGAAAAAGAATATCAAAGTGCGCTTTGTAGAAATGTACAAAAAAATTATACCTTGAAGATATTACACCTTAATGAAACTTTTTGCAATACGGAAACATGTCTTACTCTGGACGTATATACAAGCAAATATGATCGTATTGAAACATTTATAGTGAACACAGCTGAAGATTGTGACATTCATTATCAATTAGAAACTCCTTTTTAATCAAAATCAAACAAGAACGACCATATCTTAAGTTTAATTTGAGTTACATTCGTGACGTTGATTGGAATCCGTACGAGGAAGTGTATTCGAAATGCCAACCCAATTATACTGGTTGTTATCTTGATCATAAGTATTCAACATGTGGTGTTGTGAAACAAGATTCAGTTCCCATACCAAATAGTGAAGGTTTTTGTTGTTCATGTGCTGAAAGTAAAAATATTCCATATAATTTTGGGGATAAAAGGGAAATAATGTACCAAATTCGTGGAGGGCAAAATTGTGATGACTTTTATACTCCTCCGGGCAGGGATTCAGAGCATTATCACCTAAGCACACATTGTTTACGATTGTCAGGACAGAATTTATCGGTGTATCAAATCAGTCAACCTGAAATTGTAACAAATTTCAATCTGAGAGTATTTAAAAGGACCGGAAATGGAAGTTGGCAACGTGCGCACTACAGGCCAATTGTTGTATCACTAACTAATCCAACGTATAAAGATCCTGATAGTACCTTGGAAGTTGTACTTCAGTTTCAAACTCCATTAACGAAGGAACATAGTTTAATAGGACAATATATATTAATGCCATCAGCTTGTACTACTACGACGAGGATCCTAAATGTATTTAGTGGGCCTAGAGAATTTCTTGTTGTACCACCTGAACTTGTCGGTGATGAATGTGATAAAATAGGTATCGGCTTTAACGGTTTTGCACGTCAGGCGGGTAGATGTGATCATATTGCTGGAACTTGCTTGAGGAATCAACCGAAAAGTTTATTTGAAAATGAGTTGAAAAGGATAGCATCAAATTGTCCGGGACGATACTTTCTCCAATTTTATGCTGATGTTGGCCAGAATTTTGACGATGTCTTTGAGTTTAATAAAAAGTTATATGCTTGGACTTTGAGGGTACCGATTGCGCAGAATTTTACTAGTTTGTTAATTGTTCGAGGATTAGCGCATGTAAACAAAACAGTCTAAAATGAAAATTAAGTATCTCATGTTATAATTGTTTAGGTATGATATCGATTTGAAGGCGATCGGAGGTGACGGGAAGTTTCTTTGGAGCAGCACGAACCATTCCGTTGGAATTGTTACGCAGTTTGGAAGGGTCCACACGCACAACATGGGATCTTTTGAGGTATCTGCGGCCATGCAGAAGAATCACAACATTAGGGAAATTGCAAAGTAAGCAAATGTCTATATATTTGAATTGAGATATTTCAAAGATTATGTTATCGCAAAGGTTCAACATTTTACCACCTTCGAAACTTGAAATTGTCGAATTTGTCATGGAATCCGAAATAGGAACGATAATTTTTCTACATGTAGCGCTGTACGTAGAGAAAGACGGACATGATACCGTACCTGGTTCGCAAATTCCTGTAACTAGCTGTCAGGATCTTAACTTCAAAGTACGCACAACTGACCCTAAATTTACATATCGCAAAAACTCATTCATCGAAGCTATTGGCTCTGCATGCGGTAACATAGCGATCTACAGCAGCGAAGTTGGTACCGGAAAGGTTACAATTAGTTATCAACTAGGCGAAACTATTCTGCAAGACAGTGTCACGCTTACATTCTTTAAACCTTTAAAACTACTGCAACCAACTGGAACAATTATATTGGCAGTAGGTTCTGCCACAAATTTGATATTTACTGGTGGCCCTCGTAGTCGGTCAGGTTTACAACACGTTGAAATCGAGACTTCCGGAGAGGAGTTTGTTGAAACAATGGATGTATCTTCTCGTCATCAAATGCCATCTGATGACGAATACACTGTTGTTCATGTCTTGTGTCGCAAGTTAGGTCAAAGTAACATTACGCTCTCGATTGTTAACCCTCCACTAATACCGAATTGTCGCAACCGAGAAGCGTTTACCACAGTGCTGGTCATCTGTGGCAAACCAAGAAAGATTGAAATCCAACCAGAAATTAAAGTTGCGGATGCCACTTCTTGTCCTATGGATCTAAGCTCCGAACGAGTTGTAGTACAAAGCGGTCAGGAAATTGAACTCATTATCAGAGTTCTGGACAGTGAAGGACGAGCATTCATGAATTTTTCCAGTTTGAGTTTTGTATTTGACACGATACCCACTGAAAAAGCGGAGGTTGGAGAACCATCGTCTGTATATGAAAATACTGGTATAATAGGTACAGCTGTATTTGCCAATAAGAGTTATCAAAAAGTGACGCCTAAGATTGACACTGGTGAAATTCATTTCACTGCAAGTATTCTGGGATATAATGACGATATACTGAATATAAATAAAGTGGTTGCTGAGTGCCCTGCTTTTACTGACGAAACGGATGATGCATCCACTTATGCTCCAATCAATGCCTCGATTTCATTATTACTGGTTGATGACACTGTTGTGATACCTAGTGAGGTTTCAATCTATAACCATCCTTCAAACAAAGTGCAAGTTGATATTAAACAAGGCTCTGGTTATTATTCTATAAGTATGACGCGTGATGATATCGTACAAGTTCAATATTTAGACAACAGTCGAACATTGGATATAATGCCCATTTCCAATGGAGAAGTTTCGATAAAACTTATTGATTTGTGTCTTGTGAATAAACCTGCTCAAATTCAGGTACATGTGGTATCGATCCATTCCATTTCTGCTGAAATGTCTGATAAAGTAGAGTTGGGCAAATGCATCACATGCACAATTAGCCTACATGATGATTCTGGTAACATAATGGAAATACCAAATTTGGACTTGATTGAATTGAATTATATTATGGACAATCCTATAGCAACCATTGAGCGTCTTGTTACACCAATATCAGTATTGCTGCCTGGACAATTTGAATACGTCATATCAGGAACTCAGTTGGGTGACGCTAAGTTGAATTTTTATATCGGTGATCCGGACTATGAAGGATACATAGCAAGCGATCCACTGCAGCTGCAAGTTTTTCCTTCTTTGAAAGTCCAGCCGAGAGTTCTGACCCTAACAGTAGGTGCGGTCATGCAATACACATGTAAAGGTGGACCCCAACCCTCATCAGACATGGAGTTTAATGCTGATGATGATAAAACTGCTATGATTTGTACGCATGGTGTGGCTACGGGCCTGGCTGTAGGAAAAACTAAAGTTACCGCAAAGGCTATTGGATCTACTTTCAGTGGGCAAAAAATTGTATACACTGAAGATTCGGCAGAATTGCAAGTCATAAATTTGTCAAGTGTTAAAATTACTGCTCCTGTAAATAGGGTGAAGGTTGGTGCAAAAATTCCTATTTGGGCCACTGGACGTCCTGATCAAATCACTCCTTTGATTCTGGCAACAATAAAGCCGCCAATTATGTTTTCATGGAGTGTGCTAGATGCACACATTGCCCGCATATATGATGTCATAGAAAATACGAAAGTAGATGGTCCGAGTCCAAATTTACCATTTGTGCGCCTAATGGGATTGCAAGCTGGTCATACTATAGTATCTTTAAACGCTACACTTATTCGCAACAAAAGAACTACGGTATTTACTTCAACTTTAGAAATCGATATTGTCGACACGCTGCAATTACAAGAACCAATAGAACTTGCGGAAAATTCAATTTATATTACACCAAACTCCCAAACACAGTTGAGAACCAACGCTGAAGATCATGATTATGAGGTATCATATAAACTGATGAGTGATACGGCATTTAGCACTGAAGTTCAATATAAAAGTCCTGCAACCATGACTCTGGCTCATGTTACTCGATCTGGTCTGGTTAGCACTCATTCTATAACTGGAACGGCCATTATTCTCGCTTCATCAGTGGACGATACCGGCACAAAACAGAATTTGATTATACCTGTTGAAATTAAACCCGTTTACTACATGATGTTGACGTTAGCTAGTAATTGGAAATTGTCATCGCAGGGTTTGTACGCTGTTCCACTGGGCAGTGAATTTGATGTTGTTGTTTCATATTGCGATAGTTTAGGCAATAAACTTATTGCATCTGGCATGGAAACGAATATTAAAGCATCACGGAGTGATCTCATTACTTTACACCGAAAATCAAACGATACGTTTACTGTTTCAACGAGAAAGCCCGGCATAACTGTTCTGCAGGTAAACTCGGATTGTAATGAAAAAGTTGTGGACTATGTGAAGTTGAATGTGACCCAGGTTATCAGTCCTTACACTGTAAGTTTAGTGGAATGTTTTACGTGATAATTATGAAAGTAACCTTTATATTTCTGTTAAAAGGACCAATTGATCGTTGGTGACGTCGTTTGTTACCAGACTCCTGTCACCATGGACATTGAGGCAAAATGGACGTCATCCGATCCTACTATTTTGCAAATCGATCAGATCACTGGCATCGCTGTTGCAGTAGCCCCTGGAAAAGCTACCATCTTTCACAGTTACCACATGGCGTCCCCAGTCCAAGTTACTGTTTCTCCGATAGGAAATATCCAAATTAATGCCCACAACGCAACATTTACTAACGCTCAGGAGTATAAACTACATGTGACTATTAATTCAATTGATCATTTGCGTGAGGATAATTTACTAACGTCATACGACTGCAGTGAATATTTCTGCTGCATTGATGTTCCATCACCACTGAAATGTATTTTGTCTTTTGATAATTCGGCCATAATGCCAAGTTTATTTGTGACTACGGCGCAATTTGACGTAGAAAAGGGCAAGCATTATTGCAGTATTGTGCCAACAGCGGAACTAGTGCAAAAGGGTCACAGTTTACCAAAAAGCGACGCTTATCTTACAATATCGGCCGGGGGCTGTGATTGCGTGCCAAAACAAGTTAAACTTAATTTTGTTCCGGGCGTGCAAAAACCTGAAGATGTGACTTTGGATAGTAATTCTTTTGAGGGTTTGTTAATAATTTATGGTGCACCGGAAGCCTTGACGACGTTGACAGTGCGTTCAAGAGATGAGAATATATTGTGGGTTGGAGATCGTCAACAAGATGGTAACAAGTTAACGTTTACTATTGCCTTAAAAAACTCTGATAACATGGAATTCAATAAGGACGTAATGATGTTGGAAGTTGAAGCTGAAAGTAGTGGTCAAAATCTTCTTGTATGTATACCGTGATGACATGATTTAAATCAAGAAAATTACCATTTTTTATTTTTACAGGTTGGTGTGAAGATAGAAGGTGGGGATCAGAGTGCTGGAACTTGCAGACCACCAGACAAACCACTACTAATTGTTCTGCACAGTAATCGCTTTATCCTAAGTGTTATTCTGGGATTCATTTGTATGGTTACTTTATGTACCTATAGTAAGTGCACTTTCTTTATTGGCTGCTTGTTATTTACAACTTGTACGGTTTTCAGCCTATCTACATTACATTCAACAACAACCCCCCATTAACGTCAACGTAGTGCCGTGTTCTACTTCGTACTCGCCATCGGTAACACCATCGCGGAATTTCGACTTAGGTAGAACCCTAGCGCCGTCCATGACAATAATCGACTCGACATCACGAACCCCACCAGATTTAGATAATTCGTGTTACTGTACAAGGAGTCCCGAAGTTCGACGGAATCGTCGATACTTGTAATAGAAATAATTGTTCGCGGCCGAGGGTATGTGAGGTTGTACTCCCATTTTCTGACCATCATCTAATTTAATATTTGGCGTCCTGTTGATAATTTTTTTTACTCTCGAAAACGAGGGGAATGAGATACCAATACTCATTTTTCGCTCGTTGAAAAAATTGAATGTGCGGCCATTATGTTCCACATATGTTGGAGTACACCCATATCTCGCTTTACGGTCTAGATTATAGCGCTTGCGCAAGATTGGCAACATGTATCTACACGACACGAAATAGTTTTTTTTTTGCCGTTATAGCGAAATATTTTAGGCCGTAAATCTAAAACGTGCCTGAATTGAAGAGGACCATTATAGCGAAATGTCGTATAAAGGGCGACTGTATAGCGAGGTATGGATGTATATAAATTACAAAAAGTGTTCATTTATAAAATTAACCAAAATAAACTTTATTACTATGTTGGGTGAGAATGTAATTGGACTAGGCAGGATTTCTCAAACTTAAGGCTCCACGAACTCCCGTCAAAGTTTTCAAATTACCGCAAACCGCGAAAGTTTCAGAAAATTAATCAAACAAAGCACAAATTGCCTGAATTAAGTCCTGCATAACTTGGTTGCAAAGAACTGCATTAAAAAAAACTTCTTAGGGAATTTGCCAACCATTTCATTAATTTAATGATTATTTAAAATGTTACTTGGTTCAACAACAAATTTTAATGATTGATACACACCTTTTGAAGCAAAACACCGATGTTTATGCCTAAATCGGCGTTTTTAAGCGATTAAGCACTACTTAAACACACTATCTTTAATTTCTAGCGTATCTAAACTTAAATGGTACTTAGGTAAGCTACCTTGTTCCAGAGTCTTTATATTTTATAATAACATTTGCTAAGATTGATCGAATTTTAAAACATTAACCCACTTTTAAAAAAATACCACCTTGGTAAATCACATTATACTACACTTCAATCATGCCGCGAACATCCTGTATATGACATCGGAAAAAAAAACTTTGGGTTCCTCCGACGCGGTTGCGCCATTCGGGTTGGCACTGAATCTGTATATTTCCTTGGATGGCAGATTGTATAGCAATAACCTTAAAAAGCTGTCAAGGTTGACGTGCGCGTATTTAGAGCAAATTTTGAAATAATAATACATTATGTGCCAGATCATTCATGTTTTGATAAAACTTTTTCATGCACAGATCAGGGGTTTATTTCCATTTTTGGATTTAATTCACATGTCTATGTAATTCATCATCATTAAATATTTGATTTTAACCCCCACCACTGGACTCCACTGTCAAAACCAGCTGTTATTCGATGTTATTACTCTGTTCTATGAATTGTTCAGTGTCTCCATGGCATTAAATGGCAAATTCTTCACTGGATAAAAACATGGCAATAGGCAATATTGTTCTGCTAAGTCAGGTTGCAGGATATGTGGTGGCCCTAATTCTGTCAATATGTGTTACCATACCAATAAGCCTACATCAGGATGAATTTAAGTATGTTTTATTGAACACACATACTAAGTGTTAAATTTATATAAATAACAATTATTATTTATTTTAAAGGGGTCACTGTCTATTATTTTCCACTGGAATTTGGCAAGAAACAGATGGGCAACTTAAAGTTGACTGGGCTTCACAAGGATATTGCAACTATACTATCTTCATTGGTTCAGCACTCTTTGTAATATCTTCAATTCAAATATACAGGTTATCATTGTTACTATGCAGGGGACAAGATAGTTCCTTCTTATCAGCATTTTTTGATGTGCTAATAAATGTATTAGCATGTGGTGGCATTATAATTGCTGCCTTAATGATCACACTTGGATTTATGGTTTGGTGTGACACTATCACCCAAAGGTTTCCTTATTGTGAGATAGCTGCTGGTCAAATGATTGATAAACAGGATGGGATTGATACAAGCATGTTTTATATTGAACTTGGAACAGCTCAGGTAGATGCAATAATAAACTTAAAGTATTAATAATTTTGGTTAAATTTGGTTTTTGGATTTCCAGTTTGGCATTTGGGGATCATTTGCAACTTGGGTTGGTTTGTGTGTATTCTCATTGCTGAAGTTGTGTCGTTATCATCAAATTGAGAATATGCGCGTTTCTATGTATCGAGAGCGGCGTCGCTTGATTGAGGAAAACGCCGAATCGCCAGGAAATTCGTTGGGAAGAGAATCAACTCATACTACTAGCACTGTGGCTAGTAAGGGCGAAGTGGATTAATCCTATAAATATTCTAACATTATAATATCTATTTTTTACTCTACTACTGTGTTATTATGTTATTAATATTAATCTATATGTATATCTAACATGCAATAAATTTATGTATTTTTAATTTAGTAATGCTGACCAATATACTATTTAGGTAAGGCAACAACAACTTTAGTTTGCGCAATTGTTTTAGCGAAATACCTAAATGATTCAATCAGATGAAATAGAACAGCTAGAATGCTCTTTTGGATCGAATAAAATGGGAAATAGGAATTTTTCTTGCAAATTTATAATATTTACAAGAAATATTCCTTCTTAATATTATTATTTGGGAATTTGTCATCTTGTTTATATAAAAATTCGAAGTTTTTATAATGAAATATTATCAAAAGCCTATGTTACGGAATGAATTATTGTTTCTTAGATACAAATTATTTCTTTACCATGCACCCTACTTTCAATATCAGTTTATACTAATTGTATCGACTGAATATTATTAAGAACTGATACACTCCACGCTATATTTACCTATAGACCAGGCTTATCTTAATTGCTCTCGGTCTTTCTGAAAAGTATTTAAAATATTATTAACTTGTGAGGGTACAGTGTTTACTTTGACAACTACAAATATTATTACTTATTCTGACCGAGTCTGTACAGAATAATCAGATAACTTTATTATATTAATGTATTGTTTAATATACATGCAAAATTTCAAATTGATTACATAAATAGATATTTACAGGTGAAAGGTAATATAAAGGGTGTAAAAATAACATAAAACAATATGAATTAAAACGGAGACGCAAAAGGCAAATGTAGTCTAATTTTACTTTACTTTCTTCCGTTTAGAAATTGCTCTCCTGTGAAATCAAGGCAAATCTCACGTAATAAATAGTAAATATCAAGTTTTTGGAAGCAGATTGAAGCAGTTTGTACCCATAGTAGGCAACCCACACTACGTCTATGATTCAACAAAATTTTAATTTCTTGCAATCATATGATACGGCTACTACCGTGTACTTATGAACAAGTTTGCCAGTGTGCGTGCGCGTGCTGTAAGTCGTCAAACAACAAACACACGGGCAAATATCGCGTTCTCAATCGCACGCCTTCGCACAAACAGCTTTATGTTGCCTGTGGCTGTGGTGTGCGATGTGGAGTTGGAATAACTTCCATTGCCACTGTGTTAGCCAGTGTCAAACGGGCGCTCTCCGATTTCGGTGCCTCCACTCGCGCAGTGATATGAACCGTCAGTGCCGTCAATAATCGCGTATCCCGTGTGTTGGGGTGTCTGTCGCAACTTCGATCGACTGACAACGATCTCCAGCTGATGTGCGCTATCGAATTAATGCAGTGACAGCGCGTCCACATCCCAAGTGTGCAAATTTGCGCGCAAAGTAAAATAGCATGGAGTTGGCAGCTACACCTGGCGCCGAGGGCCCACCTGAGGACACCATCAAGCCAATTGGTTGTGCGCATTACAAAAGAAAGTCCAAATTTGTGGCAAGTATCTAACACGATTACTGTCGTCGGCGGCGGCAATGTATATGCTCAATTAAATTGACAAACGAACTAATGTTATACACGCCTGAGCTCAATACACAGCCGCCAATTAATTCTTTGTGTGATTTGGTGCATCCGCGATAAAAATAGCTTTGCGAATTCATACCTACTTGCGACATTTTCGCACTGCCTTTGTTTTCGTTGTTGCAGAAGTGTAACGTTCTCATAAACGCGCGGAATAAACACGAGAAACGCGCAATCATGCCGATTTCGGAATCCATGAATCAACATAATGAAGCAGAAGAAAAACAACAATTGTGTGAAAGTTTAGATTTGGAGCGCACGCATATTCAGAACGTGTAATTCAATTTTGTACGCTGCGTACAGATTTTTCTATTAACTGGAACCGAGACTTTACCAACATTTTCCACAGCAACTGCACGATGTGCAGTTTAAATCTAATATGATTCAATTGTTTGTTTTAGACGCCATGCTGTAACAAAGTATACACGTGCCGTTTTTGCCATGACAGCGCTGAAGAGCATACGGTGAACCGCAAAGAAGTTACCGAGCTAATCTGCACGCTGTGTGAAACGCGTCAGTCGGTGCAAGCGGAATGCCAAAATTGTGGCATACGATTCGGAAAGGTGAGCGAAGCGATATTCAAAAATTATATAATTTCGATGTTATTCAATAAAAGCTTTACGAGCGTTCTCCGTCCATCCACTCACTTTCTACTTCATTCACATGTACTACTGCGTGTCATAACGTAATTACTCGTGCAAGGCATACACACGCGGGCGCGTTTTGCAATTGCGTTATGCAATGTTTTTTCTTCGTCCACATTCACTGTAAATAGTTGTTAATATTTTTTAAATATTGCAGTACACATGCCTAGAATGCAATCTGTTTGATGATGAAGATAAGAATCAATACCACTGTTCTGGTTGCGGTATATGCCGAATTGGCGGTGCAGAGAAGTTCTTTCACTGTCAGAAATGTAATATGTGCCTACCGGTGCAACTGCAGGACGGGCACAAGTGTGTAGAGAATGTGTCGCGTGCGAACTGCCCCGTGTGTTTGGACGACATCCACACGTCGCGTATTCCGTGCCACATACCTATGTGCGGCCATCTTCTGCACCGCACGTGTTTCGAGCAGCTGCTGAAAGCCGGCCATTATGCGTGCCCCACTTGCCAAACTTCGCTGATGGACATGTCGCAATTGTGGAAGTACTTGGACAACGAGGTCGCCCACACCACCATGCCGACGGAGTACTCCAACTATATGGCTGATATTCTATGCAAGGATTGTCATAAAGTAAGCGCCGCTATTGTGAAACCATTCAATTACACTCCACTCTACCATGACCCAAATTTTTATTCTGAAAAATATGCATGTTTTGCGTGGTTTACTGTTTTTTACTACAAACTGACGATATTTTTAGGAAAGCACCGTGCAATTCCACGTAGTTGGCTTAAAATGCACACACTGTGGGTCGTACAACACGTGTAGGATCAAAGGAACGCCGTTCCAGGTGCAGCTACAGGAGCGTGGCAAGAACTGAGTTGGATATGTGGTGTGTTTTGGGGCAAAGAAAAAGACGTTCAGCTAGAAGATAATCACATTTTTATGATCTGATTGTGCTCTCGGATAATACTCACAATCACGTCCTTCTTTCTTCGTTATTTTTCTTTTTTTTTTCTTTTTCAATAACAACATAATATAATAGGTATGCATATATGAAATACACAACAACAGTATAATAGAAAGCCCACTAACAAATTATTCGATATTTTAAGTATTCTCGCTTTAAATATGCTCGGCAGCTTCGTGTTGCGTCTTTTTTCGTTTCACTAGAGACGTAATATGTAATAATTACATGCGAATGTAAACGAGTCGCATTTATATACCTGATGAACGCGCCCGCACTCTTGGTTGCTCTAAACGAGATGCGTTGTAATGAAAATTGTTGATTGAATATGTAATACTCGTGTTAGTATTCGTCTCAGGATAGTAATTATGTTATAATATGTACAATATACGGAATGTGTGTCGTCGCAAACCAAAAGAGAGGGGAAGTTTTGAATATTGAATAAACAAAATCACCCGAATCGATAACAATACTATATGCATATTTCTCTTTTTCTTTGTTTAGAATATCAACAGTAGTATGCCTTTATTTTTATACACATCCGATTCTCTCGCCCAGGCGGCCCGGGTTTGAATGTTTTTAATATATTATCTTGTAATGTCTTAGAATTTAACTCGCTAGGTGTAATTAATGTATTTCTTCTTTTTTAGATTGTAGTTTATCGTTTGCGAAATAGTTAAGATGTATTTTGTGTGTGTATTACCTAATTGTTAATCAACAGCCTTGGGAGGTGTCGCCGGTGTGGGACGCGACGGCGGCGCGCTCGCGCCCCCTCATCGTCTCGTCCATCCGCATCTGCTCGCGCTGCAGCTGCATCCGAATCGCTCCGAGCTGCGTGAGAACGCTCCTACAACTAGAACTAGCACGCCCGCCAACGCCAGCGCTCGGATTCTTTTGTACTGCCGGTATCTATAAGTAGTAAGTTTCGTTAATCGACGTCGGTCGACGCATGCGAACAAACGAGAGAGTGGCTAGAACGTTTTTGTTGTATTAAAGTTAATTGATTACGTAGGTAATGCGGAAGAAGAAAGCCGCTGCTCCTCTGTCGATGACACCGGGCGGCGGCGGTTGTTAGTAGGGAAGAGTGAAAGAGTTGTAGCCGTAGGAGTGCATGGACGCCGACCTTACCTGCCACCGGTCCTCCAGTTTGCGCAGTGCCTCCGAGCTGCTGTATCGACTCGTCGCTGAGGTGACCGCTTGCGAGTACTTGAGCTCGCGTGCAACCGGCGAGTGCGCCTTCAGCAACGGAATTGGCATCACAGTATCATCGAAGCGGCCACTGCTGCTACGCCGTTGTAACTTAGGACTACGGCGAGCCGAGCTTAGACTGAGGTCCTGTTGAGTAGCACTGTGACGTCGTTGCACGCGGCTGAGACTCTCATTAAGACTGAGCGATTCCAGTCTGCTGCTAAGGGCGTCCTGTTGCTTGAGTGCGTCTATCCGGCTCAAGGAGTCGTAGCGGCTAAACGAAGAAGGGTTGGAACGTGAGTGGCCGGCGTACGTCGACGGCGAGAGGCCGGCGTCGAGCGGGACGTAATGGTTGATCGAGTCCATGCGATTCAGCATGTTCTTGCGCACGTACGTATCGTAGCGCGACGGATTGTATCTGGCGGAGGAAGCGCCTGGAGACGCGCCACCATAAGAAGCGTATGGCAACGCCGAGGCAGACACGGACCCACCGCCTACGGCGAGCGTGCGTCGAGACACAGGCGGTGAATAGTGCGAGGACAGCTTGGTAGCGGTGCGCATGCCGCCTAGTCCACTTTCGGACTCGGCATGCTTCCGAAAACGACTCTGCATCTCTTGTTTGCGCGTAGCAAAGTCGTCGCTATTGCGTCGTATCTGCAACCGACCCACCACATATCAATAATAGGTGATACATCTCTCTGCATAATTTAAGCATACCAAATCGCGCCGATTGCGCCGTTGTTCATCCCTGAGTTGCTCTTCCTGCATACGCAACAGTTGCTGCTCCAATCGCTTATTTTCCAATTCCTGCTCTTTGCGTTCCTGTTCTTCGCGCATCGTGGCCAGCCGTCGCTTCTCTTCAATCTGAAGGCGTAGCTCGTTTTGATATATTTCTCGTTTGATGCGCTCCTGAAATACAATATCATAACCTATCAAAAAAATAAAATGGCGGCAATTGTATACATACTCGGTCCATTTGCTCGTTGCGCTCGCTATAACTATTCACACTGTAGCCGTTATACAGGTTTCCCGTTGAGGGCAGATAGCTGTGCTTCAAATCAGAGAGCAGTCTTTCTGAAATATTCAGCATCAAGTAAGTAAAAGTGCCGTGCGCCAATGTTCAGCTACATTGAAATGGCTGACATTTACGGTCACAGACATGAGATACATCGAGAACGTTAATAGAATTAATTAATAATCAAAGTCAGACAAAGGCAAAAAGGCGGTATAAGCCAAGAGTTTGAGGGGGCGGAAATGACAAACCAAAACACACACACACCTCTTGGTGTTTGATTGCGATTCGTTAGGATACCCCTCGGTTTGTCCATGTCGGATTTCAGCAGGTTACTGTGTGCGGCTGTAATACGTTGATCTAATCTATGCAGTACCGGGCTACGATTATTGTGCATCACACACGATTCGATTGTTGTAAGATTGGTAGACGGCAGACCAAAAAGGTCCCCTTCGGCAGTATTTGTTTCCAAGTTAGTTGCTCGTGAGTATTGTATCTGCAGAACGCAAAGAAAGCTTCAAATAACATTCGGCATGGACAAAGTAAATCCGTTACACATTCACTACTGACAAGCCCACCACTAACATTTTACACCTACTAGCAACACTCGAACAAAAGATACAACAATTATTATTAGCAGTAGCGGTGTGTTTTTCCGCATAAACAACTGTTTAATCGATGAGTGGATTAGAGAATTGATCATTTTCATTCAACGTCGCTCCAAACTAAGATATTTTATTCTAGAAGGTGTTAAAGGTTAGAAGGTAAAATCCTCGTCCACACTGTGATGTGTTAGTGTAACTTGCACCCCACGTGAAATACGATAAACTTACCAACTCGTAACGCACGTTTTGTATGTCTGTTTGAACAGCCTTATGATACGCGCGGTCACTTTTAAGTAATTCATTCGTCTGGAAAATTCGATTAAAGCAGATCGAGCGCGCATCAACGTCTCGACACACACTAATAAACCAACACTACAACTACACACAGCCTTGAGAAGGACACACGACTAATCAACACGTGCATGCAAAATTAAGTGATTAACTTGTTCATGAGCTACCTTATCAAGGTGTTGCTTATGATCGTTACGCAGTTGCTGCCTTAGGAATTGCCGCCTCTTTTGGTTGTCATACTCGCCAAAACCTAAATGCGGATGTGCGGGCACCCTCAAGTGCAGATTGCTCGGGCTGTAATCGCCATAACGCAACATTGCAGGCCTAGTACTAGCATCCTACAATCGGTGGATTTCACGTTTTAATTTCACCACTGCGGTTCAAAGACAATCATCAAGAAAACATTTTCAAATTCTGCCATTTTTAATAGTCAGCTTTAATATGGGAAAAATATTTTCTTGATAACGAAACAGTATGATCAAGCTTTAATGAACATGCTTACCGCTCTAAACAAATTATGTATAGCTGGCTCTTTACTAATATCTACATAACTCAAATGTTGTTTTGTCAATAAATGTACATTCTAAAAAAACGTAGCACCACAGCAGCAAAAATTAGAAAAAACAATAACAAATTAAATATATCCCTTCAGTTGGCCCCTCATGAAAGTGAATCTGTTACCTGTGACTGGTTTGAAGGACTTTGGTGGCTGGCGAGCGCTGCGGGCTTTTCGGCTGGTCCTAGTGCATTGGAGCAGGTCCGATCGGCCGGATGCTCAAGGTTTTCCTTTTCCTCAGACTGGCTGGCAGCAATCTGTGCATTGCTGGTGTGCTGGGCAGATACAGGCTTGTAATCATCCTGCTGCAATGAAAACGAGAAGACTCAACGCTAGTACACTAACTGATGGTTGGTTTAGTGGAGGTCGGCACCCGCGGTGACGGCGCGAACTGGATGAACCAGTGAGTTCACTCAGATGAAGAGAGCATGAAGAGCATTGCCACACACACTGGCTGATACTGCTGCTTCACACACATCCCACCACCAAAGGTCTCTATCTCTCCAATCCACCACTGTCCCTATCACTTTCAAGATAGTGCCCTACAAAAATAATCAATAAAAACAAGGTCAGCCGAATGTGGGACGTCACTGTAGGCATCTGCCGCGCTCGACGGGGGCGGCGGATGATGTTCCTTATCCGTGTCTTATCCGCACGCGAAATGCCAATTGTCGAGAGAAGGGTGGTTCGGGGAAAGTGGCTGATAGTTGGCGGCACTTGTATGTTTTCGCCAAAGTGGCGAGTAATATCATTCAAACATTTACGCGCATAATTCAGATTATTAACTACAATTTATTACTCACGATTGCTGGTGGTGCTGATTTAGTGTTGATACTATAAGTGGCAGAGTTGTTATTATTATTTAATCGCAAGTTTTCTAGGTCTAGGGCTTTTTTACGAGCGGTCAGGAATGCGTCAACGTCGATAGCATCTTGGGAACTCAACATTTTGTGTGAATAATCGTTGTTTTAGTAACGGAATAATTTAACAACTGTTGTTTATGTTCATGAGTACATTACACGAATATGAATAATTTATACTTTTACACATAACGTGACGGAACTGATCAACAAGTCTGATCGTAACGAACTTAAACAAAAATGTTGAGGTTAGAAAAGTAACAGTTGAATAGAAATGAAAATTTAATGGGTGTGTGAATATAATAAATGATAAATTTGGTGTATTTAATAAAGAAATAATAAATCTAATAAAATAAAACACGCATCTATTCTTCTGTGCATGTTGGTGCATAATTAGAACAATGTATTTTTTTATATAGAGATGGTGCTAGAATCAAATGCATAAAATTTTTAAATTTTTAAATACTTTTATTGCATCCAAAATTATACTTCCGTAATTTTTTTAATCCTAGCTTGCAATTTTGAAATACTAAGTATTTTATCGGAGAAATTTTACTTATATTGGAAGCAGTTATATGCATTTTATTATCATGTTGTATTCAAAAATCGGGCTAGGTACCAGAAAGGCTGGCAAATTCACAAGTTGCTGTTACATCGATGCTCAAAATATTGAAGTTTAGTACTTATTGATTACCTCGCGGGATAGTAATCTATCTAATACCTAATATGTGATAATATGTGATACTATGTACTTAAAGAAACAATGTATGATACATGCAAATATTCTTTTAATAATAATACGTTGTTTGTATGTTACTTCTTTTATTAAAAGTAGGTACCTTTTATCTCTTATCATATCCCAGCAGTGAAGCTTTCTAGAAGCTTCCTAAATTGAAAAATCTACCTCAAAATGACTGTCACAAATTTAAGTTTTGTGTTAAATGTTTATGCGTTCTTGAACTGGTTTGAAACGCTGATTGGTCCACGTTGCTTTTAAACACTTTGCAATGACTCTCATTTTCTAAAATAAATTTGTAATAAGCGTGGAACGCGCGTTGCTATTAAACAAATTTGAACAACTAAATTTATAAATTACAACCTGCTTAGTATTTGTCCATTATCAAAAATTATGTCTACTAAACTTTTAACATAGAAATAATGAATAAAGTACCATATCAGACGAATTGTGTTATTGTGTAAGTATCGTTAATCAAACAATTACTTAGTTAAGTCAATGGCAGCTTTCGTGTTCCACCAATGCGTCGCATTATTTCAATCGACTTAGCAATGCTGCTACTGTTGCTAATGCGCGAAAATTCAGCATTCACTAAATCGAGTTAATAAGCGCAAATTTATGATTTATTTAATCTAAAGGTGATGTAATCTTAGTATACACGTTTAAGCAAATTGTTTCGATACATAAATCCGAATACAAAAGACGTGGTACTACATATTACTTCAAACATCTAGTGCAGTGCGCCTAACAAAATGGACTCTCGCCTACAGAAAATTTTAAACGACATTGCAGAAAAGCATGCAATTAAAAATCCATCATTTGTGTGCACCTATGAAACCGGTAAAGGAGAAGGCTACATAGGAATTGTAAAAATGTTTGAAATCACCGAAAAAATGAAAAACATTCAAAAAGACTTAATTTAATCATCAAACAATCTCCACAAGCAGATGAAATTCGTACCAGATTGCCGGTGCGAAAACTCTTCCTCACTGAAATTCGATTCTACAGTAAGATTGCAAAGTATCTGAATGATTTTCAAGTGGAACATGGTACAGACTGCTTTCAATTCGCCAATTGTCATTATTCCGAAGAAACTCCACGCCAAGAAATATTAATTATTGAAAATTTACAGGCAACTGGTTATGATGTGATTGATCGAACCGTGCCGATGAAGTATGCTCATATGAAGTTGGCGTTTGAGGAGTTAGCGAAGTTACATGCTGTGTCATTCGCTCTAAAACACAAAAAACCTCTGGTATACGCAGAGTTAATTGGTACACTCTTCGATAACGTCATGTTGCAGTTGTATAATCAAATGGGTTTTGATAATTTTATTAATAAATTAGCTTCGAATTGTAAGAGGATCTTTGAAGGAACTAATATGTATGATAAATATTGTACATTTTTTGAGAGAGTTGTCGAAGAGTACCATCAAAGTAATATTCCAGATGAGTATTCAACTATTTCACATGGCGATTCATGGTGTAATAATATATTATATTCGCATGATGCTAGTGGTCTCCCAACGTCGGCTATATTAATTGATTATCAAATGTGTAGAGTCCACTCACCGGTTTTGGACCTTTCCTATCTGTTTTACGGATGTGCTGACGTCGAACTCTTACCGAGATTGAATGAGTTTCTTAATATATATTATCAAACTGTGAAGAAGTGCCTGGCAATGTTTGAATTGGATGTGGAAAATGTGTATCCACGGACAAAATTGTTGGAACATTGGAAGCGGTATAGTAAATATGGTTTTATTGTATCGTTTTTAATGCGTGTTCTTATGTTGAGTACTGCGGACGAGAGCCCTGATTTATCTCTAGCGGCTAAGAAAGATGGTGATGTTATGATGGCTTTTTTGTATAAAATGAAACGTGAACATGAATACAATGAAACAATGAAGGCAATTGTCAAGCATTATATCGACGAAAAGTTTTTATAATAGAAGCGAACAATATATTCAATAATTAATTATCTTTCAAATTGTACATTGATGGGTTAGCGCGTTTTTACTTTACTTTGAAAAATTTTCTATGTAGGCACTTAAAATTTTTATTAAATATTGTTTTTTTTTTAAATATTTTATATGTATTTACTTATTTACGTACATATTACAAAAACAAAAAACTGCATATAATTTAAATGTTTTTCAATCCGAACTGAAGAACTCGTAGTGTCAAGATCACACAAAAGCAGAACAGCTCCTGGCATAGCGTTGTTCAATTATCAATTCACGGTAAAATCGCGGTAACTCGACGATAACAGAACTAAGTTGTGATATGGTCACACTGTGTTCACCAGTACACATTAGCAACAAGGTCAATGTAAATGCGATCTCACTTGCAAAAGAAGGGTTTTCTGGGAAAGGCAACTTCGCAGAAGTGGCCTTCAAAGTGTCTACAGACAAAATCAAACAGTGGACCTAAAGGCAACAGATGAGACACTGAGAGGAATGTCTCAAAAGATGGTAGATGGGACATCATCTACACCTAAACAGGAACAAAATCCACATGACCTATGATGCGACATCCTTATGATCTGGACTTCGCAATCGACTCTGATCTTCGCAACTTGTTTGGCTCCACCCTGTTCCTGAGACTTTTCTGTTCGTCGACAATGGATCTCCGTCAGGTTTGGCCCGACCTGCCAGGTCTCTTGATCCGCGGACTCCATTCTAGTGCGGTTTTAGCTATGTCAGTTTCTTTCTCCGTAGCACTTTGCTTATCTATTCCTATTTTCTCTTTTTAATTGTTTGATCTATGATTACTGTGTCTCACTAGTTCTTTGTTTATAATTCTGTCTGATCAGAATATACGGAATATTCTTTGGAGAAACTTATTGTTAAACGTTTGAAATTTTTTTTGTGGGAACTTTTGTCACCTTCCAAGTTTCGCAGCCACAAGTATAGTTAATTTTACAAAAAAAGTTGTATAATAGTAGTTCGGTCAGAGTAGGTGTTTGAGATTCAGATATCGTTGAAGAGTCTGAAAGACTGGACCACTATCGACAATTGCAGTTAGGGTTGACCATGAGCAACTGAAGAATACCGGCATATATAACTTGTTTTATGCTTTCATCATAACTAAAAGGAAGTGCTTATCAGAAGCCAGAATTCGTGCTGTTGCACGAATTAAGTGAAAACGAATATTAGTTTTCTCTTTCGAAAATGGATGGGGTATACACGACTCAAAAATCACGCCACTGAATGATATCAAATTTATATGTACACCGTGTCCAGAGTTATGACGACTAGAGTTTTGACTATTTGTTTCTGTGTCAAAAAATAGAATAAGCAACAATTTTTTGTGGCTGAACATATGCCACATAAATCGAAGGCAATGACAAAATGCTTTACGTTTTAAGCCCCGTAACAAAAACTTCGGATATATTCGCATTTAATGTGCTGGGTATTCCCAATGCTATTCAAACATTTAGAAGATAAGGTGTCGCGCTGGTAATCGATTTAATATAACTCACGAGAAATTGACCTATCTACACTAAATACAAGACAAGACTTGTATCCACTGTCATTGAGGTTAATAGTTTGTTCAAATAATAATATCAAAATTATCCAAATTAGAATAAAAGTTTAAGGAAAAATGCGGAAACCGCTTTTTATTTCAAATTTGGCCGGGTGCAAGTTTACTTTTGACAGCTTTGCCAAACTGTTGAGCTCCTGCATCATTAATTTCCATGTAGCCTGGTATCTCTAAAGTACATTTTGCAAACCACTTAGCTACATTGGCATATGCTGTAACATCCCAACCAACAGCCTTAAAAAAATAAGGGAAGGATAAGTTCATAAGTTATTACAAAATATAAACCCAAACAAAAATTGAAACTTACAATAATACTTGATAAAGATGCAGCAATTGAAATGTCAGCAATAGTTAAAGTATTTCCAGTGACAAAGTCATTTTCATCCAAAAATATATCCAAGAAACCAATAGCCTCTTCTAGTGAAGATTTCTTTGACTCTTCAACTTCAATTTCCCCAAGGAATAATACTGGAAACTAAATATTATATTTAGTACATACTTTTAATATTTATGCTTAAATATCTTACACAAATTGCCCTTATTCTTGGATATAGTGTCCCTGCACAAAATTGCAGCCTTTGATCCACCAAAGCTCTGGCTTTGGGATCTTTTGGATACAATTTGTCACCTTTCTCATATAAGTTGGCCAGGTAGGTGGCAATTGCTCTGCTCTCCCAGATGGTGAAATCACCATCAGTTAAAGTTGGGACAACATGTTGGGGATTAATCTGAAGGTAGACGCATTATACATAATAATTCAATAACAAGATAAGGTAAATAAAAACATTGAGGTTACCTTTACAAAATCAGGCTTGAGTTGTTCTTTATCGAAAAGATTAACGACTTTTATGTCCACATCCAAGCCCAGCGCTTTTGCTACTAGCACTGCACACCTGGAGGGTGCACTAGGTGGAAAATGGTAGATAGTTATGGCCATTTTAAGGTGATTTCGAATGAGAATATACGAATAAAAACAACGCAGGAAACAAATAAGTAAGACTCAACAAGTGTTGAACTAGTGACTCGCGCTCAGCGCATTGACCTTCATTACCTAAAAAATGAAGTCCCCACTACAAAAACTCTATATTAAAAAATAATAGACAACCCGCTAATAATAATATTGTGAAGTTTTGATAGAAATTGCTTGTTACCTATATAATAATTTCAAATTTAATTGTGTTTCAAGAATAATGTTAAACATAAGGGCAGGGCAAATAACCACAAATGATTAAATACAATCGCAATGTTTGTTGAAGATATGAGATATCGTTTTCATGGGCGGTAAATCACACAAATTAAAAAATCACGCTCGTAAAACGTAATATATTCACAATTGAATTTGTTAATAAAGAATATATAATATTAATGTGAACAATATTGATAATGTATAATTTCTTTGATTAAATGATGACAGACGTAAAAATAAGTCGAATGTTTCGATAAATATGAGCGCAAAGAAATAAAATATCTATGTTATGCATTCATATCTGATTCAGCAGTGAATCACATATACTGTTTAATAGGTAAATATCGAAATGCTATCTGTTAAAACTCGCGGCGTTACATGTTCGCTGGCAAGGTCCTCACAAAATGTTCGTGTTGCACGTCTCGTTTAAAACTTCCCGCTGCTCGAACTCATAATATAATAAATCAAGTATTCTTTATGTACATAACTTTCCTAAGCAATTTAATAACAAGGAAGGCTGTCGCTTAAAATTACAATCATTGTGTTTTGAGTTCCTTGCCTATTTTATATGATACAATCTTGCCCCAGTCCATTTTGGTGCGCGTGACGGGCAGCAATCGCCGTAACGCCTTGAAAGTCGTATCGGACATGGTTTGATAGTTATCGGAAATAGCTTTCTGGTAGAAGTTTTCCGCCTCCTCAATCATTTGAACAATCTCCTTGGCGGTTTGCGACTCGCTAGTGACTGTCACAGCCTCTTTGATTTCCTTGGAGCTAACCAGCTGTACATTGCCATCCTCATAGTAGTGAACCTGCACCTTGAGTACTCCCTTTAGCTCCGCCAGCGAGTTGCCGTTGACAGTGATTGTCCAGTTAGAGCGCCACCTGCCATTCCAGTAGTTCTTTGGCTGGAACTGGTGATCCTCAATGCAGGCGGCAAGTTGAACAACGCCACCAGGTAGACTCTTACCCACCACACTGCACACGCCGTCTTTGTAATGGTTGCGTGTGTACAGTTGGAACTCGGCGTCGAGGGCTGCGCGCAGCGGCTCAGCGGCTGGATCGGGCGTGTGTGGCTGGTAGTCCGAAGCGTCCTTCCGTAAGTGGTCAAACTTAAAGGACTGCTTCGAGCGTGGATCGAAGAACCGGTTGCTACCTAAGTCGTTGTGCTCGGTTATTAGCACTGGTGTTTCGGCATTTTCGATTTTCACGGGTGTCAACTGGTCCTTGTTGTATTGGGCAAACGCGCTGCCGGCGCCCTCCTTTAGAAGGTCGTCGTTGTTGAGCAGTTTCCGCACGTCGTTGAACACTTCGTTGAATTCGCCAGGTGGTGAATGTAGGATAAAGTCGGACACGATTCGCACCTTCTCCTGATCGGAGATTTGATTCTCAGACGCCATGTTTTGATTACTATTTGGGTTGTGGCTGTGAGTGTGCACTGCCAATTCAGCAAACCCTGTGCACGCAGTGCATGGCTCTCTACGGTACTGGGTCGACTCACCTCGCTGCACTTCGGTGCTTTCCGTCTGTCAAACGTTCGGGCTTTATCGCGCTTTCATTACACCGCTATCATTTTATATACATGATTTAAATAAACGATAAACTTCTTGTAACTTACATTTCATTACATGAAACAAAATGTTTATTCGTTTAACTTGTTAAGCTGCCATATATTACAACCAATATCAAAATTGATCAAAATAATTGTTAAATTTATTGCAGTAATGACATCTGACGTTTAAAAGCATAAACAAAATTCAAGTTATCAAAGTTCTAGCAGAATTGCCGTGCAAAATACAAAATAATTTATTTGATCGCTCTTATTGCGTTATTGCATACATTTAAAATAAAAATTACAAGATATACAAAACTAAATAGTATAAATCACGATTAAAATTACATTTGACTTGCTTAGTTGTCTTCTGGTTCTCTTTGATCAGGAGTATCCTGCAACAAAAACAAACAACACTTAATTACTTTATGCCCGCAATGAGCTGCGATGTTATTGCCATTGCCAGTCCATTGACGCAAGAACGTACATCGAGGTCTATGAGTTAATCACCGCGATAACAAACGCAGCAAATTATTGGTATCAAACAAAGTAATGTTCAATCAATGAGTTGAAAACATTGTATACGACTTGACTTCGACATATTTAGCTATTTCAACGTACTTTGCCCCGTCGCTCGCCATACGTCGACCAGAAAGTGACTTTGCTGATGGTTTTCTGGCCGGTGTTCTGATTGAAAACCGCACACTTATTGTAAGGTGGACAGTAGAGGTGGAGACTCACAGCGGGCTCGACATTTGATGTATTTTCCACACGATGCAGTCCCAATGAATCTGTATGTGATAAACATATTAGTCAATCTGTGATAGCATTGATAGGAAGTGTGTGGTGCACGAGATTAAGGGTCAGCCAGAGTCATCTCGTGACACGCGTGCCGGTTTTCGTTTGTATATACAAATAATATAAACATCCACTTAGCAATTAGTGGAGTTTGATAACAATTTCGCATAATCTTGGATGCATAAATACCATTCATGTAACAGACGCCGTTGAGCGGCAGGACTTTTCGTCCAGTTTCCACAAGTTGCTCGTTTTCACTCTTTGGCCAGGCGAAACGGATTTCCTGCAGGGAGCCTTCAAGTATTTTCATAAAACAATGCGCGTCTGCGTGATCATGGATGCCGGAGCCGTGGCCTTCGCCCCAGCATAAAAGGATCAAATTGTATTTTCCGTTACCGGTGTCCACAAGGTTTCTTGTGTATCTTCAAAGACAAAATAAATTTTGTATAAATATTCAAAAAAACATTTGAATTCAAATGATATAAATTCAAAACTTTCAATTTTTTTCTAAAAATTATACTGTTTATCAATATGTATGAGTACTATCGTTGCCATGCTGGGACGTTTGTAGAAATCGCCTGATTACACGATTAATTAGCTTCAATTTAATGCCTGCGCGCAATCGTCGATTGTGATAAAGATTTGAAAAAATAATTGTTTTCATTGATAACAAATAATCAGTCATTACGTACTTCCTTCACTAATTAGCCAGTATAGTAAGAGGAAAATTTTAATTTTGGTTTTCTCTGGAAAACCATAACTTGTAAAATATATAATTAATTCGTACGAAAATAAGTTCTTAAAACACATAAATGTAAGATTCGAGAAAATGCAGCGAAAAGTTAAACATGTTGATAATTGTTTTTAAATCACATATAATCATATAGATTATACTCGCGTTGTTTGTGAAAATGACCTTATAAATCTTCCGTTTAGTTGCTAAGAGCATAAATAAGCAGGATAAGTTTAAGCGTTTAAAGGATTAAACTTACTTGTATCGGTCAAATTTAGCGTACTTCTTCCATTCTGCCGGATTAGATTTATACGACCTCATGAGGTAGTCAACATACTCAACGTTGACATCGTCACCATCGAAAACTTTCCTCAACTCTGCGACGAGATCGTCAAGCGTCTGCACCACAGGCAAACTACCTCCGTGACTCTTCAACAACTCAATGTTGTCCAACGCGGCGTGTGCGCGTACAGGTAATTGGCAATCCATTTTGCGGGTGAAATTAATCGAGCGTCTCTGTGTGTGCGCACAGATTGATTGATTAACGACGTGTGTGCCGTTCGCAATTGTCTCCGATGAAATATATACGAAAAGGCCGACCGACGCGCGGAGGCGCGCAGTTTCCAGTCGGAGATAAGGAAAAGGCGACGACGTTTACAATAAGGGTCAAAACCATACGTACTGCGAGGCCATCGTGCCGACGGTGATGATGCGCTTCGTCATTTCTGCAAGAATACCAAATGACGATTATTATTATGGAGCGCGAGTGAAATTTTCACTTTAAACATGCAGAGAAATTTGCTGGGTGGAATTTCTTATACTTGGAAACAAAAACCTACCGAAGCATTGTATAAAAACCATCTTAAAAATAATGACAATATAAATATTATGTTTCTGTTATACGACGAAGTACGTTAAACGGAATCTCTTATAATTAAGAAAACATTGTTGTTAAGTTAGTTTATCACAACAACACTAAAACATGTTTTAAAATCTCGTCTATCCAACCAAAGCCACAAGACAACAGGGTTGTTTTGCCCAAATCTCCTTTTCACCTGAAATAATTAACATTTGTTACAATTTACTGCATGCGTACGTAAGAAATACTGACAACAATTAAACTTTTAGGTTATATTAAATATAATACTTAACCTTGTTTGTGTTTCCCATAATACCTCTTCTTTAAAGCAACGTTAGAAACTTTGGTACCTGCTTTAACTAATGGTGTTGGTGACACTTCAAAATTCTTCACAATCCTCACTAATTAGAATATTAGATAAAACCAGAATATTGTCGTTTGTTGTCAAAACAATTCATACGATCGTGTTAAACAGTGTGTTAAATATTCACCAAAAATTCCTCTCTTTGATTTAATTACTCGCATACTACGCTCGCGTAAATAGTCACCGCTATGCAATTATAGCACGTGCATTAAATTCGTTAACTCAATGACCGGCAAATGTTATCCACACCGTAGTAGACCGTGTGTCGAAACACCCTATTTACTATTCGACCGGCGTTTAACTACTAATACTCGTATTGTTATCGTAATAACTGTAGATTATTTAATTTTCCAACTGCTAAATACACACGATGACTTTGTTTGGCTTGAGGTTGTCTCTGGCGAAGACGACATGCTTATGATGCATTGCGGACACGCAAAATATTGTGAACTTTTCGGTGCGTGCGCCAACTGACCCCGGACCGGAATGAAAAGAAATTTGGGCGTCTTCGCGTATTTGCACTTTTGGACGACGGCGATTAACCGCCCATTTTTATACCCGCTTTTCATGGCGTGTATGTGCGCGAAATTGTGAACTATCTAACTGTAAATGTAAAATTTGCCAACTGTAACATACTTGAATACGAATGTAGTAAATACACTAATATTTTTGGAAAATTAATGTAATTTAATTGCTAATACTTTCTTTTTTGTCTACTATAATTTTTGCAAAGTTAATTGTTAATTAATTTACTGATTAACATTATATGTCTAGAGAAAGCAACATTTTTATAATTAAAATTAGAAATAATATAAAATGTTTTAATAGTTCAAAGTATTTCGTCATAATGTGTGTATTATAAAATTATTTTGAAAATAATTTGTTATTAAGTCATCAGTGTCATAGGATTTTTTGAAGCCATTTAATGGCGCGTAAAGTACAAAGATTTGATTTTTTATTCTGTTTTGATATGCAATCACGTGTTTGTCAATTTATATCTAGGTACTTACTCACTTATACTTAGTACAATCAATAGCGGCATCTCAACAGGTTGTTATCTATTGTTGCAAATGTTAGCAATAAATAATACGCACATTTATATATTGTATTTTACACCCATCACATTCTTTATCTGTTATCATAAGTGTGTACAAATATTTTTATGATTAAGCGTTTATCAATCGATTTAAGTCTCGCCAAAATAGCAATCGTTTACAGGCTATTGCCAGGTAAATTTAACGTTTAAAAATACCACACACACAATAACAGTTCAATTTTTGTTATTTACTGAAACAAATAGTTACCTACACACAGGCAAGTTACCCGAACGGAAATAACGCGTTCATCATTTACTTTACAAAATGTTTGTCGATTTCATATGATGTGGTTATTATCTGGATCTAATTATGTTGACATATTTTTATTATACAGGAAATAAATCACACGTAATCCAGTAGTTTGAACTTTTGGAATTTCAAGTGTTTGTTTTCATAATTTGATCAAAATATTATAAGTATAGAAATGAATTCGTGGAAATCTCAGCTAATACGCCCCCAATTTATTTTTATTGAATTAATTTACTTTGATTTGGGTTTTATTTTACCAACCGAACTGTTAGAGCGCGTTTCGAAGCAACATCAGCGATAACGTTTACGGCTTTGGTAGGCAAATTACTGGAATTATTTTAATGCTCACATGATAGAGAATTAAATTCAGAAGAATATAGGATATTCAAAATTCCAGTTTAATTTGAGACGTTTTGCATTTATCAAAATCCCACAAATTTTACGATAAAAGATAAAACGTATTGTTAGATTGCTGCTGCAAATTTAAATATTTCGTCTTACTCTACCTTTAAACTGCGTCAACCGTTTCTGCTGACGTTAACTAAACTTAGCATTTATTCACAAACGAACGAAACATCAACCTTATTCCAGAGGAATATATGTGCAGTTTTGTAGTAAACAACGTTTGACTATTTTATTAAAGGTACTTTTATCTCATAAAAGAACACACCGATGACGATTTAAAACATTATAATATGTTTACAAATATGTTTAAACCAATTTGAAAAGTCTCGCAGAAAGAACTTCAAAAATATTTTGGTTTTTCAATGCTGGTGTGAGTCTGACGGCACTGCAATACGTCGTTTCGCTGAGACCAGTACGTAACTGATGTTGAACATATGCAAACTCAATAATATGGTGACTAATAGGTTGCCTATTTCAATCTGTAACTTGTGTAAATCTAGTTTATAAGTGGGGAATTCACAGCTTGCAGCTTTTTCTCACTGACGTGTTTATTGTTGTACAAACTGGGCTTTACAAAGTACCAGGGATCTAACCGTAATTTTATCTTGTGTGTCGTAGCGTACATAGGTGTAGTGTATTCGGTTTGTTATTAACATTCGCAGTTGTGAATTTGACTAGTACGGTTACGTTGGGCCCTAAAGTAACAAGAAACAGAAATCAAGCATGGCAAACTCAAACGAATTCCCATATCGCGAGCTTCGCCCTCATTTGCCCCCGACTTGGTCGAATCTCAACCTTAATGTCAACTTAAACACTGTACCACTAAATAGTGTTGAATATAACGAGGTAATGAAAAACTTTAGTGCGGACGAAACTAAATTGCTTCGACATCAAAATGTAAATCAGTACGGAATGTTTTTGATCCGTCAACAACATTTGCAAGTTCTTCATCCTAATGTTAATTTTGTAAAGGTAAGTACATTTAATACTAACATGCATCATCTAATAATTTCAAATATTTCAATATCTTATTTGTTCCAGGTGACAAGATATTGCAGACTTCAAAGATCAACAATTGAAGAAGCAATTGAATTCAATCTTGATGAGAGAAGACTTGAAGAACGTGTTACATTTACTATATCACCCCCAAATGTATTATATAATGGTGATATTGTGTTGGTTGTGAGCTTCATAACAGAAGAGAGTAACTTTGGTACATCCAATTTGCAACCAAAACGAGATTGTGATTTTTACATTGAGTATTGTCTATCTTTTTAATTTACGTTTTTATTATAATGACTTATCTTGTATAAGAGTTTATGAATTTTATTCTAAATTGACTTAGTAACTAGTGGAAACAAATTTGTCTAAGTAAATTTGCTGAAAATTTTAATATACATACATTTAGTTTATAATCTATGTTAATATAACTTTATTTGAGACATGAACATCTCACAATAAAATCAACTTTAGACAATAAAATAACAAAGCTGATTGCATCATGTACATTGCAGACTGTTACACCTAACTATTGTGTTTGTTTGTATTGTATTGAGTTTACACTCACATCACCCTTGTTACATCAATAAATTTGACATTTATAATTTCAAAAGTACACATTTCCCTCATATTATCAAAAATATTTTAATTCCTTCCAAAATGGACGAGACACAACTTTTACTAAAAGAACGAGAATATGAAGAAATTAATAAAAAGTTAAACATGCGCACTCGTGAATTAATGGAGCGAATTGAGGATTTCAAAGTAAATATTTCATTTTATTTTCATCATGATGGCAATATCATTTTGTACTTTGCAGAAAACCGACATCGATGATTTGTTTAAACAAGGCAGTTCATCCGATTCTCGGGTGAATCGAGTGAAAGCATTAGATTCCAAATTGATTGCAGATTTACCACGCTCGAAGTCTGCATGCAATCCAACAGTAGCCAAATTTACCACCGAAGAACTAAAAATCTTAAACGTACCTGAGGATATTAATAATGTAGGTACCAAAGGCTTCATTCATTTTCTTAAATCAAAAGTAAAACAATTACAGTTCGAACTGGATAAACTGAATAAAGACCACCGAGAGAAAGTATGTTACTAAACTACAAATGAAACTTAATTTTGTTGATTTGTTTAATATTGCAGTGCGAGGAGGTGCAAAAATTGCACAAAGACAAAGTTAAATTGCAGGAAGACAAGGAGAAGTATCTGCAACAAGGTAATATTGCAAGATGTCAGATCTTAAAGATGGAGACGCAATTATCGCTCTCCCAGTCGAAGTTACAAACCAAAGAGAGTGAAAATTTAGTATTGTCCAAGGAAGTTGAAGGATTAAACCGAGAATTAAAGAATACGAAAACTAACGCCCAAAATGGCGAAGTGCGATGTCAACGTGCTTTAGAGGAATTGTCAAAAGTGAAATTATCGTTACGAAACATGCAACAGAACGAAAAAGATTTTAAGGCTGCACACAAAAAGAATTCGAACGCACTTAATGACAGTATCAAACGATTAGAAAAGCAAAAGTTCGAGTTACTTGCTGGTTTTAAGAAGCAACAAGCCCTCATAGGCAACTTAAAACAACAGAAGGTAATAAAGAATAAACGTAATTTGTTTTTGGTATAAAACATGACGCCCGTTTTAGATAAACATCCAAGCAATGAAATTCAATGAAAAGGCTGAAGGAGATTTCATTAAAATGATGACTGACGAAGATACATGTGTGTAAACGGTAAAATGTAATAATTACCCTCACTTTTACTATACATTAAACATGTTTAATGATACCTAAACGTATACATAGAAGACAGACAACCGAATTACAATTTTCTATGAGTTGATGATTTTTATTTCACGTGTAAAATCGAAATAGTTGGACAATAGTTGGAAATCAAAAAGAACGGAATGTCGCATGAATGACAATTACAATTATCGAATATCACATTACGTGTTAGAAAACAACAAAATAAATAATTAATTAAAACTACCAACACAGAGACGGCGCGGACCTTCCCGAGTGTGTTTCGAACGTTAAAATTAAGTTGAAAACGGAGTAGTTATCATTATGTTTCGCACTGGTTGCATCTTTTTGAGTAAATGCGCCGACGAGACTTCTGCTGCGTCCACGAAAATCATAACAAGGAATATTTCAACATATTCAATGGCTCACTTATCGTGAGTGATGCTTTGCGCAGAAAAGCGTTCTTACAATCTAAATACATAGTTTTACATCTAAGTTACAAAAAGACGTGTATAAAAATGTGACGTTTTAAAAAACTAGTATCAAAATTTACTCACCGCTAGCGTTTAATACTGATTTGGAGAAGTTTGCGTGGTGGTGATTGTTTGAATTTAAAAAAAAACTTAAATAATGAGTCCCGATTCGAAATAAGTCTCTTGCGTTGCGTATTTTGCAGTCTTATCATTTAGAGAAAATAATGAAATAATCGTCGTAGGTTTTTGATTATACCATTAGAAAAGAACGCCCTAAATAAAAAAAAAGTTAGTTTCAGAGGTGCAACCATTGAAGTTTTTTTAAGCTTCGACGGTAAGCGGCGTACTTTCAGTCGCTTCCTCAATCTTCTTCGCTTTGACCTCTTCGGTGGGCATTTTGACCTCCTCCTCAACTTTGTTTTCCTTTTCGACGTCAGAAACCTCTGCAGTGCCGTTGGCAATATCTCGCTTATTTTCTTTCTCCTCTGTGGCAGCGTCGCCGTTAGCCTTGCCGTTTTCTTCTACTTTGTCTACTTTCGGTGCCTCTTCGGCTTTTTCTTTGCCGTTTTCCTTACCATTTTGCTTTACCTCGGGCGTCTCCTCCAATGTCTTTGTTTCTGGAGTGCTTTCAGGTTCGGCAGGCTTTTCCTCAGTAGGTTTGGCCTCTGATGCAACCGTCACATCCGCTACTTTATCAGGAACTGTTTCTGTTTCAGTCTTTACTGCATCTACTTCTTCAGTCTTTTGTTCAGTTACTTCGGTTGTGGTCGACGCTGGTGTAGGTGTGTCGTCCATTTTTTCAACCGGAGCATCGGCAGTTGTAGCTGCTTCTTCTGCCTTTTCTGGGGGAATAGTTTTGTCAGTAGTATCAGCGGCGGTGGCTTCCGTCGATTCAACTTTAGTGGAATCTGTACAGTCAGTTTTGACTACGCTGTCGCTACTTTCTTTAGGGGTTTCAATCTCAGCGGTTTCAACCGCAAGTTCTGTTTTCGCTGCAGATTCATTCGTATCAATGGCTGCTGCTGCTTCGGAAGAGTCCACCTCCATGGTTTCAGTTGCTTCTTTTGCTTCTTCAATTTTAGTTTCCTCTTCGAGCTTGGCTACCTTTTTTGGAGGTTCCTAAACATGCACAAATTAATAAAAAAAACAGAAAACCCACAAGAAAAAACAAAAATTGTATATTTTATCTAAACATTCTACAAAAACTAAAATTGCTAACAAACCTCAGTAGAAACATCTTCTTCACTCTTGCGCTTTCCGCTCAATGGCAAATCAGCAAAACTAGAGACAACCAAACGGTCTTTTTTGTCATCTTCAGATATTTCAGCGTTGCCTTCACGTGTAACTAACACTGAAGCGCATCCTGCTTTTGTTGCCGCTTTAATCTCATCAATATCATCGCTTAGGTAAAGAATCTCAGCTGGTTTAACTTCCAAAGTTTTTGCAATGCCCTCGTAACTCTCTGAAGCAGTTTTCTTGCCAACGGTTTGGTCAAAGTAGTTGGCGATAAATGCGCTCAAATCGCCTGCAGTGGAATGTGAAAAATACTGTTTCTGTGCCTCTTCGGCACCTGTACTATAGATGCAGATTTTGCGATGTTTCGACCACTCCTCCAAAGCACTCTTAATATCATCAAAAACACTAAAAACGAATGAATTAATTTACATTGCACTTCCTTTTTTGCCAATGGTAATCTACGGAACTTACTGAGCTTTGAGTTCACCCTTTTCATAACCCTGCTTATAGAGAAGTCCCTGCATCGTCTTCAAGCCCACATTAACGGAGTTTTCATCGGTGAGCGTGTTGAAGCGCTCGACAGCCTTGGTAACATCTGCCAGTTCCTCGCCGTCACCTTTCAATTCTGCAACCAGTTTCTTGACTTCTTCATCATCCCATTTTGAGGTCAAATACTCCTCGATGTTTTTCTTAGCAAATGCATAGAGAGTATCCTGAAAGCACATAAATTCTAGGAAAAATCGGCAACAATATGCAAATCAAAAGATTGATATTTTTAAAGAAGACATATAAATCTATTTCAAGGTATATAGGTCTATTGTGTAGTTTTGCTCCGCTTAGAACTTAGTTTTTCAGGTACTAAATACCTGAATGAATGGAGACGCGGCATTGGTAAGGTCAATGATTGTTTGCATACACGAGGGCATGTACAGATGTGTGAGTGATAATGCGCGCAAGTGTGCGAAGTGTCGGAGAGCCGGCTAGACAAGGTTAGCGAGCGCACAGCACAAAGTCGGCTCATGGACGAGAGGAAGAAGAAAAGACAAATGCACCGCGCGGCGCTGAGAGAATTCTCGCACCGGTTCGTACGGGCAAGAGCTAGAGCATTGTGTCGACAACTCGGCGCTCGGGTTCGCATACTGCTTCGAGGGTCGATTTTTTCGTATACCTGTCCAAGGACAGCAGCCGTTTAACATGGATGCGCTCGGGTTTGAGCATACACGCTCCAGAGCAACGACTGATTAAATCAGAATCAGATTCGTCGCGCAAAACAATGTACATGTCTCAATTGCGTTCAACTACCTACCACAAACAAGCGAATGCGTCGTTATTGGGCGACTCTAAACCAATCGAAGACGCAAACGCCGCGCAGATCAATTAAAGTACATCGCGGAAAAACACCCCATGTGCTTTCGGGAAAAAAAGAGCAGTGAAATAAGAGCGTAAGCATTACCTTGGTGAAATTGATTGAGCCCACCGTGCCGGCGATGTCGATCAAAATAGCGGAGCAGTTTTCGAAGACTTCCGGATTCATTTTCGCGCCTGGTTGTAGTTCCTGTGGCAACGGGGTGCAGTAAGCTTGACTAGAACGTGGGGTTGGCACCGTGAAGACGAGTTGGTTGCGTTGGGTTGTTTGACGACGGGAGACCAAGTTTCCTGCGTAGTCAGCGTGGTGTAGGTCGGCGCTTCTGGCAAGTTGTGGCTTGTCGGCGTAACGTCGTGCGCGTTGAGGCCGTCGAGCGCAGTATGGTGGTCGCTTTGCGCTGCACTGGGCATGCGCTCGCCAAGAAAACGCGCGACTGCGAAAAACCAGCATTGTTGCAATTCGCATGGAAACGCAATGTTGCCGACCCAAGAAAATTTGATTTCAATCTTATTCTTAGTCCAAAACTAAGCATTAATTATTTCTATTTAATCATGATAAAAAACAGGACTATCTCATTTAAAGTGTTTTATAGCGTAACCAATTCTAAAAGCTAATGTTCTTTTAATAACTCAAGACAATCGTTTGGAGACAATGTTAAAAGAATACTTGCTTTTATTTATCACATAGCAATAGTTTGTCGAAGGCAATTAAAAGAAAACCAAAGTTCATTGCAATACAACTAACAAGTTAATCAAGTTATATTTATCCAATATTGATTACATATAATTCATTTTGTATTCTTCCATAGTTATTAAGTACTTCTGGATGCTTAATAATTTAGTCAGTTTATAGTTTCTAAAATGGACGTTCTACTAGAACTAACACAAGGCGATATTCTACAACTTCATAATTTTTATGCAAAATTCCAAGACAGTGCACCGCAAATTTGGAATTTTCTGCATTCGGTGCTAAAATGGGTTGAAACAAATTCAAATTTGATTAAAATTTACGCCTTAAATGGACAATGGTTTCCTGATGGAACATTTATTGCAATTCTAAAGGTAAAGTAAACTATTTTTAATATCAAATAAATAATATTTTAGCTTTTAGTTTAATTGCTATGAAATATATATGCACACTATGGAAAAATCCTGCAAACGTCTTGTATTTGCTCTAAAACATACTAAAGTAATCAAATGGGACATTGATACTGTAATTTACGCTCTTCATAGTGATTTACAGCCACACGTTATTAAAACGTTAAGAGAATTAGAAATTCCTATTTGTTTCGTACAAGATAACTCATTATGGTTGAACTCTGCAGATGATGGTGTGCTAAATATTAAATCAGAGTCTCTACGGCTAGGAGCTGATTTTTATCTTGGGCCTTTAAATGAAAGTCATGCGAATGTTATCAACGAAATATGGCCGTATAGATATGAAGGATCTGAGGAATATGTTCGCACAATAATCGAACAAAATGGAGGTATTGGCATTTTCCGATCAAATACAGCAAAACAAGATGAATTAGTCGCATGGGTATTGAAAAATGGCGTCGGAATGCTTGGATTATTACAAACAAAAAATGAATACAAAAAAATGGGTTTAGCTTCCTGGGCTGTGAAGGCAATGTGTAAAAAAATGTTAAGTGAAAATTACATACCAATGTGCACTATTGCTCTCAGTAATGAAGCATCACAAAAAACTTTCATCAAGTCTGGATTTAAATTATTTGCTAAATGCTGTTATATCGGTATTGGTACAGAAAGTAGTATCGCTTTTGATAGCGAATATGATTGTGGTTTGACTCAACTAAATTGTTAATGTAATTTTATTTGTGAATATTAAATTAATATCTTGTCTTACAAACAATACCCAGGTCCGTTTGGTGGTTGTGCTTCAATTCCACGTGCATTCATCCTGCATGTGTGCTCCTCTAACCTTTGCGCTGCTTCTGAATAAGTGGCAGCATCCTTACGACTCCAAAGTTTTTCAGCCGCGGCTGAAGCCCTTGGCCATACTCTCGACATAAAGTTGTACTTGTTTACACTCTCGGACCACATGCATGCCTCCCCGCCCAGAATTAATTCTAATTCTTCTTCGGTGGCATTTACGTTGTGTGGATCGCATTCGTAGAACTTGTCCCAATCGCCACCAGTTTTAAGATAGTCCAAGTACCAACAAGATGATAACAGTGCAGGTTTGCCAGCAGCTATAGCTTTTTTAAGAACAGTGTATCCGTCACCTTTCCATACGTGTACAATGGTTTTATTGGGCAATTCAACTCCATTGACGAATACTTCCTCCCAGACCAAAGACTTGCCCCCCAAATCATGAACAATATCCAATAACTTCTGAATGTAATAACTTTCCAACGCAACATAGGATACCATGTTGTTATCTTTCATAAACTGTGTAATTTTCGGGTTACTCTCCCAACATTCAAAACCCACTTCATCCCCACCTAAATGAACATAGTTCTCTGGGAATACTGAGATAATTTCTTCAAAAAATTCCTTGATAAATGTATAAACATTGTCGGCGGACGGATCTAGCGGGCCATACATTCCAGTTGGTGCATTATTTTCATAACAAGGTGTTAAAATATCCGATACACCTTCACCCCAGGACCGTGTATGTCCCGGAGTATCAAATTCCGTCATTACACGAATGCCACGTTGCCGAGCATACTCAATAATATCCTTGACGTCTTGTTGGGTGTAAATCAATGCTGATGGATGATATGCACCATATTGACTATGCAACAAAATAAGGTTACGTATTGGTCGCTATTCTAATAGATACATTATTTACCTCAATTCCGGAAATTTAATACTTTGATATGGGAAACTATGATCATCAGTTAAATGCCAGTGGAATACATTTAATTTATTGTAAGCCATCGCATCCAAGTTCTTAAGAAGAATATCCTTTGGAATGAAGTGTCTGGAAGTGTCGACCAGTAATCCACGGAATGGAAAACGAGGTTTATCAGAGATTTTAGTGGTATTAAGAATTAACTAGAAAAAAAAACTAGTTTCATTGATGAAACAAAATATACTAAAAAAATTACCGTACTACCATCCTCGGCATAATAAATTAATTGTGAAATAGTTTCTAACCCACGAATTGCACCCCAAATAGTCGGAGCTATTAGAGTGGATGGTACGCCCATTAGATCAATTTCATCTATAAAGAGATAATTCATTATTATTTATTATATTACAATTATAGGGACAAATTTTACAAGATTCATCCATAGTATCTGAAGGTACTTCATCTCCAGTGCAGTTTGTCTTGAGATACACTTTGATACTGCTGAGTTTTCCAGAATAGCCGTCAATCTCCGTAATTTCGCGTTCATTATATTGAGATTGTCGCACATTACCCACGCCGTGGTTATTAATAATGTTCCAATACCGATTCAAAGCATTGGTCAACAGTGAACATTGAGGAACATTCGTCTAAAAGTCAGTTAATATAGGTACCAATTTATCTGTTAATATTATAATTATTATTTACCTGAAATTCGAAGTGTGTTGGATTGATGATCAAAAAATTTGTGGTTGTGTCTTGTTTTTCCGGTATAGGCCATACCTGACCCTTTGTGGCTTTCACTACCGGCCCCGGATTTACGATGTACGCTGTTATGCACAATGGCATCACAAACGCGATACAAAAATCTCTCCAACCAATCATCTCGGATGTCAGCGAGTGTCTGATGTGATCAAGTCGTTCTGTTTACGCTCAACAACTAACCACGCCTGACTGTAAGCGCGTTTTATCGATCGATGACACTTATACTCTTTTTAAGCGGGTAAAGTTCAACATCTAGATCTAGAAGCATAGAAACAAGCCTTTTAAAAGCCCTCCTCAAGGAACACTTATACACATATACCTGTTTTAAAAACGGAATGTAATGCAGACGCGAGTGTCCTCTTTAGAAAAACAAATCCGATCAGTGTGATAATTGTGAAGTGTTTACAAAACCGAGATGAGGGTATCAAATGTTGCGGAATTAATTCACCGATGTGTAAAAATAACTCAAGCGATTCGCACGTCATCACGGTTGATACTGATCGATAAGTAAAACGCAAATGGTGCGCAGAATATGTTAAACGCACATGAAACATTACATCTTGGCACTTGATGCGGCAAATATATAAATATTCAGTCAATTAATCCATTTATTTGGATGTTGAAGTACACGCTAATACGAGATACATAACAAGTTTTTTTTTAAGAACGGATATTCTAAATGTTCACAGCATGTGTATTGTATTATATGTAATAGAATAAATCAATCAAACTCATCTTCAGTTAAATCTAATAAGTGTAAAATATTAAGTCCACCAATCTTATAACCAAACACACACCCATAGTAATTTTATTTTCGTACGTACTAAAATGTAAAAATCAAAAAAATTGCACTAATATTGCAATAAAATGCACAAAAATCAAAGTTGAACAAGAAAAAATAAACACCATTCAGAGTAAACCAAGAGTGCAAAGAAATTACAACTCTTGCAAACTCGTTTTAGCCTAGTAATCAATGTTTGTACTTTTTAGAGCAAACCCGCTACTAATTAATAATTTATATAATTCGTAATGAATACTCATCTGTACGTTCTATATAATCGACACACAAGTACTCCTAGTTGTATTCACTGCGGTTACGTAACTATCTTAACTCGAGTGAACCCACACTGGTATTAATTAGGTTTGTGTTGCCACCCTATGCGGCAAAAACGCCATATTTAAGACAATAGGGTGCGACTACACTTAGGGAACGCTAATGCATCTCGGGTTATAAATCGTAAGTATCACTTCTAAATATTGTAAGATGAAATCGTGCAGATTACATTAACGCGAACTAAACTTACGGTTTTATATACCCAATTGATTTTAAATACTTGTTAATTCAGAAAAATACTGCAAACGGTTGCGGCTGCTACACAAAAGTGACACTGCTGCTACAGCCGGCAAGTATTTCTTCGAACAATAAGTACACTAAAATACAGCCGGCCGACCATCGCATAACATCTATGTTTATGTCTAAAAGTGACTCCCGCTTCGAGTTCGGAAAAACACTGCCAAAAATATATCCTAATCGCGATGGCCGTCGAGCGCTCTCGTTAATTCGTTCCATATAGACGAACAAATCTAAATGCTTCAATTACTGCCTTTTAATACAAGATCGGACAGCGTAGATGTACGCCATTGCTCTGGTTCTGGTGCTGGTTGAATTTGCTACGGCCGTCGACACCAATGAAGCGACTGTAGTCGAGCACCTCAAAGCCTAGCTTCTTGAACATGCCTTGTGAAGCGTAGTTGTTTAGCAATACGGTACCGATGGGGTTGTGGCCTTCTTCTGCGATCTCCTTGCTCAACGCGAGCACCACGAGACTACCATAGCCTTTACGTTTGTATTCGTCCAATGTTTGCAGAACTACCAAAGTACCCAACTGATTTTTTAAAACCCAAGCAACCAATTTGTCGTTTGACTTAAGGAATAACCCACGCCCACCATTCATTTTGATGAAATGCCCGATATAACCTTCGGAGCCGGGGAAACGGTGTGGCCAGATTGAGTTGATGATCGAAGCGTGGTGTGGTTTCAATGGGCCCAAGTATACATCCGGGGGGCAACTGAAGTATTAATCAAATATAAATACATATAACTATTATTGTAATTGTAGATGGGCAATGAAACTTACTCGACGTTAAATTGCAGAGCCCGCTCTCGTGGTATGTACCACAAATCAGTTTTGGTGTCGTACTTGATCGGTAACTCTTTCTCCCTAATAACGCGATAAATTATATCACAGTGTTCCCTGTGTACGGCGTAGAATTGCACCATGTTGTTCCAGTCGATGCGCTTTGATTCCATTAACGCCTTATACAAACGCTCGCATTTGCTGTCCAACGTAAACATAAACAAATCGTAGCAGTTCCACTGAAAACAGAAACAGACTGCTGAGTATGAGTGTTTGCAGACGCTTGAAATACCAAGCGGTGAAATTAGAGCCACGATTATCGTTCATGAACGTGAATTCACGGTGTACTCAAGATTCGTGCGGCTATCGCTTACACTGCTTACAGCAATCTCAATTAACATGTCTAGGCGATCAGTCTCACGAACTATGATTGCTTTTACCAATTTCTAATACATTCAGCCTAGGGTAATAACCTATTTGCATTTATATACAATTAAACATGTTTATATTATTTATTCCGCAAACATTAATTCGGCTATAAAGAGAGACCGGACAAAATTAATGGTGGCCCATCACAACCAAGCTATGATTATATAAATCCTTTGCCGGTGGCGGATCTTGCGTGCGCGAAGAAGGTTCCAATTCCGGCACACACGCAAACTAATTTATTTCTTCACTTAATTTGATGATTGTCCACACGTGACGGATAGAGCATGAAAAGCTCAAATATTCATGTTCTGCCATTTGTAAAAAAAAACACAATTTTAAAAAACCGTTAGGAATCGCGTGACTGTTACTATACTTTAGGTCCGATTGTTTGAGCTGGTTATTTTCACATCAATTGATTTTTCAAATAATTTAATCCATACACGTGACAGTTTAAGCTCACGCCAGTAAAAACAGTAGTGAAATGTTGCCACCCTTAGCATTCCATAACGCATTAATAATGGAATCCAATCATACTAACGAGACGCGCAACCCGAACGTTGAAAGTTGTGAGGTTTCATTGTATTTTCTGTATCGATATATACGTACAGACTCGGCGTGAACGTGATGCACATTGATGGATAAGGGCAAGTTCACGGACACTGCTGTTCCCACCCGGCACGCAGTACAAGCGCACGATGTGGAGATAACGCCCACGCAAACAATCATCAATTTGTATTTTGCCTATTATTAATCCATCCAGTTATTGTAATCTCTTCCAACCTTGACCAAGGTGTTAATAATACCGATAATAGAAGTGTATGTGTAGAAAACTAATTTCATTATAATTACGATACCAAACCCTTTCTGCCCTCGTTCTCTAAAAATACTTTCACGACTTCATGTCAATAATGTAATCAAAGTGCCAATAGATCGTTTGTGTTTGGTATGAAATAAGATGAACATTATAAAAATTGTACGAGTTTACACCATTTGTTCACCTGCCGAATGTGGGAAATTTCCGCGCTTACACGCATGCTGTACTTATTGGTCTTATTGTAGTTTTTAGTTCATATTGTTTGTTTTGTGATCGTTTTGTTTGACTTTTGACTAAGTCGCTTCCTTCTCACCTGGTTGATAACAATGAATGTCCCGTCGGTTTTCCAATCGCCATAAGGCGCGAGGAAAGTCATATAATGCTCTTCCGGTTTGGAGCGCAACCATTTCAGCGCAATATTGAAGAAGCTGAAGACGTAGGTCGCAAACGGCATGTGGTCTTTGTACATATCTCTTAATTCTGGCAGCTCCTCGTGCGGAATGAGCTGGAGAATGTCGTCTTCGTACGCCATTATTTTCATTTGTGAACTTTATAGGTAGAAGTTTATCAACGAACCGAACGCGGCGCTTACTTAAGTAGCACTGATCGTGGAAAGTTTCCGTAAGTTTTCTTCACGTTTTGGCAATCAATGTCCGATGGGGTTAAACGTGCGCAAGAACTTTGTCAAATTTTAATTCGAAACGAATCACCACTCGAGTTATCGCCGGGCGTTTTTTAGCAAGCGAATGCAAGCGCCTTTTTCTTGAAGCCGTATCGCCAGCAATCGTCGGCTTTTAGGGACTTGATGATAAACGAGTTGGCCGTATTATTTTGGCAGCCGGTCGGAAAATCCATTCGGTGGACGCTCGGTGTGAGTGCACGCAGAAAGCAGCTAGCGGGTGCGAAAAGATGTCAGCGACTGTGCCGCGGACTACGCGAGTGCGGCGCGGTGTAGGCAGCAGGAGAGAGGCGGCGGCGGCGACTGACGACCGGCGTCCGGCGGCACGGCGTTTGTTATCAACTTCTTTGTGGAGGTGTAGGGATGCCGGCCGGGAGGAGCGCACTTTCGACTGCACGCGCGTGACTAACCGCTTCGCTCGTCTAGGCGCTTACGAATTACACGCCTGCTCTTTTATACGTGCACACCGCACGTTCGGGGAAAGAATTCTTCGCTCGCTCTTCACACGCCAGCCGACCAGCATCCTCGGCGCAAATCCATACAATGCAATGCGCCGATCGGTATGCGCGCCCGGCGCGCGGGCTCTCCCCAGGCGCTCTTTCAAATTTGCGCACGCTCCGTGCCTTCCGCGCGCACTTTGCCGCCTGCCACCCGCCGCCTACCACACTCAAAATGCCGTTTCTACCGACAAGCGCACTGTCGATTCTATTCACATGCGCCTGCACGTCTTCTGCACCTTCTCATCTTCGCTCCATCCCTTTCAAACCTCTTAGAAATCGCACAACTAAAGATTGAAACGTTCGCGAAATCGATTTGTGGCGAAATTCCGCTTCTAGAGATTCGTCATTCCATTTTTATAACGCTAGATTAATCAAATGTCCCTTCAGTCCGGTACTATAAGTAAATCAATACCCTATAGTTCTTGTTGCGTGACACTTTTCTGAAACATACATTTCGGATTTATCGGTTGTCACACTTCGACACCCGGATTGACTGAAAATGTTTACGTCTGCGGTAGAATATCGAATATGATAACGCACTGGAAAAACCGACTAACTGTATAGGACTAGGGAGCAGATGTCCCTATCCCAACGATATTAATAAATATATTCATATACCGTTGCTATCTCTATCTTTAATCTGGAAATTCGAACAGTACACTTATAAATTCTAACGAGTGTTCAAGTCCAACGTGGTTCATTACGGTAGCCGCAGACAGTTGCAGCAACACACAGCAGGAGGCATTTTTAGGTAGTCGAAGTTGAAGAAATCATGGAACCTTTTTTTTTTTTTCACTTTTTAAGCAAAGCACTTGTGCCCTCGAGCACACTTCGAGTGCGTGCACGTGGCGACCTTTTGGCACAGAACGGGCTCGTCTTGATTTCACTAGCCATCTGCGCATTGGTTGGTGGTGATTTGTTTAGCACCGATTCGTATCTCTTATGAATGGAGTCGCTGTGGCGTGCGGCGTGCTGCGGAGGGCTTTCCCAAGAAAATCAAGGCGGCAAACGGCGTGGAATGTACCGGTTTCGATGTGTTTGCGATCGCCATTGCTCACATACGACCTTTCGTGCTTACACCAAACGTGCATAAACTTGTTCAAACTTGAAGGCACTTCTTGAGTGTAACCCTGATGACGATGTCGTTGTTGTTGTTGTTGTTCTTATAATCCGTCCCTTTTTGAGACGTGCAAGAAAGGTTACAAAAGTAGTGATAAATTGCCAAAGCGTGCCAAAAACTAATAACGCACTTGAAAACGAAAATAAACGCGCACGCGGGATTATAAGCTATGTTTAGTCTGTGTTTGAATTGTCAATGTGAAGAATTGCCAAGTAGATAAAAATTCAACCGACAAGTCGGACTCGATCGACGCAAATTGAGCCAATGTTAATGAAAGCAATTGCGCTGCCAAATTATTTTTCAAATCGTGTTCTAGAAAGCTTAGTTTTTCATGTACGTATTTTTTATACATGCAGATTTATTTCAATTTGTTTTTTTACGATTTAAAAATATTGGTAATGTTTAAATAAACTTGTATATTGCAAGTAGCCAATTTGCACGTCCCACATATGTTAGCGGTTGTTATTAGTGTGCCTTTTCTAAACGTTATAATGGAGCATTGACAGAAGTTTAATGAAATGCTGTTTCTAGGTCTATGCTATAAGTCGTAAGATCCCTACCGAAGACGTAGTGGAGAACACAATATTAATTATAGAACATGCCCTCGCACGTGCGTCAGTCGTGCACATAGCCGATTTTTGGTTTAGTGTAATGTATGCATGCCATACGGATTTACACACGCCAGGCGCGCCACAGCACTTGTCTGTTTAAAGGCAGATGAAAAAAAAAATGGACACGAAGCGCCGCGCCGCGCGCGCTCGAAAGCGAACGCGAACGACATGAAAATTATTTTTCGTCCAAAAGCCACCGTATGGCGTATGAACATTCGATGGTGGACATAATGACGGGCAAACTTTTAAAAATACTTATCCTTCATTTTATTATTAAATTCAGTTTAGAATAGTTCACGGCTGAACACGTGACTGGGAATAGGTAAAAAGTAAAAATGGCCACGATATAAGCTTAATTAAAAGAATGTTATTCTCCCTTGAAAGCATGTGTTACAAATTTTAAAAGAGTTATATATTCAGACAGTGCTAATATAATCTAATCTATTACTTTGCTTAAAATTTCAATAACGAACATCTGTAATAGAGTAGTCATTGTTGTCAGTTCCGCAACCTTAATTCCCGCAAATTTTTGTCGACGCTAATATTTTTCATCTTGATGATTATTTATATGTATATATTTAATCTGGCACTTAATTCGCGGGAAACATTGCTTAAAGCTTAAAATATATCGCTGACATACATTATAGTATATTAAGTATCAAGTGGCTAAACTGGAGTTTTTGTTTAACAACGTTTAATCACGAGGTGCTTACGCTATTGTTTCTACTTCCACGTTCATGTTTTTGAATATGAACCATGAAGTATAGATATAAGGAGTCCGAACGGTATAGGCTTTTCCGTAGTAGTCACACAATTATAAACATTGCTAATAGTTCTCTTTTCTGCCACAGGCTGCGCATGGAGTGAAGCGATGTACGTTGGTTCGTGTCCATAGCAACTGAGACAATTCGTTTACATGACGTTCCTGTGTTTCTATACTTCGTGATTATTTATTTATTGTTTCCTGTTTCTTTTGGTTTATTTCCGACGGTGTCCAGAGCAACGTAATGATTTAAACGAGTACACTAACGAATAGTGGCGTGCTCTACCGGCGAATGTTCTGTTCCCTAGAACGATACTATTATTTTAACATGACGTTCGATCTCCTGTGTATCTATACTTCGTGATATGAACCTTTGCATTTTTAATCCTCAAAATTCGCTCGCACCCTACTGGGAAATGTAGACAAATGCACAGGCGCAAGTTTTACCCCATGACTAAAGCTCGTGACACAAGTACATTAGTCACGGCTTTGGTAGTTCATTATGGTGATACTATTTTTTGTGTTTAAAAACCGTAGAAAAACGGACGCTTTAAATGTGGAAGTAGAAAAATTCGTTAAAGTGTGTGTAATGAATGACAAAAATGACGCAATAGCAATTTTGTTAATTACAATTAATACACCCAAAATTATATGTCACGATTGTTACGAAAATAAATAAATCCTCAAGTAAACAATGAATATATTATCTTTTTCTCATTGAATAATTATATGTAATTATCTGTTGATGTTATAAAAATACATTAAATTACTCTAATTACAATAATTAGATTGTTCAATTTATTGTTATTTTGACTGTTTTGATGTTTAAACAATAACAGTTGCGTCGTATATTTCAGCAAAGAAGTTATCTCTGTATCCATTATGGCTACCCATATCAAATACCATATTTTCATGATAATATGAATCCATAATATACACGTGCATTGGGGTGTTGGTCAAATTTCCTTGAAGTTTTAGCACATTTTTGTAAGCACAAAATGGTCATCCGTACTTGTGAAAGCAACCAGTTTCGTGTCAACTGGATGTGTTAAATTGTATATTTCCAATGGGTTTCCAAGTATTCCACGGTATCTGTAAAAGTCGCCTAAAAGCACACAAAGTTTAATTCATGTTCAAAACTTATTTAAGAGACATACAAAGATTCATATTTTGATTATAATGTAATATTTGTTTGGAGCTTGTTACTTTGAGACTTTTAGCAACCACGAGTGGTAAAGTCCCACGATCAGTCACAAATCTATTGTTGTAATCAACCAGAATGCCAAATACAAGCGGACATAAAAATGGTACAGTATCTTTGATGTTGTAACATAAACCAGCTAAATTTTCAAACAGCCAAACGGTGTATTGCAAGAAGTTTACATGACCTGTTGCTTCATAATAGGTAGTCAACTGTAAACACATATTGAATAAGTGCATATTATCGATATTCGGATATTTTCATACGTACTGCAGTTTGCGAGTCCAATACAAGACCAAAAATTACACTAAGTGAGTTGGTTAAATGACATGTTTGCACACCAGGAGCAAGTGCAATGTGTAATTTAACATTCGCACTCGTAAATTCAGGCATTTCAGAGAACATCACGAAGAAAGCTGAACTGCCCTGTGAAAAACCAACATGCACGACTTGATCTGCTCCGTTTTCCAATTTGACATACTCGATAATACTAGGTAAGTCGTAAATACCCATCTCATGAAAAGAAAAGTTATAAAAACCAGGATCTGTGGGCTTAAGGTTTATATGTGTGTTTGAAAGATCAGTGCCGCGATATGACGGCATCCAAACATCAATATCATTGTCGGCCATTTCAAAAGCGACGCTCTTAGGTTTTCCTGACAGAACCCAATCTCTGCCGCTGGTTAATAGACCGTGACTTAAGATCACTGGATGAGAGCGTAGAGTAGTAGAGTTACCATATCTACCCTTAATTCTTTGCATACTTAGAATGAATCCATCGGTAGAGTTGACATAATGTTGTTCGCACTCATATCCATATAATTCAATCCATTCACACTATATAATTTACAATAAACAAATGGTTTGCTAGATATTTTAAAATATGTTTTTACTTACCGGTGTTAATGTTGCTATTTTTGGGAGAGTGTACAATTCTAATGCATCGATACCGGTGGCAGTTGCTAATGGGTCAAGAATCAATTGACTTATTGGATCTTGAATCTGGTTTAGAAGATCCCATAAAGGATCAGTTGATAAAGATGATGTAAGTTGTTGAACGAACTCATTGGAAGATGGAATTGGAAGCGAGGGAACTTCCAAACAGGTCGCATAATTAGTCAGAAATAGTAGACCTGCTAATGTTAACAACTTCATGTTGTACCGTTTATGATCTTAATGGTGTAACAAAAATTCCAATTTAAAATTTATATATGTAGGTATTCGAGGCGAGCAATGTGTACAATAGGATAATAGAACATAATGCGTAAGCAAGAGATACAGTAAAGTTCTTGTTTATTTAAATGAGTTTTACAAGACGTTATTCTAATTATTTACGCATTTTGCAAAGCACGGGAGTCTACATTGACGTGCTTTATCAATTGTTTATTCGTATTAAGAGATGACTTACCATGAACAAATTATCAAAAATTATGAAGCTCTTATTTATTTAACTTATTATAAAAACGCAAACTTTTATTTGTTCAATGGACTAAGTTTGGCTTAAAGTCATAAAACTGTTTTATTTGCGTCAATTTAGAATAATTTAGATGTTTAACTGATGTAGTATATTCGGCAGAAACTGCTATAATACATTTAAAATTAATTAATAAATACTAACTTCTAGTTTTAGTTGTATAGTGTTAACATATTTACGTAGATCATAATTATTTTCATTTGTTGAAAATGCATGATACCCGAATATGTCTTGCCACAAGACAACCCTAACACGTTATTATGGAAATAATTTTTGTAAAAAATGTGCCGAAACAGGCCTCACTTGATTAAATCAAATGCATAATTTCAAGAATTTCACATTTTTAGTGTGTGCTCTACCAATTACTAAGATTTTAAATTTTCAAATTGAAACTATGTTTTGATTAGTTTTTTTCGCTGTACTCTGGGTTGTCTACGATAAATATAATACACACACTAGTGGCTGGGAACGATGGCCCAGCGCCGCTCAAAATTATTAAAATACCAACAAATATATTTTTGTTAATACATCCTAACTTCTTAACTTACAATTAAAATCTACCATGTTACGACAATTAAAACACTTCATACCCCGACGAACGTCCATCCGAGGCATTCACGCAACGATGACGAATAACTTATTTTATGAAAAGGATCCAAAAGGAGGTTATACGGATAATCGCCCAGAACCATCAAAAAGCAACTGATTAAAGATGGTATTAAGGAACTTAAAGAAGAAATTGCTCTATGGTCAAAGGAAGTAAAAGAGCACCTGGAAGCAGATCCTTTCCTATTGTACAGACCAGGTGAAACTGACATTGCCTGGAGATTCAATGAGAAAAATTATAAAGACTGGATTGTGACTAGTGATAGTGATAATAATGAAGGATATAGTCACTGCACTCTTAGTTTAAACAGTCAAGGACATGCAGTATTTTCAGGAGAGTTGAGCACTAAAGTACCTAAAGATGGAAGAGTCAAGAGAAGTGGTTATTGTAATATTAAATCATTACCAGCTAGAGTAAGTAAATTATAAATTAAGTACTAGGAAACTTAGTATTCTAGACATTTCTTTTCATAGAAATCATTTAAAAGAGAGTCATACTTAGATTGGACACCATATAATATGCTTGTGTTAAAAGTTAGAGGTGATGGCAGGTCATATCTATTAAATATTGCATCAAAGGGATATTTTGATGTAATGTGGCATGATGTTTATCATTATGCACTGTACACAAGAGGAGGACCATACTGGCAAATCACAAAGGTAACAAATTTAATGTTCTTTTACAGCAATTTTTTACAAATGATTGAATTTCTTATATTTAATTTAGATCCCATTCTCAAAATTCTTCCTGTCTTCAAAAGGCAGAGTACAAGACAGGCAATACCCACTGCCAAAAAGTAAAATAACAAGTTTTGGTTTTTCCATGGGTGACAAAATCAATGGTCCCTTCAGCCTAGAAATAGATTACATCGGTCTAGAGTACGACCCGCATCACACTGAAGACTTCGCCTACGAAATGTACCAGGCAGAGAGATACATAGTCGCAACATAAAAATTTATTTAGTAGTAACATCGATATTCCGCACACATGATTGTAATCAGAATACGTTGCGTTTTCAGTGTGCATTCAATAAAATAAAATAATCTCTGTACAAACGGTCCATTTAAGTGTATCACAGTCTATGAGAAGTTTCTATGAATGTTTGTTACAAATTACACATATGAAAGGAAAATAATTTAATTATTGTAGTTACCTAGTTTAATCATATTTAATTTAGGTACGCGTATTGTTTTGATTTTAGGCTACTTATCCTTGTCGTCTTTTAATACCGATGGCGAGCTGGGCACATCTGCAATGGCCAGTTGTCCCGAACTCTCAATCGCGTTTGGTGAATATACCCCGTCGGCCTTGTCACATGCCTCAATTACGTATTCGTTGAAGACTTCCGGTTTATCGGCGTAAACGTGATGTCCAGCACCGACAATTACCTAAAAATATTAAGTAAATTAAAACATATTCAACTAATTCGTTTGATTAGATTTAGGTTGTATACATACTTGTAAATTAACTTCTGAATCGTGTCTCTTTTCTTTGATAATCTCGCCGGCAGAATTATCAACCCAAGAGCGTGACCCGTACACCAAAGTGATAGGAACGGTTTTATCCAACTGTTCGATTCGATTCACCATCGGATGTTTTGCCCAACCGAAACCACTCATCATGGAATGGAATGCGCTTTCGCCTGATGGTTGTTGTGAATTGCACTGGTAAAGATATTGTGTCACAAGTGACTCTTCTTTGACAAAAACTGAAAATTTCTTAGTAATGTCTGGACGAGCCGTGCTGACGAGCCACTGCCCCAAGGGACCAGCTGCGCGTACTGCCCACAGTGGGTTTAATGGTTGCAGGGTGTACACTAAAGCTTTGATCCAAAGTGGTGTATCCCTTTTCGCAGGTTCAGGAGAACGCTCGGGAAATCCCCACGGATCGGCTAACACAAGATGTTTCACTCTTTCTGGATGACTGATTGCGTATGACGCGGCGAGAAAACCACCCATACTGTGTCCCAAAAGAACAAATTTTTCTAGTTTCATTTCTTTACGCCATTCTTCAATTGAACGAACGAGTTGCACTTCGGCTTCCATTGCATCATTGCTAAAACAGGGCCGACTGCTTCTTCCAAAGCCTATAAAATATTCAATTTAGTAATTGTACAATTGCTTAGTTCAAAGTGTACCTAATAAATCAAAAGCATACACTGGTCTATTGGCAGCCAAAGCATCCAAATTCATACACCAGAGTGCAACTCCAGCACCTAATCCATGTAACATAACCAGTGGTGTCCTTGGAGACTCAACATTCATGGATATTGTCCATATCCTGTCTGCTGGTCCCACAACAGGACCAACATCAACAAACCAACCCCTGTAAGTGGTGGAGCAATCTGAAATAAGAAACTTTTATAATTTAAAAACATTTATTTAACCAAAAAGAATGATCTTACACTGTAAAATTTTCTTCTCAATTGTCCTCAACATTGTATTGGAATGCTTGGTCCATGAAAGCCAGCTAGAATCAAACCAGCTATCAGATATAGTCATAATTAGTTAGAGCACTTCGAACACTACATGATAGAGACAACATTGAAAACTCACATGCAAAAATATACGACACGCAATATTATGTAATACATAGAGAAGCATGAGTTGGCACTTACCCAAATACTAGAATTGGACTGAATAGTATTTTAAGCGATATGCGAACGTATTTGTACAATTGCGGTAACATTGTTTTGAAGTGTTTTTAAAGACGCAACGAGGTGCACTCTTGTTTGTTTTCACAACAAATTTGAAAAGCGGCATCGAATGCGTCGATAGTCCGCGAAAACCGTAACCACCAGCAGTAAGCACCGTAACTCGTCATTTACCTGGACTTCTCCGGCTTTAACTCCGCTACGACGGTGTCCGACCGCATCCCAGCAATTGCTACACTCTTGCGCTGTTTCCTGGTACGTTTTTCGAACGCTGTCTAACCTTGGCACCACTTGGATCACAAAACGAAACGTCGATTCGGTTGCGTGCGGACCGTGCACGAGTTGCGCACTGGACGGATGACGAAGGCGAATTAAATAATGAGACGCCGAATTCGAATAATGTGTACATAGAATATGATGATGGAATGGATGAAATGATTCACGCCGGTCGGTAGAACGGCGCAATTAACCACCGATGTTTATCTCAGCCCCACCAGCGGTAATCATGTTGTTTTTTGTAATGATGTTGAAACGAATCGAATTTTGGATGGAAACAGACGTGGATTTTGCATGTCGTTTTTTAAGCGCGCGTGACGCGCATTGTCACGATGAACAAGTTTATCTCATTCATTCGACAATCAGTGTATTGATCTGTTTATAATAACATGACAACAAATACGACAACATTTATTTATACGCATTTAATTATGATAAAGATAGCAATACCGTAATATGTAGATCAAGAACGAAAGAAATTAAAAACTGATAATAATTTGCTGTTTGATAGTAAATTGCTATTTAAGTTGTCGCCGAATAACTTGTTTGAGCCGTAAAATTTTACACACCTTAATAAAACAGGAAATATTTGTTTGTTTGTTTCAATTTAGTGAATCACGATTTATGTTTATATTAGTGTCGATTTGCATTAATAACAAAAAATAACACCTTGATGTATTGTAAGTTCGTATAAAAACTTTGGTTATTATTTGCAAAAAGTGGTTCCAGACGTACCTTCGATGTGGTTGCTCTCTCAGCCTTGAAATGACTTTAATTAAAGTGTAATTATAGCATTTGTGTATGAACTCACTCACTATGTTCAATGTTTAATATTGTTTAAAGTTTAAACAAAGCAATACATGATTAATGAATCATATTCTAGATTATATTTCAATACTCGTCGTTAATTTATTATCAATTACGAATAAAAATAAAATCTGATATCAGTATAATGATTTTTGTGAAGTCATTGTGAAATGCGGTCAATGCGATAACACATACAATCATTGACTAAGTGAGTGTAACAAGATCGGACTTTATATTATAATTTAAAGCATGAATTGATCAATTTAGAGTTTAATGCTTAAATATTCATCAACAGGAATATCAGCAGTGGGTCCATAGGTGCCAAGGAAGATAATTTTTTCAATATCCAATTTGCTCACGTAGAAATCAGGCACTGTAATATTAATGTATTAGTTTAAATTCATCAAATCAAATTAACTAAACATACGTTGCGCCCAAATTTCCATTTCTGGATGCTTTTCAAGAAGTCCACTCATTGCATAACGTTTCTCATCTTCATCCTCAACCCGAACATATTTACCAGTCATGAATAAACGCGGACACCTTGGATCCTGAGGGTCAAATTCATTATCCTTGCAATAGTTAGTGCTTGCTAAAGTCGCAAATACAGTGGCACGATTATCAACTAGATAATCTTGACAGGATATGTCTACGTCACTCGTGAAAAAATATGGAATTCCACTAGAATTTCCTGAAGGACCATCGCTAATCGATTTTAGGTTACCCATCGGGTAGCCTTCGATACCTTCTTTTATAGATAGGAAGTAACAGTCACCCAATCTATATCACAAACAAAATGATAGATTTAGGAGAAAAGTACAAATTAATATCAAAATATTGTTACCGATTTGACTTAAAACTTTGCGAGCCTCACGCGCGGCTTCATTTTCAGCGTTTGCACAAGAAATCACAACTAATGTGATGAATAATAGAGATTTCATTATGAAATTAAGAGATGCTTAAGAGACAACTTTTAAAATCTAACTGAGAAGCGCGGTAGCGTTTATAATGTCCTTTTTTTTATTATCTCGCAATGTACTTCAATTAAGTAGGTGTACGTGACATCCGACAGACTAATCACTTGTATTTCACTAATTCATGCGAATGTTAAATGATTGATAAACTTTATTAACAATTTGTATATAACAATTGATATTGATTGATTTGTTTTCATAATCATAAGAAAGCGTGATGCTTCGTTTCACATAGCTCTGCTTGCGCAATCAAAGAGCATGCACAAAATTTTCTCTTGCTTAAATAGAAAAATATACATCATAGATTATACTTACACAAAATATACATTATAAAGACAAAATATATATCTTTTACAATTGTTTACTCTTGGTTTTGTGGATCACGTCTCTATTAGCTTAGAGTATTGTTTAGTAACAACGTTCGCGCGCTGTTTATGTTTAACATAAATGTTTGACAAATTGAACAATATTAATTCTTTAGCGGGTCTAAACTCTCCAACGAGAAGTCTTCGTTGCCAAAGCTTATACCACGGCTGAAGCCAGTCTTCATTTCCATAATTCGCTTGTCCAGCATACCGATGTCGTTCTCGAACTGCGTTGACGGACTGGTGGCATTGAAGTCACCCATTTCAAACGGATCGGAAGTTTTAGCATTAGCCATCGGTTCACTAAAGTTATTCATCGATGACGAAAACAACTCTTGACCAAACGTTCGCACAGGGCTGTCGTTGTTGTTTATATTATTGCGTTTGGCTGCTTTTGGTGGAGGCGCAACTAGAATAAGACAACCGTAAAGCAGGCTATAACGTAACCTAATGTTTTAACTCACGTAATGGAGGACTGCTGGCATTCATATGATTTACAGCACCATTGCCATTCGCAAATACATGATTTGTAGTGTGGTTGTTTTCAAATGACCTCGGGTCGAAGTCGTCATCGTCTTCTTCCAGATCATTCAGGAGCAAATTTTGCAGTTTTGTACCAACAATCGGTTGATTATCGAAATTTCTTGGGGGAACTGGAGGAGCTAGACATAATAAAAATTAATTTCAATGTTATTCGTAATAGCAAACACAGAGTATTACCATTTCCATTGGTTGTACTAAGCTCAGTATCCAAATCCAACAATTGGTTCGACGTTGTGTCATTCGCTGATTGCAAATGATGATCCTGCCCGTTCTGCTCGTTATTCAATGGCAACATGACTTCCAGAATATTCTTAATCTCATGGCGTCGCATATAAGCATCCAGATCCGCCCGACAGCTGGAAAATTTACTCACATCCAATAAGCGCTGCTTGTAGACATTATTCTCGTATTCCAGCCGTTTTATTTTTTGCTGGGTAAGGATGGCGCGCCGATGGGACTCCAGATCTTTGCCAGATGTTTCCAAGAAGCGTTTGTAGGCCAATTCAAACGCCTGCCCGATGGTCAGCGTTATTTCTTCGGCAAGCTTGTCCGATATGAAGACGAAACATTCGTGTTTATCATCCGCTTCATTATCTACGTACATATAGTCGAGTGTAATAATACGGAATAATTAAACAACATCTGCACGTGCTCACAGAACACAGTTAGTTTCTTTACTTGCTCACCTTGGTGTGGCTGTTTAGCGATGAAAGAAAAGTATTTCTTCTCCCCTTTGTCATCAGCGCAGTAACTGATGCGATGTAACGGAAACTGATGTAAAATCGTGTGTGTTTTAGGTTCCTGGATAGCTACACCATCAATACTAATCGTCAGTTCAAGTTTCTTCATTTTGGCACCGCCCGATTCACTCTTTTTCAACTGCTGACTAAACTGCAGTTTTCTAATGCCTTCTTTAACAACTTCGATACCTAAAACAAACGAATTCCATACCCAAGGTCAGTTAATTGTTTACAACTTTGCGAGTTTGCTCATAAAATGTATAGTAACTCCTATTAAGTTGCTTTATAAACTATGGCTGCGTGCGCAAAACAAAGTGATAAAGCGTGGAAGACTTGACTTGCAGGCGTTCGAGCGTTAGAAAGTCAACATCGAACGGATTTTATCGTTGAATGTTAATGCGACGCCTGTTGCGTTTGGTGTTTTCAAAGTGTTTACGGTGTTTACCTTTCGGTTGATCGACGACTGTGTTGCCGAGGAATTTAACCAGATATACTATATGCCCTTTCTGCAATGCTTCGGGTGGGTGTATCCATTTCTTTTCGCCGTTCGTCGCATTGCTGTTCTTGCTAATGCTAAGTTTTCCCTGCGTTGTGTTTTGTGCCCATTTTAACACCTTCGACATTCTAGAAACAAAATAAATAATGAATACTTAGCAAGGCAACACATAAATACAGATAAACAGTGAACAATCTTGGAATTAAGTTTTAAAGGCGATTACATAACATTAATTAAAACGTGCTGAGCAAACGAGCATTATTTTATCATACATTAGTTAAATCGCTCAAAAAGGAGTCTCAATTACCGGCTGTTTTGTGCGCGATGCAATAAAAACGTATGATTGCAGGCGCATGCAGCATTGCGCTTATGTGCATTGCGAACTAGAAGGTCACGATTTCGTGCTACTTTTTTTGCATTTCAAGCTGCCAAAGAAGTGATCGCCTTTTTGTTTCTAGGTCGCGAATTGTAGTTTTTTCCATCCATGCAACAGAAATGCAATAGATATCATTGTTTGATATTTAATTGGTGCAACTTGTTCCCCGCGAAATTCATTCGCCATCAACGCACCAACCAACCAACTGGGTAACATTTTATTTATAGTTGCCGCTGTGAACACACAATAGCATATTGTCTGTCGTGCAGTTACATAGTTGAAGCATTGTGTGTGCCACACTTACAGATTGTGTCTTCTATGCGAAAAGTTACAGCGCAACGAATACAAGTGCTTTTAAATGCAAACACAATGCAGACGGCAATCGAAAGTTATTACGATTTTTATTCGTGCTTGTTATCATCATCGCTCCAATCATAAACAAAATATCTTGGCATTATTGGTATATTAATAAAATTCGTATTATTTTTTAACATCCTGTACATTATGAGTACTAACATACTTCACCGACTTTCTTCATACCAAAGAGTGCATTGAATTTATTTCGTTGAGACAATGAGACAATGGCACACTCATTGTTTTAGCGTCGTCCATTGCGTTTTCGCATAAACCATTGCAAACTAATGAGAACCGTGAATTCTGTGAGAATAATTAAGCACACCTACTACAACAAAAATGACATCCGTCGTTGTACATCTTCTTCACTGTGAATGTATTTATTAATTAAAGTCGCTTAATGAAAAGTTACCGACATATTTTAACTACGACGGTGTCTTGATGAATCGGTAGCATTTCTTTTAACTTGTTCGCTGTCCTCAAGTGACGATGTCGAGACGATGTCCTCGTATCCGACTAACGGTTCGGTCCGTCTGCTGATTTTGCGCCTTTGCGGCGCACTTGACTTTTACAAGACTCGCGCACCACTATCCAAGAAAACTGAATGGTTTATTCAATAACCAAACACATACGCGGATATTGTGCGTATACTTTCTTTTTCAACCGGCCGGTCACCCGCAATTGAAGATTCGATTGTGAGCGTCGTGCGTGCGTTGCGCGCAAATGAACGCCATTAATTGTTTGGAATATAATTTGCATTTGGTGTGCGCGTAACCGAACATGACGCGTTGCGGTGCATTGTCCTGCTAAGCGTGCAGGTATGCATTGTGTTGTCAATATACGCATGCAGTAATGCAGCCAAACAACACTCTGTCAATGTAATACAAATGAGTGCATGTTTTCATTTAGCATCGCGTACCATATAGAAATAAATGCCATATTTTTTGTCCGTTATAAAAGTACGAATTTAGACAATTTCAATGGACAAGCAGATATTATCTTTTTACATAAATAATTAGTGTAGTATATACTACAATATTATACAATTCTCTCAAGTTGACGTGTTAATTAATACACATGAAATTAATATTTCATGTTCATGTCATTGTAGATGATAAACAATGCTCGCCTAGCACATCTTTGCATGTTCTGCCACAGTAGTTTGCCAATAAACATCAAAGCATCATATCAACAAATGAAATAATATCGAGTGTTGCCGTATTGCGAGGCGAAACACGGTCGCGGTGCGCTGGTGTTATTTCGATTCGATTCGGTACCAGTCGCCGAGTGGTACCCGCAGTACCATGGCGAAGCCTCCTCCTCCAGCTGCTATCTCTCAAACTCGCGGCAGTCGCAGGTCGCAGCCACAAGCCGCAGAAAACGCCGCTGGGCACGATTCGCATCAAAACAATGCTAAAGCATGTCATCCAGGCAGCCCATGCCACATCACGTACGGAATATAACCAAACTACGACACTAATTCATAAACAATTCTTCACCTAGAAGTTTAGCCCTATTTAACTGATAGATAATGTAAATGCACAGTTATTTATTGAATATAATAAAATAATTGCAGTATCAAAAAAGACTTACGTAATAACCTTGACATAACAAATAAATATAATGTAATATTATGCGAATTGTAAATATTGCAACACGTAAACCGCCAATCAGTGTTCGTGGTGACTGGTGTTTGGGCCCGGCTACAAAATTGTAATTTTGATTTGGATTGCACGGTAATTTAAGCGCTATTGTTCGTCGATTTTAATGAGTTTCAAATCAGCGCGAATAAATGGTAATGTTTGATAATGCATGGTCAATAAAAAACCTTTATCAGAACGAGTACAAAACAAAAAATATTACTAATATTGTCAAAAATGAAAACAAAGTATTGTTGGACGGTTTATTCATGCTAGAAGCATGACTACTTGTAACACGTACCTGTGGCACGTTTAATTTATTCACAATCAACGGTGCTTTGATTAGAAAACACGTTGTTTATCACGTTCAACGCGATCGAAGCGTTCGATGTGTTTTAGCGACGCGTTTTCGTTCAATATTTCGATTAAATCAATTTCAAAGGATTAATTAAACGTGTGACTGTAATTAAATAGACATTAATCCAAGTGAAGATGCCGTATATCGCACTTACGAAAATTTTCGATTTCATTCGTTTGGTAGAAAACAATGTTTAATTTAATCACACGATTAAAAATACGAAGCAATTAAATGTTATTGAAATATGTTACATTCGAGAATAATATAATTGTTCTGAGAAATATTAAAAACACGTTTTATTATTTTACTATCCGATCGGATCATTTACATGCAGTATTAAATGAAATCCCGTGAAGTTTTTTTATAGTCATTTCAATAACGAGCACCACAATGAAGTTGAAGTAGATGCAGATTTATTCCGCCATGATCACCAATTGACTATTTCAATACTCTCATCGCTTGTAAAACGTCGACTTACATAATAAACCGAACAAAGTCAACCAAAGTCGAAACCCGTATCCGGAAATTATTCGCCGCACGCATTGATTTCGACTTGGATGCCGCAATTAACATTTTCGAGTTATTGTAATACTTCAATAAGCGTTCGCAATTTATTTACAACCAATGCATGCGTTCCACAACGTGCGTCCTGAGCATCGTGCACATATGTTGCCGTAATTGCTAGATGCAAATTAATATGCGCATTGAATTGCACGTGATAATGAGAATTGAGTATCCTTAAACGATGTCTTGATGCACATTATTATTAATTTTGTTAAAATTTTGTTACTAAGTAGAAAATACTTCTGCCAAAACTATTAATGTATAAAAAGTACCAATTTATGAATAATCAAAACATTAACAATTGATTTCAGGAAAATTATTGTTGTAATTGTAATTTTTCTGTCTTCTATCCGGTTGGAACTGTAATAATGTCAGTATGAATGTTTAATATTTAATATAACATCCTGTATGATGGTTAATGTACGCATGTAATACTTTCGTCTTCAATTCTGTATTTCCTTTTCCTGTCTTGTATTGCCACACACTAAAATTCGAGCGCACACCTTACACACTCATTCAAGTCACAGCGCTCGTACACGGTTGGAGACATGTACGAGTAATTGAAAGCAACATACATACAGACAACGCACGATTCATTGCTTTAAATCAAATAAACGCGCTTATAAAAATATCAACATTAGTGATCCACCGGCAACCGCCAAAGCCAAACACACAAACCAACACTACTGATTTAAAGCGAAAAAGAAACCGATTTAAGTATTCACACTAAGTACCTACTAATCAGCGCGTTCTATATTCGCCCTACTCGCGGCGATTGGACCTTAATTTCTTCACGACGTCGTAGTCGTAGTCTAGCGAGTGAAATCTTTAGCTAGGTCACGGTGTTTGGTTGCGCAGTGAAGTATTTCGATAAAATTCAACTCTTCAATGATTGCAATTGCAGTGCGAAATATTTTCAGCGCGTCACGTCACGTCACGTTGCGTTTTTAATTGTATCCCCGGCTTGTCGTGCGCGCGGATCTTTACTTTGTAACTGTAGTACGGAGAACACGTACGGTGCGCTCAAGAAAACAACGAGAGATATTATAGTCAAGGCGCACAAGTACCAGAACTAACGATAAACGCCGAGAATTTCTATTCGCTAGGTGTGTGCGCCGCATGCACAACACACACACATGCAGGCAACCGACGAGAACACCGCCAGCGTGTTTTAAATCTCCTTTCTAAAAACATTATAATTTCTCATTTCTCCCTGTTGGCGAACAGCGTGCGCATGGATCGTTTGCTGATATGCGGACAGCCGAAAAAAATTAAAGGCTCCAATCATTCTAGATGTAATTCTTGAATAAGACAATTACTTGTGTAAAACATGTGAATGAAGAAGATTCACTTGTGTTTTCTTTTACTGTGCGGCCATGCAAAAAGCCTAACCAAATTCGCGAATAAGAACAAAACTAAATTCACGTTAAAGAATGCAGGGGGAAGCGCCCTCCACACCCACGCAGTTGTAGCGATAGCGTTAATTGTACGCATATACTCACTTTGGATTGGTTGGATTGTGATTTGCTGATGTCTTGTGGTCGGCGTGCGGCTGGCTTCACTGGCGGCTTTATATTCCTGAATGCGCAGCGTCCGGTGGGCCTCGCAGCAGGATTTGTGAATTTCGGTGTTGAGGTGTCGAAGCGCGCCGGTTGCCGCTTGCTTCGAGTGCAGCGCAATCGCAACTAAAAAACACCCACTGACCCACACCGCGCGCGACCGTGCGCCGCGCTCGCTTCCACCACGCGGCTGCGGATGACTTAAGTACCTTTGCTATGTTACCAGCTACGACACCTATTGACTCAATTTGCGTAGTGTCTGAAGAAGCGAACACTTCTTTTTGACTCAACAGTAAACTGCGTTACTAACAAAAGAATTCAAATTCCTTCTAGTTCTTCGCAGTTTTATATTTACGCATCGCCAAACTTCAATGTTCAGGCAATGAAATGTTACGCCCAAGCTGATTTTATTCATATTTCTGTAGAGCATTGTCAACAGATAATAAATTTTCTTTCTTTCTAAAACTTGGTTATATTATTCACTTAATTTCATAGTGGCGGTTATGTTTTAACCCAGTCTCTATAAGCAATTATTTATTTTTAAAACAATAACAGTTAACAAACATAAATATTGATCGCAGAAAATAAAATCTTAAAAAGCATCAACAGTGCGAAATAATCATAAATCACAAACAAGACAAAACACACGCCTTATTCAACGATTGATTATTATATATTTCAATTGCGTTAAGTTGGTTTCAAATAATGCATTTAAACAAACTGGAAGTATATCTTTGGAAAAGTCCGCTAGAATAATTGCTAATTGTGAATTTTTACACTTTTTTAAGAACTATTTTGATTTCAACTAATATGTTTTTCAATACAGCCTCAAAAATTTGGGATTTAAACGCAGATATTGCTTGTATATAATTATTTCCAATGACTAACATTACTAACATGTTACGATTGTAAGCAAACCTCAAACGTGCGTTATTATCGTACATGATACTGAACGTTACGGGCAGCTTATAAGTTGGAGACATTAAAATTGCCTATGTACTTTTTAAATAAAAACGTTGATACAACGATTAATTAAATATAGTTGGCTTCGTTAATAGCTTAATTATTGCATTTTGTACCAGGCAAGAGATAATAGGTAAACATTCACAGCGCTAAAACTTACGCGTTTTCTTTTTCATCTGCGTCTTTACCACTTGATATTATTATTTTTCCTTAAATTAAACTCTCACTCGCCTGCTTCTGAATTTGGCTTTGACTAGCATCAAACAGTTGTGGCAGAGCAACAACTTCGTTCATTGGTGTGCCCAGCACCTCTTCACATACTAGCGGCAATTCTTTATCCAACATAAGTGAATTGATTTGCTCCTCGTTAAGCATATCTACACTGGCTAAACTCTCCGTATCAGAAGTGTCATCTTCCACATTCAAATACGTAAGTGTCTTTTCCAGTGGACTTGGCAGCTTCTTACTACCCTTGCCTCCCTCAGTAATGCCTGCGCGTGGCTCACTGTTGCGACGTTCGGTCAGAGCGCTGATGTTGAGCATCATCATACCTTGTGACCAAATCTCTTTGACCTTTTCACTGGTTGGCCCGAGGAGATTATCCAAACTCTGCCTACGACCTGGAACAAAATGAGTTGAACCGCCCGAGCACGCAAACATGCTTAGTAACGTACTACTCTCCTCGCGCGTTTCGGTCCTGGCAGCCGATGACCTGCTAATCCAGTTGGTGATGCTCGAATCCAACTTCGGTTTGTGTTTGAACTCACCATCGGTGAGCGTATTCGGTAAGGTTCGCTGCCGTAAAAGTTTCGGTTTCTCATCCTCTTTGATCTCCTCCTCGGGGCTGGATACGTCCAGATTAATTTCGGTCCACTCGCTTGATTGGCTGTTCGGGTGTAGAAGTTTCTCGTCCGTCTCTTCGGTACTTATATGCGATGCAGGACTGGTCGGTGATATGTTGTACGGCGTATTTTTATATCCGACACGTCCCCTTCTTTATTCGGCACTGGAAAAGAGTTTAACTTGGGTGGTAATGTTTTAAACTCTTCGGAGAAGTCTACGTCGACGTAAGATTCGTTGCTGTCCATACTGTTTTGTTTCTTTGGCGTTTGTAAGAAATCCAGTTTCTTCGAGTTGCGACTGCGATGGATCTCATCAGATATTTCTTCTAAATTTCGCAATGCTTCAGCATATGTTAGTTTAGCTGTTGACACCTGCGATTCAACGGTTTGAATACGTAGTCTTTGTTGTTCCAGGAGATAATTGTAATGAGCTTTCATCTCATAATACGGTCTGGCGGAAATTGTTCATATGTAGTTATAATTTACAAAAGATTTCAAGCGAATAACATATTGAAGTCAAATAAAAACAAAACTTACAGTAATATTAACTCATGCTGGTAAGCTAGGTTACTAATGATCATAAGATTACGTCGAATGGATAAACTAAAGAGAAGAAAAATTTAAAATTCATATAAATACAAAATAAAATACAAATAAAATATTTGTAATGTGTGCGCTACATGTATTTTACTAAGATGAGGCTTCAGTATATTTTAAGGTAGGCAACACGTCATCCTCGAATGAAAATATCTTAAAAATACAAAATAGAATTTCGAACCCAAAATTCTCACATAAAAAATACTAAAATTCTCATTTTAATACAAATTTACAACACAAATACATTAGTTCAAAATAATAAACAAACAAACCTGCTTTTTGATATAGCCCTCTTCAATTCCTTTTGCAACATTCTGACTTTGGCATTAGCAGCTTCATGTTTCACACAAGCCACCCTATGTTCCCCAGCAGCTGAACCTCTGTCATGTTCTGACTCATTAACCCTTTGTGTTGCATGATTCAACATTTCCTGCCAGGCAGGATCTAAAAAATCCAAGATAATTCAGTAAGTTAGAAGGTGAATTGGTGAAGTTAAAAGTTACCTAATGTTCTTCCACCCAATCCTTGCTCAGCCAAGAACACCATCTCCCTGGCAGCACTATGTGCACTGTTTGCCTTTTCATACTTCATTGCAGCTACCTGAGTTTGCTTTAAAGCTTCATTTGCACAGAACCTTGCCTCATAGTAAGGTTTGGCGCGCTCAACACACAGCCCCAGTTTCAGTCGAATCGCATCTATTTTGGCCGTACTATCACACAATAAATTTCTGAATGCACCTCGCGCCCCGTCCAGGTCGCTTTCTAGCCGATTGATTTCGTCGGTGGCGTTGTTGAGCCGCTCTAGCTCTATGTGAACGCGAGGATCCACCGTATCGGCACAATCGGCGATGTTCTCGCACATGATTCATTCAACTTTGTACACTATTTACAGAACGTAATTGCGTTCCTTTTTGGAGGACTAGGATGTTTTACATGCTCACTTCGTTTATGTTTATTTTGCCCATTTTTTGCTTGGTTCGATAGCGATTTGTGGTTATTTTAAATGTCAAGCATGTCAGATGATGATTACTTCGGGCATCATCGGCGCCCATCCTTCAATTCGTCCAAATCATATTTCTTTTCAAATTATACAACATTTTCTGTTAATATACCTATTAATAAATATTTAAAAAATAATTAATCTTAATGTAAAATACCAAAAATAATTGACACTGATAAATTTGTCAGGAATGTAATATTTATAATGGATGTAGGCAACCCAAACAACATCAAAGTCAAATAAAAAGGTAAGCATTCTTTTCATTCTGTTTAAAAAAAATAATCTTTCTCAAGTTATGCAGTACTTAGTAGAGACAAATGAGCAAATATTTTTTAAATTTACACATAACTATAGCGTTTATTTTTTTTATTATTATAAATAATTATTTATCAATGTCAGATTGAATATTTTTTTATATTGAAAGTTGCTGTAATTCCCAAATAAAATTGGAAATAATCTCTTCCCTGGTTTAAATGTGCCGAGAATGGGTTATTACCAGTTATTCGTGTATACATTGTATGTACAATGAAAGAAAGAAAGTGTACGTGAAAGTTTGACCTAGAACTTGATGCTTCTGGTCTTGACTGATTCTTCGAGCGGCGCTGCGCTGCCTCGCTATATAATACAATTGTAGATAGTACTTACCGCACAATCTAGAATCACATCGCACGTCGCGCGGGGCTTAAACATGGAACGCAAAGCACTGCCAGCCGTTCGAACGCTAAAACGTATCGGTCGCGCGCAGCCAAAAACAACAATAACAACAATATATGCCCAGCAGCGATGTATTAATGTCTTTATGGACAACATCTCTTCACCTCGCAAGGTCATTCCGGCTGTGCCTGGTAGAGCCAGGCTGCGTCAAGTTTCTTTACTCGTACTCTTCACTTGGAGAGAAATGAACGCAATGCTGAGCATAAGTATACGTATTTTAGATTGAGCAATACCCGGTTTCTTTGTGCCGCACGCCACTATACACGTGTCGTGAAACTCCAATATTTTGTGACACAAAGTTTGAGAAACTAAAAATTTACTTATAAAAAGAAAATATTTCGTTTATCTTAAAATATAGTGAACATTTTCATTACCTAATGTGACAATACAACACTTCTAACAGTGAAACTATATTTAATGGCTATAAATTTAAAGAAGCAGCAAACAAGAAGATAATACACATGTCTTATTTGTCGGCATGCGAATCGAAGAAGTAACGCACAAATCAAACAGAACGACCGCGCCGTTTTTGAAAACAATTTCGCGCATTTCACTTTCTAATGCCTTTCTTATGTGTGCACCGCGTATAACCGTCGGGCGTCCGCAATGCTATTACATTAGCGGCCACATATGATCGTCATACGTGCTGCTCGTGTACGTGCCACGGTGAAATAATGCGAAAATCGCGGGCGCCGCTTGGTTCTAATCGATTTTTAAAAAGGAAAAGTGCCTGCGCAATTAATTTCTATCAATTTGTAAGACATTACGAGAAATTGCAAAGAGGATACTCACAGCAATCTTAAATACACAATGTTATTAAATTGCGCATCAAATGAAAGTTTCGATGAAATTACAGAAATGCATGCAATAATTTTATTAATTTAGCCGTGGCTTTGAACTTGTATATATTTTCAAATTTTTAAAATTTTTATTTGTTTCTTAGTTGTTTGTGTTTGTATTACTTCTTCATTGGCAGCACGTATTTCAACTATCGAAATTTTGAAGCGGATGTTGCCTAAAGGCATGTTGAGTTGATTAGATCATCCTAACAAACCGATCCGGAACCTGCTGCCAACTTAGCTCATCAGCGTAAACAAAGCCACGTACAAAATGTGATTATTTGTTAATAAGCAACAGAAATACTATATATGTACTTATTAACAAAATAATTTCAAAAGTAAAGAGTTTGCTAACATGTCTGTGTCACAACGTCACACGATTTTCCCTCAAAAAATATTGAAACGTCTCCTCGGCGACTCGCTCTTGTTGTCGCGCTCTGAAAATGCTAGCTAATTCTGGGTTGCACATTGACTCCGGCGACAGTCTTTTCGCCTTTTGTCCGCCTGCGAACCTGCCAACGCATCGAAATCTTTTATTCCTTTGTGGGTTATCTAAACTCGACGAACTTCTATTATTCGCACGGCGCAAACATTAATTCCACTTCCTTTCAGTTGGCTCAGAGTTGCACACGATGAGGAAATTGAGTTTCTTATGTTATTACAATTGTAGAATTGGACTTGAAAGTTTTTATTTCGTCGTTTCTTGTAAGCAGGGCTTGTGCAACCAGCAACCAATAAAGTGCAGTAGTTAACAAATGTTTTTATATAGTTTGCGTCTCATCGTAATAAGTTATTATTGCACTCAGCATAAACAAGAGAAAATCATAAAAAATATATATGAAAAAAATTAATAAAAAATTATACGATGTAATATAATTTTATATCTCCAAAGGAAACGCAATTCCGATCTCTAAATAGTGTACAAACTTGAATGAATCATATGTGAAAACATTGCGGTGGATCCTCGCGTTCAATTTATGAAATTTAGTTTTTGATATAGGACACAGGACTGCGTAGGAATTCATTTCAATACTGTAGCTTTAAATATTTTATTTTGCTTGTAAAAAGAAAATCCATTTCCGCCCTTCTCATTTGATAGTTTTGTGAAATTGCAATGTTCTTAGAGCGTAATATTTTATCATAATTTGTTGTAAGCAACAAAGATAATAACATCGAAATAAAAAATAATACTAAAGAAGCAAAAGTGTAAAAAAGCAGCTTTCATCTGAGTAAACTAATACGATGGTTATTTTATTTTTTATTTAATTCTCTTCCTGGCAGTGCAAAACTAATTTCCCAACCCGAATCTCACGCCTCACGCGCAGAATTGTTAATGTCGTAAATGACTGTTTGTTTCTGGCATCCATAAACAACACCATTCGTCTACACAGTACATAAACTCATAACGCAAAGTTGCGCGCTAATGTTGATAATCTCCACCTCGACCTGTACTCTTGTTCACTTTACTCCTTTTGCCTTGTTTGCGCTGCACTGGGGAACGGTAGGCGTCCACAAATTAGTCGCTGAATATGCATTAAACACAAAAGTTTTGTTCTTTTATTGTTCATTGTGAAAAGGCCTGAGTATAAATGTATGTGTGCTTGCGTCGAGATTAATGGACTACATTTTATTATTGTTGCTGCTATATTGTACGTTATGTAGGCGGGTGTTAATGCAAAGCAGAAAAGTTTCTTGCGCGCAAGTATTGTAAGCCTATGGGTTTAATTTAATTGCACACGTGTTGATACGAATACATATACGCACATATATTATATTAATCGTATAATTGTTATACACGCGTGATAATGAAATTATAAGTCTGCACTTGAATTGTTTAATACTTCACTCATTTCTATATATCATGATTAACGTATTTTCATTTAATGAAACTTTAATCTACTCGTAAAAATGTTTACATGCTCGCTTTGAAGATGAAACAAATAATTAAGAAAAGTACAATTTTGGCACCTAAAAGAGAAATATGGGTTCCCTGTTTTATGCATTTCTAAACTTTTCGGGCGAAAAACGTAATGTGTAACAGAATATTAAGTATCTAGGGGCTAAATGTGGGCTTTACTCATGAGCGACCGTTGCGAGCGATTTAACAATCGAGTGTTTAACAACGTTTAGCCACGTGATATTTACGCCATTTGTTCTACTTCCACTCTATTTCCACGATTAGGTTTTTGTATTTGAACTTTCGTATTTAAAATTTTTGATATTTGCCCGCACACTGGAAAATTTAAAGTTATAAATGTCCTGGCGCGCCGACACGAGCAGCAGCAGCGCCAGCTTTATATACGAGCAGCGGCAGTGCCTGTTTTGACTTGTTTGACTGGCGGCGTATGACAAATGCGCAGGTGAAGGCCCGCCCGATAGATAATGCACGTGAGTAAAACATTTTACTCATGACTTGTCCGTCCGTATATAAAATACCATTTTTGTGACTAAAAACCGTGTAAGAACTTGGTGGTAGTAGAAAAGGTACTTTTAATAGCATGAATACAGTACATATTTGTAAAAAAAGTTATATTCCAGTAATTTAAGCAAAATATAAAATGTTTACGCATTATTTGTAAAGAATTTAACGCTTTTTTTCTACGCACTTGAAAACACCAAAATGTATACAATTACAAATTGGACAACAAAAAAGAAATTGCATGTAAGCATATTCTGTATAAATATAGTAAAATTGTACTTTCGTGTGTTTGTTACACTTTCGCACACAATTCGTATTAATTTCATATACCTAAGCATGCATCGAAAACGAAAAGCCAAAATGGAAATCAAAATATCAATCACAACATTTCTCAAAAAAGATGACTCAGACACATATAGTGAAAGTTGTCCGGTTTTTTCGGAGAACTCTGTGAGCACGATACTTAAGCGAAATGCAAGAGATGTAGGAATAATTACCGATTCCTATAATGTGCTTTGATCGTTAAACACTAAACAAAAAGCAATCATTAAACATTAAAACGCTTTGTTAAATGTAGTAATTAATAACAATGCAAATATCCTACTCTAATATCCGCAATGTACATTAACATTATCGTTAACATTGCTCGATACATTCGTGCAGTTTCACCGCGCGTCACTGAAGCTATAGTACGCATGCGTCCAGTGCTCAATGCTTCTTGTCAAATCGATATGTGCACACCGCGCATACACGAGCAACTCGTGAAGAAAAGTGAAATTACTTTCACAATTCAAGTTCGAAGGATGGTAGCGGCCGGTCGAATTTGTAATTAATTTCGATTACAAAGACAAGCAACGCCTGCGCACCGCGACGCGTGTGATTTTCGACCTTTCCAAATGTTTGTTTTGAGCTTTTACAATTGCAATTTCTTATGGCCAATTAAACATGATATTTTTAACCAATTTTGGAAATTCCGTACGGCAAACATGCGTAAGTTTGGAAATATCGTGTTGCATAATTTAAGTTTTGCAAAGTTCTAGATTAATACAAATGTTGGTGAATCATTAAGGTAAGAATAAACGACTATCTTTCATAGAAAAGGCTATCTTACGATAAAAATTGCATATTTATCAAAATTAGTGTATAAAATTTAATAACAAACTACGTGCTGTCGGTTTTTTTTACAGATGTAGTTAAATGTCCAATTAAAATCTGCACAATTTTAATAACAAATGTTATTCATATATTAATATGCGCCGTGCGTATAGTCCAAAAAATGAGAACATTAATTCAATTTTAATTTAATATTCGGAAATAAAAATTTCTAAATACGCCGCAAATGTAAAATTGCAGTAAAAACAGATTTATGTGGTTATAAAAATTCTGTAAGTGCTTGTTCCGCGCGTAGATTTCATCACAGTTACACAGTCGCTTAATTAACATGCGATTTGTTGACTTTTTTTTATCTAACCACAGCTTAACAGCTTAACATTTTAAGTTATTAGGCAAAGCCAAGCCAAATCTCGCCGAGTGAGAGTTTGGTCAACAAATGTAAAACTAAAAAGTAAAAGTGCAAAGTTTATCGCCAATGCGCGTTGCGCGATGAAATTTAACTATGAAGAAGATTGAAAGTGTTTTACAAGTTGTGTATCTTCCTACCACAAGCCATAACTGTCCATAAATAAATGTTGCTTCCTTTCATAGTAAACACAATAGCAAAATACGTTGTTTGCACGCAATACCAACTCGTAATTAAAAACTAAACTGTCGTTTTGTCACGTTTCAGCCACTTTTACAAAGACGTAAATAAAACAGACGTGGTTGACACCTGAGTAGCTTAGCACGAACGTCTAATTAATCGGCACGTATGTCTAATGGCCGCCACGTGCGGTTTCATGTCCATCGCCGAAGATATCATATTCGGCGGATGACCGAAAGTGCGTGATTGTGTGCGCCCAGTGTGTGCGTTGTCCTGCTGCGTGTGGGTAAGTGCATGGCATCGTCGGAGCGGTGGCTTCGCAGTCTTCCAGTGAAAGTGGTGAAAGTTAAGCGCTAACTCTCTACCGCACCGCCGCGATCGCAGACGTACCAGTCGGCCTCTGGCGTCCAAGGCTGCACGTGAAGAAGTGCCGCCCGCCCGAGACACAAGCACGAAAGACACCCATCTTGCGTGCCGTGTGTTTTTTATTTTTCCAGCGGACGGTGTCGCGCAATTCCTAGATTATGTGTTCGCGGAGTGCAGTCGCGTAATTTTCGGGTGCCAGAAGTTTAAAGTTAAAGTCAGTGTGTTAGAAATAAAGGAATATCACCAGACACAAAAACACCTAATTGGCAAGAAGTGTGGATAAATGGATAAAAATGAATAAGATACACTCAGGTATACTGGCAATCGTGATGTCTATATTTTTGATACAAGCAACTGACCCGCCAAGCGACAAATCCACGGGGTCTTTCTTAGCGCAAGCGCCTTCACCACTTCGGAGACTTACTGTGCCCAATGCGGTAGAAATCAAACATCTTGCTTTTGAAAGTTTAGCTAATCGCAGGGTGCAAACGTTTGTACCAACACAAATTCCAGTTAAGGTGGAGGCGCCTGGCACAACAATCTCACCCATTGTAACAAAGACAAATACAACTGATTTTGAAAAAAAAGAAAATTCAAGCATAACATTTGAATCTGTTAAACCAAGTCGTCTAGATGAGTTTTTATTTGACCCACCTGAGAATCAAACGCTTGACAGTCAGTTATTCGATGTTTTGGTTGATACTAACCCGATCATAGAAGATAACACTCAAAAGAATCTTTTGAGAAGAGATGATCTCATATCTGGCATCAATGATAACGAACATATCGGTGAGATTCTTCCAAATGATTATAACAAAGGCACGCATGTAAACCAAGTGCCTAACCATGCCTACAACCCACGCCAATCTGTCCAACCTGCAGCAAGACAACAACGTACACAGCGCCAGAACTGGCCCCGTAGAAATTTTGATGAGTCATTCCGTCAAAACCAGTTTAATCCATCAGTGAACTCACAAAATAGCAATAACAATCATAACCGGAAACGATTCCGGCAGGATTACAACGAACAAGGCCCAGAATTTGAACTATCCGGTTTTGAAGATCCTACGAATTACCGACAATTTGATTATGAACCTCAAGCGAGTGAAAATTTTGCACAACCCATACGAGTTCAGCCAAATCGTTTTCTTGCTTCTGAAGCAGGTCCTGCTTCTTATAGGATACCACGAAGACAACGCGGATATCGGGAGATGTTCTTCCAATCCCCCATTTATCGAGAACCATTTTTCGAATCTCATTTTCCATCGTGGGAAGGACAAGTTGGTAATCGTCGGCCTCGGGTAATATTCCCTACGGATTTGGTCGCATTTCGGGATACCGCAAATTTGGTTCCAAACCCTAGTGGACTGAGTGGTCCCAGTGGACCTAGCGGCGTAGATAAAGAACCAGATTTGTTGTCAGGGGACGGCAACCTTCAAGATATCCAACAACAATCCGACAACCGTGAACGAGGTCAGTTTTCCCACGGAAAGTTTTCTCGGGTGGAAATTAATGATTTCTCGTAATTATGTATCATATATATGTGTGTTTATTTTCGTTCTGCATTGAAATTCAATTGTGCTATTGTCACGTTCTCTGATTTTCTTTCGCTTTGCAAATTGCATTCATAGATTCATTTCATAGAAACACCACGAGAGACGAGACAATGAGTGGCATCAAATTGAAACGCTTTCCTTCGCTTCATTTTATTCTATTTATACGAATATATAAATATACCGAGTGTATGTTTAAGACGCGATTGAAATCAATTGCATAAATGTTCAAATTGTGCACAATCGTTGGCGTGCAGACCATGATCATTACAGAAAAAGTGAAACTCGGTACTCGGTCATTGTTTTGTCAAATTAAACAAAAGTGAAATTTTTGAAGCATATGTCATATCACGACTATAGTTAATTAGCAAGTACATAAATCGCCGGAGGTGATGTTTCGCGTATATTTCGGCGCGCTGCATGCGTAAACGTAAACGTGTTTCAATTGTCTGTATGCTGTTTTCGGACAGGAGCCGAGATAGTGTGCGCCTCGGGGGCGACGTGCGAATTCTTCCTGACTTGCTGGCTGTCGGGCGGCCTGCTGGAGAACCCCTGCGAAGGACTGCTGCGAGGATGCTGTTCGAGGGGTGCCTCCACCAAGGCCGGCCAGAGCCACAGTCAGGCGATCGGTACGCTGGAGGCGCCCCGGGAAACGGCCAAAGCCAAGGCGCAATCCGCGCTGCTCGATGCAGACACTCGTAAGTGCACGCAGTAAAACCACCAATACGCATGCGTACGATAATCATTCATGTTCTTAAATGTGTAACATTTCGAGATGCGCTCAGCTGCCAACACTAACGACATTTAACTCTTTTGACTAACAAACCCAAACGACTTTCACCGATTCTATCTGTGCGGCAATGTCAAGTTTATGATAAAATAAGAAAAAGCACACAAACAATGGATTATTAGACTTTTTTGTTGTTTTGTGCGCGGCTGCGATTGTTTGTGTGCGCTCCATGATGAGTTTAATTGTTTCTTTAGTGCTCGCTTTTTGTTTCTTTAGGCTGTGGAATTTCGACGCGTCAGCAAGCGCAGAGACGGATCGTTGGTGGCGATGAGGCTGGATTTGGTAGTTTTCCATGGCAGGCCTACATCCGCATCGGATCTTCAAGGTAATAAAACAAGTAAATTATGCATCTAGTACAAAAATATGCCTTTCGAAGGGAAGACATGCGAATAACTCGCACTGACGCCGTCTAACATTGCCAATGCACATTTGCATTGAATTTAAGAATCTGTAAACTTCAAATGTTAAAATACACGGGAAATTAGGCAAAAAAGTTTTATATGAGATGAACTGTAAAACACCAAACTACTTACAAAATCTAAAAAGCTTATATACGTAATAAAATATAAAAATAGAAAAGTTAATTTATAATTTAACAATAGATTAATTTTAAACAAGTCACATCTAACGCTAGTTAGCAGTTGTAGAATTAATGTGATTTGCATAACTAGAGTTAGACAATAAACAATCGCAAATTGCTTCCAAGAAGCAACGAACAAAAGTTAAAAAGTTGATTTACTGCGGGTCGAAATGAAAGTACAGTACTCGTACAAAAATAAAAATAAAAATACTACAAGAAGCAGCTGAAAAGCAAAGTAATTAAGAATAACAATAAATTTCTTCGACCCGCACCATTTACTTTAGTTTTCGCGCAGCTGCGCGAACTTCTCATGTAATCGCATAATGTATAATTCAAGAAACTTTTTATTTTTCAAACCATTTGTTGTTGTACATTAGATGCGCATAACCAGCAACAACAACTAACGTGTTATGTAAGGCGTATGCTTATTTTGTCAAATCGGAATTAAATTTAAGTATACAATGGGGTAATTTTTATATTTGCAGATTGTTATGTAATTATTCCCAGGAACTATTTATATACTTTTCTATATTTGTAATTATACGCTCTGAATAACAGTGTAATTTCCAGACGGTAATTTGGGCAAACTACTGGCACAATTATTTACTTGAAATTATTTTAGGATTTTACTTTCTGGTTAGGAACTTCTATTTGCAAGTACTTTGGGTTGCATAAGATAAATCAAAGTAATTTCTTAATGTTGATGTGAAGATGTTTATTATTTTGGGTCAACGGTAGCACCGGAACTCTTAACAACTTTACAAATTGATTAAAATATAGTCATTAAATTGATTATGCAAATTTCTCCAAATCATATTTATTTCTATCAATTTTTTAATAGCCAGACGGCGCCGCCGATCAAAATAACACACATTTTATTCAAAGCAGTTCATCGTAACATCTGCCATTTGAAATAAACTTTTTGTACTCGTCATCAAACGGACTCAAAGTGAAGTGTTTGCCCAATGTGCGAGCGAAACAAATAGAAAGCCAACTAAACGAAACTAATAACACATAAGTAAATGTGTTTGAAGGATAAAGGCGAAATGTAACTCTACGAGTTCCGACGAAAGTTAAAAACTTGTTGAAAAGTACTGACTTAGTCTATCAATCATTTCACCAGAAATAAAAATAAACAAAAAACAAACTCAACCAAAATATTGGTGTGGTTTTTTTTGATTTTACAGATGGTAGGATGGAGAAATAGTTCAATTATAGCATCAATTATAATTTCGTCATATTATGTACTGTCGTCGAGTGCAATTGACGGCTGCGGAAGAAAGTCGTGCGATTGGAACGGAAGTGAAGGAGTAAATCGTGTTGTTATTGTCGCCAATATCGAATGACATGATCTTTAAGCCGTCAAATACCATCCGGGTAGTCATATAACATATCGAAATATAAAATTGTGCCATCAGTTGCACCCAAATGCTCAAGCAAAAAGCGTGCAGGTTGCGCGAAGAAAGGAAAAAGTGTTTGGCATTCTTTTTTATGTTTGTGAAAGACCGTCACGCGTCTTGCTGCCGAAAGCATGCGTTGTGGAATTTCTGATGAGTGCGTCAGTGCTGTCTGCAGTGCGAATTCGGTACATATAGTAATAATTGTGACTGCGCGGCGAAACGCACTCATTTCCTCGTTTTAATTTTATTTGCGATAAAATTCGATGACGTTATGAATCACGTTAAATCCCAATTGCAATTTATTTATACTTAATTGTGTATTGGGAGCTAGACACAAGAGAAACTTACGTCGTAATAATATTTAATTGTTAAATTTATGTGGCAATTAGGAAACACATTAATTTTATTTGTATGTGTGTAGTTACTTGCTTTGAGATAAAGCTGTTTCTGAACTTTAAAGTGCTCATTTATTCATGAGCGTAAAAGCTTTGCATCAAGGATATTCCCTTAGTAAACCATAACCACAATCATAATTGTCAAATCGTTCAGACTACTAATCAACACTGTTTATTACTTAGTAGGTTTATGTTACGCAATTTTTTTAAACATGGCTATTGCATTAAGTGCAATAAAATATCATAAATGTAAGAAGTCAATACAGTAAATCTGCAACCCAACGTACACATATAATTCGCACATGAAAAAAAAAACGTTTTGTTAGAATATCTTTTTCATACAATTCGTAATAGAAGTGAAACTTATTTATAAATTCAATTGGATACTTTTATCAAGTTTTTATAGCATGAAAGTAGCAGATGAAAATTCCTTAACGGCTTCATTTAGTTCTTACATCATCATGCTTTGTAGATCAACAGCGCATTTATCAAAAGCACACAGACATCTGTTGCGCAACAATATTACATTTTAGTACAATGCGAACAGTCTGCTGCACTCTAATCATCCATCAATCAACGGCGTTCGATATATTTACACTCTTCCTCTTACATGTGATACTAATGATGATCGTTTTTAGATGCGGCGGTTCTTTAGTAAGCCGCAGACACGTCGTCACAGCAGGACACTGCGTCGCACGAGCCACCCCCAGACAAGTCCACGTGACCCTTGGTGATTACGTAATCAACAGCGCTGTGGAACCCCTGCCAGCGTATACATTTGGCGTAGCGCAAATTCAAGTATGTGTTGTTTTTATGCAAATGAAGTGCAAATTATATGCTAATCTACGGTTTGTGTAATTTAGGTGCATCCGTTCTTCAAATTCACTCCTCAAGCCGATCGGTTTGATGTGGCTGTTCTGCGATTGGATAGAACTGCGCATCAACTGCCGCATATTGCACCAATCTGCTTACCACCCAAAGGCGAGAGTTTTCTGGGTGAAGTTGGTGTAGCGGCAGGATGGGGTGCATTATCACCTGGTTCCCGTCTACGTCCGCAAACATTACAAGCAGTGCAAGTGCCTGTCATTGACAGCCGTTTATGTGAGCGATGGCATCGCTCGAAAGGAATCGGAGTTGTTATATATGATGAAATGCTGTGCGCTGGATATAAAAATGGCGGACGTGACAGTTGTCAGGGTGACTCCGGTGGCCCGCTTATGCTACAGAAGCAAAGCCGCTGGTATCTTATCGGCATTGTTTCAGCAGGATATTCATGCGCTCAGCCTGGTCAACCCGGGATTTATCATCGGGTGGCACAGACTGTCGACTGGATTACGCGAATGATTGGCTCGTAGCCAAAATATTTATTTCAATTTTACTTTGACTTCTCAAATCAAGTCTTGACAAGTTTTATTTTTATTTATACTGTTTTTGTTCTTGTTTTTATTTTTGTTTGTTGTACCCAGTGAAGTTCATCATCTTTATATCTATTCTGTGTGCCTACCGGTGTCCATGTGTGTGTACATAGTAAGATATGTGATTTTTTAACATGCAGACTAATTGTACGATGTTAGCTAGGTTTTAAAACAATTTATATTTATATGTCCTTTGCAAATGCATAAATGAGTATTACTTTTAAGAATAAATTATTTTAGACAAAACCAAAGCTTAGTTCCATCATTACTATAGGCAACCAAATAAACTTCTTCAAAAGTTACGGTTAATAAATAATGGTATAAACATCAACTAAACGAAAGAATAATTCCAACGGTGCTTAAATTGAATATTAACGGCATTCACCAACAGTATCAGAATAAAATATTCGGTTTATATGTTTGAGTGTGCTCATGAATTAATTAATAAAGCTGTTAAATTATACTCATTATATAACAAACGCAAACGTCTGCAAATCAATTGTTTTGGAATGACCTGGTATTATATAAGTTTTAATACTCATCATCGGCAGCAAGCGCCAAATCTGGGTCAATTTAGACGCATTCCGTTATCCCAGAAATTAAACACCCAAGTGGCCCAAGTGACTTAAGGTATTTACGCACGAATGGGGCATCGACATCATCGACACACACCGTCACAATACCAAGGAAGTAAGAAAACGAAGAAGAATGAAAAAACACAATTATGACCACTAATAGTTATGACTACGTATTAATTTAACGCCGTGCTTAAGTTTGAATATGTACTGTTAGGTGACTTACTGTTGTATAAACTGTATATTGACAAAAAATATGTGCCTACTTATATAGATAAAAAATATTTCGTTTCTAGATTTGTCTTTAAGTCGGGACATTGAACCAGTTCTTAAACTGTTTCCAGCAATTTGTTTGCAACAACGGCGATCTCTAATCGTGGGTGAGTACCGACGCGTTTCTAAATCGAGTAGAAAACACACTCAGACACGTTTATCTATTTACCGGCGCAGGCGGTGCGCGGAAAAGAAGAAAAACCGCAAGACTAAAGAAGTAGAGACAATGTTATACGCAATGTAATCGCAAAAGCACATAGCACGGCGGAAGATGCGGCCGTCCATCTGGCACAGAAACGCGAGCGCCTAGGAAGTGTACACAGCGTGTGCCACACTCTTCTCTTCTCGCGAAGAACCAAAACCAACATTCAACAAGAGGCACAACAGTAGCAAAACCGTGCGGCAGCAGCGCGAGTGCGCATCAGTGACCGACTCGGTGCTCGTCGACACGGTGGCCTCGCAAAGCAAGAAGACCTGGAAATTTACATATTATTATTAATAATAATAAATATTAAACAAATAAGAGTGCTTTTAAGAGAAGATGAGCATTGCGTGCGTTAATGTGCGGCGACGATGAGAATTGTATTGGGGGTCCTTTTGGGGTTGTTGCTGTGCGATAAAAGCGATGGTTTCTTCTGGTTTACGCGTCAAACGACGCCGACGAGGGCCAATCGCAAGGAGAGCAAACTTGAAGAAAATGCGATCTATAACAACGATTATCAACAACGCATTGCAGGAACAGGTAAACAACACCAAATCAAATCAAATTTTATTCATGACAGTAAAGAACGTACATTCTGCAATACTGTGCTCTAATTGTTATGATCGGTTTCAATAACTTGTCAAGCAGAAACAAATAAGAAAGAAAAAGCATAAGGTCAAGTACTTAAGTCTTTTTTGTTTTTACTAAAAAAACAAAACTACTTTACGTAGCATAATTGTGCGGAACGACGAGTACTGTTTAATTATTTAAAAGAGCACTTTAAGTTTTTGGCAAGGAGAAAATTCTGATTGCGTGCCGTTCTTGTGTACTGGGTTTGCGCTGCTAAAGTAGGAAGAAGAAAGCGTAGATGGTGCCGGTACAGCTGTAGCACAGTGCAGGAAGGCACTAATGCGCAAATCCGCCGATGCAAAAAACATTACTCAGTCATGATCACTGAACTTCTTCTTTTTTAGGACGCGTTCTCGTCACGATGATGGGTTATCCGCAACGATGCGAACGCAAGGGCCAGCAGCACGTATGTACGCTGGCATTATCCTGTTGGATGGCAGGAGGTGTCAGTCATACCGGATGTGGTACCAATCCATGGGTGGTCACCTGTTGTGTTATCACTCATTTGAAACAGAACAAGGAATTGTATTTTCAAGAGTAAGAATGAGTCTAATACTAATAACCAAGTTGGAGATTTTGTAATGTAGGAGGCCTTAGTGTTGCAGTAACCAAAAATTAATTTAAAAAATATTAAATTTACTGAATTTATTTAAAAACATCTTTGATGGAGTGTTTTTATCGTTTATTTTTGAATAACTATGTTGGTTATATCTTCACAAGTAACCAAACAGGCTAAAATAATTTTTTTTTGTATTTCTGTCACTGCCCCAAATTGAAACCCATATATAATGAAATTAAAGCATCCGATCAAGAGTAATTGCCAAAATAACTACTAAATGAACATTTAATTTTTAGATCGAAAAACACGGTGCAAAAACGAATTGAGGACGAATGTGGATTATCAGCGGATAGAATCCTATCAAAAAGGATAATTGGCGGGGATGAAGCGCGCTTCGCCCAATTTCCCTGGCAAGCGCATCTAAAAATTTTATCCTATCAGTGCGGAGGCGTGCTAGGTAATCTCCGTTGTTAAAATTATTTCCAAACGTGTCATATTAATCCAATGGCACTTAATTAGCGCTCACACAAAGTACTAAAATTAAACCCGGCCACATTTTAGATAAAATCTAATTACATCCTAACTACAGTTTTAATGCGTTTTGTGTGCATTCAGGAAAGTTTAATTATAATTTGAATTTTTGCAGTATCGAGAAAATACGTCGCTACAGCAGCGCATTGCATAATCAGAGCTAAACTAAAAGACATCACTGTATACCTGGGTGAACTGGACACACAAGATACTGGAAAAGTTATCGAACTAGCTCCTGCTGAATTACATCGAGTAAAACGTAAAATAATTCATCCCGAATTTGAATTTCGAACAACGCAACCGGATAGATATGATTTAGCTCTCCTACAGATGGTGACACCTGCAGGACATTCTTTTCATATAGCACCTATTTGTTTACCACCGCCTGGATTGCAATTACAAGGCCGGCAGGCGGTGGTTGCTGGTTGGGGTAAAATACAACCGTCTAATTCACTTTCTGGTACGAATGTTTTACGGAGTGCGCATGTACCTATTCTGAGCAAAGAAAAGTGTTATGCATGGCATACCAGCAAACAAATAAAAGTAGAATTATTCGATGATATGCTCTGCGCTGGCCATGAAGACGGCAAACATGATGCATGCTTAGGTGATTCTGGTGGGCCACTAATAGTACTAGAAAACGGTAGATGGACTCTGGCGGGTATTACAAGCGCAGGATTCGGTTGTGGGGAATACCATCAACCTGGGATCTACCATTCGGTTGCTGTGACTTCGTCGTGGATGCGTCGGATCATTAGTAAAGAGTTTGCGTAGACTACCTCAACAATTTTTGATAATTTTTTTGATTTAATATTAATATATTTGACGAACATTTTCTTGCATCTTTAAGTAGGTAAATATATTATGCTGTGATAACGAATGTTTTGAATATGTTATTTATTATTTATTCAAAGTATAAATAAATGTGATTTTAAGTAATATATCAAGCAATATACCCTTATAATCCTGTTTTTTCGATATTAACTGAGATGAAAATGAAATAAAATGGATGTTGGCTCTCTGCTCTCGTCGACACGGCACAGGTTAAGGTTAGAGTATAGTGACATACTTTCACGGCTGTATAAGAAAGGTCTAAGTCATCATATGGAATGTCAGGAGAAAGCTAAAACCCACACAAGCGAGGCGAGCGACGATTGTCGACATTTGCCGGACGAAGTTAGGAAATATATTTCTATAGCAACGGAAAGAAATGAAGGAAAAACAGTCTGACATGCAGATAAAAATGACCAGAAACAAAAACATTCTCAGCAGAATAACTCGCATAATATACTTGATAATTAATGCTTTTCATATGAATAAAAGTTTTTTATATGAACAATGTTTTTATCTACAATTATGAGGATATATAACTTTTTTTACCTGCCGAATGATCTTAATTTTATAACATAAATTATGACATCTCTATAACCACCAACCGCCAAAATTTGATATAAATTACTAAAAAAAAATCCAAAATATCTTAACATTAGGTATTATGTTAAAAGCTACTTCTTGGAAGTTTACCGATGTTGACTCAAACAGCTACATAGGTGAATATTGACGTAATTCATCTCAACTATGATAGCTTGTTCATTAATCTTTAATATCATTTACTGCTAACATCCTATATGGTATTTTGCATCTCTTCACTTTCGCGCATTTAGTTTAGCTTGAGTAGGTGGATGATTTTATACTTCCAAAAATATTTCTTTTGTAACCAAAAATTCTGAAATGCAAATTGATGAATCACGATGAAAGCAAGATACCCGGACCCTGGTCACTGGTCACACGACAATATCTAAATATAAATATAAAAAGCAAGTAGAAAGTGATTTCAATATTTGGTCACGTTACCACAACCACAACGCAAGATAAATGCAAAAATGCTGGAAAAAGAAATTAATTACAAATATATATGCATCGCATGAACATGATATTAACAGAGATTTAAAAAACACTATAATTAAAATACGTGGTGGAATTTCTCTGCCGGCACAGAAAGAGGTGGAACTTGTCTGTTCTCAGATTCACAACAAAGTGGAACGGTGTAAAAACAATTAATTTTGAAATTACAATCGCGTATCATTGAAGAATAAAAGAATAAAATATACAATCGACAAAGAAATGTATTAACGTAATTCTAAACGCAATTGTGATACTATTGCTTCACACTAAACGAAGATGAGGGTCTTGGTGACAAATAAAAAAATCATGAATAGGACAATCGTAATGGAAGTTTCCAAAATTGTATAACTTGCAAAGTCAGCAGATGCGAATGCGATGACGATCGTTCCGCTAAAAGGTAAAAGTAATGGGCCACGGGTGTGTTGAGGCACTTTCCTCGACATTAGCACAACACGAGTTTCTTCTGGCGCTTGTAATCGATGCTGCTCGACATTTCTTCCACTGAACACGAATTAGATTTCTTCGTCAGTAGCCTGGTCGGTCAGTGGTGAGCCAGTCAAGTAAATCAAACAAAACCAATACGCTAACGAAACGAAACGAAATCGAAAGAAAGAGTCACGTATCGTGTCACACTCACACTCACGCTTCGTCAGATACGAGCAGAAAAAAAAATGATTGAGCAAAGATTATTATAAATTTCTCCATCTCGTGTGTTGGTCTCTGGTCTCTTGGTCTGCCTCCGCTGCTGGCATCTCCCATGTGTATGTGCAAGGATAGTAGGCATAAACGCGACGTTTTTACTCTTAGTTGCTCGATGGCCATACAGCCGATCATCGAGATCGGACTGCTGGCGTTCTCAGCTCGCGTGTCGCCTGAAAAATAAAACTATGTGTGTGGAAGTGTGTGTGATAAATTAGAAAACGTGGCGATGTCAACATAATAATCACAACAGAAGTAAAACCAATGGTTAACCAACACATGCGTAATTACTGATAATTACTCAGTGTCGACAGTTTCGACGACGACGACAACGACGAAATTTATCGAATAGTGAAAACTGAAAAAATCATCGCTATTATCCTCACCCTAAGTCGCGCGCACGCTCTAGTTGCGATTTGAAAATGCAATTTAATTGTACGAGACAATTAGTGCCGTCGTTGCTGCAAGTGTGTTTCGTGCTGATGGTGATTCTATTTGCGGAATGTACAGAGAACGACATCAAAGGTAAATTAATATTTCTATATATCACCAAACAACTAGTTAAATCATCTACCACCTATATGTGAGTGTTTCAATGTGTGTGAGAACAAACAATGGTGGCAGTTGCACCAATCCACACACCAATTCGAAAACGTTTGGTAGAAAGCGAATGTGGTTCGACGTCAGTGCCAAATTAAATTAATTGCTTATTTGCTAATTGTACCAACACTATTGTTTACTAATAACCAACTAACAATCAAATCATTTTATTGTTTTCGGCTTCTTTTTTTAACTTTTACAATATGTTTTCAACTCAAAATCTGTGCCTGGAATTTTCTCATTCTGATGTTTAGTTGAGCAGTAAAACTATCCGGACGAAGGAGAAAGTAATTTAAATTCAGTCAAGATTTATTCACATTATTCACATTCAAGTTGGAGGTCAAGGTGGATTAGTCGGCGAGCGGCACATGAAAGATGTAGGTAGCTCCGGCAGCAGGTTAAAACGTAAACGCAGTCTGTGTAATACTGAACGAATATCTCACTCACATTGAAACAATGAGTTTCCAGACGTTTTCAAATAACTTCCTTCCTCTCAATCTGTTGCATTGTTTCCTCTACCTTCTATTTATGAATAAACGAATGAAACATTTCTGATTTTCTTTACAGATGAAACGGATAAGTATTATTATCCTCCACCAAAGACACGTTTTTTCGATGAACTCGGATGTAAGTATAAGTAACACCAACTGGAATTTTATTTTGTGTTGCATACTTATTCAATTAATGTCACACCAACAAAAAAGTATAATTCACGTGCTGCGACGCAAAAGTGAACACAATACAAATATCGCGCCTGACCTAAATTATTTTCTCAAAGGCATTGGATTGAGGCTCAACTCCCTTTACAGTTTTTTTAAAACATTATTTACTCTCGCTCGCACCTCGTCGTTGGTCGCAACTATGTATACCATTACTTTTCGTTTTAATGTAAATTTTGAGATTTTTCCGACTGATTGCTAGCGCAAGGTACCATATAAGGTACCGTGGTGCTACCGTGATGAAAACAAAACAATGCTTTATGTCTAGCGTATTATTAAACTTGAACCGCTTTTCCTCAAGTTCTCCTTTTCGCTCGAAGCGTTTCTCACTCTCACCGTTAAGTCTAGATTAGAATTAACAACGCGCGCAGAAAAATATAAAACACAACTGTGACTGAAAGCTTGAGGTTGTGTTAGTGTGATGAATCTTATCGTTGAAAATGAGAATTTATTACGGTTTCACAGCCAGAGTGACACAGCTCGACATTGATGATATTTATGTCTATTTCATGTACAGCAGAACACACACATTCACATATACACACACATAAACGCACATAAACTGAGTTGCTGATCTAGGACGGAAAGAATTATACAAATATCGCTGAGAAGTTTCTAGAAATCTAGAGTACCATCCACATGACTTTAACTTAAATCAAAAATATTCCTATGATATATTCATTGTCTTAATGTTAAGTTGTATTTTTTATAAATAAGAAATGTTTAAAGCTTAAGAACTTTCAAAAAAACTTCTGAAAATTAACAGGATTAACCACGAATATTTAAATACACAGTTTTTGCCTCAACAACTTCAAAAACGGCTTATTAGAGATCAAAATATAAATTTGTTTAAAATTACGTGAATTGTTCATCCAACCTAATGCACATATTAATCCGACGTTTGTCATTTACCATTCATATAAAATATCCATTGAATTTGACATTGTTGTACATACATTACCGTAAACAATGCTTAAAGAGTGAAATATTACATTTGAAGGCATCCACCAAAAAAGTACATTTAAACTGATCCAGTCACGATTCGCTTAGAATAGTAGGAGATTACCATTACTGATTATGTAAAACATCTAAGTCGCGGGTGGGTGCCATTGCTAAATTCAGATACACGACAACGAAAATGTATCGACGGTGTTGGCGAATATGAAAGAAACAATAGGGGATTTCTTTTGTTCCTTTTGTTTTGCTACGCAGGATTATTTTCGCGAATTTTATTTTTTGTGAAACAATTTCACGCGTAAAATTTTAAATATGATGAATTCAAGAGTGAAAGCTGCGTTTAATATAATTATATATCGCCATAAACAAAATTCTTCACTTGCAATCATTAAGTTTTAAAATTTACTGATTATATTACTGTTTTTGGTTGTGTATATCAATTTAAATTGTCTAATCGTGCATTTCACTTTTAATTTCTTTCTGAAACAAGAACCGCACCCGGATACACCAAAGGGAGTCCTTAAATGGTAATCAGATTTCTATATCTGTAGTGACGGACAATTAGTAAAAGCTAATTTTAGTATAATTGCTTAATTTTAATCCTAGCAAACATATTGAATCTCGTTAAATAGTTAAATGGTTGCAAAACCAATTTCTCCGCCTACCTTGACGACATTAATTCGCATTGCATAACGATGCTATCTCCTGCGATATTGTTATCCGCAGACATGTCGCTCAGGCACAATTTTCTCCCCATTGTGTTAGGCTTTGTCTCGCATCAAGATAAACACACACAAGGGCAATTAAGTAATGTTCACCGTAGGCAGGCAGATATAGGAAGGAAGGAAGTGATTCGTGCGCATGTCGACTTTGGCTTTCTTCGCGTTGTGGTCGTTTTTCTTTCTTCTTCGGTGCCATCGATGCGTTTCGCGTACGCGCGCACTCAATCATTAAGGCACTCACGCACGCACACAGCAGTGCTGCCGAAGAAGAGCACCGTGCACTCGCTCGTTATGAAGCTTTCACTTGTAAAGTAAGTTATATTCGCCTACCCCCGGCGGAGGACTTGAGCGCCGCAAAGACGGCTTAACCGACGACTTAGTCGCGTCGGAGACTCACTACCTCGCGAAGCGCGCACGTCTTGGCGTTTTACAGTCAAAAATTACTTTTCAAAATTTGCACGCACGCAATAAGAACCACCCGTTAAGATGTTCTGTACTTAAATTTAAAGTAGTCTTAACTTAACTTAAGTGCCGTACAATAATTAATAGTGCAATAGTGATTATTAATATTAAATTAATATAAAATATAAACACATTACTGAAAATGGATAACAACAGGATAAGTGCAGTTATGTTGGCTTTCGTTGTGTTGTGTTGTTGCCTAAGGATAGTTAGGACTACACCGAGTGAGAAGCAAACACAAGAGTTGATGATCCTTGATGCATTGGGACGACGCGCACCCACTCTGGGCCACACGGACTCTCAAGGACTGATCGAGATGCTTGGTCGAAGTAGGTGGCATTATTCAAAGTTTGTGATATATTCTTCTACTATTCGTGCTCCTTCTAATTGAATAACTATTAAGGGCATTAAAGTGGAACACGTTAATTTGAAATAATCATTTTTTGTTGTTCAGTCGTCGTCGTCTTCTTGGTCGGTCTTGCAATGCTGCTTTTTTCATTCGAGCCATGAAGGCAATTTAAAAATTTATGTTAGGCGGTCGGATAACATGAAGCCGCTGCTTTCTTTCCGCGTGCACCAAGCAGCAATACACCTTCTGTTTGTATTCGCTCCACAATGTGTTTAGAAAAAAAAAAACACAACACCAACACACACACAGATACAACAAAAACACCGAGAAAACATTCACATGACGCCAGCTACTATCACAATTCTCATTAAATGTAAGAAATTTATTTACGTAATTTTTGTGTTGTAGTGATACCACAGTCGTGTCGATTCAAAGGCGTCAAATACGAATGTGGTTTGAGCATCAGTTGCGTGCTGGGAGGAGGCAGACCCTTAGATCTTTGCTCTGGGGGGATGATTTGGGCTTGTTGCGTTGATCGTGACACGCAAACTACTACCTCACAACAGCACAGCTCGCCTGATCAAGGGGTGCTAAACAACGCCAGTGAGTATAAATTTCAATTATTAACAATTCAGTACAAATTGTATATTTTATTTCGTTCGTTCAGACAAAAAGTTAAATTTCACATTTCCTCTGTGACTAAAATTTTTTGTTGCAATAGTTTAAGGTTGTTTTCTGACGTTTTGTTAATTTACAACATCTGCTGAAGTGTAGCATTTCCTTGGCCGACATTTCTTTATTGTTTGCATGCGCTTCCAGCTAGCGCGTAATTGGCCGGATCAAAAGTTTTATTACAAAAATATTCATTGTTTTTCCAACGCTACGTAAATTTCACTATTTTATATTCGATTATTACACGTTTCGGACGAAACAAGTGGTATTCTCTTTGGTTTACCGATAAATAAAAGAAAAGAAAATTATCGTTGTGTATCCGTTTCGTTCGACGGGTATACGAAGTGTGCATGTGTGTGTGTGTGTGTGTGAAGTGGTGTGCGCTACTCGATTGTAAATCGTAACACTTTCACTCTGCTTCTCAAAAACGTGCGCGCTTGGCTTCGCTCACAGCAACAATGCAACAATTCCGAACACGTGAAGAGAATGCGCGGATAAATAGCATAATATATAATATCACCGTTTGTTTGAAATTGAGGACCTGAATTGGTGCTCAATTGGTGAGCTGATATCGATTTTTTCCAATGAATACTTCACGCGTGCGCGTAATGTTATTTCATCAAAATGCAGGAAGAGTATTAAACTGCTCTGCTCAAGCATGATTGGAAATGATGTAATTTGCCAATTACAATACTTGTATTTAAATGTGTTATATTTTTTTGACGCGCTGCATTACGAATTTATAATATTTATATAACACAAGCATAAATCGTTCCATGTTGCGTGATATCTCGATTTTTCATTATTTTCGACAAGTGAACAATTATGTTTAACGGGCCGCCGCTCCATTTTGACTCGTACAATTGTCACATTAACTTTTGTGCGCACATTTTCGGTCCATGATTGGCATAAATATTTCATAACATGTGTGCACTCGCCCATCCACAACGCACGACGCCATCAAGAAAACAAAAAAAAACTAAATTGAATGAAGACAAAAAAAGAATAAAACACATAGAGAGCGCTCCGTCGATGCTAGCAACTCGGTAACTTGGTACGTGACAGGAAGTCAAAGTGAAATTCGCTCATTGTTGTAGCGCACTCAATTCTCAATTCGCTCTATACATTTAATACATACATACATAGGAATATAGCTTTTGTGAAAATAAAATAAGAATCAAGTAGGAAAAGCCCGACAACCACTTTGTATTAAATATTTATAAAACAAACGCTGTTTGCGTCGTCGCAAAATACTATAATTATTAATATAAAAAATATAAAAATATAATTTAATACCGTGTAAATTTTGTTGAATTGATGTTAGAGTAGGCATCCAACATATATTTATCGTGTTCTATTGGTTGCCTAAAGCTATAGTAGAGCAGCGTATGTTAATAATTAATAAAACGTGCATGTTAGATAAAGAGATAGTCAGTATTGAAGTTAATTAATTCTGTTTTTGTTTTTATGACTAATGTTTGCTCCTACACTCCTTGTGCATTATGGTCAATTGTGTAATCTGCTCTCCACATCGACACTAACTTCACGCACACATTGAAAAAAATAAACAACAACAAAAATCAGTAACAGACACGATTCATCTAGTTGGGTATTATCCTGGCGGCGGCGGAGGCGGCAATGGAGACTCCGCGTCGAGTTTCGACGACCACCAGGAGTCAAACAACGTGGACAAACCGCCCTATCGGCCGTACTATCACGATGATGACCGCCCACTAGTGGACCACGACCATCATCATCACTCGCCGCTCACCAGCCATAATCATTATCAACGACCCGACAATACCAAACACAATTTTAATTACATGGGTAACAACTAATCAGAGTTATTAATAAAAGCTAATCGCATTATGCACAAATCACGCTACACATACATAGAACCATTACAATCACCACCACTACTATCACCTGCCGGTCTGTACAGTTGTACATAATTGTACATAATAATTGTACATTATTGCACTTTCTAGATTTAGAGACCTATATAGCACCCAGCACTATCTTTTACTTTTTTTTAGTGAAATAGTACTTTTATGTAAACAACGCTTTTGCATTTTACTTAATTCATTTTTACTTTGTAGGTTGTGGAGAGCTGTACACGAGAAGCAACAGGATTGTAGGTGGACATTCCACTGGGTTCGGATCACATCCGTGGCAAGCAGCTTTGATAAAAACAGGATTCCTAAGCAAAAAGTTGGCATGCGGCGGAGCGCTGCTGAATGAAAGATGGATCGTCACTGCAGCTCATTGCGTTGCAACGTGAGCATTGAATAATTAAATTTTTAATCTTAACGCTACTTAGTTTAGTGATTTATTAAAAGTCCACTTAATATGCATCGCATTTCGCGACTTTCAAGTCGCAGCTGTTGGTTTACTTAACTTTTACGCTCTATAAAAGTCTGCTCTGATTTATTATGCCGTTCAGGCATCTGCACGCATCTTAAACTTTTGGCGCAAACTTTCGGAGATGTCTCCGAGGTAAAGTCAACTTTTATTCCGGAAGTAACAAAAAACTTTCAAGTTTACAGCCCCTGTTTCAAAATGCAATAAATAAAATCAGCTTTTAAATTTTTACCGTATACGTAAACAGCAGTTTACTTTAAATTAATATTTTAATACTTCATAAACATAACAGTATTTTATGTCGAAATTTAGTTCATAAAAGGTGTAAATTGGTTTCGTCCTTGACATAATTTCGATAAATTATTTTTACAAGGACTCTAGTGTTGGAGTAAAGTAATTACACTTGTAAATTCCAATTAATAATTCAGCCTTCCTTCCGCGTTATGCACGTCAAGCAATTTTTTCAACCTATTTTTGTTTCAGTACAACTAACGGAAACATCCGAGTACGACTAGGGGAATGGGACGTACGCGACACGGAAGAGCGTCTCAATCATGAAGAGTATTCCGTGGAGCGTAAAGAAGTCCACCCTTCGTACTCGCCCTCTGACTTTAAAAACGACGTGGCGTTGGTGAAACTCGATCGCAACGTCCGCTTCAAGCAGCATATTATTCCTGTCTGTCTGCCATCGCCTCAGGTGAGACATTGTCTCAATTAATAATGTTCTAATTGGTGCATTTTGATGAAAATTAATTGGTGTGATTTTTCTTCTTATTCGTAGTTGAAATTGTCCGGAAAAATGGCGACGGTAGCAGGCTGGGGACGAACGCGGCATGGTCAGGCAACAGTGCCTTCCGTGTTACAAGAAGTAGATGTTGAGGTAATACCTAATGAGAGGTGCCAGAGGTGGTTTAGAGCCGCCGGTAGGCGTGAAACTATACATGATGTGTTCTTATGCGCAGGATATAAAGAGGTGAGAAAAGAGGAATAGTCCAGAATAAAGGTCCAAACAAAATAACTACATCATTTATATTAATTATATGCAATTATGCTAGAATTAACTTGAATTGGTTTAAAGTCACTTTTAATCTACTGCAGATAGATTTATTTAGTTTGGACCGCTCTCCTGGACATATGATATATGTTTTAATATGAGATTATTGTTTAAAATTTGAATGTTTATTTCCATCAGGGTGGACGAGATTCGTGTCAGGGCGATTCAGGCGGCCCTCTAACAATGACAGTAGACGGCCGACGTACCCTCATTGGACTAGTGTCCTGGGGTATAGGCTGTGGTCGGGAACACTTGCCTGGTGTGTACACCAACATTCAGAAATTCGTGCCTTGGATTGACACAGTGATGGATCGCTAAACTGACAAACAACCACTCAAACCCGCTCAACAAAGCGAAGCGCGATCAGAAAATTGAGACGATAAGAGAAAAGCAAAAAAGAGGAACATTGCAACTTGTATGTGCCACACTCGACTAGGTTTTTGCTCATTTCGTACGCACGAACGAAAGGCAATACACACAGCTAGACATAAATAAAGACGATGTGCAGAAGTATCATATTCATGTAGAAACAGATCGAAAAATCATCCAAACGAAACACCATCAAATAAAAAAGAACTCAAGAATGACATGTCTCATGAAGACGTGTATAATTTATTATTTTACGTATCGAAGAATGAACTTATTAGCTTTCTAGGTCTACACAATCTAAGTATTTATGTATCATTTAGACGAAAATTTACGCGTAAGAATCTATATTTGTAATGTGCATAATAAGATAAGAAATGAAATGATTGTTAGCGTTAAGTAGACAATTCTAGATAAAAACATTAAATTAAAACTATTTACCAAATAAATTGTGTGGTAATATAATGCAAATCACGAATAACTATAAAGTAAGTACTTATATGCAGCGCATGCGTAATTTACTGCTCGTACTAACTCTAATGTATAGTTGGTTGCCTAAGTATTAGCAAAGCTCTTGGAAATTAAGTGCAGGTAGCTGGAAGGACGTTGGACAGAAACCCGCGCGCGTATGCATGCCTCAGAGCCTCTTCTTTATTGCTAATGCCACGGCTCACCGTAAGTGTTCTGCGAGTTATTAACGGTACCATCATATCCAATCGATCCCACCTCTACACTGCGTGTGGCGTATTCGCGCGCCCGTCGAATTGTCTGCGCGCCAAGAAAGAAGATACCTGTCGGCGGCGTTGCAGCGACGCTCGCCGTCGCCGAAGAGGTCGATGACTCTCACTGCGGCTGCTGCTGCTGCTGGTGGTAGCGTCGCCCGCCGACTGGGCAATCTTCTCTTGGCCAGCCGGGCCGGACCGACGTGTGCTCGCGCTCACCGCTCAGTTCAAACGAAACGGCGAGCTGGTGACGACGATGAGCACCATCTTGAGCCACTGCTAGTAGTACCACATCGTATACACCGCACGCGTTTAATTTTCGCCGCAAGCGCCGAAATAGCCGGAGGCGCAGTGGTGTTAAAACCGGGAAAAACTTTTCAAAGTTTCGCGCAGTGCACATCCGTCAATTATGACTTAGACCACAACACGCGTGCGCCCGCTGCTTAGGTTTTATTTATTTTTTGTTGATTATTTTAATTTTTAAACTTTGGTCAAACAATTCGTACGTGTGTTTTATCTAGTCCGGAATTTTATTTATTTTATACCTAAAGGTACGTATTGTTTCAATTTTATTATTATTATTATTTACTTTACTTAACTTAAAATTCCGATTGATACCGGAAAGATTTATGACTTCCGCCGTGACAGAACAAGATTACAGTAAAATTAAATTCTTGGAATAAGAAACGCTATCATATTTTTTGCTTGTTATCCTGTTTTACTTTTTGTTATCGAAATTAAACCCGCTCGAAGCAATTCGTTATATGTTTCTTGTTCAAGTACGCGCGCACTCAAGATTCGATTACGTAAAATCGAACGCAACCAACGGTAAATTGAACATCCCGCGACCGTCATCGTCCAATTGGAAATTTATCTCGTTGCGTACGTTTCTAAGACAGGGTTATTGAATAATACATAATTAAAGCACATTCGCCATTAAGCTAGTGCATAACCCGTTACGTATGGTCACCCTCTAGCATCTAAACCTGGTTATCAGATTCAATATCAACTCATCCAATTTCTCTACGGTAAATAAGACGATTCTATTGAATAAGCTTTGCAATTTTGAAAATCAATAGGATTTTCCGCTTGATAAACTTTATACGAGTATATACAAGCTTAAATCTAATCCCAGAGCTTTCAGCCCAGCAACTAACTGAATATTGAATTTTCTTGTACAAAAAAATATTTCCAAGACAATTAACGGTCGAAAGCGGTGCGAGGAGCCCGCAGTGTTTGAAAAAGTGAAAATCGAAAAGCATTCAATAGATATTATTCTGTTGCTCGCATCAATCAAGTAGTACACTTGCGGGTACTCACAATTTAATGCTAATGTGTGTAGTGTTGTTGAGCTTTACCGGGTTTTCTAGGTCAGTGTCCTGTGAGTACAAATTTGAATATACAAACTCTGACATTCTTTGAAATATAAATCATCTTGTTAAACGTGGAAAGTAAAGTAAGAATTTATTTTTATTTATTCTTTGTTGCTCTGCATGTGCGATACTAAATTTCGTCCAACAAATTATCATTATTGTGGCGATGAATTAAACAAACAAAAAACAATTAAGACTCGTGGCGGCGCGCGCGTTATATTATAAAAGTTTAACTTGTTAAGTACGCAAACGACTTAGCTTACTTGATGAACTGTCGACGCGGAAAAAAGACTCACGCGCTCGCTATTCACCCAAGACTCCAGTCAAAAGAAACACTCGACTATTAAGTTTGTTTTCATGTTTTCGCTTTGCTATGAACTTGAAGCTTCAACTTCAACAGCTTATTTACAGTAATATTCCTATTAACTATTATTATGACAAATGCGTCTTATTTGTGTAAATTTTTTTGAGTCAAGTTTGCATATGATACCGGAAACATTTTTCCCAAAATGTAAATTAGTAAAGATTCACATCGAAATCGTATCACGCATCGCGGTTTGTCCGGCGCTGCGCGCAGGTTATTAAACCCGTTAAAGAATTACCGCTCAGTCGCAATAGTCGCCGATGATTTCTCCCATCGATAAACCTTATAAGATAGTTAGGCAGACGTTGGTTCAAAGACTGTCGAGGTATTAATTGCTTATTAATTAGTTTGCCGTTCATTGAATTCACCTATCTGTGGCACGACGCGCGTGCGATTCCAGTAAATCGTATTAATTAATGAATTCTTGTCCGTCAGTCAGTCATGAAGTTAAATCTATATCTTACATTGTAGGTCGGGCTAGGAATAAATTTCTTGTGGTGCTTATTTGACGATTGACGTCCGAAGAATAAATTCAATGACATAATGCGCATCATTATTGTAATGATTTCCTCACGCCACACTACACCATAGTGAGAAGTATAATGTAATTAATGCTTCTTTGTTGATATGTGTGTCATATAATGTGTGCTACGCCATTAGTACTGGCATTGTTTTGTTTTTGTTTCGTTGCTGTGATCCGTGATGATAATTTATAATGAAATTGTTACACTTTACCATACCATTAGCGTTAACTTGCAATGGATGGAGTGAAAAATGATGATGATATGTTGATGAACTTAACCTTCTCAAAAGTTTCTGTCTTTAATAATATTTTGCAATTTGTTTCAGATGTTGCCAAGGACTGCTCACCTATTAGCAATTTTAAGTTTCTTGGTGGAGATGCGCGTTTCGTCGCCTGTTTATAATATGCAACCGGCTTATATAACAGCAACAATAGGTACGTCCATATTCAGTCAGACAAACATAATATATTCGAGGTTATTCGATGCATTTTTTGTTCATATTCGGTTGTTTACAGTTAAAATTAAAACGGCGACTTAATAACTGCGTTTGAAGCCTAAACTTAAAGTCCACCTTCAATATATTTTTATTAATTTCTGAAATTAATTATATGGTTCAAGATATATTGACTTGTTATTTTACCAATAATAGCTTTGTTATTTTCAAAATTATAAAATCGAACAAAACGAAAGTAGGCATATAACACTAACCGTAAAAATGACTCAACATTATGTTTTCCGAAATATATTACCAATGAAATGATGAAAGTCAACTTTCTATCAACAAATTTTACATATTTTATAATGAATCATTGTTAATCAACATTGGTCCGTGCAAGAATTATCGCTAATATAAAGTGTGAAACACGACACCAACATAATTTGTAATTTCGCACGCATATATTCCAAATATTTAATCTGCTCTAACCCACCAAATACGAGTATACGTAACGGCGGTTAAACTATTGCCAGGCGCCTGCATCATATTCCGATCGGTGAACGTGATTCATAAAGTACAAATTTCGGAAAGCCGAAGGCAAAGCCCGAAGCCTAAATCATCCAACATAGGTGGTATCCAGGCATTCCGGATTCGACCCAGAGACACAAAACGCGTTGCTCACACTTTACATTACCCACTTATAAATTCCTCCCACGCTCGGCCCAGACGGCCTCGATACCGTTCCAACGCGTCGCACCTCACATACATTCTTCTTCCTCTCATCTTCCGCTGTTATTGCTTTACCTTTATCGAAAATTTGTATTAGTATTAGCAATGTCACCGTAACCCACAATCCATTGAAATTTTAAGCTTGCAATTGATTATAATATCTAAATTTATTAATTCTTGTAGTGTTGTTATAAATTATAACCGATTGTGTTTGTGTTATCGACAATCGTGGCGTTAATAATTTGATGAGTTAATTAACTTTCAGCGTTCATCGCAAACGTTTCATTTTGAGCGGCACGCTTCATCGCATGTATAATTAATTTTAAGACGACTCGACTGCTATTAATTAAACTACACAATGGCGGCTTCCATAAAATGCAATCTTCCGGCTTTGATCCGAGCATAATTACTAATTATCACTAAATGTTGAGTAAATATTGACAAGCAATTAATTTTTGCGAGTAAAAATAGTGTTGCCATTACAATGACACAGAAAAACAAAAAATATCAGATTGAAGCGGTAAAATCGCCCACTCGTGCGACAAAATATTCAACGTGACGACAAATTCGGACTCAGCGTCGACGTCCAGTTTTAAACTTGTTCCACATCCTCGGTCGTATACTGCTCGTATACTATTGTTTACACCTTTTTGCATATTCTGCGTCTTTACTGACCTACATAAAATGCAAAATAAAACTTAACAGGTTCTTGTCCGCATATAGTTTTCCGCGTATTTCTGGTTCAAGTTTAAGTTCGCAATAAAAGTTAGAACTGAATGTTGTGTTTGGTCCATTTCGAAGTACGCGGACCAAGGAGCGGTCGCGGCGTTAGATAAGATGGACTCAAATGATTCGGATCTGTGGATTCGTGATCTAACGAGCGCACGTACACGAATGTTATGTAACGGTGTACGCATTCCTTGGGAGAAGACTACAACTACAACAACGCAAACGTAAAACGATCGCGCCTCAGCTGAGCTGCGCTTTGATCTGCGGACGACGGACGCGAGCCGCGCACCGAAGCACCGAACAAGTTACACAACCACACATGGGTGACGTCACGGCGTCCCGTTACCTTGGCCCAGTGGAAGCTGAATCCCATCAAGCTCAAGCTCAAAGCGCACAAGAACATCACACACCACTCATACATTAGTAGTAGTGATGGTAGCAGGAGGCTAACAGCTAGTTTCTATTTTAGTTGCCTTTTTTCGTCCCCAGGGGCGTCAAAGGGAAATGACGGTTATTTAATGCGCGTAATTGCAATTACATCCAATGCAAATCGCGACCGCAGTCGTTGCGCACGTACGCGCAATGCGTTATTATAGGTCAGTAAGCTAAACCGTTAGCGCTTTGCATTGCGCGTAGGATGGCTGATGTTCTGCAAATTGATTTAAATTTCATGTTCGTAGCTGTATTGACAACGCGTTCATTTTCAACTTCCTACATTTACATTCGACATGATTTGTCGCTTTGCGCCGGTGGCATTAAACACGTACTTTACTTCTTTTACAATTTCAGGTAGCACTGGTAGGAACATAAGAAATCTGCCATGCATATCCCGGAAGAGTAATCAAAGCGGTGTCTGTATGTTTGCCATCGACTGTCTTAAAGCAAATGGTACCCATTTGGGCACATGCATCGATCGCTTCTACTTTGGTTCCTGTTGTCACATAGAACCGCTACAAGATATTACTGAGAATACTATTGATGCTGCACTTATTCCATCAAGAGAACCACCACATCGAATCACAACAAATGCACCTACTACTAGTATTGTCGGCAGCACCACAAATGCTACACAGATGAAACTTGATCAAGGAGCACTCACGACTACAACAACAACTACTACTACTATTAAAGCGGCAGTACAGACAACAGTTGTGGGAGATGATTTAGAATCTTATAAAATCACAACTTTTCAGTCTGTAGATGATGTCCCTGTTACTACTACGATACGACCTAAACCAGCAAAAACGAAGCCGACCGCTACCATCAAACCTACAAGTGCTGTGCCTGTGCAAACGACAAAACCCACAACCAAAGTTACTAAACCACGACCTCAAACTACACCCAAACCAAGTCCCACTTACATCAATCGAAATACTACGACACAATTGAATGCAACACGGCCACAGACAACTACACCTCGTCTAAGACCCAAACCAACTAAACCAGTTAAAATAACTAAACCCATCTACAACGCCACTTCTACAGTGCAATCTAGTTCTGGCTCTAGCCCCACTCCGTCACCCAATACTCAACGTACCACTGTACGATCTTCAACAACAACGAGATCTACAAAATTGACAAAAAAACCTTCACTGGTGACTAAAGGTACCAGCGCAACACGAAAACCATCCATTACTTCAACCACCAGACTTCCGGTCAGTGTAACTACTACAAAACCCTCGACTGCAACGATTAAAACAACTACAAAACTGACGACCATTGCTTCAACTACAACAGCTACCAGCACGCTATCCAATGAGGTACTTGTCGCAGTAAACGCTACAATTAACGACGCGCAAAAACCACCTGATGTTAATGGTAATCCAGCAACTAATGAAATTGAATCACCACATACCCCACAACCAAAACCACCAGTTATTTCTGAGAGTAGTACTACGCCAGGGCCTAGTTTGGTAACCTGGAGTGAAATTCAGAAAAACAACACTTTCAATGCTACCTACACTGAATCTACTACTGCGAGTTCCACTACAATAAGCAGTGGACCATCGGTTTCTACAAATGTAGAAGATGGTAAGAAGGAGAAATTATGAGTTTCTTGCTAGTTAATTGTCATACATTTACGTTTTTTAGTAACGAATCCTGATGATTGGGTACCTGTCACAGATGGTTGGGTGCTACTACCTAGCTTGACCACCACACAGGATACTGATGTCACTACACTGCTTAGCAATACTGAAAAATCTGACGAAACCAGCTCTGAAGCTAACGTAAACAGTGCGTCCAGTAGTAGTACGGAAGCGAATCAACCGATACCATCAAGTACGCTGGTCAGCAGTACACAGCTACTAACGAGTTCCACAGAGAGTTCAACAAGTTACGTATCTTCCTCGTCCGCATCTACAGAGTACACCTCTTCATCCACCGAAGATATATCGATCTCATCTAGTACGGAAGATGTGAGTGCCGCTGCTATTGCTATTGGTGGTACATCGACACCGGTGGCGACTTCCGGTCTCAACATGAGCGACTTCACAGATGGTAATTATTATAATTTGTTTCTTACTGTATGTGTGGCTGGAGGTATGTGTGATTGTGTGTGAATGTGATGTCCGCGCGCACGAGCCTTTGTAAATCGTTTCAGTTCATGAACCTGAGACTTCAAGGTAAGTGTACAACACAACGCGGTTGTTTGTGGCGAGTGTGGCGCGCCGGGCGTTCTTCGCTCGGCGTTACGAGCGAAACAACCTCGACAATCAGAAGCGGCGGCCAGTACTTGCATTATTAGCGTCTAAGTGTGTTTAATGTCGACCCGTCAGGTGTGATCCGCGCTCAATGGGAAGGAGACGAGCATGACCACACCACGAGCGCACGAGCATTTCCGTCTGCAGTACGCCGGGTTTTATTCTTTTTGCTGCTTTTATTTTTTGTATGTTCGCTGAGCGAGTGTAGTGTATAAAAAAGTGTGCCATCGTATGGAGTGTTGAAATTATGATGATATTAAGTGGTGCCCTTTTGTTGAGCGCAGTCTGTGGACGTCGGATGGTGCCCGAAGGTCGTATCGTCGGCGGTGAAAAATCGGCGTTTGGAAAATGGCCCTGGCAGATTTCCTTACGGCAATGGCGTACCTCCACCTACCTGCACAAATGTGGCGCTGCCCTTTTGAATGAGAATTGGGCAATCACTGCCGCGCATTGTGTTGATAAGTAAGTAAACGCCCAATTTATATCCTTGATGCAACCTTTCACTTATAATATAAATAATTATAACCTCACCTTCAGATATTTCCAAAATACTCCTAAAAACAAGGACACGGGCAGAAAAATAAAATTTAACATCTGACCTTTCAACTATGTATAATACTATTTTTTACGTTTGCAGTGTACCCCCAAGTGATTTACTCCTGCGTCTGGGCGAACATGACCTCTCAACGGAAGCTGAGCCGTACCTGCATCAGGAGCGACGCGTGCAAATCGTCGCCTCGCATCCCCAATTCGACCCGCGCACGTTTGAGTACGACCTTGCTCTGCTGCGCTTCTACGAACCGGTAACGTTCCAGCCAAACATAATACCGGTATGCGTGCCACAAACCGACGAAAACTTTGTCGGCCGCAACGCTCACGTTACCGGCTGGGGGCGGCTTTACGAAGGTGAGTTATACATTATCAACACGAAACTCAAAAGTTTTATCTTGTAACAAATAAATCTCACAAAATCTCTTCTTAGAACGTACTTAGGTAATTCAGATAAGGACACCTCCAAAATTATGTGTTGTCATTTGTATCACAATTATTTCGTATATAAAACAAAGTTGTGGTGTAAGAGTATTTAAAATTAGAGAACAGCTAGACAGATTTTTATTATATTTCATATGCCGCATAGCTATCAATTTATCGCAAAATTCAAGAATCAAAAAAGTAAAAGATAACAGTATTCTATATAATGTTTTATAACTTGACACATATTTTATCATCATGTACAGAAATCATGTACATTTGTAAATCCTCCGTATTTCACTATTCTCTTTATATTTTATTGCTATGAGCAAATATAATGCTTATATTTACCGATGATCTTACACATGATCTATTTTATAATTTTCAAAATCCTTGACGTCATACCTCGAACTTTGGCCTTCAATTTCAGGACATATAATTTTAGTTTATTGCAATCCACTGAATTTTAAAGATGAGTGCACATGACATTTCGATATTCCTCAATAAAGTGTCTCATTACCAAGTGAAATACATAAATTTTAATCTTTATCAAAATTAATTCATAAGAAGTAATAATTTGACATTTATTGATGAGGGAGTATTAATTTAAGTGTTACATCTAACGTTGTTTACATCAACGAAAATACGGCAACATGCATACATAAAAAACTGCGCACGCAAACCATAATTACACTGTTAAATAATATTTTAAAGAAATAATTAATGTCTACCCGCAACATAATTTAAAATAATTAATATCATTAACTTTATCTGATGTTTAATGATCAGTATATTAAAAGCAATATCAATTATTTCTGTTTTAGACGGTCCACTGCCAAGCGTACTACAAGAAGTGTCCGTGCCGGTGATAAACAACACCGTGTGCGAATCAATGTATCGATCCGCCGGTTACATCGAGCACATTCCAAACATATTCATCTGCGCCGGCTGGCGTCGCGGCGGCTTCGACTCGTGCGAAGGCGATTCGGGCGGCCCGATGGTCATCCAACGCCCAGACAAACGTTTCATACTTGCCGGCGTTATATCGTGGGGCATCGGCTGTGCCGAGCCGAACCAGCCGGGCGTTTACACGCGGATTAGCGAATTTAGAGATTGGATCAATCAGATTCTACAATTCTAACACGCGATACGTACTGTACTGATACTTAGATAAAAACTACTTGCGCGGCGGCGGCGCACGCACACGCACACTGGTCGCGCACATGTGATTCTCGAATTTCTTGATGTGTGTATGTATATTGTAATTTGTAATTATTATTTATTGATATTTCATTTAGAGGATTTGTAGCCGAACGAAAATGAAAATTTGCTTATAAAACTTTAGCTATTAACGTTACTATTATTGTTCGCGGATAATATTCATATGTCAAAACGGTTTAATATTAAATATTATCCTCGAACGATATTAATATGGAATTGTTATGTGGTTGTAATAGTTGATAACAATGAAAATGAATTTGTACATAATTTGGTGTGTGTTTATACCAATATTTAATACTATACTTTTGTACGATTTGTCATTAGAGTGTTATATCGATAGAGAATAAAGAAAAGTATTATCAATTTATTTATCAATTTTATTGATACGGTCTACATTGATATTTTAGTATCATTGGTCTCTCCACCGAAATGTTGCTCTTCATCCAATTCCAGAACTTCCTCAACGGAACTGTCAAATCTGCTATCCGCCAACATTTCGTCGAAATCGTGCACTCGCCGCTTGATTGAGCACCGCACACGTCTAGTTTGAACATTTGCCCTTTGCTGAGCACATCTCCATCCCACGAAAATGAATGACGCAGTCGTAACGACTCCGAAAATGGCCGTCCACACAATCCAGATCAACTTTGCCTTTTCACTGTTATTATTACCTTGGGCATCGCGATGTTTTTCTCCAGTTATCTTAGCGGTGTACTTGAAGATTGCGATGCTCATCAGCAGCCAGGTGATGAAACAAAGGGCGAGATACATCAAAAACTTTAGTGTGAATGAATGTCTTGCCCATAATTTACGCGATTTTTCACTGCGGCACGCAGCGCACGAAAATACACTCTTTTTCTTGACTGACATTGGTTTGCCGAATAAAATAAAATTTGTGGTATTGTTGAAACATGTTTTATTAGAATAGATTTACGCAGGAAATACGCGTTTCCTTCATTTGATAAAAATTGGTGACTAATTTTGCACACAATGCTGACCATAAACAACTAATTGTTATAAATATAATTGATTAAAATTAAAAATAAAAATCTGTGCCAGTGTTGAAAGTATTTTCTGTTCTGCTAATAAACCATTGTACGTATCGATAAATTAGAAACTCCACTGATAATGTCATTTTTTAACCGCACAAATAAACTTCCTTCGAGGTGCGCAAGTGTGCAAATGAAGAAAAGTGAGACAACAATGCGCATTAACTAGAATTCTCTCATTCAATTAAGACGCGCGCTGCTTTTTATTGTTAGCTACTACTTTTTTCCCCAGTGCGCACGCTCGCGCCATCATCATTTCTTTAATTCTAATTATATACTCATCTAGACACCACAGTGAAAAAGAAAGAAAAGATTTACTTAATAAGAGCCGCGCGTTATTAGTTCATAACCTGATTGTCTCAATTCTTGTACTTTTTTCTTTCCTTGAGTCAAGTCGGTCGTTATTATCGAGCAATGAGCAAGAAACCAAAGAAAGAAATGCATCTTGTTTTAGAGCGTCGGAAGTAAAGCACATATTATTACTGTAGTATAATAAATAAATTAATAAATTACGCGCTTTGGGAGGACTGACTGTAAATAAAATTGGGTCATCTTTCGCTTTACCAGCTCGAATTGAATAACGCACGCACTCGACTGGTGTAGCGGCCGTTTAGTTTATGATGAGCATTACTTTTTCTGATTAATTTATGTTTATCTAACGTTTACAACGCCAGCGGATGAGATTTTTACGCGCTGGTATAATGAATTGAAAACGATTTAGAAATTTACTGCATATTAGCTCAGATATTAATTAGTGTTTCAACTCTACATGATTGAAATCGGTTGAAATTTCGAAAATCAATCGAGGACACACACTGACTCTCGCACTGAAGTTTCTCCCAATTTCCGCACAATACACACTTACACTGTTTTGACGCTTCCAGTTTGAAATTTAATTGAATCTTCACTAGACGATTAGCCAAGTAAAATTTGTAATTAGGCCAGGACTTTAAATTAATTAGCATTTATTTCCTTTTGAGGTTAGATGGTTAAAACATAAAATTTAAAATGGTGTCAATAAAGAAATAAATACGCGCCTGCATAAAACGAAACTGCTGTTCAATTGGCGATATTCAATGGTTGATTGATGTTTCACCGATAACCTCTATACAACCGCATGCATCAGTCGGTTTCATTGTTTTTTTCTTCTCTCATCTCATCGACACAATATTACATTAACACAATGAGGATGCGTTTCTACTTTCCCATTTTCTTCTTTCTCAATGCACATGAAGCGAATGGTGATAATAGCACACCCGTGAGGTTAATAAGGATGCAAAAGGTCGATTGATAGGAAGAACAGTCTGGCTGGAAAGGAAGGAAGGTGAAAGAAGGTGAGTCGTGACCGCGCGCGCCGCCGGTGAAATGCGAGCGTGCCGACCGGCGTCGAAGAGATCAAGATCGTGCCGACATCGAAATGCATGCGCGCGCGAGCGAAAGCGGCGGCCTTATCTCCTCGACGCGCAGGTATGACCCTAAATCATGTTGACGCACCTACAACTTATACCTACACCTACGTCGTAGACGGAAATTTGCACTCACACTACCTGTATCTTATTTGCATGCGCTGCTTCCATAGGGTGGGCGTGGATATACCGATGAATTGTTGGATGGTAAGAAGCGCCATCGATGGTGTGCTACCGCACCAAAGTTAGCAGGTGTATCAACGCGTCGTCATCGGTGACGGTACGCGCCTCGTGGTGGGGCCGAGGGGCTACCAGGAACACCGCTATTGCGTCCCAGTGACCTACTTCGGCTGCTCCGGTGGCCGATAGACCAGCATGCTTGGCTCTTCAGTCACACACCGGCTGGCTCTTCAGCGAGAGTTCGCCGAATAACATCTTCCGAGAGTACGCGCGCGCCTTGCGATCAACAATTCGGATTGTGGCAGCGCGCTACGAATTACTTACAACCACAATCAAAACGCGCATCATGTCGCGATAAGAACTATCAAATCAATAAAGTCCTCCAACTAAATACGAATATCAAATTCCAAAGTAAATAAAATTTGCTGCAAACTGTGTCACAAAATGGATAAAACCAGTGCAATTATCATTAGTTTACTAAGTTTATTATGTGCAGTGAGATGGACACATTCCGTCGAGATCGAAGAGCGCAGTCATAGTCCAAGCACAAAAGGTAATAAAACATCATCAATTCAATATACTTCAAGAAAGAATGCTCCGAATCAACATTTGATGCCCTCAGAAACATTTTTGATTTTGAACCGGTTGCAGTTGGGTTGTTAACCATCTTTACTTCTGTCAGTTATAATGTTATAAATCTGTTGTCGCTGACAAATTGCGTACCATTAAGCAGGCGATTCTGAGAGACCACTAAGAGTGAAACTTCTACAATCGAACGAGCACGAAAAGCGCGTGCGGCCACCGATTGCCGATGAGTCGCGTTATAAGCAACGGTTTTATTGTGGCTCATTCTCTTGTGCGCGAGAATAAGCGTATGATACAAACTTGATTAACCAGTTGATGACCACCGCCGTACACATTACATTGCCGCATGCGTTTGGTAGAATATGAAAAGAGTTAACCATGGTGCAGTCACACATTGAGACATTTAAAAATCAAAGATTTGTCGTGCAATAATTTTAAAAGTGAAAATCATATATTTTTTAATGTAAAATATTGTAAATTAAGAAAAAAACATTTTTTTAATCAAACATTGAAAGTGTATGGAATATTTGAGAAAGAATTTCATTTTTGCATTGATAACACTTTTACTTTACTGTCTTAACATTAAAGTACTACTTTATTGTCGATATAATATTAAAATCTTAATTAAAATTAATAAAATGCATCTAAGTACAAATTATAATTTGATCGCAATTTTTATATATACACTCGTATATATACTACCTATATATTACAACGAAATGACTTAATACGCTTAATACATTATTCAAAGGCATTATTAGTAGCAGTTTGGAACACTTATGCATATTTAGTTACGGTACCTTCGCATAGAGGTTATAATTTAATCAAACTAAGCCAACTTTAAAGAAACCCATGCATTTGCAAAACCGAGCATTTTTAATTAACCTTAATGCTAATATTAAGTTTAGTAGTATTAAATTGTACGAGTATGGTAATTGCTAAATTTGCCTGAAAATTAAACCATATAAATGTAGAACCAGAACGACTTCAATTGTCAGTTATTGTCGAGCATATAATAGTAATTGTTTGTGCGGCCAGATACGATCAGGTTGACATGAGGCGCGCACGCCAATTTGCTGTGCGTCTTTTTGCGCGCTCTGAATTCCATATTCATGACTCGAAAATAAAAAGAAATAAAAAAACAAGTAGGTACACATCATATATGAGTACTTATTCATTACGACGTTGTCGCACACGCTCGGCTCGGGCGCATACACAATCACACACATCGAGAAACAAACAATGAATTTGAATATAACACAAGAATGTTATTACGATACATTTAGAACAAACGAATAATTACAGGTCTACATTATATAAATGCTGGTTGGGTGAAAATCAATGATCACAATTGTCTATAAACCTCTAACCTTAAATCTGGCAATTGACAAATGACAGATGACAGATGATAAATTATTATGACATACAAGGTTAAATTGTATTATCAAACCGGTATTTTAAAATAAGTTTCTGAAAAATAATTTTATTTTCGTTACTTATTAGTAATGTTTGTGTAACTGTTACCTAAATAATCTCGGATTGCAGCCGGCGTAAACTGCTCCTGTACTTGCGAGCAAAACGAGAACAAGAATCGCAAGCGCGATAGAAAGTAGCGGCCGCACGCGACAGAAATTTCTTCGCCTCTTCAACATGTCTTTTCCTATTAGTATTCGTATTTCTATTCACATATTCCGATTTATGTAAATAACAAGATTTTATTAACCAGCGCACTGGCGCACGCGCGCCCGGACACGAACGTAACCTACAAATCACTTTGAAATGCGCATCTCAAAATATGCGCATGCTTTTTCATTGCGTATCGCATTCGTCGGGTAATCATCTAATATTCCATTATGTTGTATGGGTATGCACGTATGCACAGAATAGCAGCAGTTGAACATGCATTGTTTGCGCTTGCTATCAATGAAGATGCGGGCTGTGAAAAAAGCAATTGCATTTCTCTCAGCACTTGACAATCACATTGCGCTTATGATATGTAAATAATAGAAATGCCATTAACACATTCTTGCACACTGTGCCAGTGCTAAAAAATATACTACTTAAGAATTAATGGTGAGAAAACATTGACACGATTTTCTTCCAATTTTGTTCTTCATATCTCCCAAAGTAATTAATAAATAATGATTTGTAATACAAGAAAACTTTATGGTACCTGCTACTTTATAGGTATCTACACATGAGTACAAGATTTCATCATTTATCTTTACTTATTCAAAAGTTAAGATATAATTTAATGAAATATGATGACACATAAAATTTAAATCATATTGTATGTTAATTGAATGTTCCATATAAAAAACATAGGATTAAACTAATGTATAATACAATAAATTAAATATGTCTGCTTTTCAGATATTATGAGAAATGGCACATAAAATTTCGCTAAAATCTCACAATCTAACACAGTATTGTTCCCAAAAGAAAGCAAAACATACATTCAAATTACAATTATATTTATAATTACTAGAAAATTTCATTTTTGTATACGAAACGCGAACGTGGGAAGAAACTTGGTTCGCTTTTGGGCTGTGCGCAAAATTCCAAGGAAAGTTATTGAACCACATATACGTGGATAATGTACGAGAGCATGTAATACAGCATGCTGTGCGGCCTGCGAGCAACATCTTGACAAGAAACAGTTATAAACGAAGTCGATACACATACACAACCACAGGAATTCATATATGTTGAGAAGAACAGAGCACAGATGAGAGTTACGCCCGGAATAAGGTGGATGATGCTAATTGACGCAAGTTGTCATTACCGCCTTCGTTCTAATGTACTGTAATGTACTAATGTCATTTGCATGTACGCGCTTCACGCACAAATTCAGTACCTATAGCAAAATCATCTGTTCAAAACTGAAATTGATAATTTTGGTCGAAACGGATTATCTGATGCATTAACAAGATTTTGGTGTTAGGTTGGTTGATGGAAGCGAGGCGCATCGCGACCGTTATGTTATTGCGTCGGACAAGCCAGGCCCATCGCCACCGGGCGAAATCTATGCCATCGGGTCATAATATGGTTTTCGTCGGCGGTGTGCGGCGATTAAAAATTCGTAAATCGTCACGCAACGTGAACGACGACGACGACGACAAGGACTGCTACTGGATGTATATCCGAGACACGGTAGTGCTGTTGCTCTTTATTTTTTCGTTGATTTTGTGCCCAATGGTCAGTTGGGTCATACGTTGGCTGCGTGCAAAGAAAACTTAACGAGTTGTACTGCGAGTCGCTTGTTAATGACGCTTAAATCGGCTAAAAAGAGTATCGGACTAAAGTGATCAAACTATGCAAATACAGCTAGGCAGCGCGGTGTGCTATAATCTAATAATTGCTCTAATCTGACAAGAAGTGGACCTGAACTATGCGCAGAGTATGCACATAATTGACGATCAGCTTCTTGCATCAAGCAGTTAACATTTCTGGATTTACTTTATTTTTTAATCGAACTTGAATATTGAAAATTTCACTTTAAAAATGTTTTTGGACTGTTTTTACTGAATTTACTACTTCATTTGTGCTTGAAACTATTTATTTAATCAAAATTCATGATTGCATATGAATTGTAGTATTTAATTTAAATTCTACCTCAAATTTCGTTTTTAATTAATTTAACTTTAATATTAATGTGTTTCAACTCTTTACTTTTGATTAAATCTGAAGTAAAAAATGCAAAAAATTGAATTTAATATTCGACCTTTGTAAACTTGTTTCCACCTTCATTTTGATTAGATTTTATGAAATATTATCCTCATTTTCTCGGAATATTTGCTGAAGTGTTCAACTCTAGCCAATTGCTCAAAGTATTTCCGCGTGGGGTAGGTTTTTGCACTGGAGTAATAAAGAAATAAAGCAAGTAGCAAAAATCTACAAACTTCTCCGTGTTACGCGTCGAGTTTCCTGATGGCGGAATAAATCGGAATATACAGGATGTGATTGGTATAGCGCGCGCGAAGCTCGCCAAATAAGTAAACGCGACGCCCTGAATACGGAAAGGTAAATCCGGAGCAGCGCGAGTGTCAAAGACGTACGACACTTAATTAAATAACTTTTCATTGTTCCTACACAATTATAATCCTAGAATTTTGTTTTGGTTTCTTATTATATTTCATTATTTATGCTGGTTGGTATTTATTTCAGTTCTTTGAATTTTATTTGTTTGTGAAATTTTAATTATCGCAAATATTTAGACTATGTCAATTTTCACACTTTCCACGTTTAGCCAAAATTGCGCATCGAATTGAATTGAGCTGGATAAAGCAGAAAATGATTGTTTGACTAGCAATTTAACGCATTTTAGTCGATAGAAACTATTGGCGTGTACTTTCACATAAATAACTATTATTATATTGCCAGCATAAAACACAGCGACGCTTTCAATTTGATATTATTAACTTCTTACTCACCGATTACCAATTCAACGTGTGACAATGTGACCGATACATTAATTAATAACTGTGCATCGAATTAAGTTGGCGTCGTCCAGTCGTGTCGAGAAATGGTAATGTATTGTTCCGTTGGCTTTCCAACTGGAATACCTGCCTTTGCCTCCTCACGTTATGCTCACGTCTGACATCGTCTCGACGGTGCGAATCTGATCTCAGCTTTGTGGCCAACAAACAGAGTTTTAAGTGAGCACGAAAACGAGAGTTTGAAAACTGTACGAGGATTCTTCAATTTCAATTTGTAGCGCAGAAAAATAGAGGGAATATCATTGATTTTTATAGTTGTTATAGTGTCATACGCACTGCACAAGCGCAAACATTACAATAACTGATGTCACTGATGATACTAACATGATTGGGACAAATTACTCAACCAGTTAAATAAATTTAGGTGGAGAATTAAATAACATTCAAAAATTTGCTTCAAAATATAACAGTATTTCCAAATCTGTTAAATTACATTTATGCACCTGACAAATAAATCTAAATTTAAGTTTCTCTGTTTCGGTAGTATCTGCGTAACTGTTTTGCAATGCAAAATCAAAAACTCTGTTATTACGAAACACATTTTTTACATGGTGGCAAGTAAATAACAGAACATTTGAGAATAATATGGGTATCTATTTCAAGCGGGTACTAACTGAATCCGCGAGCGTTCGCTACGCAAAAACCAGCGAGTCAACACGTCAATTAAAACGCCATCGAAGTAAATTAGCAATTAGTCGACGAGTAAAACGGTTAATAAATAAATAAGAAAAGAAAAAAGTGTGCTAAAGATTCCTACAATTAAATGCACGACGACGCAGCAATGCACATCCAATTTACGGTGCATGCAAAACAATAAAATAATCAATAAAAAGATGTCATTGAAATACAGAAGATATAGAAACATAAAATTGAGTAGGTTAAGTTCATTACTAAAGAAAACGTAATGTTAATAATTTTGAAAGCTTTTTAAGATGTGAATTGAAAGAACCTGAATTAAAATATTTATTGGTATTTTCTGAGCGTCGTAAATTTATAAAAAAAAAATGTATTGGGTTTAGCAGTCGTTATAACTTAATAATTCAATACAATTTATAAGATTTACAAATTGAAGACAGATTTAAGAGATTGAAAGAAGCAAAAAAATCGTATTTTACGATCATCATCTACTTTAAGCATTTAATTTGCTTTCCAATTGGTCGGCGTATACCATCCTGATGTTTCAATTAAACGCGCATATGTAAATAGGTGTGAAAATGTGTTCGCTCAGCGCGGGAAGAAAACTATGTCGACTTACTTTCTAATTGCCAGCCAAAGTCAAAGCCAGGCGGAACACGTAGCTTAGTCGGCTGCTGATTAATCAATTTAATTCTTATACAATGCGAACTCAGCAAACATTTATACGCTGTCAAATGTATATGTCATGTTTATATGTGAAGAAGTTGGGTTTGTGGCTAATGAGTAAAACAGAATAGAGTGCGAGAGGTACACGAAGTTCACGACATTGAACTTGTTAGGCAGAGGTAGAAATATAACACAGCTATAGAGTGGGACGAGTGCCTGCCAGCGTTCGGAGGCAGCAACAGTAGCAGCACCAGCGGCAGCGGCGGCGGCCGCGGTATCGATCCTTTCTTGGCGGCGTGCAGGTCCCGGCGCGCCGCAACCGCGCAAATGTTGCAGCTGATGCTCCACGCAGCCCACACTTGTTTTCGGGGTGCTGGAAATGAGGGTCACGGTGTCGTCATCTTTATGTACCTACGTCACAAGCAAGCACAGCAAACTTATGACATGCGTGCAAAATATATAAAATAATCACATTTAAACACAACTAGCCCAAATAGAAATATTTATAGTTATACAAGTATGAATGTTCTTCAATTGGTCGCAGCGTCGTAGACTTGACGAAGGAGGTCACACAGATTTGTGGCTCGTTTCGGACCGAATTGCGTCTTTTCTATCCTCGACGCATTAACACCGCTTTCATGTACTCGTGTAGCAAAATACCTGCTGATTTTTAGTGTTTTAAAATTTTAGCTAAACTTTATGCCATTTTAGGCACGACCAAATTTTTCTAATGTTTAATGTCCACAAGTGAAAATGTCATCGTCAGACAAGATATGAAAAAGGGTCAGCCGTGTTTACTTTCCTGCGAGCCGCACGGTCGAAACATTGAATGCGCAGCGCACTCACGTTCTAGGACACGAAGAACGAAGAAACTCTTTCTTCGCATCGTTTGTCGCATTCGTCGCGCGCGCGCTCGCTATGCATACAATGTGAATGCGTTCGAGCGCAGCAAATGGTCGCTGAATGCATCGCTCCGCTTCGTCTTGCGTCATTTACTGTCCGTAAAGATGGCCACTTATTCGCTGCGTTCGCGATTCGAGAAAATGGATTAAAAGTGAAATAATGCGGCGCACTGAGAGCGCGAGCGCCGAAATGACATCATTAGCCTACGCGGCGAACAGGAAAAGAAACCTGCTGCTCATGATGAAGAAAAAAATGCGGTTTACTGACCTACTACAACCGAACAAATATAAACATTGCACACATATGAGATATACTTTAAAAACTAACATATATCATGTTTACACAGTGAATTTCACCAAAGATGATTTTATTTTATTTGCAGACACACGCAAGCTATTTGGAGGTTACCGAATAACACCACGATACTGTCAGCCAACACGAGAATTATCTCAAGAACTGAAAGGTCCTAATATCTGCATGTTTAATCATGAATGCATTCAACGCAATGGAATAGTAGTAGGTGCTTGTATGGATGGTTTTCTTTTTGGTGCGTGCTGCCAGCTACCAGCGGGTAGCGCTGGGGAACTGATCATACACAATGTTCAGCAATCCGTAAATGTGCCTTCTAATACGTTATACTACACCAAGTCTCCTGGATCGGTTGGGCATATAACATCAAGCGGGGTCAGTAAAATTACACAAACACTACTCTACGGCAATCAACCTTCCAATAGTGGCGTACTACCTACAGCAGCTGATAATACCGTAGTACAAATCAACGAACAAGATCAATTTGTAACAGCGGGTGTGACGCATCCCACTGCACCGGATACTGTGGTTGTTACAAGTGGAAGTAACGAAATCAATGGAGATCAATTCAAAAACCCTGATATAGCGGAAGATCGGAAAACTACTCAGGGAATTGAGTTGTCAACACAACCGTATATACCTGATGTATCGCCTTACATCCATATAAGTATTAGTAATGCACCGTCGTACTACACACCAGCTCCGGTTGTTGGCAAACCTGTGTTTAGACCAAAACCCAAGCCATCTGAAGAGTATGTGCTGGTTCCTACTATCAATCATGATGTAAAAAATAAAACTGATTCGATTGAAACAATTGTCAACATAGTGCAAATGCTTAATGATACCCGGAAAACAGGAAAACCAACTACTAGTCCACCTAATATCTACATCTACAGTACTAGTACAGCCACAACAAGAAGACCTACTTCTCCAACAACTACTGGTACCACAGCATCAACTACAACTAAAGCAGCGTATACTACCATCACTACAACAGCCCCACGAAGGACTACTTCAAAATCAAAACTTACAACTAAGAAACGATTTGGTACAACAACAAAAAAATCAACTACAACCAGAAAGGTTGCCACAACCAGTATTGGAACAAAGGGTACCACTACTTCTACGACAACAACATCAAAGAAACCAGTATATCAGTACGTCAGTAGTACAACTTTTAGGCCCGCTGGATACACATCGAAAAAACCACCGAGTACTTCTTACGTCTACAGTAGTACTATATCGAAACGCCCAGGGTCCGGCACACTAACGACTGTACCAGGTTACGCTGTAACTCGACCACCCAATGCTCCCACTATTATTGTACTGGGATCAACACTGTCTAACACCAGTCCGGAACCACTTTCTCATCAGTACACTCCCACAAAATATACTACACTACGTCCAAATACATATACGGCTAGTACCAGCACTAAGCATCCGGTGACTGTCACCATCAACAACCACATCACACAACATATACATAACACTAGTGAAAGGCCATCTCCTACAGTCCTTATTACTCCTAAACCTAGCATTACAACAACCCCTACAGTCAATTCTTACTATGCTGAAGAGTCGGAAACTGTAGATGCAAATGGCGACAATCTCATTAATTTCCCCCCTGTGCGCAATCCTAATCTCAACATGTCCATTCCGATATTTGATCAGGATAATGACATAACGACTCCGGATTTCATTGAGGATGCCGCGCTTGATACCAAAGTAGAATCCTTTGTTAATAAGATCATTGCTGGTCTGCAAGAACCGTTTGACGGGCTTAAAGATATTGTTTATTCGGGAGTGAATAAAACTGAGACGACGACAAAAAAGCCGGTTAAGAAGACTACGACTAAGAAACCGACAACACGTGCGCCGGTTATCACCACTACTACTGAGAGGGTTAAAACAACTACAAAAAAAGTTAAGACTACCAAACCCACCGAGAAGAAGAAGGTGACAACCATTCAGACGACTGAGAGTTACATTGAACATGACGATGTTAGTCAAGATTACCGAGCGCGTAAGTAATTTTAACGTTATTTTTAGTTAGTTATTAATGAGTAACTATTGAACTAGAAAAGTTACAGTTATGATACTTTCAAACATTAATATAATACCTTAGTTTCAATACTTTTTCGGCAATTTTTTTCCCGGTTTGAATTATTATGAACAAATTTAATATAAAAAATATCATTGAGAGTGTGTTCTAAAGATATCATTACTGTAGCATGTTTTTCATGTATGTAATTCATTAATTTCTAAAAATAAAACACGCGTCTTGTCATTTCGCATTTATGCATAATTTTTTTAAAATATATTTTTACAGAATGTGGTATTCGTCCACTGGTGAAATCCGGTCGTATCGTAGGAGGAAAAGGTGCCACCTTTGGCGAATTTCCATGGCAGGTTCTTGTGCGTGAAAGCACGTGGTTAGGACTCTTTACAAAGAACAAATGCGGAGGTGTACTGATCAGCAATAAATATGTAATGACAGCTGCGCATTGTCAGCCAGGCTTTCTCGCCTCATTGGTTGCCGTCTTCGGTGAGTTTGACATCTCCGGCGACCTGGAGGCAAAGCGCGCCGTCAGCAGGAATGTCAAAAGGGTCATAGTGCATCGTCAGTATGACGCCGCGACTTTCGAAAATGATCTAGCGCTGCTTGAGCTGGAGCACCCGATTCAGTTCGACGCGCATATAGGTGAGTGAAAGAGATATACCCACAGACACAAAAGGAGGTTAGAAGATGGCATCTCAAACATTCGATTATATTGATAATGCCGTGAAAGTACCATCTGCAAATATTTGCATAAATTAAACTTTATTTCAGTTCCGATTTGCTTGCCACGTGATCACGAAGATTTCACGGGTCGAATGGCGACTGTGACTGGCTGGGGTCGGCTCAAGTATGGCGGCGGAGTGCCTTCCGTGCTACAGGAAGTTCAAGTACCCATAATGGAAAATGTAGTTTGCCAAGAAATGTTCCGCACAGCTGGACATCAAAAAGTCATTTTGGAATCATTCCTATGCGCTGGTTACGCCAACGGACAGAAGGATTCATGCGAGGTAAACATAACCACAAACTAAGTACTAAATGAAACCCGGAAATAAATTTCAATTTGAATTGATGATGTTTCAGGGAGATTCCGGTGGTCCGTTGGTACTGCAGCGTCCCGACGGACGTTATCAACTCGCCGGAACTGTGTCGCACGGCATAAAGTGCGCAGCGCCATATTTGCCCGGCGTGTACATGCGGACGACGTTTTACAAGCCGTGGATCGAGTCCATTACCGGAGTGCATTAGAGGGGCGCGGACGCAATTGATGGTCACCATTATTGAATTTAGTGAATGACAGAAAAGTGCGCGGCGCGCGACACGCGGACGATTTAAATTGCGGGCGGCGGTCGCACACGCGCGAGTTATGTATGTACAAAACTGTCACATAGGACTTTGTGTCGTCGACGAAGACGAGGTGTTATTAAAGCTTAAATCTATACGATATTCGATATGCGGAAAAGAAGCAGTGTATTTTTGTGTATAAATATTTATTTATTTATTTTTTGTTATGAGTATTTGTATTCATAAAATTGATCTTGAAAAGAAAGTAATATATTTAATTAAATTAATTTATTTAAAGTTTCACTATAGTGTTCTTCCTTATTAGCCAGATTTAAAATGATTTAACATTATTTTTACCATAAAATCTTATTGATTTTTTAAATCGGTGTTAGGTGATTTAGTTAGGTGATTTATTTTCTGTATTTGCGTCGTACATCCCAAGCAGTAATATAATATCAGATTCGGATGCTTAAAGTCGTGTTCCAGATCGCGCGCAGCACTCCGTCTTGATCCTTTATTTAAATTTAGGAGACACTTGCTTCAGTTTCATCTGATACCCACAGTCATCACCATCACCTGGTTGCTAGGGGATTGAAATTGTGTATTCTCTGAAGATGTGTTTGCGGGGAAGACATTCAAACCCGACATAAAGGATCGCAATGAGTATGATTTATTTAAATAAAATACAATGAAGTGTTATACATAATAGTTACGCCCATTGAAAATCATAAACTTTCAGACATATTCATATTCAGACATATTGAACATTTGCTATTTTTGTGGTTGCAAGAGAATTCAACATCATTTTATATTTTTTACCAATAAAATCATAACTTTTAGAATAAAAGGGATGAAAATCAAAAATATACGAAATTAGAATAACGCCCATAAGGAAACAAACAATGGGGATGTGTAAACATTGAAATAAATGTGAATTTAGCCAACGCACATATCTGAACTCCAAATATGCTTAAATAAACATTTTCTAAATCAATACTAGCAATCTACCATTAATAAAACTTAAATTATCACTGGAATAAACAAGATATAGCAGGATTTCCGCTTAAAACGACTAAAATCGCCTCAGAACGTGACAGAAATTATATTTGTGAATTTCACCTGAATATTAAATTAAGCACAAAATATTACTGCCATGAAAGCTCTTCAATCAACTCCAGCTGTGATTTATTTCCACTCTGAATGGTCCTTTATGTACTAATAAAAAAACAAGATTAAATTGAAGTAAAGCTAATACAAAGGCAATAACAATACGCATTAGTCTTTCCGAAGTTGCACACTAGCAAACGTGGTTTATGAATACCCATCAAACAACGGCCAGCTTCGAATGAGTATGACTAGATAAACGTGCAGGAAAATCGTGCCTGTGGCTGCACGTGAGCAGCGGCAACGCAACGCTCTAGGGGTGCGCGTGGGTGTCAGGTGCACACGCTAGCAAGTTATTCGGACCATAGAAGAGGCGGACGAGTGAAGAGGAGAGGGGAGTATTGGATGGCCGCCGCGGCCGCCACCGCTTGCCTCGCTTCCGGTTTGCGCCGCGTCCGACAAGGACTGTCGCAACATGGCCACCCACGCATCGTCCTTTACCTAGGGCTCAACGCGTTCATTCGTCCAACCCGGCGCCGCCGACCCGGTCGAACTAAACCGAACGCACCCGAGCGCCGCCGCCGCTTATATACCGCCGGAGCGTATGGATTGCCCCCCACTGCAGTGCTACACTTCGTCGAGTTTAGATTCCCAGCACCCAACAACCCATCCTTACAACTTAGTAACAAAACACCGAAATAAGAAGAAAAATTACAACTGTCGCAAGTCATAAAACGTATCAAAATTAATAAAAACAACTACGACACATTAATTAATTATACTATTAAAGTGTATAACAAGTGCAAAGGGTGTTTATTGTTTGTTAATTTTGGGAACTAACACGGCAATCGACGAGTACACGTAGCAGGTAAATCAAGCATTGCTAAATGTAGTTTTCTTTCTGGTTTGTTATTAAATGCACAATCGTTACTCTTTATTTTAATTTTAAAGGCAAAGAATGATCCATGTACGTGTACACAATATTCACAAATTGCGCGCGATTTCAAGGACATATAAAGTCTATGACGTAATCCGATTCTATCGCGAAATTAATAAATATAATTTTATCAATGAATAAAAAAGTAACAAGTAGATGTTATAATATTATTTAATACGACCTCTTTCATATGATTTTAACTATCAGCAAATGAGTGGATTTGCGTGACTCACTAAATTATCTTATGTTTGCTACTAAATATCAAACGCAACAGAAGTTAATTCTTAATTTAATTATAGTGCTAATAAAAAATAATTTAAAAAATTGTTTGAAAAATAAATTTTGAAAATAGTTTCACAAATATTCTCATTAGAAGTGAGTTTAGAACAAAATATTTAAGTACAAATTTTCATTACAAATTTTTGCCTACAAATTTTTTTAATTTATTAAATTAGGTTCTTACAGACATTAAATAACAATCTGGATCAAGTATTTTAATATAATTGACATGCGTCATAAAATAATATTTTTGCTCTAAATTTGCTTAATTTTGAATCATTATTTCTATTTTTAGCAAATAACATACAAAGAACATAATCTGTAAATAAGTCCGTCTCTTTTTTTAATTTTCGGGTAGTACCCCTTTGATTAGATTAACATTTCCGTAATTATTTCCGTAACATGCAAACACGTTACCTACTTATTCAGTTTTTCTCTCTCTTTTTTGTAATTAATTTTATTCCTGAATTGCTTAGTTGCTTTTTCGCGGTAGTAATTGGAGCGCAGAAGAATTTCTACAATTTCATACCCGCTTTGGGCACCAGGAAAATAAACGAACCAGCCGGTTATTGTCATTCCTCGAGGGAAAATCGCTTGCGCGCATATTCAAAACAATTTCATTTCTCACACAATAACGCTGGCTTAAACGACCCACTTGGGGTTGGATTTTATTCTTTTGCTCCCTTACATGTTGACAATTTCAAGGCTCATCAAGTTTAATATTATTTTTGCAACATGTTGTCAAATTTCTTAACAGCTGTGTTTTTAGAGTAGGCAACGCAGCAAGTTGATAATGCTGAGTACAATACTTAAGCTTATTACTTACCTGGATTTGCACATGTTTTCTAAAGTGTATCTTTGTTATATTCTAAAGTATGCATGTATTTGATTAAATTCCAGAATTGAAAGTTTAAACGCAATAACGTGACTGCGCCTTACAGTAATACGATTTGCAAACGCGCACAAAGAACGAAAAAATGAAGGGAATCATCGCTTTATTGGCGCTGTGTCTGCTCAGCCGCCAGACGGAGGCCTGGGGCGGGCTGTTTAACAGATTCTCGCCGGAAATGCTGGCGAATATGGGCTACGGTGCGCACGGCGGAGGCTTACCGGTAATACCTCACAACCGAATTCATTAAAACCGTTTAAACAACGTTTAAACCAAGCCCTAACACATAATCACATTTTACATGTTTTGTTTGCTTGACGCAGCGTGGCGCAGACGAAGGTATCCTCGAAGAATTTGAGGTGGAGGAGGATAGCGAATCCTGCTATGGTAGAAAATGTTCAGCCAACGAGTACTGTTGCCCCGGGCAAATTTGCATCGACCTTGATGGAAGTGAGTACAAAGAATAATTATTTTTCGCTTTATCATATTTTTTTAAACTCATGCATCATAAATAAGAATGAACAAGGGTTTGTCATGGGGGTTTGTGTCGTTGTGGGAGGTAAGCGCAAAGCACGCGCACGTAAATTAGATTTGGCCCGAATCCAAATTAGAAAGACAAGCAAGGTGCAAATTTGACAATTTAACACGACGTGCGCCGAATCAAAATAATTAAACGCATAAATTCTGGCAAATTTCACTGTTCTCTATTTGATTAACGGAACGTCGGCATGCGGTGGATTTCATTTAGTAGAGTGCACTTTGTTGTTGTTTTTATGCTTGTGACAGTTGATTACGCGTGAATTGCAAAAAAACTCGCCCACGCCCATGTCTTCGAGCGGTTAAATGATCAAATTGATATAAAAATTAATAGTGCACAACACCACGCCAAGTAATTATCATTAAAAGCAAATATAATAACAAGCAAGATAACAAAGTGATTTCATCGTAACATAACATCATAACAAAACATAATGATATGAAAAACGGTTCAAACTGGTATTTAAAACTGACCGGATAGTTTCAGTAAGTGTTGGTATTAACTCCAAAAGTTGTTTTTAATAATAATAAACTTTAAATGTAACGTTTTACCGAAAAGTAGAAGTGGAATTTCGGCTTTTATTTCAAAAACACTTTGCAATTTAAATGCACCGTTACTTCAGGCTGGCGGCGTCAGCATTGTGTAAAAATAAATTGAACGAGGTTGAAAATTGAAAAGCTTCAAGATTGAAAAACCACCAGAGAGGAACCAACAGCATAGAACTAATGCTCCTCCACCCACACAGCCACTCGACACCCGCATGAATAGTAAAGAATTGTGAAGCCAAAGTCCCTTCTTCATCCCAATTTCATTTTTTCGGAAAAACACTTCATACAACGTATTGAACCCATAAAGAAATAGATTAAATCTGCAATTTTAAATCAAATTTTCTTAGTTTATATTTTTATACACTAATAAGTAAAACCGTGTTTAATAATTTATTTAACCTTTTCACATTTCAATTCGTTTGATCAATCGATAAGCAGAAAGTCTGAAAACGTTTCGTAAAACAATTTTACACGTTATTTTATTTACTTGTGAGTTAAAGAGAGTTGAAAAAATATATTGAAAGTAAATTCGTGCTGTGGCGTACCTGTGGTGCTTGTGGCGCGCTGAATTTAGAAATCACGCGATATATTTTGCGAATTTATCGATCCACTTTGTGTTTATGCTAATTAAAAGTAAAATACATTTATACATAAAAATGTAACACAAGCAGCTTTTTGACTTGGAAAATCAGAAAATACAGAAACAATTTTCTTTCATGTTCCATAGTAATTGGTCAATGCATGTTCACTTATGGAAGACGCGTGGGTGAACTTTGCCGACGTGACAGCGACTGTGAATCAGGACTCGTCTGTGCCGAAGCTGAGCAAGGAATCTCTACGCGTGTTTGCCGACCGCCGGTGCAGCAGGATAAACAGTATTCGGAGCCCTGCAGCATGTCGAGTGAATGCGACATTGCGCGAGGACTTTGCTGTCAGTTGCAGCGCCGTCACCGACAGGCTCCAAGAAAGGTAAGTTGAAGTGAGCATGCGTTTTTGCTCAAACCGTACATTTGTTTTCTGTAGTTTTCTGTAGTCATGCACTCGTCGCGTGTTCCACCGCTGTTCTTCGCACACATACACGTTTCTGAAAATAATTAATTTACGGCGGTAAATTGGTAGCATTAATTATTCGAAATGTCATTCGCGCGTTTTGATTATGTTTATATTTAAATAAGTATTTGAATTCAGTCTCCAAAATTTGAATCAATTTAACATATCAGTAAAATCATGTTTGATGTCAATATAACTCTGAATTAATTATACAAACAAGCGTAATTGCATCGCGTAACATATGCAACCAAACACACGCTAAAATCCTCAATGGAAAACGATGTTTCATGATTAAATAATGAATGTACCAAGGTCGACACGACACAAAAACTGAAATTGGGGTAATACAGCAACAATGTATTGCAAAACCGGGACGCAACTGGGTCATGACCCATTTTACTAACATCTCCCTACTCTAGGGAAGCTGTGTAAACTCACGCTGCGCCAAAATAACCACATCATACTCTAACAAAATTAAACAACACAAAAGAGTCCTTTGTTTTAGATACGTTTACAGTTAACATCTGAATTTTCTGTTTAGTGCATACGCATAAGTACATTTCGATATAATGTTTAATTTTTGGGAACAAAAATAACATTACTCTATCCTAAAACAATTAACATTTTTGTTTCTATGTTTTATTAGATGTGCTCCTACTTCAAGGATCCTTTGGTGTGCATTGGTCCAGTTGCATCGGACCAAATCAAAAACTCCATCCAGCACACTGCTGGCGAGAAGCGGCTCACCGGTCTAAACAATTTCAAGCGCCCCATGCATTAAGAAGATGGCGCCGATGGACGCAATACATATGACTTGCAAAAAGAAAACAGTAGCCTAAGAATAAAGTCCCTTTAAAATCAAAACCGAAGAACACACATCTTTAGTTGATGAGAGAAAAATATTAGACTAGCTTACTTTCTAAAAGTTTAGAGAAAAAGATGCAAAAAATAGTTAAAGATACAAGTTGAGATATTTTTGTGAGTTTTATGATGCATAGTAGGCATAAATCCTTTTTAAATTGATGAACTGAAAGTAACGAATGGCAAACGAGGCGGGTGGAAAATACGGAACGTAAATGAAAACATAACACATATCATAAATATAACGAGCGAGTCAGGGTTGTGATAAATGTATGCATTAAATCCGAGACGAAAGCAGAGGCAGAACATAAAAACCATAAAAAAATAATATGCATATCATGGAATAGATAATGGAATAGCTCTTATTTAAATGGAATTTATGCCCTGGTACAAGGCAAAATAATTAATTTTAAAATGCAAGAGCAAAATTACGCAAATGAGCCCTATTACAACATAACTAAGCAAATGTTAAAATGATAAGATACTGTATAGATACTAAGATGAGGGCAGGTAGCTCTTGCATTTCTAAATTTATTACTATAAGTTTTCATTCCAATGGACAAAAACAAAATCGTTTATCTTCGGACTCCCGGTGTTTGCAACCAAAAACAATGTGTACTGGTAACTAATTAAAAGATAAATTAATTGGTAACGATAAAAACACAAGTAACACTATTGATTAATTGGTTAATAAGATGAAAAACCACGGCTGAGGTATTTCTAGTACATACTTGTTAATTTATAAAAGGAATCTAATATTAATCGACTACTTAATCAACCCACACACCTACTCAACTGGTTTTACGATCCAGTTAAAGTGTAATTGTCTAAAAAATCTAAAGGTGTGATAAAATAACTCTGTCACAATTAATTATCAAATTAATTACAACAAGAGGGAAAATGACTCGCCTAAAAATTATTTGCAACAAAACATATCATTGAAAAGAAAATATTAACATGTTATATTTAAACAAGTGCTTCATTTTTGACTTTCTATAATAACTGTGATGTTAAACTGTTGTAAAAGAAAATAATTGAGATATATTTATGCAATGTGTTAAGAGGACGATGGCTGGACGCATGTTGTTCCTTGACGAATGGCCTACTACTACGAATTTGGTGTGAAAATGCAAAAAGAGTTTTTGAAAGATGTCAGTGAACAAACTAAAAACTAAAAGAAGCAGAAAACAACAACAAACTGATACATATCATATCAAGACATTGTACTTAAATGTAACGAAACATATCACTACTATTATAAATATACTATTAAATTATACAAAAATATATAATATATACATATATACATATTATATCTAACTATTCAAGAAACCAAAAGCAAGTTATTTAAATATATCTACGAATACAATATAAATAAGAGTATTAGAAGTGGAGGTTATCAGAAATATATATTACCAGAATGAAAGATAAAGAAAATAAAAAGAAACACTATCAAATGATTTATATTGTAATCGTACTACTGTAATTAATGTAATAATTACTTGAAATTAATAAATGTCTTGAGCAACTTATTTTATGAAATTATTATTATTATTATTATTATCCTATTGCTTCATACCGTTCAATAAAACTGAAAGTTTACTTACCCCCTAAAACAATTATTAATTTCATTTGACAATAAGAAATAATAGTGCCTTGTTGTTTTAAAAGAAAATCTTTTTCAGAAGTTCGCCACCAAATTTGGGTTTTATTTTGATTTAAAATATTTTGAATTCCTCCCGTTCCCCCGTGACGTGAATGCGCCTGATAAGATTTACTCACGTGGTTGATTATTGTGAAATACTTCTAATTTAATAAAGAACAAATTTACCAGAATTTATTCGGTGCACGTCATGTTAAATTAATAACTCGGCAAATATTTTTTTGTTTAAAGAAGCCGTAAAAAATTGAACTCGAAGGCAAAGTAAATATAAACAATTACATAGTTTTAAGTAATGTTATAAATTTAAATAAATGAATATTTATAAGTGTTTAACAAGTAAAAGTTTAACACACCTGATTATGTTGGTTCAGATGTTCTTTATCACAACTCTGTTAAGAACTTAAAGGGAAACCGATTGTTGGTGTTAATGCAGCTGCTTCAGTACGTACCTTGTCACTTGTACCTAGTTCCCCTACCTAGTTTTTGTTTGCAAGTATATAGTTAAAGCATTCATTTCTCTATTTTACATCTATTTCTATATCATGCGGCGTTGAATTATTTTAGAAGCAATCATAACTGCCACGCGATAAATACTCACTTCAAAATGATATACTCTCCGTAACCTTCAGCTTTATAGTAGTAATGTTACGCGCCATTCGGTAAAAAAACACATTGCAAGTCACAGAAATAAAAATTGACCATTTTAAGGAATTGACTCGTTAATAAGCAGGATTTCACGAGCATTTGTTTACCTAAAAATATACAAGACATAAGGTGTGGTATACCAACTTCATAAATAAATCTGGCGTAAGATTGTTGGGAAGACTCTTACTAAATTAAAGACCTAGACCCAAGTAGCTTTTCTTTCGTTGCCCTATCTGCTTTTTGCGAAGCGGTGCACTCATGACTACTCTCCGGATATATCTGTCTGAGTTTTCTTTTCCTTTGCAGAAAACTGAGTTATAATTGTTTCATACAAATGTTCTTAGATGTTCAAAAGTTGCGGTATGATGGTTATATACAAGTGTCCTTCCAGCCTTTTTAGTATCAGTTACCAATACTTATATTTAATTACAGATAAATTAAGTGATTATCGTGCTTGAAAAAACAACAAAATAGTTATGTATATATGTGTATCAAATCACTCTTTATTTAAAATTATTTACAGCAATTCACAGACCTGTCGGATCTGTCGCCGACAACGACAATAATTCAAAAAAGAACTCTAAGTTAAGAACGATGTTTGTCAGCTGGTACAGAAAGCCCCGTTGTGCCTTAATTCAAGATGGTCGAAGAAAGAAGGAAGAAGAAAAAACTTAGTGGCAGAATGGATAGTTGGGACAGGCATGAGGATCAACTCCAGCTGGAACCTGAGCAGCGTGGCCAGCATGACCAGCGCCATTCCATCCACCAGCACCGGCACCATTCCAGCCACCGCCGGCACCAGCGCCATTCCAAGCACCATTGTCGCTGTTGTAGTTGTGGCTGATGTCACCATACGCACCAGATTCGGCCAAACCTTCACCACGGTAATCGCCATCACCGGTGTATTCGCCATTGTCCAAAGCGTTCTGGTTCCAGGAGCCATGATCACCGCCATTCCAACCACCAGCACCGCCAGCACCAGCGCCATTCCATCCGCCAGCTCCAGCACCACCGTTCCAGCCGCCAGCATGACCACCATTCCAACCACCAGCATGGCCACCGTTCCATCCGCCATTCCAAGCGCCATGAGATGGACCACTGGGATTAGCAGCGACAGCTGGGTTATCGCAGTGTGGGTAGTTGGGGCAGGCCTGTGGGCTTACACCAGCTGGATATTTATCAGCTGGAGAACCACCGGCGAGTGGCCCATGCCAAGCAGCGAGCGAAATGCCCAGGAAACACGCGAAAGTCACCTAAAGAATATTCAACCTTTGATTGTAATGATATTCAAAATCCTCAGGTTGGTCGCAAACTCACCAGTTTTACAAACATCTTTTAGCTTGTTGTTGTCGTCGTCTTGCTGCACGATTACACAGTGACAAGCCGTGATCGAAATTAACACTATTTATACCGCCAGGAGTCCGCACCACACCCTGCTAGTCGGCAATCTTTTTTGCGATCAGAGCAGCGAAGAAAACGCATTCGGACAATAAGTGTAGCGGCAGCGGCGGCTGGACACCGCACGCGGATTTTTTCATGCCGTTCCCACACGCGCCATGATCCATGATAAAGAGGTAAACATGCACAATGTACATGACTATGAATCAACAACATTCACAAACAAAACAAATTGCCATTTTGGCAGATGCTCTATTTGTTTTACCTTTTCCTTCTGAGTACTGACAAACAATAAAAGATCAGGTTATACATAAATTAACTTTAATTTTCCTTTATAGATAGATTATAAATCTATGTATAATTAAATATACACAGATGAAAGAGAAAAAAGCGAAATACCGTAGTGAGGTGAGGCTCTTTTCCCTCTTCCTTACTGCAGTTGATTGCTCATGACTTGTGGGAGAACATGCATGACCTTATTATTTTATTACCAATAGTCGCCATTTCTTTTTGGCCAGTGCCAATTTCATCGAACAAGTGCAACAAATGTTGTTCCGCATCAACGCGCCTGCCACAAATCGGAAAAATGCAATTCAAGGACGCTGCTTAAAATTTTTCAAACATTTTTGCACGTAGCGCTCGCGTTAGTTAAATCAAGGTGACGGAGCTGAAAGAATTCAATTGTATCGGCGCGACATCGAGAGCGCCCAAGAGTACATTCTCCTTTTATCCGCACTTTTTTTTCTGCTAGCAAACCGAGTTTACTTTTCCATTTGCGCGCCGACTACACCGTCTGTATCAGAAATTAAAGAAACTAATTCATCGTTAAGATAATTAAGTAAATTAAAGTGATAAATGATAGCCACTGGCATCTGATGATACCAGGTAGCAATTGGGTAAATTTAAAATGGTTGCATTTTTGTTCACCAAAAAACGGATTTTTTACTATTAAAATCAGGTAGTACGGTCGGTCGGAATGCACTAAACGTGCATAAACGTATTAACTATAAGAATATATGATACATGTTCCGCTCCGTGCGGTTGCTTCCAACCAAGGATCTTGTAGTTCTTGTTCTTTATGCAATACGAGGGAGTGCAATGAGTGCATAAGACACAGGTCAGTCTTAATTCCACGTCTAGTAATCTGCATTAGAATACTTTTTATACTTACAATATTACCAGTAGTAGTACAAAAGACAACCCTGAAGTAGTATGGACACATTAGCAGTTATCTACACCCATGCGCGCGATATAATTGCGATGTGTAAATCATTGCGGCTAATTTAATTTTTGCAAATCGGCGATACCACTCGGTTGGAGCTTGAAAAGTGCGTGGTGACCGCACGATCGAATTCAATAATGCGGCGCGACCACCCACCTCCATTAATGACACAAAGCTGGTGCAACAATAAAGCAAATCACTGTGACATTTTCATTACCTATGGGTACAACGAGCTCGGCATTAAATTATTGTTTATTTACTTGTCATCTGATTCTTGCAAAATCGACTTTTCAGACAGGCGAATTGCAACTATTTCTAAGATACTTATAAAGTTCATTTCACTCACAGAGGCAAATACCTACATGAATAAAATTAATTAGGATCAGAAATGGTAGCTTATTATATGCACAAATCTGTTTGTGCTAATTGCACCTAAGTCCAATTAATTTTTTATATAGGTACTTATATATAAAAAACAGAATTGAGGGTGTTACGCTATTTATAATCAATCAATTTTAGACCAATAACCAAATATAAAAATAACTAAATACGGGATATATAAAGAAAAATATAAAACAGAAGAGCTTTTTTTATAAATATTATAGTCCTTATCGTATGACAAGTGCCTAGTTCGTCTCAATAATGCAAATACATAAGTTCGAGTATTCTGAATAAAAATAATTAAATTTAGTTGCGAGCAATGATTACTGCAGGCGCAAGCTCCGACCCCGTACATAATGCACGTAGATAATGAATAATACTCACCGCATGGCCGTCCGTACATAAAGTACCACTTTCTGTGTCTAAAAACCGTGGAAAAACTGGCGCTTTATAGGTGGAAGCAGAAAAATATGTTTGGGTAAGTTACAGTTTCGGTTTCGATTTCGGTGTCGGTTTCAGCTGAAAAACCAGTTTCGGTCGGCTCTAGTAATTATTAGCTTATGGCAAAACTTTTGTTGATGGGGGAGAAAAATGTAAAAGTGAGTTGCGACTTTTTTCAACGAATAAAAAAAATATTAACAATTATTCGAATCATTGACCACACTATATATTTTTTATTTGTGTATAGTTTTTTCAAGTCATAAATCAATTTTTTTAAATTAAACTAAATTTCTTGCAACAAACTGATTGATTGCAAATTACAATTGCAAATTTAAAGCAGTATAATAATAAAAATGAACAATAAATCAGTCACCTTTTTATCGAGCACCGCAATTGAAAACGAGAAATTTGTTCATTTCCTAGTTGAAGTAGTTTCATTGCGCATGTACTCGCCGCTCTGCGACAATCTCGCAGGTAATAGATTTTAGGTGTGTGGCGATAATAATAAGTGTAAGTGCACTTATTACGCGCTAAGTAAGTCAGGGTCGCGCAACCTTGATATTTCCGTCAAGTGTTCGCTTTAAATAATAATGTAATAATAAAGTATGCGACAAAACGCGCACGTACAAAGACATACCACACCGTGTGATTCGATTCGCTTCAATCGCAGTGCTATGTACCTGGATAGATCAGTTGATACGTGTGTGCGTTCTGCATGTGCGCACATGTTGCGCTCGCGGATAATTGCGCAAACCGGCTCGGTGCACAGTGCACACGAAACGCACGAAATCATTACACCACACGACACAACAAATTACACGCGAATTGAATTGAAATTGTTGCAGATTATTGCATGCTGCCTTTGGGAAGTCGGAGGTTTTTTATTTTGCTTGATTGCTGGTACAAACTGTGTAGTTGTCCATGTAAACTAACGAAATTATTAGAATGGTTATGTCCCCGGTGCATATTTATGCGTAGCAAAATGAAAAGTTCAATTTTATCATTTTAAATATTACAGGTAACGTGTATAATGAGACAATGCATTTAAACACCTACTGCATAACATTCACGATTAACTGTGGGTTGCACTTTTCATCCAGACCAAGTCTTCCAGTTATAACAGTCGATTTTGAATATTAAATGTCAAATATAAAAAATGTACAGTGAAACAGTGAAAATTCAGACTCATATATTGATGTTTTTAATTACAAAGACAATTATATTATTTAATAGTCAATTAATCAATCATCAATCAACAATTCTAGTAATGTACTAATATTCAACTTGTTCAGAATAATTATCAGAAAATGTAACTGCAATCATGCGTGAGTTTCAAAACGTTCGATTTAATTTTCGACAATTAAACAAACAAACCGTACATAGCGCGACACCTACCGACGAAACATCAAACGAAAATCCATAGTGCTAACAACCTTCGTTCGGAAATCTAACCACAAATTGCTGACGATTTACGAATCAGACTATTACACATCGAAAACACCTCCCCAACAATGGTACGTCCAATTATCTGTTAATTTTCTTTTTGAAATGTAACAATTTTCTTCGGCTACTGGTTAATTATGTGCTTCGTTTTGCAGGCGAACTACAGCGAGGACCAGATGGCCGGTAAGTTTCCGATAAAGTAATCAAATCTGGGTTACCTGTACAAGGCCCCACCTTCCAAAGTACACAGCGGTTTTATTGACGCATCATGTTTTCTCTCGTCAATTTTCACTTGATTGTGACACGGATCTGCAAACAGTCTGAGTCTTAGCTTCTTCACCAAGTATTCAGAATTATAACTTCTGCTTGCTTTGGGTGTAACTTTTGTGTTCACAATATATGACTCACCTTAAAGGAATTTTCTTATGATTATACTGTTATCAAATGATGATAGGTAAAGATGTCTGCCAGTGTGTACATTTTGCTTGGTTGTTATATGTCTTGTTCTTGTTTCCTAATTTGGGTCATTTTGCTCAATGACTTGGGCATGATTTGTGCCCATTTATGGGCAAAGACTTTCAACAAGCTGGCATACCAGATTAACTCACCTCAGCTTGTATACTCAGTCATTTTAGTTGTGGCAAGCTGTTGGTAAAGTGAATTTAATTTAAATATTGGTGCAAAGATGTATCTGTATGAACCAATGAATAAAATTAGTTTTTCATCAGTTGAAGGTTGATATCTTTATATCAAGGTGTCAGAAGTGTGATATTAATTTTGTGTGCAGAATTCCAGGAGGCTTTCCAGCTGTTTGACAGTCGCGGCGATGGCAAAATCCATGTTTCGCAGATTGGAGATGCACTCCGAGCCCTTGGGCAGAATCCCACAGAGTCGGATGTCAAAAAGTACACATTCCAACATAAATCTGATGAACGCGTCTCCTTCGAAGTCTTTCTACCCATTTACCAGGTAATTTATTTAATGTCTTATCATCAATCGATATATATGTAGAGATTTTGCAGCAAATCTCTAAAGGAAGAATCCCGGACACCGCTGATGATTTCATCGAAGGCCTACGTCATTTTGACAAAGACGGCAACGGCTACATTAGTTCTGCCGAGCTGAGGCATTTGTTGAGCACACTCGGTGAAAAACTCACCGACGACGAAGTTGAGCAACTTCTCCAAGGACAGGAGGATTCGCAGGGCAATGTCAACTACGAAGACTTTGTCCGTTTGATCATGTCGGGTTGATTATACGCATTGAAAACTAATCAAAAACTTCACCCAACCCATGCCAGGCTGATACATTATTTGACTTAAATTGTTGTATTTATTCATCGCGGGGATTTTTTAAGCTAAGTTGGTGAACATTGTACTTAGACATGTTTGATTTTAATAAGTGCCTTCTTTCTACCACTGTCGGCCATAGAGCGCGACGCCATTGCTTGCAACGCTTTTTTTAAATTTTCATTCCAATAAATCTGTGCATTTATTTACTTAGATAAAGTTTTTATGGGACATGACTGTTATACAATTTTTTTCGGTGTATTAAAATATTAGATAATAAAAACTATATATCTATGCGAATTTTTGTACAAGACACAATGTTTGTTCCCCGTTGTTTGATGAACATAAAAAGTATAATATGACAACCACTCATTTAAGTCCCTTTTGCTGAAACGAAGGTTGCGTTACATTTTTCTTCTCATTGATGTTTAAGTTACAATAATTTTGTGCTGGCTGAAAATTTGTAGAAACGTTGGGAGCACCTTTGCAAGTAGAAATACAAAAATTATCAATATCATCTACGGACAAAAAGCTATTCAAGGTTGAAGTTTTACAAAGTTGTTTTTTAAGTTTTTGTTTCTATTTTTTGCAAAACGAAAAGTTTTATAAGAAAAATAGGTCAAATAAAAATGTAAATCATGAAAGTTTATATAAACATTGTCTGCACTTTTTTTCATAGGTAGGAGATAGAATCAATGTATTGAGCCCACTAGACACAGCTGTTACTTTCGATTTTTTTTAAATTCCTATAATGTAAATTGACATTAATCTAGTTTTTTATATATAAAAAAAAAGCTTTAAATGAAAGTAATTATATGTTTTGAACACGAAGTATAGATACATCTACATACCGAGTAACTATACTTCGTGGTTTTGAACATGAACAATTTAACCTTTCTTCTTCTTCTTTAAGACCATTCAAATTTAACCGTCGATTTGACCGGTAGGAAATAATTTGCGCGCCAAACTTGCATGTTTTGCGCAGAATCGTCGCATACAATTTTCCGGTCGTTTTATAAGCAATCCCGCTCATTTCTTCATCATTTCGCGCCAACCCTTCGTTACTTGCACTTCGATTCTTTGTTTTTAATTTAACACTAAATAAAACTATTTTAATTCCTTAAAAAATGCCTGCTTTGGAAGACATGGCTAGACCCGTTCTCAAGTTCATGAAAGTTTTGCCCGAGGCGTTTGCTCCAGTGCGTGGATCTGCAAAAGCCGCAGGTTATGATCTCAAAAGTGCCGTAGATTGTACAGTGCCAGCACGTGGTAAGGCACTCGTCGACACGGGGCTTAAGATTCAACTTCCTGAGGGATGTTATGGGCGAGTCGCCCCGAGATCTGGTCTTGCTGTTAAGAATTTCATTGACGTTGGAGGTTAGTTAAACTGCGTTTAAAATTCTTTTAGTGATTAAGCTAATTTAAGCTAGTATTAAAACATGAATTCTGTATTCCAGCTGGAGTCATTGACGAAGATTACCGAGGTATTGTCAAAGTAGTTCTGTTTAATCACTCCAATGAGGAATTTGTTGTGCAGAAAGGAGATAGGATTGCTCAGTTGATCTGTGAGAAAATCTTCTATCCTGAATTGCAGGAAGAGCAAGAACTGGGTGATACTGCCAGGGGTGAGAGAGGATTTGGTTCTACAGGCACTAACTAAACTTGTACAACCAAATCAGAAGTTGAATCTCTTTCCTTCAGATCCTCAAATGTATTCATGAAAACGTGATTTTTTTAAAGATTAAGCAAAAATAAGTATTTTATTCACTACTGGAATTACTAATGGTAAAATAAACTTTGTTCCTTTTTTACAATATTTGTGGTTTAAGTTTTAATTTATTTTCCCCAGCATGATAAATAAATAGGTCATTACTCATTTGATTACCAATGTTAAGCATGATTTGGACTCACCAATTAATTCAAAATGAGCAACATTAGTGATAACAAAGTTCAACTCTGGGTTTGAATTAAATGCGTCATACGTTGAATCAACACGGTTCATTCTGTTATAAGCAGTGCACAAGAATTAACAAGTTTTTTTGACAATTTTGGAATTTCCAGAAGTAAGGCATCTCTTGTTGATTGTTTTGTTACCTTGAGTTCAAGCAACTCACATATAATTAATATAGTAAACGCGTTTTTCTAGTCCGAATAGATTGATTAAGTTGGATGATTGGCAATAGTAAAAACTATATAAACATTTCAATGTCTTTAACTGAACTGAAAGTCTGATTGAATAACCACCATGATTAAATTGGTAAGTTCTTTTTCTTTTTAGATTTCTCTTTATTTTAACGAATTCATTTGAATGTTTCAGTATTTGTTTGCATGTTTCCTATGTGGAATTACACTACAAGTCAGTTCTAAATATATTCTTCAAAAAATATTGAATGGTGATGATGAATCTAATTTCGAATTATTGACTTATAATAGTTACGAAGATCTCGAAAGATCTTTCACCAACGCTCATTCGGGTGGGCCAGAATGGGAAGAACATAAATTCCAAACGCCGGATAGACCGTATTATTTGAGACAAGAAATCGACGAAAACATGAAACATGAAAGCGATGAAGACTTCGGAACTGCAGAAATAGATGAACTTTATAACTATTCCAAAGTCGATCCAGTTTCCTTTGAGGACATACATTTTTAAGTTTATAAAAATATAAAATGAGTACAGTAGAATCTTGATAACTCGAACCTTGTTAAGTCGTAATCCTCAGTAACTCGAAAAGATATGCTATTCCCTTCCGCTGAACCCCGAACGACGCACTAACTCGAATTTTTTAGACTCAGTAACTCGAACAATAAGTTATTTCCCTGTGCGGCATTACTCGTACATTTTAATACTCAGTAACTCGAACTGCAAATACTACCTCAGTAAGTCGAAGTTCATAAAATTTTATGATTTCTTACTCGAGATTCCCGGAGCTCAAAACTCGGGATTCCCGGAGCTTAAAACTCGTGGCAATAAAATCAAAAAGGAATGTTCGGGGCTCGGGGCCTCTTATCTATTGTTTTTGTTCGAAATTCTTGTTAAGTCGAACACTTGCTATCTCGAATTTTTTTTGGTTTCCCTTGACATTCGAGTTATCAAGATTCTACTGTAATAACAAATGACCACCTTTATGCATATGTGCACCAATTAAATTATTTATCCCACTAATTCGAATTATTACCTAGATAGAGGATTGGTTAAGTCAGAATGAACAATTAGTATCACCACGATTAGACTATAATCAATTCTGGGAAGTATATAGGTACACAGTATATAGCTCAGTAATCAGTGTCAATTATACACAGAATGCCATCTATCCAGTGAAAATAAAATCACTAACCACACGTGTTGCTGAATTTAAGGTTACACTACACTGTTTATCAATGACAATCAATGTTTACAAGACTTACTTGAAGTTTATTCGCAATGTTGTCCAAGAAATCGTTAGCCGATAAAATCTCGGGGCTTTTAAAAGCCGCACCTAGTTATAACCCAGATGAAAATGATATCGAATCAACTGCCAAAGTGGTCGATTTTGATGACAATGAAGAAGATGATAACATCCACATAAGTAACCAATCTTTGAGTGCATTTCGTAAAAAGAACGTGAATTTACTTGATGAAGTCGACGCAAAGTACGCAGGCAAGAAGAGTTCCAGGAAGGATCTCTTTGACTCAGATGATGACTTACAACCTGAATATATTGACCAAGAAAGTGATTCTGAAGATATTGATGATGAAATGGAAGATAATGAAGAAGGAGAGGAAGGCAGTGATGATGATGATGATGATGAGAATTCGGGCGAGGAGGGCAATTTTAAACATATGAATGAAACTAATCTTAAAGTTATCAACCAAAAGAGTCAAAGTGTGCAGAATCAAATTAGAATCTGGGAGAGCTTACTGGAGATGAGAATACAACTTCAGAAATATTTAGTTGCTTCAAATAAACTGCCACCTCCTGAAGTTTATAAAGAAATGAAGCAAGACAATGAGTTTCTTGAGAAAACCAACACATTAAAACAAGCTCTGGGAAATACTCTAGGAAAAATGATGGACTTACAGGAATTATTGATTAAGAAGTATCCAGAGTCTAAAAATGTTTTAAAAGATACACCAAAACAAGAAAAGAATTATAATGAAGATGATGATGAAATACCTAGTGACACAGAAGAAGAAAATACAGAAAAGGAAGAAAGTGATGAAGATGATGAACCGCCATCAGCAAAGAAAAAGAAGTTAAGCATAAATGAACTTGAAGATAGAGCAAGTAAACTGCATAAAAGTTACAAAAACTACAGAGACACCACCATTCAGAAGTGGAATGACAAGACACAAATTGCACATGGAAAAACAGCAAATACCAACCCAGTTCTTAAACAAATTGAATACAATTTAGCTGATAAGGCAAGACTCATAAAAAGGACTCAACTGCAAAGATCAGAATATCGCATTTTAGGCGTTGATAAACAAACTTCGGAAAATAATGAAGATGTTGAGAATACTAAAGATCATGAATATAATAATAATATTTATGATGATGATGATTTCTACCATCAATTACTACGTGAATTAATCGAAGTCAAGTCGGCGGATATCACCGATCCCATTCAATTAAGCCGACAATGGATTCAATTACAAAATTTACGCAGTAAAATGAAGCGGAAAATCGATACAAAGGCCACGAAGGGTCGTGTTATTCGCTACGGCATTCATAATAAGTTAGTAAACTTCATGGCCCCAGTTAATAATGAGTTTATTACAGATGAGGCTCAGACAGAACTTTTCTCTTCACTATTTGGGAAGAGATCATAGTTGTAATTATAGTTGTAATTAAATTCAAGTTATTAAACTACATTGTTAATAAAAACAAAACTTAAAATTGTTTCAGTTGAGCCAATTTGTTGTTTCTTCTCATTGCCATTTTTCTAACCTTTAGTAAATATTCTTTTGAGTCAGGCTCTAGTTCATCTAGTGAGAGTGCTGGACCAATATGTAAATTCCATAACCATCCAGGATATTCTGAATCTGGTCTTATTTTAATATCTTCACCAGTTTTGTAGATGTTGGAGCCACACACAAAGTTGACTAGTTTGTTTACATCACTTTCTACTGGCATTATTTTCTTCTCTGCCATTGGCCCAAGTTTACCCATTTTTTTCTTTTTGAGAGCACCACCAACCATGCTTACTCCTAAATTTATTGTATTATTTACAGTTTTAATAAAATTGATAAAATTTACCTGTGGTTTCTTTTTTTGAGTAAGTCATACATGGCAGATTTAATGTAAATTTCATTGGTACAAAACTACGTCGGCAAAGATTATTTATATTCATGTTTACTTTATTATTATTTACAATATGTGAAAATAAAATTCAAGAAGAATACTCGTCGGTGCTCATAAGTGTTCAGCAGTTTGCAGGTTAGATTATAATTTATTTTTGCAGGATACAGTACAAACAACGCCCTCAAGCGGAAAACTTTCTAAGCAAGGCAATAATACGCGGATTTCAAACGCAAATCAATTTCCGCTCCTTGGAAACAAACAGGAAAATCATTCACCGCCCCCAACATTCCAAACTACAAGAAAGAACCCTCAAACATAAAAGAAGAGAACAATATTAATGCATAACCTCAATAAACAATTTTGGAAACAAATGCCAGTTGCCTACAAAGCGCCCAAAGGGAAATTTAATAACTTAATAAATCAATATTTTCCTTAAATATGACTTTTGCTTGGTGCCTTGGAAAAATGAAAAACAAACCTAGTTATACACTAAACTAAACAAAAATGATTGTTAAAATGCGTTAATTTGTTAAAATATTTGTGAAAATATAAATGCCAACAAGCAGTAGTGCCTATTCACTAGTAAGTATTAATCTTTTCCTAATTCTTGAAACAGAAAATGTAAAATGAAGTATTTGTAGGATAAGAAGAGACTACTAAAATGTAAGAAAAAGTCTCTCACGCCAAACTCACAGCCCAAAAAATCACAACCCCTAGTTCAGAATGTGAGTCAAATCAAACGCTCGCACAGTAGTTTGAGCATCACCAACAAGTGCGTCAATAATGAACCTCTTATACTCAAAACATATCCGGATGGGGCTGTACACATATCCAGGACACCGGAAGAAAAGCAGAAGAATCCGGATAGAATATGTCTCGATCGACGTGCCTTAACTTTGGTCCCGATTTTAGATAATGAGCAAAATCTCCGGCTGCTTTCGTTGCAGCATAATTTGATCACGTCTTTGGAAAATTTAGTCAAACAATCGTATCCTATTTTAGTGTTTCTTGATGTGTACGATAATCAAATTGAGGCGATTAACTTTTTAGAACATTTGACTAGTTTAAGGGTGTTGTTATTGGGCAAAAACAGGTAAATTACTTGAAATGTTATTAAGCTGATAGTTTGTTTATTGTTATATGTTTTCAGAATTAAAAAAATAGAAGGACTTGTAACATTAAGCAATTTGGAAGTGTTAGATTTGCATGGCAATCAAATATCTGTGGTAAACGGCTTGGAACAGTGCGAATCGTTGAAAGTTTTAAATTTAGCTGGAAATCAGATTCGTAATATTGGTGCGCAAGATTTAGAAGGCTTGAAAAATTTGCAGGAATTGAATTTGAGAAGGAATCGTTTAAGAAGATTGATTGGTTTCAACGAAACACCAAATTTATACAAGTTATTTTTAAGTAATAATGAATTACAAAGGTAAAATACAAGTTGTCCACAAATTTAGGGAAAATGAATTTATTTTGAATTTGTTTATTATAACGTATATTATAGAAAATACTTTTCATTTTAGCGTTGAAGACATTCATAACATTGCAAAAACAACATCGATACGTGAAATAACAATTGATAACAATCCGGTGTTTCAAAATGGCGATTGTGTCTCTTTCCTAATCTCCTACTTGCCAAAATTATCTACTCTAAACACGATGCTCGTCAATGATCAAGCACGCAAATCAGCAATGGCATGGCGTCGAAATAAAGAATCTTCCAATGAGTTATTCAAGGATTTGTCGCAGAACATAAGTTTTAATGGTCGCCGCGAAGAAGTCATTTCAAATGCTCGTACAAACTGGGAATTATTACGAACTCAAACTAAATATGTTGCTACATCTTCAAAAATTGAAAAAACAGCTACCATTAAACCAGACAGCGATTTTATTACCACAAAGTTGGTAAAACGCGAGAAAACACTACGAAACACAAGAACAGGTTTGAATATTCTGCCGGATAAACGTACGTTTGTTCCAAGAACAAATTCAATGGAAACTGATTCATCTAGTAATCAATCTGATCAGTTCCGACTGCCACCAATACTAGTACCAATTATAAACAAATTAGAAACAGGAAGCACTTCGAGTATTGGCCCTAATATTGATAGTTCAATAAGTTCGTTAATTAGTAGTAATCTGTCACATTCCGAAGAAGAATCCAGCGATGATGAAGTGCTTCCGGAAGCAGAAGTACAACCCGAACAAGTTCAAGTGAACGAAGTTCCTGTTATAAACGAAGAACAAGTCAAATGCGAAGAAATCAAAGCAGTAGCGGTAGAAAATGTGGAAACATTAAGTAATTTATCATCAAACACAACTTCGAGTAATAATGGAAGTAATACCAGCGATAATAGCACGAAACGTCAAACCAGATTACGGCGAGCAGTAAAAAGTGCAATGAATACGAGTAATAAAGTTTCAATACGTGCTAATCGTGCTCTTACCGCGAAGGTTCAATCAAAACGAAACATTGTTAATGAAAACTCAACAATTCCGACTGTTGCACTGTCAAGAGAAAGAGAACAAGGTGATAAATTGCAATAATACTGTGTTTATATATTTTGTGCGAATAATATATTAATTTTAGGTGGTGATTATTTAATAGAAATTTGTGGACGCCATCTTAATGTATATGGTCACGGCGCTTTACGTTTCTTAGACAAAGCATGGTGTCAAAACAAAGCAAACGATGTTCATACAGTCAATTTTAATTATGCGAATTTCAATGGAATTTGCAGTGTTTTAAACAAAGTAAAGGTTCGTTTTCCTAATGCAGAACATTTTATATTTAAAGAGACAAATATTTACTGCCTGGGACAGTTGAATGCAATGGCGGAAATTCAAGGATTGAGTTCACTTAATATCCTTCCTGAGGGTAATCCTATTATCGATAAAGAATGGCAAGAATATGCCATATTCCGGTTGGCACATTGGGGCTTAAAAGTATTGAACGGAAAAGAGGTAAAATCGCAAAAAAATATCTAATTCATCAACTAATATAAACTAAATGTAGATTTCTGATGAAGATTTGACATCTGCTAATGCATCTTATGAAAGTTTGAACGATCTAGTCTTATGGTCACTGCCAAATGAAACATTGCAGCCATTACTCACCAGGATGCGCATTGACGTTACTGCTAATGAAGATCTGACAAATCCGAAACATTGGCTGATGCAGGCAGATCCTGCTTTGAGGAATGTTGTTAGTAAAGAAGCGCTCCAGTGGAAGAAAACCACATCTTCTGTTCATGAGGACATTATCATGCGACAGAAGGCACGCATTCATATAAGTGGACTTTTAAACGAGTTCTGCAATACTATTAAAAAAGCGCAGTTATTCGAAAAACGATGGCCTAGTATTTTGCAGGAAATCGTGAGGAATACACTGATTGATTACTCACAGATTGACATTTATACCAAGCGACAACTTTTAGAATTGATGAAGAGTTGTAATTCTTGATATTTACATTTTGTTTTTAATAAAAAAATATTTGATCCGCCATTTTATGACATTAGTCAAATTAACATCTCAAAATGTTCGGCCTTTTATCAAAATTATTCGTTTTGGTCATTGCATATATTATTCTTAGCTGTGAGTATTTATTGTAAATTGTTTTAAGGTTTTAAATTGCTGTCATGGTATTTTACAGCCCAATTTGATTCTTGCTCATCGAAACCATCGGGTTATGGAAAGAACGGTAATGCTGGAAATAAACCCTGTTTGAATAAATTGTGCGTGGGTAAATGCGGAAAGCCTGGTTGTACGCAGCCATTGTCCAATGGAAATGGTAAAACACAACAAAAACCTTGCCAGAATGCAAAGTGTGTTGGGGAATGCCGGAGCCCTGGGTGTTTAATAAATCGAGCTGAAAATAGGAAGCCAGAAGATCCGGATGACCTAACACCGGTAATTTAAAATTAACAATTTATTTCAAATTTTGTATAATCATAGGTAGCTTTGATAGCATAAACAATTCTTGTTTTTTTCTGCCGGTGGCAAAACACATGCTAAATATTTCTGAACGATTTTTTAACGTTTAAATTTAGGCTAAAACTTTATCAAACGATCAAAGCCCACCGCTGAGAGGCGACTTGAGCTGCCAAAAGTGCTCCTCTCCAAAGAACTGACCGGCCCCATCTTCACATCCAACTCTACCGATCCCAAACCCTACGCACAGTGCACCAAATGCAGCCTTCAAACGACGCCTGACAATACAGCCGTGATAATTTCATGTTACGACTGCACTGATCTCAAACCAGTACCGGGAGTTTGTGGTGGCGTGCCGGACGACGAGCCAAATTCAACTAAGGAGGCCGAAGCTGATACAAAAAGGATTGCCGAAGTTCCAGCCGAAGCGGCATTCCCGATTACAAGGTAAATCAACACGAGTTTAATTACATATCTAAAAAGTACGATTTCTTTCTATGAATTATTGAATAACCACGTTTGCGCTTAGAGTAGTGGACCAAATCAGGTAAATCCGGTCAGAAATCAAAATAAGATAAACACTGAAATACAAAATCAAGAAAACGGAATAAGTGAATGCGGCACTGAAATCGAAGTGGAGCCAGAAGATCAAGAATATTGCAAACCTTCGTTTGTCTATCTGGTTTATTATATTGAAATCGCGAATTATACTGAAAGGCAGCCGAGTTGCACGCGGTAATGACACTGATACATCAGTATTGATTCATTATTTCATACGAAGTGAAGAAATTGAGTGAACAGTGCTACAAACAGGAAATATCACGAAAAAAGTAAGTTGTAATGCATTATTATAGGTTAAGCTCACATACATTTTATGGGTTTGAAATAAGTTTTTAGTTAATTATATACAGAATCATCATCCGACGTTTACAATTATTGCACCACATGATACGGTATTTCACAACACATCCATTTATGTCAAGATTTTATTGATAACGCTTTATTTAAAGACATACAATCATCTAGAAATATCGCTTATATGGAATCATATTCTTGTGTTATTACAGATTTCGTTGAAATAATAGAAAAATGTTACGTCGATTAGCACTGTGCAAGAATTATTTAAAATTCTACAAACAATCCTCGTGCCATTCTTCGCAACTCGTGCGCAAGCAGCTCATCAGTGAAGAACAAACTGACATTCAAAACTTCCATGTTGGAACATCCCTGCATGGTTTTACTGTGAAAGATGTCCAGAAAATTGATGAATTCAACCTAACTGCAATTAATCTGATTCATGATAAAACACAAGCTCAATATTTGCATTTCTATAGAAATGACTCCAACAATGTCTTCTCTATCAACTTTAGAACAACTCCAATGAATAGTTCTGGATTACCTCACATTTTAGAACACACTGTGCTCTGTGGATCTAAATTATATCCAGTTCGCGATCCGTTTTTCAAAATGCTAAACAGATCACTGGCTACTTTTATGAATGCAATGACTGCTTCAGATTTTACGATGTATCCGTTTAGCACTCAAAATTTATCAGATTATCGCAACTTACAGCGGATATATTTGGACGCAGTCTTTCGACCGAATTTAAAAGAAACTGACTTTATGCAAGAGGGCTGGCGTTTAGAGAATAGCACATTAACGGATATTAAATCGGATTTGGTGATCAAAGGAGTTGTATATAATGAGATGAAAGGAGTTTTCTCTGAGAACGAGTCGATACTTCAACAAAAATTGCAGAATTCTGTTCTGCCAGATCATACATATGGTGTATGTTCAGGCGGTGATCCTCTAAATATTCCTGATCTAACATGGGATGCGTTGAAAAAGTTTCATCAAGACCACTATCATCCAAGTAATTCGCGGTTTTATTCATACGGAAATTTCCCATTGTCTCCTTCGTTGGAATATATAAATAGCGAATATTTAGCGAATGTTGAAAGACAAAATACTCAGCATACCGAAGTACCACCGCATACACGATGGGACGCACCACGAAGTATTCAAATTAAAGGACGGTTTGATAAGATGGGCGAACCGTTTGAGACTCAAAACTCAATAGTGATTTCGTACAAAATGTCTGATATCAAAAATATTTATGAAACATTTGTAATACAGGTAAGCTTCTAATAATAATTAATAATAATTGAATTAGGTAATCGTATATGTTGTTCTTATAGTTTGTATCTGAGTTGTTGATGAAAGGCCCCAATTCACCCTTCTACAAATCTATGATTGAGCCGAATATATCCGGTGGTTTTACACCATCCACTGGTTTCGACGCGCAAATCCGCGATTCAGTATTTTCTTTGGGTTTACAAGGCGTCAAAGTCGAAGATTTTGGTAAAATTGAAAAAATCTTCAACGATACGATAGATAAAGTAATTGAGACGGGTTTTGACGAAAAACACATTGAATCAGTTCTGCACACTTACGAACTCAGTTTGAAGCACGAAAGTTCCAACTTTGGTTTAACACTTTTGTATTGTACTGCTCCGATTTGGAACCACAATGGCGATGCAATTGAACAACTGCGATTTAATAAATATATTGATCGTCTGCGACAAGAGATTAAAAAGATCCTAAGTATTTATCCAATTTGGTGAAGCAATACTTCAAAGAGAATACACACAGATTAGTTTTGACAATGACGCCCGATAAAGAGTATGAAACAAAACAGCAACAATTGGAAAAGGAACTGTTACTCAGGAAAACTGCCGCGTTAACTGATGAAGATAAGCAATTAATTCACAAAAAAGCGCTGGAACTTGACCAAGAACAGAAACAACTGCAGGATACAAATATTCTGCCGTCATTAGACATGAACGATATAAATACTGATATTCCTAAGGTAACATCCGAAAAGTTGAAGGACAAAACTAAAACTATGTTGTATAAAGTGAACGCGAACGGCCTCACGTACTTTAAAGGCATTTTGAATACTTCACAGCTATCACCGGAGCAGCAAATGATGTTACCACTATTTTGCTACATTATTACTAAGTTAGGAACGGATAAATTGAACTATAGAGAGTTTGACAGTTTAGCGCAGCGGAAAACATCTGGACTTGGTTTCCGTGTGCACATTGGCGACAGTTTATACCAATTACATTCATATGAACCGGGTGTAATGCTTAGCAGTTACTGTCTGAACAAGAATCTGGAATACATGTGGGATCTATGGTCACAAGTATTTAACATATCTGCATTGAAAGATGTGTCTAGGTTTGAAATGCTAGTCAAATTGTACATGGCTAACTTGACACATGGTATTGCCGATTCTGGACATATGTACGCGATGCTTGCAGCGCAAGGATTAATTTCTGGAGTTGCTTATCAAAAGGATCTTTTAACGGGATTGCAGCATATTTCCTACATGAAACGGTTGGTAAAAACATCCAGCTATGCGCCGATTTTAGCTGAATTAACTAATATCGGCAAGGTTTTGTTTGATAAAAACAATTTAAGGTACGCAACTTGAATTTGTTGTTTTTTATTACGAAATTGTGTACAAACGTTTTTGTTTTAGATGTTCATTGAATATCGATGAATCCCAACGCGATGCAACTGTTAGTTCGATGGAGAAATTTATGTCTATGATTCCAACTGGTTCTTCTCCATGCGATGCTGGCCAAAAGTACACCACTACGAAAGTTTGGGCTCCAACAGATTCAATTAACTGTCACCATCATGTCTTGAATGTCCCCGTTAATTATTGCAGCAAAACTATTCTTACTGTTCCATATACGCACGCGGATTATTCGCGATTGCAAATTTTAGCGAAACTTATATCGGCTAAATATTTGCATCCTGAGTTGCGAGAAAAGAACGGCGCTTATGGAGGCGGTCTACGTTTGAGTACTGATGGCGTACTAACTTTCTTTAGTTATCGTGATCCTCGTAATACTGCGACGCTAGACGTATTTGACAACACTCATCAATGGTTATCAAATAACTTTCCCAAGTTTACACCACAAGATATCACGGAAGCTAAATTGGGCGTATTTCAATCTGTTGATGCACCAGTTCCTCCTGGATCAAAAGGATCAAATGAATTCTTCTATGGTCTTACTAATGATATTCTACAAAGGCATCGAGCTGCGTTAATGACTGTAAACGAGATAAATCTAAAGGAAACTATGGAGAAGTATATGTTGTGTATGGAGCCGACGAAAGTGGGTAAAGTAGTACTTGGGCCTAAACCTATGGACACTGCCGGGCGCAAGGATGAGTTGTGGACGGTTGTTGATAATGAATAAATTGTTTATATTGAAGAGCAGAGCTATTGAATAAAGATGTTATCCATTAACCTTGTTTGTGAAATGATGTTTATGTTTACAAAACCAAATTGCTGCTGAATTATTTAAATGTTTTTTTTTTCAGCTTATACCAATATGACGCTGCCGGGGGGATATGCGCACCCAGCAGCGTATTTTCGCGAATTGGTGAATGTTTTGTATGAATTCAGGTGGTTGTACGTTCATCCTAATACGCATATTTATAAAGAGAAAGTTTTGGATTTCGTTCCAAAAGATTGGGAAGAATATTTTCAATCTTCTGTAGCAATGGATGTTTTGGAAAAAGTTGAGTTGGGAAATAAGCTAGTAAGTTGTAATATATTATTTGCTGTGAGGAAATACAAGAATTTTAATTATAGCCCGATGCTCCTGAATCTCTTAATAATTTCATCGGCCAAATTAAATCCTTAACACCACAGTATAATATTATAAATTCACCGATTGAATTAAAAGGCGTCAAAGGTTTACCGAGCAAAAAGCAACATGAAATTTCATTGCTCGCTCCTTTAATTCAAAATATCTGCCAAGAAAACAATGTTGATTATGTAATTGACATAGGTTGTGGGCTAGTAAGTACAGATATTTACATATATTAAAACATTTAGATTTATAGTTAAAATTGTAGGGATATCTAACAAACCTTCTCAATGAGAACCATATAAAAATCCTAGGAATTGATGGCAATAAAAAATTTATTGAAACAGCGAAAAATAAATATACAAATACACCGTTTGAACATCTTTATGTCACAGCAAACTCTTCTTCTCATATAATACTTTTATTGAAGAAATACTTCAATGAATTTAATGAGAAAATTCACAAAGTTTGTCTGGTTGCTTTACATGCATGTGCAGACTTAACTGTGGACATGTTAAAGTTATCCTTGAGCATGGAATGTTTAAATGCAGCCATAGTTATGCCATGTTGTTATCATAGACTGAAAGAAAAACCACAGGTGAAGAATGAAATATTGTCATTTGGGAGATATGTTAATTTTCCACTCAGTAATGAATTAAATGGGTTAATTGAAGATGAAGATCAGTTTCTGAATGGAACATTTCTTCGACTTGCATGTCAACGTGCGGACTGGAAAAATCGAAGTATAGAGCAGCGAGATATTCAAACAAATAATTTGATGTTTCGTAATATATTACAGCTGGTTGCTGATGAAGGTACTAGCACACAATGATTTTATTTTTTTTTTGTTTATTATATTTTTAAATACATGTTTATTTTATAAAAATTATTACATTTTATTACTAATTTCCGTATTTTTTATGAAATCCAGTATGAAATCTTTTATTATTTTCATTTACAAATATATTCATTTATAAATACATCTTGACTATCGATTAAAAAACATTTTTTAAATTTCAGAAAATCTTAAGGTTCAAAGACGTCGCCGCAAGACGGGCAGTAATCGGGGAGATTACACCATAGACAGCTTTCTAACGAATTTAGAAACTTCGTACGAGATTACCGATGCTGGTGTGACTTCTGGCGCGATCGCGTCGGAGACATTAACGCGCATCAAAACGGCTGTAAAACAAAATTACGAGCGAACCTACATCGACAGGAAACCCACGCTTGCAGCGTACAGCGCACTACAAAACTTAATTCAACCCGCGTGTGAAAATCTTGTGCTTCTGGACAGGTGTGCATTTGTGCACCAGAAGGCTAATACACTTCCGCACTCCACAACGTGTGTTACGCTTAAAGTCACGGACGAATGCATTTCACCGCGATGCTTTGCGTTAGTGGTTGCTAAAGAAAAAGCCCTGCAGAAGTTTCCGCAAGTTGACGGAGTACATGTACTAACATAATAGTTCAAGAACAACAGCAACATTTTGCATATACTAATTATACAATCAACAGCTTCATCTACATACTTTGTCTGGCGGTAAGTTAATTTTTAATTAGTTTCTATAAAAGTATAAGTCAATGTCGTTTTGTCCAATTTCAATATTGTTTGTTTTGTTCGTTACAAAATGAAGGTGATTTACATGGAATTTAAGTGCGTTGAGTTCTTGTGAAAAAAAAAATAGAAATATGTATTTTGAAATAAACCTGTAGTTATATTTAATACAAGTGAATTATTTTAAGGGGTTTTTGAAGACAAAATTATCGAACGCGAATGATTTTGTTATCTGGCCCGTTGCACAAAAAAGTTTACGGAGCCCTGATGTACCACGGGTGTACAAATCATTTCACCTCATATGGTTTCAAATTAGTTCATAGAATTGTCGCTTTTTAAGTGTAAATGGCAATCGAGTTGTTGACCGAACTTGTTTTGTTCTCTTACTCGAAATTTTTTATGTTAATTGTTGAAGAGTGTGCTTACATGTTGTGTCTGTATTCCCAATGGTTGTTGAAAATTTGTTGTGTGCCTATTTACCAGAGCAATGATAGGTCTGTGTATTTGCATCTATCACTTAACTTGAAAACGAAACCAGAAACGTTTATGCCGTGTTCTCACTCCATTGAGTTTGGTTAAATTTGATAGAATTTTAATAGTTTAAAATGGGGCGATTTTAATACGAGGAGTAAGGAAATTGGCATGTATTGAAGTATTCTATCAATTAATACCATAGACGAGACTTTAAAAGCGAGAGTTTCATTTAAATTACACTATAAGTTTAATTGTTTAGCCGATAATAACATAAAAATACTCATAGTTACATTCTATTTATTTCTCGAAACTTTTATTGTTTAATTCTATTACAATATAATGGCATTAAAATGTAATGTTAAATTATTGTTGCCAATTCCAACAAGTCGGACGTTTTTGATTTTGAAGATTCTTTTATTTTACGTTTAGATTTATTTATCTCAGGATCTTCATGGGTATTAATCTGTCCCAATAAATCTTTGGTATCCTTTCGAACATCTGCTAATAATTTATCCTCTGCATTTGTTAAAATACTATCTAACAAGACGAACATAGGATTGTCTTTGTATTCTTTTCTTGAGTCAGCCTGGAGAGCATCAAATTCCTTGCGCAGTTTTTTTTCTTCCTCAAACATGAATTCTTCAACCTTATCCATACCATTTGGTTTGTCGGGGATTTTAACTTCAAGATCTTGTTTGGTTTTACTATCAGTTTCGAGTACTAGTGGTTTTAATGCATTCTGTAGTAGTTTTTCTTCGGAAACTATAAGTTTACTGTTTTCATTTATTTCGTCTTCTGGATCAAGACTTTCTTTTCCTGCTTCTTCATCAACTAGAAATATAATAAATTATATTTGGATAATTAAAGTAATTATATATGTTAATGAAATTACCTTGATCTTCATCAACATTTAAAAATTGTACTTTTTTGTCTTCTCCTTCTAATTCTTTTACAAAATCTATAGGAACATCTTGCCCAATTGCAGCAATAATCTGCTCAGGTACTATTATATCTTGTGGTAGCACTATAATACTGTCATTCTCTTTTGTACCAGTATCATCTTCAATAATGTTATTTTCCATTAATATAACAGGTTCCAAAAATGGAATTTCTGATATATCATCCTCTTCGCTTTTGCCCACTGTACTTGAACTATCGTCTTCTGAATATTCCATTATCATATTGTCTAGTGACAAATTATTGTCGCTCAATGAATCAATTAGTGCATCAGTGTCTTCAAGTGAATTAATTTTTCCGAATAATTTTCTAAGACCATTTTGTTGCGAAGCGTAGAGTACGTAGAAAATAATAGCGAATACTATGAATAACACGAAGAGAAGTTTTGGGTTGAAATTTTTATTCAGACGCATTTTTTTAGCTACTTTCTCGCCTGTTAAGCGACAACTGATGTTATCTTATCAACAACATGTATGTACTCATTCAAGTAACAATAAAAGTCTGTAAATGTTTTTCTTATATTTGTGATTGGTCTTGTTTACAGTCATCACGAGACTGTCCTGCAATTTTTTGTTTTTGTTTATTAAAACTTTTCAATTTAATGCAAAATTACGGTTATTTATCATATGCAACAATAACATGTTTATTAAATTTTTAATTTCTTAATGAAGAGGTTTTGCATTTGAAGTCGTATATTGGTTGCGGTATGAGTGAAACAGTTTATCTTTATCACTCAGTCAATTTGGATAATAACCAAATTATTAAATTTAAATTTATATTTAAATTTAAAATTAGCATGATTAGCATGTTACCGAGCTTAAAAATACACATTTCCTTTAATTTTCTTCTTGCATTGGAATTGCCTGGAGAACCTTTGGGGATTTTTTAAAATAAACAACGCGTATCAATATATTCTTGCTCTCATTTTTGTAGAAGTATTCAATGTTGCTATGAGAAGTTTATGAATTCGCATATATTTGTTAAGGAAGAAAGCCGAAGGAAAAAAAAGTGGAAATGAGATTAGTTATTGTAGTATGTCATGTTATTATATTAACAACATAATATTGACACGTGTCTATTTTCATATGTCGTATGATTGCACCGTCTGCTATTTTGGTTACAATCAAACTAATTTATTTTATTTTTCTTTATATTTGCACTGTATGGATTAACATTGTTAATTCGTTTATTATATTTGCACCGTCAATTGAGGTCATAAATGGAATATTGCAGTCATGTAGTTGGATTACCAAAATATCAACCACCCATCACACACCCACACGCGTTTGTAGTTTATTGTTTTTCTGTCATATTTTGTTTGAAGTCAATGAAATCAAATTACTAATTATAATTTCACAGCAGCTACAAATAAATAAAATTGTAACTAATGATGGTCTATTGATTGGTGTGACGTTTATCTAGTTATAAATTATAATGTAAATGCAGTTAATTTTGTTCTATCAAAGTTAAATTTTCGTTTACACCTGAATTTCTCTATTAATTGGCTATAATTACATTTGCATTGAGTGTCAAAATGAGTGCTAATTAATTTGTAATTTAATAAACTATTATATGACATATAAAAATAATAGTAGGTACGTGTAATAATAATAGTCCACTTGGAAGGATAAAACGCAACCATTTACAAAATAATTCCGTAGCAGATTTATTGAATAAAAATAGAGGAATAAATTTTAATTGCAGCCATAACACACAGTAATATACATGTCATTTGAACATTTCATTAACGTTAGTCGTATGTATAGAGTCATAGAGATAGAGAGAGGAATATGAGCTAATAATGAGGGAAATGCATAGATGGGACGAAGACGAGTACGATGACGAACGTTTTCTCCAGCCAAAAAACGCTCGTCGTCTTTCGGTGGCGGTGGCGGTGCAGAAAATGGAATAATACTGCATTTTAACAAATGTCATTAAGTTATAAAGTGAAATGAACGCAAGCATGACGTGCACATACGTCGCCGACTACTTAGTCTTTCAGCTCCGGCTGCAGTTCATTCTTAGCATCCTCGTCGTAGCTGTAAATCGAACGCGGTGCGTATGAAATTAATTGATGTTTAAGGGAGTGATTTCAGCGTACCTTTGATTGCAGCGGTAGATGTTCGCTACACCGGTGTGCGTGCAAATCAACTCGTTGTCTTTGCCGCACAAGACTGTCCTGGACAGGGGTGGCGCCGCCACTGGGTATATCAAGGTTTCAGCGATTTCTCCCAAGCCCGATCGTTTACCGTACCTATATTAGTAAATTGATAAAAATTGATTTGTGTTGTGAATCAGGACGTTTTGATTGATTTCACCTTGTTCCCATTTCGAATCGTTCGTTGCGCGGGGCAAAAATCTTCTTGGCTCCTACTCGTCCACCTCGGCCGTATCGTGGTCCTGATTGGAAGGATTGCTTAACTGAAAGATCATTCTTAAACTATTTATATTCGTTCAACCGAATATCAATAATAATATTTCACAATATTGTCCTGTCCATCGAAACTATTCAATTTTTTAATACTTTTTCTGATGGTTTATAAGAAATCCTTCCTTTTATATGTCAAAGAATGAAAAAATGTTATAATTGCCCTAAATATTTATGTTCGTTGGTAATCCGCTTCGCTCATTCTCATAGCAGCTTGTAGAATGAATTTATTATCTACGCGCTGAAATGTTGACCGCTGCTAGTTTAATGATAATCTCCGCCGACGCTCTTCGAAATGACGAACGTGGTGAATGGAAGAAAAAGCAAATGCGCTTAAGCCCCACGCGCTCGGAGTGGTACACACGCGAGATATTAACCGGAGCGTGAAATGAACCGACTGACCGATTCTTAATTGGGCGTTTTTGGTTTTTAGGTACGTGCGCAACTGTGGAGGGGATTATTAACTTACTCATTTGCGGTTTTGCCTCCGTTTGGACGAACATGTTCAGGGCGATGAGCAGGAATGCAGCGATTCCGATTATTTTTTGAATATTCATCTGGAACCCAAAAAGTCAAATCATTATTTGCGTCTGGTTCAAACGTGCATTTGATTTTAATATTAAATATTCAAGTCAGGATAAAATTCTTAATTGTTTTAATTATCTTGAAGTTTGTTTGTATTTAGTCTCATCTTGAGCCAATGTCATCTTATCACTTTATGGCATATTGGTAAGAACACGTAGGTCCGACACCTAGGAATAAATATATGTCGTTTTATGTCGTTTCAGAAATTGAATTGTTTCGCGTAGCGCATATTAGATTTACATATTTCTGACATTGCAAAGCACCTGCGCATAGAAAGAGGTCCTGACTTCTGTCTCCTGACAACAGTATCCATGACGAGTGCCATATTATTATTGTACGTGCATATTTTCCTTCCTACTAAAGAACGTGTAATGTTTTTATAATATTGCAGCCATCTATAAAATGAATAGTTTTTTGAGTTTCTATTTGAATAGAAATTGGTTTTTGATGAGTAGTTCTTTCAAGTGTTTACTAAGATTTATTGCATTGGTATCTGCATTTTATGATTATTTTACCTTTTAAGTTTAATGGAAAATTGCATTTCTATATAATTTCATCTGTTGATAATGTCAAAATTGTGCATTTCAATGTTAGAAATACTCAAGGGACCATATTTTGTTAAATTTTAAAAATATGAAGATAAAATGGTTTTATACTATTTAAAAGTTCAAATAATTTTCTAAAATTGTAAATGTGTTTCAAATCATATAAGTTTACTAATCTGAATTTATTGTTTTCTTGGTGAAAACGTGACCAAACAGACTTTTTTGTCGTTTCATTGTGATATAATTTATAATAGTATTTATATTTCATAACTGAAAGATAAATTTGTAAAAACAGGGGAGAGCAGACATAAAAAAACTAACAAAACCAGGCAATCATAAACAAATATTTTCACCAAATTTATGGGCGTTAATTCGCGGCATTTTAACGCCGACCTCAGCTTATCTCGTTTCATATCGGAATACGAGTACGCACCCCGCAACATACAAAACCAAAAACACCAGAGTAAAAAAGTGTTTAACCAATTTAACATCATTCTAGTCATAAATGCACATAAATAGATTTTGATTGTGCTTACAAATTAAACTTTTAGTGCGCGCTCACATTTAATATAAGTAGGTTTTTCTAAGGCTACAACTGATTTGATTAAATAAAAAAAATATACGGTCCTTATATACGAATACTTAATACATATTTTTTTCAATTTTTTTATTATATTTTATTTTTAAACGTTTTAATATTCAGTTTGTATTTAGTCTGTTTTCTGACAATGCGCTTGTGGCGAAGCGTGTTAAAAACACACAAAAATTGTAATTCAGTAACACGTTTAAAAATAAAATATAGTAAAAAATAAAAAAAGGTTTAATTTTGTGTTTGTTAAAAACTCAAACATAAAAAAAATTATTTACTCAAAATCTTCAATATTAACTTGTAAAAGTTGAAAAGTTGCAATTAAATAACTGTGCGAATTATTTTTAATTTTCCCTCAAGTTGAAGTGGAGGTTGAAGTTGATGAAACTTTCAAACATGAAAAACTTATGTTCAACCAGTTCCCTACTTCACATTTCAATAATTAATGTAAAATTAATTCAGGAAGCACTAACTTTTTCAATATTTTAATACTAAATTTATACAATTTGAAATTAAATAAATGAAATCCTACCTGTGTACTTGTTGCACGTTGCGATGTCACACGTCCTTAAAATGTATCCACCTCGCGAGCGGCGATGTAAAAAGAGGAAGAACACCTGCACAGCAATAACGTCCGTTTTGGCGGCGGCGTGAGGTTTTATAAGCAAGTGAAGACAGAAGTGCACATCGGTTGGCAGGCGCCGCCTCCGGACCGGCCGGGGGAGGCAAGCGCGCCGTCGTCACCGGCGACGCCGACGCCGAAACATTACAAATAGCATTTTCGAAAAGAAAAACCGAAAAACACGTCTCTAAGGTACAGTATACTTTCATGTTTTCAAATATATTCAATTGAATAATACTCATTTAAATATAAAGATATTTGAAAAAATTGCCTGACTTGTGATAATATTTTAATTTTTTAGTACTTGGTTAATCATAATACATTAATATTTTGTGTAATAACAACGCCAATAATATTATCAGTGGATTAAGGGATACATACTTTTTATTGAACTTAATCCGATCAACTGTTAGTATTATTAAGTTTATTACAAGAAAAAAAAATTAAAATCTTCCTAATTTGGATGTTCAATAGTGATTTAATACACGAGTGTACAATAGTAGTAATATAATTAATATATTTTTACAAGAATATTTTAAAATACAATTTTCGACTGAAATTTAAAACTTAAACTGAATATTTGCCAAAAAATATGTAAATTTATATATTTTGAAACTGCAAGAGGAAATTAAAACCTGTCACCAATGACAAAGAAAACACAACTTAACAATTCGCATATGCAACGTAGATGGTACAATAATTACATCCTGCGCGAAATTACTCCGAGTGCGCGCACATCAAAGACACACACGCGAACGACCGAAGAATATGTCAAGATAGAACCGGGCGCGGCGCTGATAGCTCGAGGACGTGATTATAATTAAATCAATTAAATTACTGCCTCTTAAATCTTGCTAACGAGTTTGCGTAAAACACAAACAGCACTCGTAGCTTGCAGATCTTTTGTTATCCTGGTGTTGGTGTAGTATTGGCGGCTGCGGGGAATTTTCGGGAATCGAAGCAGCTGAACAAATTGAATGCATTGTGCGTTGACGAATTTCGATCGCGAATATTTACATAATTTGCATTTGCATACGCACACGATGTTGGTGTGATTTTACTAAAAAATAAAGTTGCTGAGATGTTAATCAGAAATATTTTAGTTTTTAGCACGAGTGGTTGATGCGCACAAATTGTGCATACCTGAAGCTTCAAGTGTTTTATTATTTCAATGGATGTTGTGCTTGTATTAAGCGGGTTGAGGATTGTTATTTATCTTGCGGCAAACGACGCGTATTGAAACTTTGGTGGTAAGTTGCTAGTTTTGCGAAAGCCCGAGGTATTAAATAATTTACTTAAACGTGTCAAAGGGGATGATTCATTATTGGCACTGTGTTTACTTTGTTCATCAAGTTTATGCAGTTATTGAAACTATTACAGTTTTCTAGTTTAATTCAACTAATTGCAAATTTACTTAGTATTTAAAATGCTGAGTCCTCAAACCACATTTCAATATTTGCATTAATTACTCATAATTACTTATTTTTTGGCATTAGAATACGTAAAATTAAACTTTCTTGCACTCACAGTGGGTGTTTTGCATTCACACTGTATGCAGACGTAGGCGTAAAACATTTTGGCTTGTTTAAATGCATATCTACATTAAATTAAATTTCCTTACAAAGTCTTTGAAGAATATTAAACTATGTAATTATCATGATAAAGGTTATACAAATACCTTATTGCAATTCTTGCAAAACTATTGAAAACACAAGAATAAATGTTTCGTAAACCACGAAGCAAACAAAGCTCGCGAATAAAATCATACATATTAATATATTATACATTATATTATATATATTATAAATCAATGTTATTACAGTCGGAATGAGCGAGCTTTGAATGTACTAAGCTTATTTGATGGTATTTTTTTGGCCATGAGACGACGAATGATCTGACGAGTGATCGCGAGTGCAATCTTCACAACTGAATAAATGTTATCAATCTAAACAAACGGCGCCTCATGTCTAAACACTACGTTTACTTCGTGTTTCCTCATACACAACTTAGAGATAGTGATGGTTGCAAAAATAAAATGGTTTTAACTAATTAAAAATCATTTTGAAGTTTCCACTATAGAAAATCTTTCGGTTTATTTTTTAAAATAAACATACAGCTTTACGTCTTACAATATATTATGACTGGTAAAAGTTTAGTTTTGTATCAAAGTGTTGCTGTAACTATCAGTATTGCAATCAGATCTCGATCAGAAACATTGGATCGCACGAAAATGAGTCGCAAAGAAGTAGAAATCAAAGTGTCGATATCTTTGTACCTTCGCATCGATATCGCCATGATTATTTCCATCTATTGTGCCGTGTGCGTAGGTCAAACACAGTAGGTATGCGCCACGATGCATACTCGTACTTTGTCAAATAGTAATTGTATTTCGCTCTCGTGCGCTCGTTGCATAACTTATTCGCGCGTATGCGTATATCGCCCACGGCTCCCACTCCTTTTTCATTCTTTTCTCATTTACAAGATCGATTTCATCAGTTATACTTGCACCAACTTTCTCCCTTGATGCAATCAAGAAATTACAAATATTTAGTAACTAATTAATTAACGTATTCTGCAATATTTGATTGGTTACAGGTATTTATATTGCTTTCGGTGAAGCTCTGCGCTAGGTTTACATTATCATTGACTACATTTTTTAAAATCATTCCATATTTGACTCTGCTCTATTTTTAAACATTTTAAAGTGGCTTGAAACATATTTAAATATATATTTATTGAAGGGACGCATCAAGCGAATCGAGAATTTATGATAAAAGCTCAACAGCTTGAGCTTGACCATCACATAAGCTCCTGCGCTTTTGGTTCAGATTTAAAATCAATTTCCTTTTGAGCTTAGCTTTGTTTCTGCGGCCTGTACGTTGGTTATTTTTGTATTTTTGCATATTTTAATGCGCTTTACTTCATTCTAACATTAAAGAATGTTGTAAAGAAAGATACATTTTTAATTGATATTAAACAAATGTTTACAGATTTCACAGATTAATTTATAGTGCAATAAGTTTCACGATTATTTGTATGCCCAATGTCAATGTATGGTCAAACTTTTTGCAGAATAAATAAACATCTGAAACCTATAGACTTTTGAATAAATTCGAATAATTATCGTGGAGAGTAGGGTAAAAGAGGGTAATGGGGGTCACTTAAGGGAAAACTCAAATATAATTTAAATTATAAACAAAATACTTATTGCAATCGCTTATAAGCATTGTTTACTTAAATACCTATTATTTGAAATAATTTTCGGTCACTTTGACAATCAATTTTGGATATTATTAAAGTTTAAAAAAAAAACAGATTTGACTCCCATTACACCGACATGCGGGTAATGGTGGTCACCCTGGGAACAATCGGAATCAAACGAAATCTAGCAGATATCGCAGACATAATATTCCGCAAAGTCCCACCCAGTGCATTTCACATGAGCCCATAGCCCACATGAAGTGCATCTGAACCACATTTAATTGTTTTTTTTTAAATCGTTGCACATTAGACATCAGTTTTCCAAATCTTCATCCTCATCGCCCTGGCATAAGTCATCAGTGCCAATATTGGAATCATAAGTTTTGTTACTTTCCCGCAGTATCGTTTCTGCAAGAAGGCTATTGAAAAATAAGTCACATTGCTTTTATAGGCCATTTAAAGCGGACTAAAGACAAAACGTCCATTGGGAGTCGCATGACTCCCATTGCCCACAATTGCACTATTGTGAAAAAAAACAAAAAAATATTTCTTCAATTTGCGTGGACGTAAAATTAGATCAGCGGAGCTCAAAATAAAATATTGGCGTATCTCAATGATACACGCACCGATTTGCATGATTTTTCGGGGGTGGCACTGGGGGGCCAGAACGGAGGTAGGAACGCCGTTTACGCGTTACTCGTAACTATTGTTTCGTGGATATATGGGTGACTCCCATTACCCGCTGACTCCCATTACCCTACTCTCCCCTAACCTCAAGTAACTGACAATTACATTTTAGAATTCCAAATTAATTCTTCCAAAACTGAAAATAATCTAGTGAACGGTTTAAAAAATAGTAAATATGTTTTTGGCATTTGCTTTCAGTTTGTATTGTATTTATTGCACTGGAACTAAACTTCTAAATTAACGCATGGGTAACCATGACAATATCAACACATTTGCTCACACTCACAACAAACGTCGCGACATGTCATAACTTTTACTTTAATATTTAATCTTCTTTTATTGCTCAGGTCTTGATACAAATATGTGTTCCCAAGAATACGACTATAACTTCAAACTCGCCTTTCAAACAGAATGGTACGATCCGGTCGCACAAAACAAAAGGACATTCTTGATGAGTTTTTATCCAGGCGACAGCACCGTGGAGCTCTACGACATCAACCAACGCAAAATGTTCCTTCGCCGTTCCCTGTATGATGGTCTTCGTCTTAAGGACCTCTTCGTTGGTAATACTGTAACCATCTACGATCGTCTTGTCAAAATCACTGAATATAACGACAACACTACTCGCAATTTTATCGGTAAATGGAAGCAGCATACCTTTGCTCTCATCAAACCATCTGGCATGCCTCACCTCGGCGAAATCTTTAGTGAGATCTACGCGGCGAACTATACCATCGAACGTTTACGAATGTGCACTCCATCCAGGACGGAAATACTAAATCTTTACGAAAATCTCACGGGAAACCCTCAGTTACCATTCATAGTGGAACACATGTGCTCAGCACCGATAGTCGCCTTGGAACTTGTCGGAGAAGATGCCATCAATGGTTGGCGTAAGATGATGGGTCCAGCCGATTCCCAAGAGGCTAAGAAAACCGCTCCCGGTTCTCTGCGAGCTAGATTTGGTTATGATTTAGCTTCTAATGCAGTACACGGCGCTGAGGATCACGAGCAAGCGACCAAGAGCGCGTGCTACTTCTTTCCCCAAGGGATCGATAGAAAACCACCGCCGAATACTGCGCGTATTAACAATAGCACTTGTTGCATCATCAAACCACACGCCATTGATGAAGGAAAGTTGGGCACAATAGTCAACGTAATACTCAAAAATTTTGCCATCACTGCCATGCAAATGTTCTACATGACACCGACCAATGTAGAAGAGTTTCTTGAAGTGTATAGAGGAGTCATATCGAATTACCATTCATTTCTGCATAGTTTTATGAGTGGCCCATGCTTCGCGATTGAAATTTCCGCTAAGGAAGGCGATCCGAAGGAAGGGATGTACACGGAGAGTTTAGGAAACTCTGTGGCCCGATGGATTGTGACGTCGCGAAGAACATTAGACCTAATTCACTTAGAGGAATGTTTGGAAAGGAGAGATATCTCAATGCGGTACATTGTACTGATTTGGCCGAGGACTGCGAACAAGAGTTGGAGTACTTTTTTAAAATTCTAGATGAATAAGTTGTTGTTCCCCAAAAAATAGAAGTCTGCAAGTTTTAGGTTAATTTATTTGAGGTTAGATTGTCCAATCTCTCTAAAACGTCCTTCTTGGATATTAATTATTCTGTCCAAAGTCGAAACTGTATGAAACTATTTAAGGGAGTAAAGTTTGGTCCATATGATATATTATTAATCAACGGAAAGCGTAATTTTAAATATAGCGAATGCGTATTAAATGAAATTTTATTACATTCCGTATAATCCTATCGCATCCTACGAAAATGGGAAAATGTGCACGTTTCATGCACTATCCGGAATTTTATTTAATTGGTATTGAATTGGTGGAACTGCCGATACACTCGATGATACAATTTTACCCATATGATGAATTAATCGATTTTACTATTTCACTAATAAAAGACTAATTTTTAACAATTAAATAATAATGTGAGCCTGCCCTTATATGCATGCGACAATACAATTATGATTATTTATTGGACTCTTAGAGATAAAGATAAGTACTTGTATATTTAGAGCAAAACTAAACAGTGATTAAGCAAAATTTAATCGTGTTACATAATTACAGCTCAACAATGAAGTTTGAACACATTTTTATAGACACACGCGAGTACGTCATGTACTAGAAGCGCACACACAGCCATCATCTGATTGATAACACATGAACTTGCACGAGCACAGTGATAACAAACCGATCTTAGCGTCTAGTATTAACAGTACGCATTCTTACTGTTAACAGAGTTGTCCTTGCGTGCACTTTATTTCCTGTCCATTATCAACATGTACGAACAGACGAGTGCACCATTGCATTTGCCAATTAATCCAAATGGCCTTGGCGTGGAAATCTATGAAAGTTTGAAGCGGCACCAGACTGGAAACACCGAAAAAATTGCATTGGTATGCATTTGATAGTAACTCAGAAGATTTTTAAACGTATGTTTATATATGTTGTTTTATATTTTGCTAGATTGATCCTAAAACAAAACAATCGGTAACTTACACTCAACTCCTGCAATCGACAACGCGACTCGCTCAAGTTCTTGAAAGGGAAAACCTAACTGATGATGATTATATTGCGGTGTTCAGCGAAAACCACATTAATTTCTTCACGCCTGTGATTGCTGCCTTGTACATCGGTATCCCTCTGTCTCCCCTAAATTTTAATTATCAAGGTGATGAATTGGTGCATGTGTTGAAGATCTCCAAACCGAAGATTTTGTTCTGTTCTTCAACGGTCTTGGGCAAAGTAATGCAGATTCGTGAGAAATGTCCATGGTTCCAGAGAATTATCTTGATTGATGTAGAAAGTTGTCCTATTTCGGGCGTGATCACATTGAATGAGTATTTAAAAAGTAATTATTGTCCGATTGGATGGACCCCGAGACCTGTGCAATGTGCAACTCACACTTTGGGTATCCTGTGTTCATCCGGTACTACTGGAATGCCCAAAGGTGTGGAATTGACTCATCAGAATCTTCTTGTGAGGATTATTCAAATATTGTAAGTAATTACTTGTCATAAACGAACTTAATATTCTAGTAATTTGTGATTTATTTTTTTGTTTTAGAGATCCCAGATATAACGATATTGTACCGAATACTAAACTAGCTTTACTTCCATTTTTTCATGGATATGGATTTGTGGCAACTATGGGATACATAATTGGGGGTGATATGGTTGTCGTATTGAAGCGATTTGAAGAGCAGCCATTTTTGCAATATATTCAGGATTATAAAATCAGAACTCTATTTGTCGTGCCACCCATTATTGTTACACTAGCCAAGAGTCCCCACATTGAGAAGTACGACTTCTCAGCGCTGAAAAACATCTACAGCGGGGCAGCACCTTTGGATAAGAAAATCGAATTAGTCGCTAAAAGAAGGTGAGTAAGCGTAATTGAATTACACATAAGAGCAACGATAAAATTCATCCGTTATCTGCTTAGACTCAAAATAGACAACATTGTGCAAGGATATGGATTGACCGAAGCGACGCAAGCGACCCTATCACCGCCAATGCCTTTGCGACAGGACAAATCCGGCTCGGCTGGTGTTGTCTTGCCCGGTATGATAGGAGCTGTTATGGATTATGAGAGTGGGCAGCTGTTGGGACCGAATCAGGTGGGCGAAATTTGCTTCAAGGGTCTGACGGTGATGAAGGGATATTTGCACAATCCGCAAGCAACGGCAGAGAGTTTCAAAAACGGGTGGCTCGTTACCGGTGATATTGGATACTACGATGAAGATCATTATTTTTATATTATTGATCGAAGGAAGGAACTAATCAAGTATAAATCGTTTCAAGTAGCACCTGCTGAATTAGAGGCTATTTTGTTGTCGCATCCGAAGGTGCGAGACGCAGCTGTTATTGGCGTACCGGACGAGTTGGCAGGCGAGTTGCCAATGGCGTTCATTGTTAAACAAGCCGCCGATCTACTCACTGCAGACGAAGTTATGAAATTTATTGAAGACCGCGTATCGAACGCGAAAAACTACGAGGCGGTGTGAAATTTATTGATGAAATACCGAAGAATCCAAGTGGCAAGATTCTAAGGCGACATTTACGCGATTTAGCTAAGAAACTAAACCTGCAATCGAAATATTAAATTTAACATGGAATATGCGCTATAATGTAATTTTAAATTGTTTGTTTATAAATGGATATTGATTAAAAAGTTGTTTGCTGAAATATCTTTCGCAGCACATAATTTGAAAGGATGGTGACTTTTATTTTATTGATCAAACGTGTAAATAGGAAACACGACAAATGAAATGCGTAAATGATACTGTTGTCAACCGAGCGCGGTATAATATCTATTTGCAGTGGTTCGCGCCACACTTATTGCGGTTCCGATAGAAGCCGAGAAGACTGAAATCGTTAAAAATGTCACCGCCGGGATTCAAAGAAACAGCTGGTCGAAATTTTGTTTCTTATATTTCGATACTATCATATACTGGAAATACATATAATGTGCATTCGCGTTTAGAGATTATATTTGACAATACATTTATTTTTACAAAACTACCATATATGAAGCAAATATGTTACTATTTCTTTTATATTTAGTTAATTATTAGTTTACTAAATTGGTTCCTATAAATATATTGTCTTAAAGAGAAATTAATATTCCGTTTTATGGGCTTCTTATTTCTTAATTCCTTTAATATTTTAAGAATGCAAAACAAAATAATAATATTTTTTATACCTCATCTTTTAAGGATAAAATATCATTAGGGCATTCAATTTCAACTAGTAAAGAAAGAAAACGATCAACACTAATGTAAATTAATGATGGTTTGCACACAGAGATAAACAAATGTGTAATTTGCATATAGGTATGCGACATTTTGCGGATACTAAATCCATACCACATCTACTCTAAAATTAGTGTTAACTAAATTTATCAAAATATATTTTGGATTTTGCAGATACATAATTATTTTTGGTCGCAATTGGGTAATTAATTCTCGTGTTATCGGCAATTATCACTATTGAAATATTGAGAAAAATTGCAATATTTGGTTGGCAGGATTTTCAGGGTCGAGGAGAAGGTATGGTCATATTCTATTAATACAAGAAATCCAAATAGTGCTACAGTTTTTGCTTTATATTTTCAAATTAAGTTTTTGTAATTTATATAGCACCCTAAATGACAAGTCCCTGAAATTTATATTGATTGAAATGTAAAGCAGATTGAATTCTCTAAAACTTCAAATTGCAAAAAGGAAAGCAGGCGTTGTACAAGGGCTCGTTCGCTCCAAGCGGAAGAAGTTCATAGTATGTACGTCAAGATAAAAATTAAAACGTTCATTCACAAAAATATAATGACGAAATGTTTTTACATGATTTCAAATGTTCAACAAACATAAACGGATATTAGTATTATTGTGTTACACAAGCTGAACACCAAACTTCGAGAGATATCTCTGTAAAATAGTAACTGCATCCTGACTACAAGCGTTCACAAACGTTGGTAGGACACCTGGTTGAGACGCACCCAATGTACCCAAACTTTGGGCTAAAAATTGACGCGGTTCCGTAATACCTGCGTTATGAAAACATAGCATTAGACATTTATTTATGCGGAATAGTAAATATTACCTTGTAAAGGATCAGATTTAGCGTTATTTGCAAAGTTCAACTTGGCATTAGCGCTTTGGAACGTTGGCGCGTCATCCACTTCAATGAAATGATCATCGGGAAAAGTGCTTTCATCCCGTGGCATTTCAAAGAAACAAAGTAATGCCTGCAACAATTGCGACCAGTGTTTCTGGTACTGACCTGTATACATCTCAGGGCATTCGCATAAGAGTTTCGTGACTCCACAGGCAACGATTTTACGCTCGACGATCCCAGATATTTTTTGCAGTTCGGAAATGAAGAGTTTCTCGAGCACCATTCCAAACATGCTAACATTTATCATTAGTTAATATACAACAAACTGATCTTAAATTATGAGACTTACTAGGCTTGGATATCATCAATGGTAGCAATTAACTGCACAGCCGAGTATTTCACAGCGTACAATGAAAAGAAAACAATCAGGCTGATAACATACTTCGTAGTTTTGCTGGACGACAAACGTTGGAATAACAAGAAGAATATCTGTTTGTGATACGGTGTCAAAGCTTCCCTTTATAAACATAACATCACATCACTATAGATTAAGTAGTGCTCAAATTAGATAATGTTTACTCACGTAGGCATATGTTGAATCATACTCTGCATCAAATGAAATCCTTCATGATCGTTGCTCTTCGATGCGATTAGTTTCTGAAACACGCCTAGAAAACCTCCCAATTTATCATTTGCAATAATCTGCGGTGCTGCCTGCGTTGCGAATGCACACAACAAGCGCACCAGAGGACTAATGTTGGCCGGGCGTTCCCACAACACTGGAGCTAGCAAACATGGCAACAACTGCATATATGGATCCGGAATCGCGCCAGTCGGTGTCATTTCCATCAGCATCGAGAGCAATTGAAACACGTAAGGAATAAATTCTTGAATATCCTGCTGAAGAATGCCTTGGAAAATTGGAAATAGCACTCCTTCAAATGACGCGACTGCCTGGCTGTTATTAATGCATACGATTCTGATCGCCAGAGAGAATGTCTCAAAGAGATAGTGGTTGAAATGCGGTTTGGATGGGTTCTTGCAGACCGCTTCAAGTTTTGTTGTGAGTTTGGGCAAGATGACACCCAAATACGGCACCACTTTATCTTGCAGTGTAGAAAAGGTGCGCATCAAAGCTTTCATCACGTACTCATTTTCTTCGGAGACGGGCTTCTCTAGGGTCACGAGTAGGTTGTTCAGTAGATCATTGGCAACAGGTGCAAGATCATTACTGGTTACACTGGTAAAAAGCCATACTTTAGGACAAATATTTTAGAAGTCAACATTGCTTACATGAGTGCGTTGGAGCCCGTGTCCCGCATTATTAGAATTTTCTCGATTGCACAAGCAGCGTACGTGTGAATCACAGCACTTTCAGATGTAATATGTCGTATTAATTGCGGTAGCGTGCTGACCACCATCTCTTTGGGTAATAACGTACGGAAAGTCATCACATATTTAATGGCGTCCGCCTTCAGCACTGGTAGATCATTCACTGAAAAAGGGTCACTAAAGATAACAAAACAACCGAATAGCTTTTAGTTATACCTACCATCGGGTCGTTCAAGTTCAGGCAGAATATGTTCCTGACAAAACTGCGGTAACGATACTAGTTGACTGCTCTTCGTCACACCGTGCCGCTGTGTCGCGCCTCTGCTCACCAAAGAAGTGACCAAATAAAGCGCGGCGTCTTTACTACGCCAGTTCATTTGTGGATTCTCCGCGTACTTCTGCATCATCACTTGTAAGTACTGCCCGAAAATCTGCATGATGCGCTCCTCGAAGTTCTGACTCAGGGTGTTGACCAGATCGCAGGCAGCCCGCCGCCTGGTATCTATATCACTACCTTCAATATCGCGCCGTGTGTATTCTTCAGGATTATCTTCGAAGAGCTCTTGATCAGAGACCCGGAACTCCATATTAGGGATGATTACTTTCTCGCAAATGCTGTTCAATACATTATTGTCTTCGAACAGGTTGCGATAATGCGATCGGTCGGCGACCGACGCTAAAAATTGCAATGCGTTTGACACCAGCTAAATGTAAAAAATAAAGTATGAAGTTAAATGTATTTAATTTCGTGGCAAAGAAATATATTAACTCACGAGATCATATTTTGGTTGTAAACCAGTGGACACTAAAAGTGACCAAATTGCTGTGACGAATTCTGGCAGGTAAGGTTGAAATTCTTCGTCGTATTTCTGGGCGTATAGGGCGACATTGTCGCATACTTGAGATTTGAGTTGTTCGATAACGCCTGCTTCTTCATCATCCTATAAAATGCAAATCAAAAGCGTTTTAAGTGCGTTTTCGAACAAAATCTAAACTTACGCCAGTTTCCAAGACCTTAACTTCCACCATCAATAGTTGATGAAAATTAGTCATCCATGTAGCCATGTTATCTTCGAAAAACTCCGGCAAATCTTGAAAATTCAGTGAGTAGAAAACTTTGCATACTAGGGTGAGTGAATTGTAGATGATTTTCAACGCGTTTGCATCGTTTGCGTGCGTTTGTGTTAAGCCCATTGTCGCCGTGAGTAAATCCATTAGTGGTTGTGCCAGTTTTTCAAGCACAAACTTAATTTCAGCCCATAATTCATTCGATTTGAATTCATACCTATACTTTTTAAACAGTGAGTGAGCTGTTCTCAGTACACCATTTATAACATGGAAGTCTCCAGTTGCAAACTTGTCAACCATCTGCACAATCAACTCAGGCCATTTCATTGGAAAATCTGTTTTACCAATGATACCAATGGCAGCACTAAGCTGTTTCTGAATTGCTTCTGGTGAAGACAACATTAATGTAACAATAAGTCCCTTGATGGCTGTCCTGTCAGTCTCATGAATTCTGTCTTCCTCATTTTCATCCTGTTTAAATTTAAATATAATAAAATAACGTAATATTTGAAAATAAAGAAATAAATGTTGGGAACTTACAACAAACCAATTACGTTTTATGTAGTTTTTGAATGCAACTGCACCAGCCACCCTAATAGTCATGTCTATCTCTGGCTTGTGCAAGAGATGTAGTAACAGCAGTGAATAGTTTTGATTCACTTCAACCTTTTCAAGAAACTTTTCAGCTGGAATTTGCACAAAATAATTATTAGTCATGGAATAAGTTGCTTTTATGATGTTGTCCGAAACTTACCGGGGCGGCGCACATTTACGTCGGGACTTAAAGTCCGTTGCAAGTATTCGTTAAGCGTCTGTAGATTTTCTTCAGAGACTTCCATGGTGATTGATAGTAAATTTAGAAATAAATTGTTAAAATTCGAGGCGTATTTTCTCCAATACGATAGTTACGCGTATAAAGTTTCAAGAAGCTATATGCCGGTTCGGATAAAATTTAAGCGACTTGTTTCTTCCCAGGTAGTACGACAAATGGTGCAGTTGCAAATGATCATAACCTCTACCAATTCAAAAAACGAAGAGTGGAACAAGGACAATAACTGTTGAAGGAACGTCTCTCCGCGCCAACACGTGTGGCAACATTGTGAGACGTCGCGTTAGGTTGGATACCATACTTTCCGATACAATAAGGGTATGCAACAGTTCGCCGGTTTCATCGTTCTTTTTCTTCAGAACTGTTCTACGAGTATGCTACGATTATCTATATGCATAGATTAAATATTTCTAATCTATGGTTTTATGGTGAAGTTTTCGCCTAGGTCAGAAGTACTTTCAGTTTATATTTAATCTTCAGTTTGATAACGTAGTCTACTTCTCCGTTTTTGGATTAAATATTGATGTATTTTTGCATAAATGAATAATATGAATATGAATGAATATTTTTCACATAAATATTGTCTTATATCAACATATATTAAATTCAATCGAAATATTTAATGCAGAGTATTTGCAAAAATTGCCCTAAAATTCACACATAACAACAAACATACAAATTGACAACGTTTTTAAAACTGTTTGCGCCCCTCAAAACTCTGCGCTAACGACAACCAACTATCAACAATAACTTAACAAGTGTTTTGAGCGTTTTGACGCTCCGTGTTCGAAATTACGCGCGGAAATATCTCGTAAACAACTGCTTATGATCTATTTGAAAATGAAATTTAGCTATAAGTAGCTAATAAAGCGACTATTGAGAAAATTTCCATTCGGTGTTTTATGAACTGTGGTGTTACGAAGCGCGTCCTTAATTTTATGTTACTTTCTGGAGTTCGTTTGAGAGTAATTTCAGGGAGCGACAAACTCGAGAAAACAAAATTCTTACAATTTTGACAATAAAGTTATTCACTGATATAAATAAATTAAATGAAAGGGTATTTTGACTGTGCTATTATACAATGATCGTGTATAGATCTGTATCTACTGTATCGACTATATATTGTTACCGTAGATCAGTGTTGCCAGTAATATCTAACCTATTTTAATATAGGATTTTAATTTGAAAACAAATCAAATACCTTCTTTAATAGTTTTTTTAAGATGATTTCTTTTCGATCAAAGTTTCTATTTTCACGTACGCCGAGTTTAATACAAGTATTCCAATATCAAAGTAGCCATAATAAAATCCTAACTTACTTTAACCAAGAAAAACATCTTAAAGAAATGCTTGAGTTCATTCCAAGTAAATATTTAGAATCAAAAAAGTATAACTCTTTAGAATCTCTTTACTTAATTGATCTGTATATTGCGCGAAATATTTGCCAGCACATGTTACCATGTCTGAAAGAAGGTCATCAAGTCATAGCTGAAACTGGAGCTGGTCTAGGTCTTGTTGCATCTGAATTACTAGACAATAAAGTCAAAAATGTTAGACTATATGAGTGTTGTCACGAATTTCGTGCTGCATTACATGTAAGTTCACAAATTTAGAGTGTTCTAAGATTTCTTTTAAAATTTGTAACCTTAGACATTTAATTGTAGGATTTCAACAATGTGTACCCAAACAGGGTTGAACTTTTCAAACAAAACTTCTTCCATTTAGGCAGGATATCAAACCAAGACAAATATGACAGAGGGAATAGAGTCTCCCAAATGTTAAAAAATGTACCTACGAAGAAATGGCAAGAAGGCCCATGCATGACAATCTTTGGTTGCATGGTGAACAGAAATTTTATTAATTATTTGCTAAAAGTGATAGCAATGCAGACTGACATTTTTACTCATGGTAGAATTCAATTATTTGTAGTGATGAGACCATCTGATTATATTGTAAGTTGTTTAAAGGTTATTCAGCAACAATTTTTAATTTTTGTATTTTTGGACAGAAATTAACTGCTGATTCAAAATCTAATCTTCACACTTACTCAGCATCATCAGTGTTATTTCAAATATTTTTTCAACATGAATTACTTGAAAAATATCCCAGGCAGGCCTTCTTGCCCTGGGAAAATAAGTTACGAACACGGATTAAAGCTCGATACAGTCAAACAATCGACGTTGATCAACTGTATTTTGTGAAGATTGTTCCCAAGCGGACCTTACCGGTTTCCACTGAACATTTATTACCTTTGCATTATTTTGTTCGGCAACTTTTTGGTCGCGGGACGAATCGAGTGTTGCCAACAATTGAGTAAGTTTGCATTATTCTGGAAAATATGTAAAACAGTATATTTTATTTATAGAAAATGGTTACCAGGATTTGGGAAATATTTAATTGTGCCTTCAAAAAAGTACACCCATTATTATGATGATATTAGTATTTTTACTATGTTTGGTGAGTTGAATCCGCCGGAAATTCTGTCTTTGTTTCAGTAAGTATCAAATATATTAAATGTTTTAACAAAAGAAGCTTTAGGTATCTATTGACTGATTTAATTGTCAGCTATGCGTCAGACTCCGATGCCGATTATAGACGATTGAGAATAAATGATGCTTTTCTCTAAAAGGCACGCAACTTTTAGCTCCTATATTTCTTTATTTGTTTGTTTTTGCAGGGAAATGACTGAATATGAAGGCTACAAAGGAAGCGCATTTGAAGCAATGGTTCAATCCGAGCTGGTAAAGTACGAGACGCGAGAAAGTGACAATAGTCTACTATTAGAAGATTCTTTAGATCAATTAGATGTTGAAGACTTGGAAGAAAAATTTGATTGAAATAAAGACAAAAATACATATAATTGCTATAAGGTAGATGTTTATTATACTTTTCATATACAAACTTTACTCGAATTTTGAAGATTGACATAATGCCGACTATCCTACAGCGGTGTATTATTTATATAAGTGTTATTAACTATTATGTATTTGGTCAGTTGGTCAAGTGATAAGCAAATGATTTACACAGTATCTATTTCATAATAAAAGTGTATATTTGTATGCTTGACCTTAAAACTAGAAATGAACTGAAACTGTATTTACATGGTACACAATGACACAATAGGAGGCATGACAAGAAGAGTCTATGTATACTTGGACGAGGGTGTAGATTCGAACAGCAAGCACTGATAGCTATCAAGCGATGCGTACTTCAAATCGTTGACGTCGTCGTAGAGTCGGTGAGAGGGCATTCTCGGTCAGAATTTAAGATCCTTGATCGCCTGCGGCAGGTCCGGTAGTTTGATGTCTTTGATCTGCTGGGGAATGTTCATGTTCTTCACTGCCGAAACCGCTCGTGCAGGTGCCGCACTTATTCCAGCCTGTAATTATATATTTGTAGCTTAAAATCTTTATTTAACATTTAAGTTAAGCCTACCTCTTTATTTTCCAATTTATTCTGTTCTTCTATCCTATTTAGGATTTCATTCATATTGGTTTCCAAAACCATACCACCCATTACCAGTTCATTAAGAATGTAGTGGACTTTGTCCACATGAAATATGAGATCCAGCTCACAGACATTCTCAAAGCATTTATCTAAGGTCTCCACAAATACTTGGATCAAATCCAGGATGCCCAATTCACTTTCTGATGAATCCACACAGAACACAAAATATAATGTGGCATAATGCCGGTAAATCAATTTGTAGTCACTGCCACCGATGAGGCTACCACCTTCTAGAAAATTGCACACATTGTCTTCTCGTTTGGACACCAGCTGGAATGTTTCCTTGATGATTTGTTGCTGTAGGTCTTCATTCTATAAAAAAACATTAACCATCAATCAAAGATACTGCAGCATAGTGATTACTTACAAAGTATTGATAGAATTTTGAAAGTCTTGGCTTTCCATGATTGTTGAAAACTAGTATTGCTTTGATCATAGTGAAATGTGTTGAGTTGGCTTATTATTGAAGTAATTGGCGCGGCGGTACGAAAAGCACTGCGGGATGACAGTCAAAACATGGTTTTCTGTGAAGACTAATGAAGACTTCAAGCAACTGAACTCATTGCTGGCTCATTCTGCAAACGCGCACTCAACTCACGCACAGAGTAATACGCAGTGTTGGGTGTATACATATACAAGGACTACCCGACATACAGATAAATTTTATATTATAAAACATTACAGAGTTGGTTGTTATTTGGTTAAATGGATGGGTAGAGAATATTTTGGACACGAAATGAAAGTGATCTTTAAAAATAGTTGCGCTTTATAAAAGTAGGGTGCGCATTAATATTTACTTTGTTGTATTCCTGTTGTATTAATGTTTATATTTCATAGATATTGTTGTAATGAATAATTGTATTTGTTTATAAATAAACCCAAAATGTAAGTAAATAAGTAACTTATTAAAATTAAAAAATTAGAATTAGAAAATTGGTTGACTTATTGTAGCTAGCGCCATCCCTGAGCAATACGTTAAAACTTAACACATACACTACCCATGTATGCCAACACTTACCCACACATATTACTACTTGGTTTGTGTTGAAATGGAAAGCGCATGGCGCAAAACATCCCCACCCAATTAAAACCCACAAGCTCGTGTGTTCGGCCGGCCGCTCGCTGCATCACAATCCAATCGAGTATCTGCGGCAGATGAACATGGCGTCGAGTGAGGGCGAAGCTTGCTGACATGAAGCTCTCGAAGCGCTGAATGCCCTGCAACGAAAAACTGCCCCGGCGCTTGTAAGACGGTAAACCGTGTGTGAAAAAATGATACGCGAGTGATACGAAACTCTTTCGGAGTGCTAGTGGCAACAGAACGGCGCTGAAGATGGTACGGACGGCTATAGTGCGGCGCGGAAGGCAAAGTCGCCGAGCGTTGTTTTCTTCTTCGGTCGCAGCAGCTGCGGCCGCTTTTATCGTTGCTCTGGCTCAGCTCGCGCAAGGTAAGTTCAGGCGTGTTTATAGACCACACACTCCTCCAAATGGTGCCGATTTTATTAATATTCTCTTCTTTTCTTCGCTCTATTTTATTAAAAACTAAATAAATGAATAAAAGCTATGCTAAACTTACGATGATGATTTTTTGTGTGTAATAAAGACAAATGAATTACATTTAAATAGGCAATTGTCCAGAGCGATACATAGACAGTAAAATTTAATTGAACAATCAAGGCACGATTTAATTATGGCGCTTTATTTAGGTTTATTGACGGATAATGAAAGGATTTTAAAAGATTTATGTACGCTGTTAATCTAGCGAATTCATGATCGTTAAGCTCACGAGTCGCGGTTTCTAAAGACTTTTTGGGTTTAATTGGAATCGGAACGCACGTTTACATTACACAAGGCGGAAAACAAAGGAAATTTGATTGTTGCAACCAATAGTCTCATGTTATGATTGATAACTGTTTCACACTCTACTTATTATCTTATTCAATTAATCTAGTGTCGATACTTGAATAGTTTTCGTTTCATGTGCATTGATAACATAAACAGCATAATGCTTCATTATAAGTTTCAATTCAATTAAATGTACATGATTTTTGTCACGTAAAATTGACACGAATGAAATTTACAAATCGATTTAGTGGCAAAAGAACGACTTTTATATTATTTATATATTGTTTTCGTACAAACGTAGTTTGATTGAAATCGGTTATCTCGGTTGTTTTCGCGTGGGTTGGATCAAAGAAAAATCGACGTCCCATATTGCGTGTTTATCTGATAACCGGGATTGGCACATTCTTTCGCACTTTAAATGTTATCTATTTATAACAACAGATTAAGAGCAATCAATAAAAATTGAAAATTAAACCACTTTGTATGTTTATTTACTTTTCGCGGCATTACATCAATTTTGTGGATTGAAATTAAACTGTTGTAGATATTTAATGCTTGCAGAAGAAAACTTCTATGCATAGGATATTAAATTATTCTCATTTATTCAATTCGAATAATTAACCAAACGATGATTCAAGTTGGACACAATTGCATTACCAGACGGGCACGTTATGCGCTGTAACAATTTAATGATTGTGTATAAATACAAAAGCAAATGTTGTCACTGTGAGTCCCTCTATGGGATTCTTATTCGCCAGTACAATTGGTTTTTTATGTAGTATGTACATTAGTACCGCATGTTTCCCATGGATGATTTTCGCAAAATATTTGCGTTCGCAATAAAAAATACGCACCTTTATTGAATGTTATATTTAAAGAAAGCTTACTGATATCGTAGGAATGAGTTGTTCAGGTGAATTACGCAATAAAGTAAATAAATGTATTTAAACAGACCGGAAATTTTAAAAAATATATCTGCGCCAAAAAAGTAATTCTAGTATGTATACACAATTTATTTATTTTTTTAAATAATAATGTTTAAAAAAAACTATTGACTCTTGATTGATTGGATTATAAACTATATACACTTGAGAGAATTGATTAGATAAAAGTTGCAAAATACAGGTTAATAGGATTTTGGGAAATTGGTTGCCTAAGTTTTTTATTTGCTTTTAGGTTATGATTTAGAGTTTGCTATTGAACCCCAGGACACGATAGTACAAAGTGGACATTCGGCAGTTTTGGATTGTGTGGTAAAATCGTCCGAAGACACCGCCAGCACGATTGTAACACAATGGCTCGACGAGGATCATCAGCCTCTTGCGTTTTTAGGCGATGCTTACAGGTATACTACTTTTTTTTAATTTCCCATATATCTATATGCTATTTCAACCTTTTTAATTAATTTATTGGTAGTTTACATCTTTACGTCTTTTTTGTACATCAAAATCAATTCCTTCAAATTAGTTCAATTTGGTCATGAAAACAAAACAGACAGTTAAATTTGATTCTTGTGCACACTAGGACAAACTTTAAATGAAATTGCAATTGTAGAAGTTTTCTTTTAAGCTTCCACAAAATGTGTACACTTGAAATGAAGATAGAATAGCGGTTTAATTAATGTTTTGATTGATAGTTGTTTGTGACTCACAAAGTGCGTCGTTCAGGAATAAGTTTGTTTACGTATCCGAGTTCAACAGCACACACACGCGTATTTGTTTTAACGGATCGTCTCAAATTATTGTAATCTTTGAACTATTCTTCTTGCAGATCTCAACTGACGAACGGTTCGCTGTATATAAGCAGCGTTTTAGAAGAACAAGGTTTAAGCTTAACCGGCGCTTATCAGTGTAAGGCTTCGCTGCCGGGCGGCGCCTCTATTGTCAGCAGGACCGCACACTTGAGTCTAGCCAGTATGTACACAAGCAGGAATATAAATGTATTTAATTTTGTTAAAAATTTGCTATGTGTCTTGTTCGTTTAGGCATATCTAGCTTCCAGCAACAACCACAGGATAATACAGTCTTCCTGGGTCAGAAAGCACACTTTGCTTGTAAGGTACGGGCGTCGCCAGCTCCGAGAATAAGATGGCTGAAGGACGAACGTCCGTTGCAAATTGATGAAATTCGAATGACTGTGTTACCAAGCGGGGCGCTTGAGATTGATGAAGTGAAAGAATCCGATCAGGGAATGTATAGGTGTAACGCATCTGGGCCAAATACCCATTTGCTCAGTACTAAAGCACATCTGTTAATTAATGAAGATACTGATCAAGAGGATTATACAAATATGCCGCCAAAGTTTATCGCGGAACCCATGGCGCAGGTCGCCACTGAAGGGCAAACTGTTACGTTGGATTGTGCGGCAAATGGTAATCCTGCACCGGTGATTAAGTGGCTTAAAGATGGATATAATATTGATATGGCGTACGTTATTATTTTTTTCATATTCTGCTTTTAATTATAATATATTTTTGTTTGTTTAGCGATCTGGATAGCAGATTCAGTCTGATTGGATCATCAAGCAGTTTAAAGATTTCGAACATTCAGGAAGAAGATGCTGGAACGTATCAATGCCGTGCATCCAATCAAGTGGATAGTTATGATAAAAGTGCTACCATTGACGTGCAGGTCCCACCACGGTTTGTGGACAAGCCGAAGCCACGAGTTGAAATGGAACATAATGTTGTCGAGTTTGAGTGTACCGTCTACGGAAAGCCGGAGCCGAAGGTTTCCTGGTTGAAGAACGGCGAGCATATAAATACGAACGAGTACTATCAAATAGTCAACGGGTAAATATCGACGAGCGCGCACACTTGCGCAAACTCTAATGTTTTATATCATGGGTTTTCCTCAAATTCGATGTGTGTGTTTGTGCGTTTCAGTAACAATTTGAAAATTACGGGCTTGATGAAAAGCGACGCGGGGCTCTTTCAGTGCGTCGCGACGAACGCAGCCGGAAACGTGCAGGCGGCGGCGAGTTTAGCAGTAACAGATGGTGAGTGCGTTTAAAAATAAAATACGTGTCTAGGAATGCATTGGAATAGACGTCTTGTTGCCGGCAGCTCGTAAAGCGTGCGTTTTCGGCGCCGCCATTGTTTTATTTGATATTTGAAAAGGTCTTGTCACGCTCGACGTGATCCGACAAGTCGAGCATGGCGGCCTGGGAATGATTTTTTTCTTTTTTGATTTTAAAATTTAAATGTTAACTTGGGATCTTACATTTAAACAGCGTCTTTCTGTATCTACTTAGTTTTATTCATTTATTTATTTGTTGATTTACAATTAGGTTTTTATTAATTTAAATCTGTTTTTCTATGTTTTTCCCTTGGTTTATTTACCGTTTCGCATGAATGCCTGAATTATGCTGCATGGTCGATGAGAGTAGACGTAAAAGCGTCCAGCCCAGAACCGGCGAAGAAGCGCCGCAAGAAAGGGCATAAGCATCGTATTGACGGACAATCGCGGCAACTATTTGTGAGTTTGAAATCGGAAACTCCCGATGCGCCGCTTGGCGACGTTGAGTTCGGTTATACTGGTCACAAGTCGACGACGCTCAGTCATCCGAGCTATGACCCCAAGTCTGTGCTCACGTCACTACAGCCCGATCATGAGCAAGGCGGTGATAAGGCTTTCACTGACGTCACACTTCCACAATCCAAACCTTTGCTTATAGTAGATGACGGTAGCCACGGCGAGGTATCCATTGGACCACCGCAAGATCTAAAAGCACCTGTGGTCAAGGCCCGTTTTGTCGTTCTTAGTTGGAAACCGCCCGCCTCGAATGTGGACGATATCATCGCCTACTCGGTTTATTACCGCCAGGAGGGAAGCGAAAGGTAATTGAAAGTTACAAACAGTTTATGATGCGAGTGTAATACTAGTACTAAAGTAGACATTTTGCAACCAACGTAACATAACCTACTTTTTAAGCCATTATCGTATAACTTTATTGCCCTCATTGTTTGCCCCGTTGCGATTAAACCTGCTAAGCGTAAAACTTTATAGGGAACGTGTTCAAAATACCACACGCTCGAAATTGGAGGAGATAAACATTGGAAGTTTGCAGCCGGCCAAGGTTTACAATTTTCGGGTGGTTGCATTCACTGAGTTGGGGGTGGGCGCGTCCTCCGAGACGCTTACCGTGACCACACAAAGCGAAGAAAACGTGCCAAGCGCCCCGCGCGATTTTGAAGCTTACGCGAATGGCATCCGGTCGATTCACGTCAGTTGGAAAGTTCCGGAGACGCCAAACGGCGCAATTTTGAGGTACAAGGTGTACTACATGGAAACTGTACAAAGCGTCGAATACAATGCCGAAACAACCTCAACGGAATTCGATATAATCGCGTTGTCGGTGTTTACCAAGTACAATATTTGGGTAGTGGCGATTAATAATAACGGCCCAGGTGCCGCTAGTGAGGACAAGACTATTCAGACCTTTGGGGACGAACCTTCAGAACCACCTTATAATGTCACATTGGAGCCTTCTAGTAGCACGGTAAATTACTCATTTAATTATAAAAAGTATATTTTATAGATAACACTAATGATTACAGAGTATTTTGGTGCGTTGGGAACCGCCTCCACTAGAAGGACAAAACGGAATAATTACAGGATACAAACTACGCTATCGCATTCAAGGCAAAAAAGGTGGCAACACAATAACAACTCCTGCAAATACCCGGATGCACACGCTCAGCGATCTGGAGCGTAGCACTAAATATCAAGTTAAACTATGGGCTATGAATGTAAATGGTACTGGACCACCAACAGATTGGTTTGATATTGAAACGTACGAAAATGATTTAGACGAAAGTCGTGTGCCGGATGAACCCGGACCACTTAGAGGTAAATTATTCAACTACTTTACTACGGGCTGCCTCCAGTAATAACATTTTTTATTGTTTGCAGTACGTCCCGTGTCAGATAAAATCTACGTGATGTGGAGCCCGCCAGCGAACCAAAACATCAAGATCCGTAACTATATTCTCGGTTGGGGCAAGGGGATCCCGGATATCTTTGCGCATGAATTGGATGAAAAATTGCGGCAGTTCATCATCGAACGCCTCGAGCCAAACTCGGACTACGTGATCAGCTTGCGCGCAAGTAACAGTGTGGGGGCGGGACCACCAGTTTACGCGAACGTGCGAACTCGGGAAGAAGCGCCGCCTGAGGTACCTATCCCACTCACACCTCCAATTGGTCTCAAGGCTCAGGTCCTCAGTCAGAGCAGCGTCATTCTCTATTGGGTCGACACCACCCTCAGTAAGAGTCAATACGTGCGCGATAGTAGATACTACACAATTGAATACACTTATCATGCGGGTAAAACACCGAAAACACGCGCACTCAATGTTACCAATCTCAATGTAATGATCGACGATCTTAAACCTGCGACGCAATATGAGTTTATGGTGAAGGTGGTCAAGGGGCGACGCGAGAGTCCGTGGAGTATGGTAGTTACAAACACTACGTGGGACGTTGCGCCATCTACGGCCCCGAGGGATTTGACGGCCTCGCTGGCCGAAGGCAACTCGCAACTTGTCGAATTGTCCTGGCAGCCGCCCAAACAGCATTCAGGCCACGTGACTGGATACATTATTATGTACACGACGGACAACACTAAAAAGGATAGGGAATGGCGCGTGGAGGCCGTTAAGGCTGATAAGCAAAAGTTTTTGTTGACTGACCTCAAACCTTCGACCGTTTACTATTTTAAAATTCAGGCCCGGAACAATCGCGGGAACGGACCCTTTTCATCTACTATACAGTTTCAAACCGGAGAAAGTAAGTCAACCTACTGATTTATTCATCTGCATGTGCTTGTTTCGCAATTTATGATTTATTTCGTTTATTTTTTAGATTTTATTGATCGCAGTGTAGGGAGCAATTCGGTTGAAGGTATTTTTAGTTATTTTGTTCAATTTATGCGATTAAGTTAATAAGGAAAATTTAATGCAGCTAAAACGAATTGGTTTAAATTTCAGAATCCAAACCACTCTTTGAACATTCAACATTGTTCATAATAATTGTTGCTGCGTTGGGATTACTAGTCGTGACCACCGTGTTTATTATCACGGTGGTTTTATGCCGGCGCCGAACGCAAAGCCCGGCATCCCCTGACCGTAGCAAAAAGGGTTATCAGAAGGGTAATCAGAATATTAAACCACCCGATCTATGGATCCATCACGATCAGATGGAGTTGAAGAATCTCGAAAAGGGACACAATAATGATGGTGCCAGCAGTAGTGGCGCGATGACTTTGCCCCGCAGCGTAGGCAATAACGAGTACGATGAGCGCGACGCTCACCCGACAAATTCACTCGACAAACGTACTTACATCTCAAATAATTATATGGGTAAGTTATACCAATTCAATTCAATTAATACCAAATAAATACTAAAAATTTAATAATATCATATAAAATATGAGCCGCTTATTTTGAAAGTGGCCTAACTCCATTTATCTTCAAATCGAGATATTGAAAGTTTTGCGTTTCAATGAATTTAAAAATATACGTATAAGATACAAAGGAGTCATACTGCTTAAGCGTATCTAAGGATGTTAAATTTAAAGTTCCAGTTAAAATAGTGGCAATTATTAAGTAAATTAACAGCCAGATTCATTATAAAATTTGAAGATGCCCAAGTCCATTCAACATAATTTAAGATGTTTCAAATTGAAGAAAAAAAACGTCTTCGTTTCACAGACAGCTTCGTGAAGTAATACATTTTGTTTGTTAAAATCTGCCAAACCCCAAAACTTCTCAAAAATATTCTTTCTTTCTTCTTCATTATAATTTTTTGTGCACGCATTCCGACAACCACAATCTTTGTTTCGAAATTTTTTTCATGAACAATACTTCCGGTTTAACTGCAATATCTTTTTCCTGAATTCCGTTTTATCTTTCGCACTTTTTGGATATATGGTGCATCAATCTTTTCTCCATTGTTATTTGAATCTTCATCCTCTGACGAGGAATATTGTTTTATAACTCTTTTTCTTATTCGCTTTTTTTTAATTATTAATTACTATTTCTTTTTCACTATCTGAACTAAGTGGTCTTCTTCGGTTCTTCCTCATGGGTGCAATAATTTCTATAATTTAATATTAAATTTTAAGTTTTATATTAATTAAACGTACAGGTTAATTAACTAACGCAATTGTCCCAAAAATGAGGTGGACTTGTAAATACTAATTAATTGAAATTACCTTCATCGCTGCTTTCCGATATTATCAATAGTAAATACCTTGATGTAACTATAAATGGAGTTAGGCCACTTTCAAACCACACGGGTCAGTTATTCAATTAATTCGGAAAACCTATGTGTAAAAAATGTACCGTATTTTCTCTGAATATAAGCAATCTGACGTGTGTCACTGATAAATAACATGAAGTTGTACATGTAACCATGGTAACCGGTAAAAAATTGAAAAACGGAGTTAGGTCACTTTCAAAATAAACGGCTCATATAATGGATTGGTGGAGAAAATATTTCTATTTTTAATTGCTTTAATTTTCTCTTCCAATCGACACATTTTCGATTATTTTCTGACATTCATCACATCACGCGCTTCTGCACCCTTCTAGGATTATCTCCCGACGGCAAATACTCGATGAAACCTAAACCTATAACTTTTCCCATTGATACTAAGCCACACAAGGAACGTAAGTTAAACGCTTTTCATTTTCATCTTACATTCATCTTTCATATTTTTGATTTGTTTAAAAGTGTTTATTGTATTATGAACAATTTCGGCGAGTATATAGTCATAACTTAGTGTTTAAATGTCTTTTTAGCCGTTGCAACTGCCACACCTATTAATAACTCTACGTTGAGTTCGGATACAACGCCGAATCGTCCGTTTCCACGGAGTACGCAGTATACTATGTCGAGAGCTCATGTGACGCTAGATCCTCCGGGGCAACCAACAGAGAATTTGTATTCTGCGCATCCGAACTATGAGAATAATGGAACACCGTATTTATCGTAAGACAAATTTATATTTTAGACTACTATTTTACTGTTGATATCTTTTCATTGTTTTAGAACTTGTCCGCCTCCTGTAGCACACGTGCCTCCAAGTGCCTACGCTCCTGGTATGGCTATACTAGCCGAATCCCAAGCCGCCAAGAGACTCCAAGCGACCGGCCATCCCTTGAAGAGTTTCACCGTGCCTGCCCCGCCTCCAATTTCCGCCCCTGGTACGCCTCAACCTAAACACGTTGGTAAGTGTCACCAACACTGTATGTCTGTATATTATTAATTAATTTATTTATTGTTTACTACTTTTGCTGCATCGATTTGCTTAATTAGTAACGTCCAGTCCTCCATTGATAGTGCGTCCGAACGCGTCCCCCTACAAGAAGGCACCGTCGAGCGGTTCAGGCTCAGTGTCTGTTTCTAGCACGCCGCCGTCGCGAATTGCCTCCAACCCGCCACCGCACAACGCCGACGAGATACAAAGACTGCAACCCTCGCATTCCACCGAAGAGCTCAATCAGGAGATGGCCAATCTCGAGGGGTTGATGATGACTTTAAATGCCATCACCGCTAACGAGTTCGAGTGTTAGTCATTGTTTCACTCACCCACCGTACAAGAAGTGTACGGGTTTAATCAACTTCACGTTTTACACCAAGCGTAGATATAGAAACGATCAAATGGCCTATTTGAAAAACTTCGTACACGATTATGCATAATTTACGATATATTCAAATCAATTTTATACGTAATCTAGGTTTTTATCAGAGATTTACCCCCTTTTATACTCACTTTGAAAAAGAGGACGAGAAGCAGACACACACGCGAAGCGTACATTCGTAATCTTCTCAACGGCGTCGTCGATCAATGATAGGCACCGCGGCGCCCTATGTACATATAAACGATACCACCCCGGGCACCCCATGACAAAATCAAACAGTATTTATATTTGTATATACATCCGTCGTACATTGCTAGTTGATCAAGTGTCCATTCTAGGAATACAACCGCAACAAATTGATGTATTTAGTCGTGTGCTCATTTAATCTTAGGAATTGACCTGATCGCAGCTAAAACTGTATTGGTCGTAATTGGTGGATCAGAACCATAACCCATTTTTTTTTCGTGGCAGCTATGGCAGCAGTACACGCAATAAAATTAATATGTTCTATTGGATCTCACTTAAACATACGAAAGTCTGATTGTATTCATCACATTTCAGTAATTTGACTTATTCAATTTTAGCTTCATTGGTTGAAGACATGCCAATATATAATCTAACAAACAAAGCACTCATTTTGTTTGTTTGATCGAAACAATCGTCTATTTATATTTTCCACCAGATTGTTCATTATTTGAATATGTTATACATATTAGCTATTAATTTAAATGGTAGTCAGATCAAATGTACTATTATATTTTAGTGGATCGAAGCTGGCAGTTTCGCACGATGTATTGATCCGAATTGTGTTCGTGCGCTTATTTTGCCATAAAACGCAGACACACCGCATTTAATTATAGGCTGCAATTTATTTTGTACATACATATATATGTGACAGTTTTGACGACTAGTTTTTAGGCATTGGATTATCTTATTTGATGCGTACTTGAAGTTTGTTTGTGATTTTATTTTTATAATATTTATATTTAAGCTAACGATATAGAGTAAACGAGAGTAAAGAGAGGTGCGTAAAGGATAGTGTAAAATCGAAACAGCCACGATTGTTATATTAACACTGAATATTGCCATTTTTTATACTTCGTTCATTGTTCATTGCGTACGTATTGCTGCTGTAATCAGGATGTGTGCAACTTGAATGAATGTAAAAAAACAAGACAAAAATTAGTCTAACCAAGTTTATTTATTGCCAATAATTAAAAAAATAATTTAATCAAACAATAATTTGGGTTTTGATAATTGATTTCAAAGTTTCAGGTCAATTTAATGTGTTTAATTGTTAATACATTTAATAGCATATAATAATCAATTATTTTCTTCATTCATGAAAGTTTAGTCGATGTTTAGACGACCTCCAGGTGATTTGATGCTTAATCCTAAACCGGCAAATTTTTTTACCAACATATTAAAAAACGGGTGCGTTTGATCACGTCGCAATCGCAGTGAAAGTCGATGTGCGTTCAACAACAAATATTCATAATTGTACAAATAACCGTCAAAGACAAAGAAAGAAACGACCACCTGTCGGTGTTAATACTAATATTAAATTTCGCAGCCCGCACCGAAAGTGAAAACACTTATACTATAAGAAAAATAAAACGAAGAACAGAATTCTTCGCATGGCTAACCCTGTGCGGTTGCATCATTGAATCGTAATTATCGATTCTCTGCCTTTACCCACACCAATCCATTTAACTGCAGAAATAAGAAACACACAATGAGTTAACCAGTTGGCATAATATTGATTTTGCAAAACTTACTAGGAACTTCCAAAATCTCTTGAATTTGGATTATGTAGTGCCTTGCCGCTTCTGGCAGTGCGGACCATTCGCGGACATTTTCCGTGCACGTCTGCCAACCGGGAACGCTGATGTATTCGACTTCAACATTCGCCCAATCCGAAGAACTAGACGGACAGTAGTCCAGCGTCTTGTTATTCAGCTTGTATTTGACGGCGATTTTCAATTCCGGTAACGTATCGAGGATGTCCAACTTGGTAATGGCTAGTGCCGTGTAGCCGTTGATCATATTGGTATATTTTAGAAAGTGGAGATCCAACCACCCGCAGCGGCGCGTTCTGCCTGTCGTCACACCGTATTCTTTGCCCCGCTTGCAGAGCAATTCACCGATTTCCTATAGAGAGCAAATATTTTCCATAAACTCATTTTTTTTGGGTAATAAACGTTGATACATACATTTGTTTGCTCGGTAGGAAAAGGTCCCTTGCCGACTCTGGTTGTGTATGCCTTGACAACTCCGATAACTTCGCCGATTTTCGTCGGTGGAATACCAAGCCCTGTGCAGACACCACCAACACTACAATTTGACGATGTGACAAACGGATACGTGCCTGTAATTAACTAATATTTAATGTTTTTGCTTTTATTTAGTGGGTAATATATTTTACCAAAATCTATGTCCAGCATAGCAGCATTAGCCCCCTCAACCATGATCTTCTTTCCAGCCTTAAGTGCATTATGCAAGAAGGAGACCGTCTCCACTACCATGGGCCGCAGAATATCCGCGTACTTCCTGTACCGCTCCAACTCCGCCTCCACGTTCACTACCAGCGACTCGTAAGACTTTTTGTGCACTTCCACCAGTGACTTGAATCTGCAACGAGCATGTTACAACCACCACGTTCTTCGTCGAAACAAACTAGTTGTTATAAAAAGACGCGAGACTTGTATATATTTCAAATGTACTTTTGCTCAAAGATAGCGAAGTCGCCGACAAGATCGCCCAGCCGGATGCCAATGCGCGACGCCTTGGAGGTGTATGCCGGACCAATGCCCCGTTTTGTCGTACCGATCTCGCCCTGCCCCTTTTCGCTCTCCTGCAGCCCGTCGACCATCTGATGGAAGTCGAAGACCATGTGCGCTTTGTCGCTTATCAGCAACCGACTCTCCCAGCCAGTCAGGCCTTTTGCTTCGTTCTTCTTGATTTCTTCGAAGAGGCCAGGTACGTGCACAACCAATCCATTACCTAATTCATTTAAAAATGTTCCACTTTAATTCCTAGACATTGAAATAAACGTGTGCATGGTCACATATAGTTCATAGTTACGTAACGACTTTGTTTTATTTACTTTTTTTAAATAGTAATGACGCTGGCCGTCAAAGAGTAAACTTGGCACAAATTCAGAAAAACAAAAAAATATATAACAGAGGGAAATTACAAATGCACATTGAATTATTATCAAAGTCACGTGCAAGCGTCGGATAGCAGACGTGCCAACTTTATATAAATAACGATAACTTTTAAACCAAACAATGTTTCGTCACTCTTTGTAAATTTTACTGCTAAACAAGCAGTAATTCCCCTGTTCAGGATTCAAATGTTGCATTACTGTTAAGAAGTAATTTAACACTTGTTATAATTTGCAATTTCCTAAAAATAAGTTTACATATAAATTATTAAGGAGTGCGCAACTAATTCATCGAAACGTGTCAAGTCGGCTATTTGAAATTTAAAACTTGCCAACGAATGACGATTCGTAATCATTTTATATTGCTGTATCATCAATATTTGCTTACCTATCAACGATTGACAGTCCTTATTGATAATACTACATGGTAGCATGTGGAAATCATATTCGACACCGCCAACGACGACTGTATGACCGGCATTGTTACCACCCTGCACAAAAAAATTGACAAAATGATAAACCCGTTTTGAGTGGAAAAATATTGGCGCAAAATTATATGATATAATTTTATAGATAACAAAAATATTTCTAATAGATTTGAACATGTTTTTTTTATTACGTTGAAAGTAGTTCACTACTGCAATACGAAAATAATTAGAAAACTGCCGAATGAACTGCGCTTGAACATTTAAAAGTGCGACATGTGGCCAAAGTCACAAGATCAAGTCAAGCCCGCCGAACGCTAAAAATACGCGCCCTAGCATTTTCCTTTCAAATTTTCTAATTGTAAAACCAGTCCAGGGACGCGCGTGCCGCGTGTGTTTTGTTTTGGCGCACTCACCTGGAACCTGCACACGATGTCGGCCGCAGTGGCCAGCATGTCCACGACCTTGCCTTTGCCCTCGTCGCCCCATTGGGAGCCGAGTACCACTGACACCTTGTTGTCGGCATGTGTCCGCAACTTCTTACGCGGCGAGCCATTCTGCGTGCCCGCCGGTGTAGTCATGTTGACAGTTGTAGATGATGGTGTGGTGACGGACAATGAAAGAGATGTGTTCGTTGGGGGCGGCTATGCTGGTACCGCGTTGGCAAACACTCGGTAATCACGCGGAGCGCGTTACAATTCGGTGAGGTTATGTTCGACGGGCCCTGGACATATCGGAAAGCGCGCGGCGCGGTTCAAACGACGACAGAAATCGCGAAGTGGCGCGCGCCGGATTTAAAGCGTTCAAAGTCGCCGCGCGGGACGGGGATTTGCGTAAGTATAGGTACCTATACCACACAGCACGCGCACTGCCGAGCAAATTTGTGCGGACTTCGATTGCCGGGGATAAAAATACAACGAATCGTACCATTTGCAATAAAACATTTTAACGCGTTGGCATGTTACGCACGTAGAAAAAACATCCGAACTACAGAAACATTACTTCGAAACAATTGCACTATTATCGTATTCAATACTTTTAAATTGAAATTGTCGATGGTGGCGCCATTGTTTTATAAAATCTCGACATTAGTGCCCAACTATCATGTTTTTTTTCCAAAATCGACAATGAAAGCAGTTTAGTAAAAATGACATTAACGTATACATTTACACAATTCTCATTTTGTGCAGATAATGGTAAAATGTGGTGTTGTGAATTGTGCAATAATTATCATTTTTAACGTTGCAATGGCAGAAAAGGTAATGTGCAAATTTCAACTATCCACATTTTAAAAAATAAACACAAGTAACAATTTTTGGATTTTAAACAAAGTATTAGGAAATTCGAACATTCAAAACTGGATGTAACCAGTTTATAACGCCTCCACTACAAATATTAAACAATTATTATTAAGCTGTAAACACTCAAGTTTAGTCAGTTTAGTAATTTTCCATACACAACTGTTTGTTTGGAAACAGAAAGAAATAACCATTGCATCATCATGGACACAGCTTACTGAATACTTTACGTATTTACGTTGTTGGAAAAATACAACACAAAAATGTTATGGGTAGATGAAAAGAAAAACAATATAAAAAATAGTTGGCATGTCTTCAACCAATACAAACGCTTATATCGCATCACATCCTGATGCTGCCACAAATATAAATAAAATACTTGAGAGAAATGTAAAGTGTGCAAAAAGTGCTGGCAAAGCAACCGCTTAAAGTTATACAACGCGATTAGCAATAATCGCTGAAGTCTTAAAAATTATAAACAAAGAATTAATACAATATGTAGGAGATTCAAAACGCTTATATCAATGAAATATTAGTTGTGAGATATTTGATTTTTGTTTTGATTGAGATTGAAAGTGTAGATGATTCTGTATTCATGGAAGTGGTACACGATCTAATGATGGTGATGTCCGGGACAGCAATGGCCGTGCGCGTGTCCACCATGATCGTGCATTGCTTTCATCAAGTTGGCGCGATTGTTGGACACCGGCTGCAGTTGATTGCCATTGGTTTGTTGTGATTGCGGTAGAAGTTTCTTGTTGACTTTGCTGAGAATCTCATATGGCGTGTCTTCATCTTCATCATCCATTGGTGAGGATTCATCTAGTTGATAACTAATAATACATAATTGTTAGACCATTTTTGTATATTTGATATTTGATAGATTTAACTTACTTAATAGCTTTGAAGAAATTTGAGTCTGAATTGTTCTTTAAAATAGTTAGGACGACTTTCTTCATATTGTTCTTGAATGCAACTAATTCTAGAATTTGCATCATGAATTTTCCAAGCCCCTTACGGTGGAAGTGACTTTCCAATTGCAATTCGTAACTATAAACAATATTTTAACTTTTCACTTAGTGCAGATTTTAAATATAAAAAAATATATTTTTTAAAATAGTTTCATTTTTATAAAAATATATGTTTTCACCCTCATGCATATTTTCAATACATAAATTAATTAATGCATACCAATATAGAACTTCAATCCCTTCATCCAAATCAAACCTGAAGTGGGCAAATCCCAACAATTTGCCATCACTCCTTTGTGCAATTAGGTACCAGGCAGCCTCATCTTGCAGTTCCTCCAATTTCTTTCCATCACTCCATCCCCAAGAGCAACTCTCATATCTTAGTAAAACATTTAGTAATTATAAAATGCTGCATTTAAAACAAAGTTAGTTATTTACTTATGTTGCATATTCCTTTTTGTCAAGTCAAATGCCCACATCTTGGTATTGTCATCCAAGCTTCCAAACTTTTTGATGCATAAATTACAATCAATACCACTATTGTTGTACTTTCGGAAGATGGGAAATTGTTCCAATGGATCAGTAAGCTCATTTGCTTTCTTGACAACAATTAGCGATGCGGCAATTCGAGCCTGTTCTTCTTTACGAGCGAGACGTTTTTCCTTTCCTTTGGTGTTGCTTTTCCTCTGAGAATATATGTAGAAAAAAGCAGAAAGGAAATTGATCGGTTATAACCTCAATATAATAAATGTGAAGAATTTATTTTGTTAGTTGAATGTACTTACACCCATTGTGGTTGATTGTTGCGGTTGGGTGTCGGTTCAAGTTTTTGTTAGGGTTCTATTCGTGCTTAGTAGCGATTAGTACCGTTTCTCTTAATAGTATTTCGGGATGAATAGAGGATGATTTTCCTGCTATTATGGCGGGAACTTAAATTTAAGCGACATTTGGTGATATTTCCAAGGATTTAGGGAGTTTTATTCTATAATAAAACATTTTTACTTGGAGAAATACCAAAAACTATTAGTATTTGTATACATTAATATTAATCATTGTAGATACTTAGAAATTATTTTGTTTTAAATTCTTTCTTAATAAGTAGTAACACACTTTACACTAGAAAGTTTTTCGTAACCTAGGGACTTTTGGATGAGTTTTTGGTTCAAATCGTTCAAATCTCTCTCTACATTTGCACTTCATTTTTGTAAAACGTGTTATATATTAAATAGTTACACCACCATATATTTATGAAAATTTATACATATTTCTACAAACAATTATGTTATCTACAATACATTACATGAGAATTGATAACTCTACACAAACAATACCCATCCACCAGTAAATAATATTAAAATTAAGTTGAGTAAATCTTAAGTACATTTGGGCATTTCCGAAGCCCCCGCCAAACATCAGCCAAAACTACCGCATCCAAACATTGATCTATCTGTCCCATAAGTATTTGAAGTTTTATTTATCTATTGCTGGTATATAGTGCATACAAGATGAGACTTCTACTTCTGGTGTAATGGGTGTGCAAACACAGATCACAATTTGGATTTAGCAGAGTTGGCGGCTAATTGTCAAGAGACGCCCTCATATCTTATCACCATAGAATTACAATTGCCAGGTTCACACTTATAACCAATTGCTTTATAGAATGGAATCAAGCTATCCTTGCAATCCAAAGACATTTTATAGCATCCTAATTTCTTGGCAAGTAATGAAACAGTAAGCACAATCAGCTTTCCAAGCTGTTTGCCACGATATGTATTATTTACAACTACATCTTCTAATCTGGCACGAAGACCACAATCATGAATGAATTTCAACTCAGTGATAAGTGTAGCTGCACCAATGATCTCACCCTTCCTGGTATCCTCTATTACAGTGACATAGTATCCACCAGATCTTTGCATTGCATAGAACTGACCTGGAAAAATATAGGTTTTAATTAATTCTTTAATTTTATTTGTTTGCTTACTATCAAATTGTGGTTTGCTAATGTTGCCAACACTGGTGAGCTGGGATAAAAGCTGAGTGAAGCCTTTGGCATAGTCGCCAAGTTGGAGAGGACGGACGATGAGCCAGGATTCCCCTGTGGATTCATTAGTAATGAAAGGGTTCACGCAGTTGCGGACATCGTTCCATTCCAAGTTTTTGAGTAAACTCGGATTGAATAAATATTCCGCTTGCTACGAAACAAATCGTCAATTAATACCAAAATATAAAATATATAAATTTCCAGTATTTACTCCTTTGGGTGCCCCCATTATGGTGCGAAAGGGCACAATATGCCGACTTATATTGACGAAACAGCTGGGTTTCCCCGATCTTACGAACTGAATTGAACTGAGGTTAACGTGTTCTGTACACGTTCAACAACTTTCAACGTGTTTGAATGTCGTGGTCGCAAGCAAGAATGTTCTATTATAAATTCGATATCTATTTGATAATTCGTTTGAAACTAGAAAGTAAAAGTGCAAAAAACCTTGACGCAACCTTCAATATTAATTCAATATATAAGTAAAAAGCTGGTGAAACTGCGCACAACACTAATAAATTTTATATTCGTAGAAAAGCGATATGCCAGAACGTATATTAGCAAAATGATGCATATTTGCTGATAAGATAGAATATTTTATTTATTTGATTATTCGTCTCTACTGAGATATGCAATATTTCTCTCACAAATGTTTAATGTTTTATTAATTCATTAAAAAACTCATTGCAAATAGACTAAAAATTCTCTCAATTTTGCAATCCATTTATAAGTTAAAATATAGCACCAAGTAATCACAACAACCCAAATATGTATCCTTAAATGTTCAGTATATTTTATAAAACTAATGATTTTTGCTAAATACTTGCTTGTCGATTAGTATTTTGCAACAATTTTGAAAGTACATTATATGAGTATGTCTAATGCAATTCTGACTCCAAAACTTTACTATGCTACTTGTAAGTTTCTTTTTTTTGGAGGTATCAAGCCAAAAGTTTTGCGTATTTTGGATATCTTTAACCAAAATGCTACAACCAAGTTGATCGCTTATGGTTCCGCCCGGGATCGAACCGGGGACCTTCTGCGTGTGAAGCAGACGTGATAACCACTACACTACGGAACCTGTGTTTGTATTGGATTTCAAGAATGAAAATCACAATTTTTTTAAAGATAATAAAATTAATTGCATATATTTCTAAAATTGTATCATTATAGTATATGTATTAAGTATCAAGTGGGCTAAACGACCATTTAGCAGCGCTTAGCGACTTAATGCTTACGCTATTTTTTCTACTTCCACTCTATTTCCACATTGAGGTTTTTGCAGTTGAATTTTTATATTGTAAAACTAAAAGTTCCACCCCTCGACTAAAGCCCGTGACTAAAGTACTTCATGGCCTTGGCAATCCCTGTATAAAGTATCAATTTTTATATCTCAAAATCGGGGAAAAATTGACGTTTTAAAGGTGGAAGTAGAAAAAGAAATTAAGCAATGTGCCTGTGTGTAAGCTGACGCACCGAATACATTCCGTCTAATTTGATGGTCAGCATATATTTATACTTCGTAGTCAGCAGTAAAACAACACGCGTGTCAAGTGCTGCATGTAGAATATTTTGTTTTTATAAATGCAATTCTGAGAAAGATTCTACGTCATGTAAAAGTTCAATCGTTCACGAACTTTGCGGGTATATAGTTTTCAATGAATATTCGTATGTAATTTATTTAAGTTTAGACTAGCTGTATGTTGAGACCTGAGCTTAATTGTACACAATACGGTTAAAGCTTTAATTTATTTAGTTTACCAGATTGTATTTTTCTGTATTTTAATTATTTCCTGACCATTGTTGGCAAAAGCAATTTTTCTTATAATTGAGACAATTTGCTGTGGAACAAAATACCAGACGATTTTAATTTAGCTCTGCTCGGGGTGTATTTCGTCTGTTGCGAAACGATTTCAAAAAGACAAGAACAAAGCAAACTTGCAAACATAACAATTTACTTTAATTAAACTGTGCGGAGAGTGTGTCAAGGCAATGTCTAATTGCGACAATTTTTGCATAGATAATTCGAATGTAAAGTGCGTGGGTCTACTGCTTCCCAGAAGTAGAGGCCACTTCTTCCGGCACGGTCGGCGTTTAGTCGGCAAGGTTTCTCTTCTTCTATGTGCTTGCGTGCATCGCCACTGCGCGGCGCTTCCATCGAAAGCTCTAAAGCGCTGTCGCCGATGCCATGATGAAGTCCAGTGACAAAATGGCAATGGAATGTTGGTTCTTGTGCGTAATTTTATGATAGCTTATTTTCGTTGTACTATGTGTGTGCGGTGTGTTCGTTGAATGAAAATGTGCGCAACGACGAGCGCTTTGCAACGGTGAGTGTTGGACGATACGCACGGGCCGTGATCGGCTACGAAATGGAAGGAATCACACGCTCATGAGTAATATTTTAACAATAGGTAAGCCAATTCAACATGTCTTGTCGTGCATCTTTGTGCGACGGCGGCGCCTTCGCCGGGCGGGTACGCGCCCTAAACTTGTGCTAAGCATTACATCGGCGATGATTTGTTGGTCGTTGGCCGTCCGCGGACCCGAAAACATGTGTGACCTTTTAATCTTTGTTTTAGGAGTGCTTTGTGTATGTGGACGGTGCGTTCGGTGTGTGCGTGCGGGCGTGCGAGTGTATGCGGCGTGTATGTGAATGCCGTGTGGGGAGGTGTGTGTATCCAAGGTATTCGCTGTATTGTTGACTGGTATGAAGCGTAAGAAGAGATCACAGGTAGATGAAGAGAATTTTTAATATGCGTGCGTACAGGGTGTATGTGCAAACATACTCGGGACGGTTACATGGAATATTTACGCGTGCATTTTTCAAACGCCGTGCACTCGCCAGCGGCAATCGATAGTCGCTGATAACAAAAGCACATTTTTAGCGAAATTCTAACGAAACAATTGCATTTTTTAGGTCAACTGCTGATTGAAATTTGGAAGCACTTCTGGAGTTTGACTGTGGAGGCAGAGGAGTGAAGATGCGTTGGAATAAAATGTTGGGTATGGCTCCCAGCGCGCTCCTGTTCGTCCTGTCGCTGTGCATGGATGCAGTACTGGCGACGATGCCGGGCAGCGCAAAGCACAATACCATCCACTGGAACTCCTCGAACCCCATTTTCGCATCGATAACACAGATAACGTTATCGATGTGAATCGCAACAATAACAAATTTGAGTACGACCAGGTGGACCTCATTTGCCCGGTGTACACGCCTGGTGCCAAGGAGGAGGACATGGAAAAGTACATTATCTATAACGTCTCTAAGGACGAATTTGAGACGTGCCGCATTACAAATGCCAATCCGCGCATCATTGCCGTCTGCGATAAACCGTACAAACTGATGTACTTCACTATCACCTTCCGGCCGTTTACGCCACAGCCGGGTGGGCTGGAGTTCTCGCCCGGCCATGACTACTATTTCATATCTACGTCCACCGGCGACGACCTGCATCGACGCATCGGGGGCCGCTGCACTACACACAACATGAAGATCGTTTTCAAAGTGTGGGCGCCGACAGCCGAGACGACGACGCGACCACCTACCAGCTATTCGAAGCCATTGTGGTCGTCGGTGATACCACATCAGCGTACTACACCACTGCCACCACCTGCACCAGCCGCCATTACGACAACCACTACGCGCAAGCCACCAACTGGCGTTCATCGGTTCACCACTAAGAAGGTGAAAGCGTACGACAAGCATCCCAACGAGGTGGTGAAAAGTGAGGAACTCACGCTGGCGGCCGCGAGTTTTCAATTAAACGTAGTGCTCTTAATCGCGATCTTTCCGGTGCTGCTGGCGGTGCGATGAAGCTCGTCCGGCGAGGACAACCGACTGTACAGAATTACGTTTACGACTAACTTTGACGTCGCGTTTCCGTAAGGCAACTAAATGATAGACGACTAAAAAAGCGCGCGCGTCGCGACGCTAGTCACGGTGCACGCAATCTGCACAAAAGACACTTCCGAGTGCGTCGTTCGAGTGAACAAGGACCAAGAAACCCCTTTAAATTATTAGTAAAAGTATATAATGTGTACATGTTTATTTAGTAGAAATCAGAGATGATGGTGGAGTATCGTAAGCGGCGTTAAATATTATTTTAAGGTACACGTAATCAATCGAATTGCGCTAGCGATAACGAACGAACGGACTAACTCATTTCTTTATTGCTGAAATCGATTCTCATTCAAACTGAAAGAAGACTGAAATTAGTTTTTATTATGTTAACGAGCGGGACACGGAGGTGGTGGATGCATTTGAACCGACTTAAAACACACATTCTTACTAAACTATAATGAAAACAAATCACGTATTGCTACGAATACGAACGCTACGTAAAATATTATTCTAGTTCCACACATAGAGATCGTTTCCATAATTCCAGTAATTGTTGCACCTATCATCATGTCATTTGTATGTTTGTATGTTAACTTATCTTGCGAACAACCCTCTTAAATGAACCAGCGATTTATGTAACATTTATTTATGTAACTGTAAATGTACATAATTGCATATTGCGGGGAATTAACCAACACACCCACATACAATGTCTAAGCGTGAAAACTTGGAATGGAGTGTGCTGGAGTTATTTTTTTCTCGTAAGAATTTAAAAACAAGATGGCACATGAGATTGGCCACGAACAGCACGAAGGTGATATCAGGTCTATCGAATGAAGGCAACCGGTCTTGTAACATTTGCTTGTTGTCGTTAAGTGACTTGGTTTTACTCAATGATTTTCTTTACTTGTAGGTATCACCGTTTTTCATTACATAGTTAGCTCCAATCACACAACTTTACGCAACACTCAAATTACTCACTGGTAACTTTAATATTTTGTGATGTGTCGCAATTCTACGAAATAAGCTTTAATAATTGAAGATGTGAGAGTTTAGAAATCACAGAGACACGTCACAAACTGAATTTGTTTCACTTTAACTACATTTTCGTCCAATTGAAGAGATAATTTGTACAAACTACTTAGTATCTTTTTTACATTAATATTTTGATTTGATTTCGAAGCACGAGTCCTGTAAATATAGTTAACTTATTTTAGTTCTTGCCACTACGAGATGAAGATCAATGTGATCAACGCACTTTTAGTTTATGTTAACACTTTTGCAAAAGAAAGCAAAAAATTGATGTAAATAGTACTTTTAATCACACACACACCCAGCACACATTCACATAAAAGTTCGAAATTTCCAAATGTTCTAACGCCCCACATGATAATGCCACGAAAAACATATTCGTAGAAAATGCATCAGAAAGTGACAGGATACACAACCACACACTCTTACGTATTGAGTACATGGCATATATTTTTAATAATACATTATCTACCTTCATTAACATTATACTTGCGATACCAACACATGAAAGCGATGCGCAAGCAATTGGAAACTATTAATTGAATTAAAATGTGCGGGGTTTATTTTTAATACGTTGTAAATTTGATGTTGGAGAACAATAACGAACCCCCCGATGACATACACTCATTTAAACGATATTTGAAGTAATTACTCACGATTACGACGATGAGGCAGGAAATGAAAAAAAAAATGAAGCAGAAAAAGGTGAAGAAATTACGATATATAAATATATATATTATATATAATTTATTATCTATGAAAAGTGTTACTATAATAATGAATTGTGTATGTTATGTCAGTGTACATACATAATCGAATTAAATGCGAAGATTGGTTCGAGGAAGAAAAAAGAAAAACGCAAAAATAAAACTAATAATAAACAAAGTGTCGGTCCGTAGATGTGTACAACGTCTTGTCGTTCATAAGCCACGCACTTGATGACGGCAATTAGTTAATAATATTTATACATATAAAAGAAGTACGATAAATATTTAATAATACAATTGCCTAAATAAGTATAATTGATGAAACAAAAAGGAAACCAGTTACGATGATATTTAAGCCATCCGGATGTTCTTGACCTGTTGTTTTTATTATTATTTTGAAACAAAACACAAAGCAACTGCCGCGCGTACAACGGGGAGGACTTTATGTTTATGATATTGACATTGAACGAAAACCAAGTCTGATTTTTTGTAACCTATTTTTTTATTTTTATAATTTATTTTTATTGCAATATATTATACTATCTATCATGTGTAATTAAACGTTTAGTTGTATAGTTTTGGGTTCTTGTTTGTGTTGTCCTGGGTTTAAAATGGTTTTTGATGTGTTCTTTTGTCCCTCTGATTGCACTGGCGTGTTTTTACACGCTCCGCAAATCCTCAGATACAATTTAGGTTTGCTGGCGTTTATTATTATTATTATGTGAATGACGAGACACTGTATGTATTAACATTTGTAAATTGCACTACATTAACATATATAAAAGTAATTATATAATTAAAATGAGAAGAAAATGATGTTTATCTTGTTCGTCCAAAAAATGAACTAATATTTATTTTTTGGGACGTCATTTATTAGCAAAAATTGTATAGTTTTTGTTTTTGACGGTTTTTGTATTTTATAATTCAGACTTTACTTCTATTTGTACCCTGAAATTTAACAAATGCATTTTACTACATAAAATAGTATACGAACAGTGAACAGAAACACTTCTAGAGAGATAACAACTTCACAAACGACACAAAGTAGAGAAGATTTGTACTAAAATGCCAAGTCCTGAAAGCGTTGGCCGTGAAGGTTAATTATAAGCGAAAGATTAAGGAACGTGTAGTTTTGAAGAGAAAGCTTCTTAGATTGACTTGCAATAAATTACCATTCACATTTCTCGAACTCCTTTGGAGTAAAATCCCAATCGATGCGCTTGGTTTTAATAATATTTGCAAATACGTGGGCGGACATCTTTGGTGTCCTTGGTCGTTCTGGATCCTCAAAATCCACATGATATAAACCATATCGTTGACTAAAAGAATATTTAACTATAGAATATATATAGTAGTTTGTTTTTGATTACATACGTATAACCGCGTTGCCATTCGAAATTATCCATAAAACTCCACGCGGTGTAAGCAGTCACGTTACAATTGCTTTCATGGATAGCTTTCAAAACTTCTTCCAAGTATAACTAAACATTTTTATGATAATATTTTGTTTTATATGTTTGTAATATTTAAACTTACATTGTAATATTTGACCCTTTCACAATCTCGTAGTGGAGCGTCATGTTTATCAGCATATCCATTCTCAGTGATGATAACTTCAGGATTATCATAGTTTTCTTTAATCCATTCCAAAGTTTTTCTTAGGCCCCATGGAACAACGTATAACCAATCAGCAGCGGATGGTTCCCATTTGGGATCAATTTCACCACGTGTTCCAACGTCGTGTTCATGAGATGGTCTACCTTGATCGCCGTCATCGTTTGTTACCACTCGAGAGGTGTAATGATTCAATCCGAAAAAGTCATGAGAGCCGCGGATCATCTCAATTTCTTCTTGAGTAAAATAAGGCAGACGAGACCTGGTGAAACCTTCTTCTTCACTGAATTGATCGACACGTTCGCGGAGAATTGATGGATAGTCGCCATTTTTAGAAAAGATTGCATTGGCATACCAACCAAACTATATGGTACACAATTTTAAGATAAAATTACTAATTTGATTACAAATTAGAATGCTTACATTCATTATATTAGCACGTTCTGCAGCTTCCTTATCTTCGGTTGAATTTGTCAAAGGTTCATTCCATTGATTGTCAATTGTGATACCTACCCTTCCACCTTGCTTACTCTTAAATTCTTCCTGATACATCCTGTAAGCACGTCCATGTGCTATTAATACCGTATGCGTGCACCAATAGCCACCCATTTCCTTTGTATTATGCGCAGGAGCCATACCGCCAGTGGCATAACCTTGTTGACAAATCTGATTCGGTTCATTGAAAGTTAACCACTCTTTAACCCTATCCCCGAATGCATCAAACACAACTCTTGCATAGTCAACGAAAAAGTCGGCCATTTTAGGATTGGGCCAACCTCCTAACTCTTCTAAATTTTGAGGAGTGTCCCAATGAAATATGGTTACTATTGGGGTGATATCATTGGCTAGCAGTTCATTAATTAGGTCATTATAATATTGAACACCTTCCGGATTCACATAGTTTGAGAATCCTCGGGGTAGAAGACGTGACCAAGACAAGGAAAACCTATAAAAGTTTACACCCATTGATTTAAGGATTTGCACATCTTGAACGGTTTTGTGGTAAGCATCACAGGCGATATCTCCAGTGCTTGCGTCGTCCGTAAATGGCGGGATTCGATGGGTGAGTGTATCCCATACGTTTGGACCTTTACCATGTTCATTCCACGCACCTTCTATTTGGTACGAAGCAGTAGCGACGCCAAATTTGAAGTTTTCCGGGAAAGCATAACCCGTATCTTTGGCTGCAGCTGTCACACTGTAAGAAAGTTGAAATAAAAGTTAGTTTAGTTGCATATGCTTGCAAATAGTTATAACCTACGTTCGTGCAAAGATAGCACATAGTGCAAATATAAAGAGGCGCATTTTCGAACGGTTACGGCCGACGCAACTAAATAAACGTAAGTACACACTTCGTTTATTTATACTCCTGGTACTGTACACGGCGATAACATTAATCAAATATTTCCACGCACTCTTTTTTGTCCACTCAAACTTAAATTTAATTGATGTTATATTTTTTATTATTTGCGAAACAATAGCACTTTAGCTCTAGTGTTATTGCAATAATAAGATTCGTCTAATCAATTTACTATCAAAATCACGCTCACGATAGTGATGTGGTGGCCAAGTGTTGTTATGAAAAGGAATTGGTTGGCACAATGAGGTGTGGGTAAGTCGGGCCTATTTATATCAATAGAGAAATTTCCATTGAGAGTACAACACTTCACATAGTTAGGAACTTGTTGTAATCATGTAATGAGTTGGTATTTGGATAGATTCACCTTGAACTTAATGCTTAGGTCTTATCAAAGTATTTTCGTACCTAAACATATAAATGTTTCTAGTTGTGTTTAAACACTTCTGTTTATGTTTATTGCGAAATTTTAACAATGCAAGACATATAATGAATATGCATATTTAATTTAATAACATATTACACTGTAGATAAAATTTAAACCCGACAAGCATAATTCTTATCACTCTTTAATATGTACTAATAGAAATAATGTTTTAACCTTGGACAACGTTTTAAAAATTCAGTTAAGTCGTCAACATACACTTAATGGAATTTTAAAAACGATATCCGTTATTTGACTAGTTGATAATTTTTTGCGATAAAAATGAAAGGGGTATTTAAAATGACTTCAAATTCTAATCATCTAAGTGGATTAAATGGGATTTACAAAACGTAGAAACTCGAAAGTTTTGTTTAGGTAATATTTATCCCATTATCGAATTTGTAGTTTTAGAAAACCTTCTCTTTGTATTCAGAGTTTTTAACATCTTATTTAGTGATGCGAACAGTGTAAATTATTATGACTTGTACCGTGTCAGTAATGACACACTAAACTTATTTAGCTGTGAAAGGTTACACTGCGACACGAACGAAAGGCATTGAAACGAGTATTGCCCACATCGCATCTCGATCTCACACATGGACTTCCACGTCTTTATTTTTTACTTCATTAGTTTTCTACACGGCAAATACATCGTATAGCCATATAAAACATGTCGATTCATTAATGATGTAGATACAGACATTGCCGTACTACTTCCACTAGTCAGTGATTGTGCGTTTGTTTCCGCACTAACACAGTATTAATAGTGAAACTTAGCGTCTTCATCTCTTAAAAACAATATTTTCCTAGCAGTTCATCGAGTGACATATCATAAGTTGAGTTTTAAATATATTAGTGTAAAATATGTTGAGAAAGAAAGTGCTGCTTGTTTCAATTTTAAATTTAATGGTAAATACGTACAAATATTATTGTTATCGTTTAAGAATTTCAAATGATTTTTTTTATAAAGGTATTATCAAGTTTTCAAATGGAACTAAACTCTTCAGATTTTTTGAAGGAAGATGATAAAGTTTCGTTCTTTACGAATAAGGCGGTTGATAGAATTTACGTTCCTGTAGCAAAATATCCACTAATAACATGGATGGAAATCCAAGATGGACGTTATCCGAATGTAAGTCTTATTAATATCACAATTATTATAATAACTATGAAATATTTATGTTATACCTAAGAGTAAAACGCTAAAAAAAGATGTGCAAATCGGTCAACCGATTTCAGTCGTTGTTTATGTCCAAGATCGCAGCCGATTGTACGACGTGATAGTCAGCGATTGTAATGCTTTCAATATCGAGAATGAGAAGAAAAAAAGCGTGCAGATTTATCCGGGAAGCACCGATCTTCACAAGTATGTTTTTTTCATTGTATTTCGTTTTACTGCACATTTATTGTAATTGCAGACAAAAGATGCTCACGTGGACGAAAGAGAAAGATGAGAATGGTAATATTGTGTTGTTTTCAACGTTTCCGGCTTTCAAACTACCAGATAGGAAAACTTTAACGATCGAATGCAATCTAGAGGTATACATTACAATTAAATTATTATTATTAATTAATAAACAAATTATTTACTTTTAGATTTGTTACAATGCGTGTCATCGTTAAGTTCAACTCTAAGTAAAATATAAATTACAATAGATGACAACACATAATTACACATTGTCTAAGTATATAACAGGCATGTAGTAAACTTAATTTAAAACTTTGTTTTTTTATGACAACGAATATAGATACACGCGTATTTTTGTTTGAAGCCTAACTTGGTGAATAAACCTTCCGATGCTAAATTCCCTCCGCGTACGGTAGCGATCGGATGATCACCATTTCGACTTATGATACTGGAAGCTTTCCGTGCTAACGCTGCCCCAAAACCATTCTTATAGTAACCCTCTCTCGTCTGCAGTACTCCCAGTTGTCCCATTACATTGATTAACAACCACGAGACCAATTTATCCGTTCCTTTCTCGTATATACCAAATCCACCGTTCATAGTAATAAATGTGCGGATGTATTCCAATGAGGTGTTAAACCGTGGCGGCCATACTGCGTTGATGACTTCTGCATCTTCCGGTTTAACTGTGTCCATATAATAATCATTATGTTTAAATCTAGAGACAGTATTAGTTAGTATCAAATAATTACATAATTCAATACTTACGTATCTGGTAGTTGAAGGGCTTCCTTTTCGGGGAGCACCCATAAATGTGTTACCCTTTGCAATTTTATTTGCACATTTATATCGCTCATTGCTTGTTCAATAATTGGTTTAAATTTTTCGTATGTTGCATAAAAGATGACTTCATACTCGTACCAATTAATTTGTTTTGTTTGCGTTAGTCCAATTCGTAATTTTTCACAGGAATCCTCCAATGAATGCATTATGATATCATAACAGGAAAACTAAAACATAGTTATTCATGTTGATATTTGTCTTGGTAAGGAATTCAACCTTGATATATATACATATCTATATATTCTAATTATTAATTACCTTGTTCTAACTGTATAATTACTTTTTATTTCTAAATAGCTGGTGGGTATGTAGAATTAAAAAATAACTTACAGTTAGAATTGCTATAAATGTGCCGTCGTTTCTCCAATCGCCTTGAACTGAAAACACGGTGATGTATTCTGGATGTGTCTCTCGCCATTTTAAAGTAGTCTTTAGAAAACTGTAGATTTGTGGAAATTCGTCTTTGTGATTGCTGTAAAATTCTTTTAATTCAATGATTTCGGGCGTTTCCAATTTGACTAGAATGTCTTCTTCGGTCACCATCTTGTTATTGTTGTTATTATTGAAAACTATATAATTAAATGACGATAAACGAACTGAAGAAACGTGCAGTGGAGGTGATGAATTAAATTCATACTACACTATAATCTGTCTTGCGTTTCATTACTCAAACCAACAGATTATCAACATGGTTTTGTTTCAATGGTTTAATTTAAAATTGGTGGGAGTAATCAATTAATATTTGTGCCGCGTACAAGTGGGAATGACGTATATCTCAAGTTGGGAAATGAAATGTACTTACAGATATTGGTACATTTATCGCATTACGTGACGATTTTTTTTTCATTGTTGCTTTTGAAGATAACCATGCAAATAAAAAGTGCGAAACTCGACGGAGTGCGTGATACGAACGAATGGCTTACGATTTTTTTGCGGGTTTCACTCAGATATAAAAGGGCAGCGCAGCATAATCCTCACCTATTCTATCCTACAGTCATTCCAGCAGTCTAATCAGTCGAAATCTTTTAGATGCTCTGTGAGTACTTGCGTAAACAGCAGTTTGATTATTATTTTGTTATGGGAGCAGTATTAACTATATTTTGTAGTAAAGGAACAGTTTCTTCGTATTTAACACGGTTTTTGTCTTAATTGCATTTTTACATATGGCTTATTTCTGTATTAGCTACAATCATAGCAGGATTGTCGATCCCTTGTTTATTTTCATTCATGTCATTTGTTCCTCCAGATAAAACTTGACGTTCTTTCAGTCGCATGAAACTAGAAAAATGTTGTATTATTCATTGAACTTATATACAAATATAAAACACCTTACAATACAATCAGAATGCAAATTCCGAAAAATAATAACGCGCCGTACATGAAAGCACTAGGAAAATTTGTTTGTGTGTTTGCGAAAATAAGCTGATTGTAAATTGGCACAAACACAGCACCACCTAAACTTTCAAAAATTCCAAAAAATGACTGTACTTTTCCCAAATCTTCTTGACGAACCACTTTGGTAGCTAGCGATCTTAATGTAATTATTGTTACGCGATTGAACAATTCAATATAAACACCTGAAACCAAAACCATAATGGTAAGTAAAGATAATTTTTGTTATCAGTATACATACCAATGTATATCATTATTTTATTGGCGGCAGCAGCCATTACAATATTGCCGATAATTTTGTTGATGAATGTAATTATGATAATCGTGTAATCAGTAAACTTGAACACTTTTGTAAAAAGGTACGTTCCAAGAATAAGGCCTTCAAAATTATATGCATAAAAACGCAATACGTATAGGTGTTAATTAACGTTACCTTTTAAATTTAATAAATTAGCATACGTTATGACATAGCTGTAGTTTACTGCGTCAAATCCTAGCATGGCGTTCAAATAAAAAAAGAATATTTCGTCTTCTCCTAAAATTTTTTTTAAATAACACAAATTTTATCATAACGTCGATGTTGTTTACCTGCAAAGACTCCGTTGTAAATGAAAAAAATTGCCATTAACAAAATAATGTACAATCGATTATTACCAACTTTTTTGACCAGTATTACACGAATAGTTTCCAAAATGAGTGTTGCATCAAACAGATCCACAAGTATACATTTTTTATTTTCATTTCTTGATTTTAAGTTGTCTTTGACGTAAAATATCCCGTATAAAAGACCCAGCACCAAACTACAGAAGGATGTACAAAAGACCCCATAGTATCCGATATGTTGAAATAGAATTCCACTCAATGCATTCGACGAGATCTGCGCAATTGACAGGGCCGTTTGACACACGCCAATGCGTAATGTACGCTCTTCCACAGAGCTGACATCAGCTATATATGCAAATAATGCTACAACAAGAAGTGTTTGGCCTCCAAGGCAGGTGCTTGTAAAGTACGCTGAGGCCAACAAGGTCGTCAAATTCCATTGCCGCAGGAATATCGTTGATAGTATGCAACTCATTGTAGACAATATTTCTCCACACAAGGGTAGTAACAGAAAAGGTTTACGTATTTGATACCGATCACTATAAGATCCCCAAAACAAACTCAAGATCATTGGTAGAATAGTTGTAATGGGCACTAACCAAGAAGACGCATTAGCAATATGTAAATGTACAGTGTTCACTTCTTCAGTGAGATTAAACTCTGCACTTTCTCCCGCTATGATTCTTTGGCAAATTATGTCTTCAAACCCAGAATCAACAAGACAAGCTTTCTGCAACTTGAGATTTTTGAAAGCTGGAAGTACCAGAATGTTTCCAAATATGTACAACATTAGTAGTGGTTCCACGGTAACCAAGTCTTTGATATAACACCATTTTTCACCCCAAGGCATGCTCTTAAACGTACTACCTGTATTATTTGCCGGCTGATTGAGATTTTGCTTTGCGCTGGTTGCAACATCAGTTATATTCATTTGGCCATCTTTGCCAACTTGAATAGTCATTTCGGTTTTCGGCATGTTTCAAACTGACGTTAATTTTTGTTTAATGCCATGTATTCCTTAGCACATCTTCACCTGTATTTAATTATTTGTGATTATATGATTAACACTCGACTACTGAAACACAACACGATTAGATCTGCGTTTAATTTTAAAACACACACCGTACGAAACCTGTTTGCTTCTTACATTCGTATTAACACTTTTAAAAACTTTGTACACCCCGAGAATAAAACCACGAGCAAACTTGTATGATGGTACATATATATATATGGAGGGCCCCCGTCAGGAACTAGCTTCTTCGCGATATGTTTGTTAACTCAAAACGTGTTTTAAAACACGTTTATTGATGATGTTTATTGATATTATTGTTGTATTTTTATCACACCAAAAAGTGCAGTTCCCCTTTATTCAACTTTCACTTTATAATTTGTATATTCTATTTCATTTTTTTAATTACTTTTTTAATAATAGTACTAAAAGTACTAAAGTGCTAAAAGCTGTTAAAGGCCACGTTTAAAGCACTTTAGTCACGGACTTTATTCACGGGTTGTGTACGGTGCGCATCACTAAATATCTAAATTTGCGTAGTGCGTGGTGGCCATCCACATTTACATGCACGAGGGCTCAATTGATAGACTACTTGATATTTCCTACTTGAGTTTATGCTTATTGTCTAAGAGCCCGCGATGGCCAGACTTTCGTCATTTTAGCAAAGTTTAAAATTTTTCTACGTGTGACCCCAACACAGGTAAAAACGATCTCTAACTATGAAACCTGGATCGTGGTTTCTTTGGCAGTTAACAGCCAACAACGAGTACAAAGAGTACAAATTAGTTCGGTTAAGAAATGCTGCCCGAATGCTATAGCTTTTTATGAATATTAAAAAAATATCTGTAGCAGAGGATTTTTACATATATTAAAAATAAAATGAAACCAAAAGAGAATTTTAAATAGGTACACATTGCCGCGCTGCAAAACAACAAATGTACTTCTATAAATTTAAATGCTTCGGATTAATTCTGATTAAATACTATTTTAAAGAAAATTAAAAAACATTCATCTATCACCTGAATATAGGATGTTAAATGTACAATCAATTACTGATAGGAAGTGTACCTTCAATCCACGTTTATCAAGTGCAGTAGTAGTATATGTAATGTATACATATACATATACTAGGCAAATTTGTACATTTACCCCTCGACGCACATTTACCGTAACGTACATGATTTTAATAAACTTTTGCCAGACAACTTCGAAATGCCAATTGGGGTTGAGCCAATAAGGAACTGGAATTACTGTACGTCATACGTCGTCATTGCGGTTTCAATTCGTAAGGTAAGTGGGGGTGCTCACTTAGCTCATCCTCAATTTTAGTGAAGTATACAGATCGATCGTTATAGTTGGCAGTGCATGAAAACTGTATTCACAAATGTATAGTATGCTAAATAGTATGCTAAAAATTTGAGATTTAACTTATGTCAGTTTAATATTTATCTAAATTTATTTAATTTTGAGTTAATATGATCATGATGATGATTGAATCATTCTTGTAACAAATCCTCTCCCGGCGAACTGTCGTATTCCCTTTTTTCTTTACGTGACAATTTCTTTCCTTTCACTCTACGGTGACACGTGAAAAAGAATTTCGTTTCAAAAGTCAAGGCCTATTGGTACTCGTATAGATATAAAAATATAATATAAAAACGAGCTCTAGACATTATCACTAAAAACTAAATTTTATTCATTAATGAATTATGCTGCTCAATCGTATATTAAATATTATGTTTTAAGAGTAATAAATCTTTAGCTTTATTGGTTTTGCGATAAATGTTGTATTCAATTATTATGTCAGAGACAGTCAAAAAAGTTGGGTTTTAATTTTACAAAGTTAAACACTTTTTTTTTGCATGTTTCAAGAACACGTTATAGTAACCAGTATCAAATCACAAATTAATAAATTTTATTAATTTACATTTAAATTATTTAAAACAATTTAATTTACGTATATTTGTTTTAGAAACTTTGTTTTAGTCAATCGTTACAGGATTTGTTTTTTACACTCTAGGCAAGTAGAATAATAAATTGGTATTTAAATTTTAAAATCAAACTAGTTTACTCAACGAACTTCGTACCGCCTTTGTTGGTGAATCATTTCCAAATCCATAAATCCCTTCTTTTACTATTTATGCTCTCTCCGTTTTCACACGGTTAGTACCATCAAGGACTAAATAAATGTAACACTTTCGTTTATTTCTAATCAGTTGTTATTCATAAATCCTGATATAGCGTAGCACGTTACTTCCTTAATAAAAAAAATGGAGCGGAAATTACACTAAAATAATGAATAATTGCCAAAGTAAACGCTGTACTTACAAACTGTACACACTGTACAAACTTTTTTGTTATTATACGATACCTTACTAAAACCACTGCAAATCACCCTTAATATGGATAGCTATTTTTTAGCCACTGTTTTGACAAACATGTTTGTTGTTGATGTGTTGACGAGTTCTCTAATGGTCGAAATAGGTATCCAAATCAGATTTGACAAACACTTGCATAGATTTGCAATGGTTTTCGAATTGTATCGTTCAACAACAATACTTTCTGAGGGTACAACGTTAACTTTGGCAATTATTAACAGTCACCCTCTTGTAGAACTCTTGTTTTTCAATTACTAAAATAACCCTTAGGATGTTTAAGCAGGCATATAGGATAAGCAAACAAATACACATTACGTTTTATATTTGCTGTTTTACTTCCACCCTTAAATGTGCCAGTTTTTGAACGGTGTTGAGCCACATAAAGTGTTACTTTAAACGCAGACGGCCAATGCCGTGACTAAAGTATTTTAAGAGTACTGACTCTGTACTTTTCCCTATTGTGTACAAGAAATTCTGGAATGATGATAAAAACATAATCATGTTCATTATTCTTATTCAGTTATTACAGATAATTTATTTTAAATTTAATGTAAAATTATGATAAATAACTGTTTATATTAGATATCAGATGCATATATCTATCTTATTGAATCATAAATTGTCTCGATGTTAGCATGTTCTCCGTCCTGTCAAAATCTTTCAGATGCTCCGTGCATATTTTGCTTTGGGAAAGAGTAGTTTTATATTATTTTGTTAATATGAATTCGTAAGTATGCATAATAGTTGGTATGTTATATTAGCAAATCACAACAAATAACAAACAGTTACAAATTTTGATTCAAAATGCAATATGTGGAGAATATTTTTAAAAGTAAGTGTATTCAAATTTAAAGTAATCTTTGTCTTATTTGCAATTTTACATATGGCTTATTTCTGTATCAGCTACGATCATAGCAGGATTGTCAATTCCTTTTTTATTTTTATTCATGTCATTTGTTCCTCCAGTTAAAACTTGACGTTCTTTCATTCGCATGAAACTAGAAAAATGTTGTATTATTCATTGAACTTATATACAAATATAAAACACCTTACAATACAATCAGAATGCAAATTCCGAAAAATAATAACGCGCCGTACAGGAAAGCACTAGGAAAATTTGTTTGTGTGTTTGTGAAAATAAGCTGAGTGTAAATTGGCACAAACACAGCACCACCTAAAGTTTCAAAAATTCCAAAAATGACTGTGCCTTTCCCAAATCTTCTTGGCGAACTACTTTGGTAGCTAGCGATCTTAATGCAATAACTGATAAATTATTGAATAATTCAATATAAACACCTGAAAAAGAAATCGTAAGTGCAAGTACAGATAATTTTAAATATCAGAATACGTACCAATGTATATCATTATTTTATTGACAGCTGCAGCCATTACAATATTGGCGATAATTTTATTAATTAATACAATTATGATTATTGCATAGTCAGTCAACTTGAACACCTTCGTGAAAAGGTACGTACCAAGCATAAGACCTATAAAATATTTATCCATAAAAACGTAATACGTATACGTAGGTGTTAATAAACATTACCTTTTAAAAAATTAAAGTAGAATATGTTACGACATAGCTGAAGTTTACCACGTCAAACCCTAGTACTGCGTTCAAATACAAAAAAAATATTGAGTTTTCTCCTAAAATAAAATAAAAAAAATAATACTAATTGTATCATATTGTTCACGTTGTTTACCTTGTAAGACTCCATTGTAAATGAAAAATATCACCATCAACAAAATAATGAACAATCGATTATTGCCAATTTTTTTGACGAGTACTACACGAATAGTTTCCAAAATGAGTGTTGCATCAAACAGATCCACAAGTATACATTTTTTATTTTCATTCTTTGACTTTAAGTTGTCCTTGACGTAAAATACCCCGTATAAAAGACTTAGCACCATGATACAGAAGCATGTACAAAAGATGCCATAGTATCCGATATGTTGAAACAAAATTCCACTCAATGCATTCGACGAAATCTGCGCAATTAACATGGCCGTTTGACACACGCCAATGCGTAATGTACGCTCTTCCACAGAGCTGACATCAGCTATATATGCAAACAATGCTACAACAAGAAGTGTTTGACCTCCAAGGCAGGTGCTCGTAAAGTACGCTGAGGCCAAGAAGGTCGTCAAATTCCATTGTCGCAGGAATATCGTTGATAGTATGCAACTCATTGTGGACAATATTTCTCCACATACGGGTAGTAACAGAAAAGGTTTACGTATTTGATACCGATCACTATAAGACCCCCAAAACAAACTCAAGATCAATGGTAGAATAGTGGTAATGGGCACTAACCAAGAAGACGCATTAGCAATATGTAAATGTACAGTATTCACTTCTTCAGTGAGATTAAACTCTGCACTTTCTCCCGCTATGATTCTTTGGCAAATTATGTCTTCAAACCCAGAATCAACAAGACAAGCTTTCTGCAACATGAGATTATCGAAAGCTGGACGTGCCAGAATGTTTCCAAAGATGTACAACACGAGGAGTGGTTCCACGGTAACAAATTCTTTGATATAACACCATTTTTCACCCCAAGACATGGACTTAAACGTACTACCTGTTTTAGTTGCCGGCTGATTGAGATTTTGTTCTGCACTGGTTGCAACATCAGTTATATTCATTTGGCCATCTTTGCCAACTTGAATAGTCATTTCGGTTTTCGGCATGTTTCAAACTGTCGTTATTTTTAGTTTAATGCAATGTATTTCTTAGCACATCTTCACCTGTATTTAATTATTTGTGATTTATGATTAACACTCGACTACTGAAACACAACACGATTAGATCTGCGTTTAGTTTTAAAACACACATTGTACCAAACCTGTTTGCTTGTCGTATCCGCCTCAATAATTCCCATCTCTACGTACTCCTCGAGAATAACACTGAGAACACTTATAGAATTGTTGTTGTTTGTAGAAATTCTTTGAGGATGAACACGCCAACGCAATTTATAAATAAAAATCACTGTCCATTTGATTACGTAATACCACTATTTGGCATAATTTTAAAAACGTGCTTAACACATTGACACTAAATGCTGAATTATATTCTTTAATTGATTATGTTGCTCAATCGCATATTTAATATGCTCATTGAGTGTCATTAATTTTTAGTTTTATTGGTTTTGCGATAAATGTTGTATTCATTTCTCATATCAGAGAAGTAGTAAAGTAAGCTGGGTTTTGATTTTATTGCATCAAACGTTTATTTTGTTGGATTTCAAGAACACGTAGTAACTAGTGTTAATCTTGTTAATTTACAATTATATATATTATTTGTTTCGGAAAATCCGCTTAATCGTTATAAAATTTGTTTTTTATACTGTTACACAAATTTGAATTATAACCAGCTATCTTAAATTTGAATTCAAGGTTATGTAATTAATGTGGTAGAAAATAAAATTCTTACAGATAGACCGACATGCCGACACGAGCAGCAGCAGCAGTAGTGCATGCTTTGACTTGTTTGACTGACGGCGCATGGCATTTCATATGGTCTTGTGCTGCACCGCAGGCGAATACGCAGGCGCAACCTCCATCTCGTGACTAAAACTCGTGACTAAAGTGCTTAGTCACAGCTTGGGTCGCCCGTGTTTATAGTATTACATTTTGTATCTCAAAACCATAGAAAAACTGGCGCTTTAAAGGTGAAAGTAGAAAAAAGTGTTGATTAGCATGTATTTTGAAAGTGAACACATTACAAACAGATATCACGTGAAGCACAAGGTTCGACGTGTATGTTTCTACTTCCAACAATCGTGCGGCCTCGAAAACTCCAGAGATGCGCACACGACAAGCGTATGGCAAGCAAACACCTGACATAGCAGCCACAGAAACAAGAAGTGCTACTAAGTGCCAGCTCAACTTGTTTGTTTACGTACGTAAACGTAAACATGCAAACTAGTATAATCAAATATGAAAATATTTGATACATTTGTATATCTATCCGACACAATACGCATAAATTCATACGAGTACATACACATTGCTAACAACTTGGATTAAAGTTGGTCCCACAGTACACAACTAATAGCAATAGATTTTTGCCAATATTGTCGCAGGAGCAAAACGAATGAAAACTTGCGTTCTCGGACCTTAGTCAGCTCAACAAAGTAACTAGTTTGAATAAATATTCAAACATTAACATTGCATTAGTATACAACCATTGGCCTTAGTTGAACATAGTTGAATGTTTAGTATACTCGTATATGTATATATTTTATTATAAAATTAAATGTGATTTGATTACAAGATTTTTTGAGCTAGTTATGGTATCTTCAGTAACTGAATGAATAACATGTCTAGCTCAAAAAATCTTGTAACCAAATCATATTTAATTTTATAATAAAATATGTATACATAATTATATACCTACTAAATTAACATGGATTGGTTACAAGATTTTTTGAGCTAGACATGTTATCAGTGGCGGATTACGGCCTAGGCGCACTAGGCGCGCGCCTAGGGCCCCGGCTGCCTGGGGGGCCCCGGCTGCCTGAGGGGCCCCTGGCACTTATATGTCCCATATAGACATAGTAATTCCACAAATACTTCATCAGTTGGTTTTGACCTCAGCCTTTATGAATAGCGTATTGGTTTTCACTTGGCGCCCAAAACGGCATTTCACACGTGTCCGGAAAGCAACCGTCACGGATATATAGCTGACTTTAAACTTTTTATCTCCGATTTTATTTCTTTATGACAAACTGTTTAAAATAAAATTTGGATGTTTTCTGCCACGAATTTTTGTGACCTTTTCTTGAATATTGCATTAGAAAGTTGTAGCTATAATGCGAGTAGAATATTGCCAATTTTCCTAAATTTCGAACATCTGTGGAGGAGATGAGTTGAGGAATATTCCATTGAGGTTGTAAAATAGCGGGTAACTCTCTTTTTTGGAATATTAATTATTTCGTCTTTCTATCATTTTTTCACATCTGCGGAACACGTTGAACCAACGTTTATCCTCCTACAATTTTTATCTAGATTTTTGGGGTGGTAGTTGGATTAAAAAAAAAACAGAGAGTGGTCAGTGAGTCTTGAATCACAACCCCGACAACACTAGTTCTACAAAAGTTTTTTCTCGAAGTCTTGTGCATAGACGATTTGGCGTGGGTGATTTTCAAAACTGCAGTCAATAATCAACAAGAGCTTCTATAAAGGTACATCGTTAATATTTCTTATTATATTTATTATTTATTATTATTTATTATTTCTTATAATTTTTACAAAACATATTTGTGCAATATTTGTGTAATTATTTTGCAATTTAAAATTTAAAATGCAACGAACATATTTATCCGGCGCGGAAAGGCATACAAAATTGTAAAATCCATATAAATCACAAAACAATTTAATAAATACATCCTATGAAAAAGATATTGAGCCAGAATATTTCACTGATGAGTTAACTCATTTTCTAAAATACATACAAGAAGAAAATATTAGAGATCCACATGAAATGTATGCAACATTAAATAATGGTCTAAAATCAACTTTTCGAAATATACACACAATACTGCAAATTTTTTTTGACCTTGCCCGTTTCTAATGCAAGTGGAGAAAGGACATTTTCAGTTTTAAAATGAGTCAAAAACTATCTGCGCAATAGTCTTTCACAAGAGCACTTAAATGACTTCGCATTAATGTTCATAGAAAATGATATTTTTAAAAAAACTAGAGTACGACAAAATTATTGAAATCTTTGCCCAAGAGAAGGCAAGAAAAGTAAATTTGTAATTTGTACTTAAATACGATTACCGTTTTTGAGCACACGTACGATGAACTCAAGAACCAAGATAGCATTGAAAACGATAATCCCATCGCGGATAGTATGACAGAAAATTTTACCTGTGATATTTCGATCGGTCCTGAAAACAATTAACGCACAACACCTGCCAATCGCGAAGAGCGAATCGGAAGATAATCCATTAAATTTTGGAATAGTGCGTGTGGATTAGGCCTACTGGGGATACCACGATCAAAAAATGCGCCACGTACTCTACCTCATGGTGGTGTGGAAATGAGTTTTTGGCACAAACGAATGTTGAAGTAGACTTTGCAGCGCCCGTACGCTAAAACTATTAATTTTACTTGGCTAATAACCGTTTTTGAAAATTTTCGGATTTAGGGGCCCCAAACTTGATTTGCGCCTAGGGCCCCACTGAAGCATAATCCGCCACTGCATGTTATTCATTCAGTTACTACTCTGCGTAGAGTAGTAAAAGTTTCAGTGAAACCCGTAAGGTTTATCCTTTCTATCGACGAAAATAAATTATAGTTGAATGTATAAGGCATTTTAAAAAACGAACTATGTTCGTCTGAGAGACAAAAAGAGGCAGTATAACTTTGTTAAATGAAATTATATCATGCACTGGCGCTCGCTTGGGACGGCGAAATTGAACAGATCTGCGACTGGTGATCGAACAAGAACCGATGCATTCCACTTGGTATGGCCGTTGCTGCATACGAGTAACAATATTATTATCAAAAGTAATAGTGTTATCTACATTGCGATTTAAACACCATATCTAATAAAATACACTAAATATCCAACAATCTTTGTAATACTTAGGGTAATGATATCCTGTTTCTGCATGAACTTGTGTTTCGGCATGGAAATGCATTCGTACGTTGGTGTACTGAAATTCATAGGGTGCTGATATTCTGTTTCTGCATTAACTCGTGTTTAGCTACAGTAATGTATACTTGTTATTCATCTTCTAATAATAAAGCGCCAGTTTTCCATAGTTTTTAGATTTAAAGAGGGGTTAGAAAATACTGTGTAAGCATTACGTGGCTAAACGAGAGCTCCATCGTATAACAACGTTTAGCCACGTGATGCTAAATAAACTAATGCCTTGCCTTCGTATGACATGTTTGACTGAGTGGCACATTTATTTTAATCGTGCACCCTCCGCATCTGTGTGCCTGAATTTTTTTTGTGTCGGGTGCCCGCAGCATCCGTTTGTCGCTGTGAGTACTTAAAATTTTTTACATCGAGTACCAAGCGCGCGTCCGTGTCAGTGTGGATGCGGTATAAAATTTTTGCCACGGGTACCCCAGGTAGTGCGCGCGAATTCCCATCGCGGTATCTTGGCCATGGATGCCAGCGTGAATGCGGCACAAAATTTCTGGCTTGCCTAGAGTTTGCATTGCAAGGATGCGATTTCCTGTTGAGCCGTTGGTGGGGATCTGATTTTTTAGCCTCTAAAAGCATAAAAAAACCTTTGGACCTTTTTACTCTCAAAATCCCATATGCTATTGTTGCTAACTTTATCTAGACAGGATACGGGCTTAGAGGTACGGATGGTAGCTTTGCACCACCGCCCGCTTAGCGACTGCGAATCCAATTGTCCGAACCTGCGGTTCCTCACGTACTGGGCAAGATTACTATTGTAACGACTAGCTATCAGTAAGGTAAAACTAATCTGTCTTACGACGGTCTAAACCCAGCTCACGTTCTCTGTTCGCGGGTAAACAATCAGACGTTTGGCCAATTCTGCTTTCCAATAATAGGAAGAGCTGACATTGAATGATCAAAACTCTCTCTGGTAACTTTTTTGACACCTCTTGCGGAAAACTAACAAAAGAATTGATAAGACGTGTTTTTTCAATCCCTTCTGATACTGAACATCGGAATCAAACCAACTGTTGCCGTTTTGCTTTACGTTTTTGTCCTTGCCTTAGGACATTTGCGTTATTCTTTGACAAATATACGGCCCCAGCAAAACCCGGATAAGGAACTAGAAGGAAGCAGCAAGGGATAAAGTCGACTGGGGGGAAGAAACTGGGAGTGATTAAGGCCCGAATTGGGCTGTAGAACCATAAAAGGAGATGAATATAATATATAGATTAATATTCATATAATTTTCTTGATATACTTAAGTATATGTATAGTACAGATTAATTGATACTCTCCACTTAATATTTTTGTTTAAAGCTATGCAGCAATTTATCAATTGTTTAATATCAATTTGATGAGATAATGTGCCCTTGTCAGCATTGACCAACATTTTGTCATTTTATACAGCTAATGTAGAAAAATCGAAAAATGTTGATGAGGCTGAATAAAAAGTTTAAAAGTACCACATAAAATATACATATAAATAATAATAACATTTTGAAACAAGAAATTTACAAATTTCATTATATAAATATTGTCAAATCAACTGACAATTTTGCACAAAATATCTCCAGCTCAGCCATCAAGACTTACTGATATATATTGGCACCAGTTAGAGTTAACAGATTAAAGTGGCGCAATGTTTCTTTCCTCTTTAAAACAAATGTAAACTGACTGTTAATGGGTTTAATACGTTTAATACGTGGGTTTAGTACGTTAACGACATCTTGTACCACCGGTGATATATTTGTATCTGTGTTCTCGGTTGGGCCGAGTCACCTGTGGCAAACGAGAGAAAATATTATGTTTCCAATTCGTTCGCTGTTATTTACGCCCTTTATCACACATTTGGAGGAGCAACATTTTTTGGACAGTTTTTAGTTTAGATGCTAGCACTCATCGGAACTTGTTATATTTGATTTTAATGTTTCTATAACTTTTTCATTTAAGGCTCACCCTTTTTAACTAATGAAGCTAATGCCAACAACTGCTTGTTGAAAATTAGCAATCATTAATAAATCAGGAATATTGCATGTTGGGAGCATGATAATGCCAGGAAAATAGTTGGGTTAGCCGAAACCGCTGCCGCACCAAAATGAAACGCCGTCGCTGACGTAATCAATAAGTAATTTCATAAATTTGGTTATGATACATATAGTTGATTTTTTTAAAGTTACTTGTTCCGCACAAAATAATAGGATTTTGTTTGCTGTTTACATCCATTTATATGTATAATTCAGCATGTTCTCATAGTGCTGCATTTTTAATGCATCATTATCAGCTAATATTTATCTTCATTATAATTTTGCGCATTATTGTAATTACATCACATTCATGTAACATTCTCCCAATTATGGATCAATTTGATGGACTCGCTTATAGAAAGTGCCGAATCAGTTTTATAAGTTGGTAGCTCTCTAAGAGAAATAACAAAAAATAAATAACTTATAAATATAATTATATACTAAAATGGAATTACTACATTCATTTGACAGTAGTTAATTTAACTACTTATTATAAATATTTCTTCTGAATTCTTATTTTAAATATGTAATCAACACGTTTATGAAGCCTCTGACTTTTCTTTTTAATAAAAAGAACAAGAGTTGTTCTGCGAGTCAATGATAAACATAGTTTGTACGCAAATATCGCTGTAAAGGCGTTGCTGCACACCTTCTTATATTTTAATTTATCTAAACAATTCAACATAGCTAAAAGCGTTTCGTTAACCTTAAATTATAACTAATAAATGAACTCTGTACCCTTACAATTTCGGTGTAAATTTTTATATTTAAGATAAATTTTAGTGTCGGTGCACCTATTGTGGTCCCTACTTTCCTTCAATATAAATGATATAAACATAACTTTGTTTAATTTGCCGCAATAATAAAGTTTTGAACAGTTGATAGAAAATGTGCTATTTTTATTGTCCGTCGACGCTGACTTGTCAATTTGTGAAGGACTTACAGGCTGAAAGTAACGTCTCGACATTTTAGTGTGAAAGTTTGCACTATCTATTATGACCACAATTCAGTAATATTAAGTACCAAATTTCCCTTGGTTCGGCCTTTTAAAGTTATATATTAAGTACATCTCACTTTTGCAGAATTGTTAAGTTGTCTTAAATAGAGGCAGGTTAATTGATAAGGGATGGACATGCCCGAAACTCGCGTATGTATTTATCTCCGAAAGAATCGAAATAATCCACGGCCTCGGTCTGGTGGAGGTGCCATTAGCATTGGTACTTGGTTTTTATGAGTAATAGTAATCTGCAAGAAATTAGTAACGTCATATATTCAAGTTTTTATTACTTTTAAATGCAAGAAACATACGGTTGTTGGCGGTTGCATCCATGGTTCGCCATCAATTTGCATTGGAAACGTCTTTTTAGTTTTGATGATGATGGACGAACATTGCGCTAGACGACGCCCACTCGCAGTCAATCCGGTACGTACACGACCCATATGAAGGCAATTTTCCAGACCGATGACTTCGATCAATCCATCACCAATATCTAAAAGGAAGACGTGCGCCTTGGTTATTTGGCAAGGAAAATAAAATAAATCTGATATGGATATCACTCAAAACTCACTTAATAAATCTTTAAACGATAATATATGTAACCATTGCAGATTAATGCAAGTGTTTGTCAAATCTTATGATGATATCCATTTCGGATTTACTTTAATCTAACCATCTCGTTATAAAAATAATTGTTTATTCGAAGCATAATATTCGATTAATATACCTTGAACAGCGACGCTTAAATCAATTGAGTTAAAACTATGCGTGCTAAGCTCCTTCTGTTTCTTCTTCTTTTTAATGCTCTTCTTCCTCCGCGACCCTGACAAATGCTCGCCCCACAAATTGGATCCCCCGTGAGTGTAAGGAATATTTAGAAGTGCTATTCCTTGCAAAGGTGAACCATTCGCAAGGTCTAAAGATACATTGTCACACTAAAATGTAAAATGTAAGATTTAATTTATAACAAATAAATAATATTTACTATAATCTCGATATCTTCATGAAGATTTTTGCAAGATGCAGCAAATTGTTCCGAAGTTGCATATTCAAAATACCATAACTTGTTCTTCATGCGACTATTGAATTTTTCTGGATTACGTTCACGCTCTAAGTGGAATTTCACGCAAATGGCTGCGTCCTGAATATTAAAACGTTTTTAGAAATTTTTATATTAATCTCTTTTTATAACGTTACTTACGACGCCAATGGAAAAGTAGTTATTGATAATGTTGTAAGGTATCCGTGTGTCTGCTTGTGTCATCCCAGATTCCGGAGGCGATGTATCCGTTAATTCAATAAGCCACCGGTCCAACAATACAGGTGACGAGCGTGAAATTTTATGCAACAGTTTTTGCACTGATTCACCCTCGTATCCACCACCCCATCGAAGACAACGAGCCAGGTCGTTTCCGGTTCCTAACGGAATGACAGCCACAGCTGGTTGGCACTCTAATTCCACTTTATCTGTCGGTAAAAATAAAAATTACAAATAAACTCGATAAATCGGGTCAATTCTACCATACCCATTGTTTCTAAGATCCATCCGACTGTTCCATCACCACCACAACACACGACCTTGAAATTGGGCACATCTTTGAATAAATTCAAGCCTTGCATTGGACCACCGGTCGCTAAATTGTGAACTTGTCGTGGGTTCAAAATGTACTGGAATTTCCGTAAAATGCGACCTCCTTGACGGCCACCACTTTTAGGATTTATAAATACCAGCAGCGGGCAAGCGTTAGGAGTTAAGGTTATTTGAAACGAAATTGCTGGTTGTTTCACAGTCTGGACATAAAAAAGTAGAAAAATTACGTGAGAACATAGGGTGTAAAAATTGAAAAAACTAATTACATTCTCATGTCCGTATTTCGAGCCGCGCTTCTGTAGTGACTTCTGTCGATCGAGAACGACGGGACAAATCGCTGTTGGCGGAAGGATGTGTACCGCGTGCTCCCCCATTCCGCATTCGGCACGCACTGAAGACACGCATTTGTTGTGCAACTAGAATTAAAACAGAGAAATGCCTTACAATGTGTTTACAGTTATGCCAAAAAATTTGTTTTTGATTAACTCCCAAAAAATTGTGGTATGGTCAGTTTCACATAAAATTTCACAACATGTTCTGAATTAATTAAATTGAATGAGCTCGGCGAATTACTTTGAAAAGCGGTTCAATATTGCGCGGAAATACTTATTATTTATGGATTAGGCCACAAGATCTCATTAAAGGGAAGGGGGAGATGTGAAGCCATCTAGAGCAGTGTTTTTCTGTCTGTGTATCGCGATGTCTTACATGAGGATCACCAGCACAAGGAAAAAGGCAACAACGACAACATAACTACAATAAGAACACAATATCAGAGAAAATGATAGGTTTGTTTATTTTTAAAAGTAGACTTTTAATTCGAATATTAACTTTTTGTCTATCTATGGTCCAAGGAGGACATCAGAATTTTTATACACGTAAAAAAGTCGCTTATTCAACGTAGAGAAGCGGGGACAGATGGAGGAAGAAATGAAAAATGCAAATGTGAAATAGTATAATAAGTATCTAGTGACTTAACGATTTTTTCTACTTCCACTCGATTTCAACGTTTGGGTTGTAGTGTTTAAACTTATGTATTTTAAAACTTTGAACGGACTATGCACCCTACTGGAAAATGTACGGTTAAAAACACATTAGAGTAGGATTGAATCTCGGCGCACGGTAGCACTCTAGGCAAATGCCCAGATGCAACTTCTATCTATGACTAAAACCCTTGACAACCATAGTGACTCTTTTAGAAAAAAAATAGCTCTTTAACGGGGGAAGCAGAAAAAATATTATTGCCTAGTTTTTCTAAAGTACATATTTTTAATTTTCTACTTTTACCTTTAAAGCGTCCCCTGTCCCACGGTTTCATGGCCCGCAAAGTAACAATTTAGTAACCTACAGCCAAAGTACTTTAGTCACGAGTAAAACATGCCAAATTTACCGCGTGGGCGTTGATATCGCGTTACTGCATTAGGCAAGCGTACGTGTCTCACGTACGCCAAGGCCGTATATAAAGTTCTTTAATCACAGGTAGAGCTTGCCAAATTTACCACCACAGCGTCTAAATCGCATTTGCTTAGGGTGCAGGACAAGGTCATATAAAATGCCATGTATCTTTAGAACAAATGAGTTAAATCTAATCCCATGTAGTTATAATCTAACTTTTCCTAGTTGTGTAGGGAGTCCGTTCGAAGTTTAAAAAAATATACAAAAGTTTAAATACAAAAACCTAAACTTTGAAATAGAAAAAATAGCATAAGCATTTGTAAATATTGCTAAGTTGCAGATTGTCTATTATTAATCGCTTTTTAACCCATATTAAATTCGTCTTTTCTTAAAATAACATATTTAAATTTTACTTGAAGAAGGTTTCAATTCTCTTTCTTGCTAGAAAAATAAAAATACGAATAAAAATTATATTGTGCAATTTCTTTTTATCAAATTAATAATAAATAAAGTAATGCGTACTCCGAATCAAATGATTCAATTTTCATTAAAGAAACTCCCGATTTTAGTTATTTACAATTATAATTATTATACCTAATGTGAAATGTAGAAAATGGTTTACACTCTAACCTCCTTTTTGAAAATGGACAGTAATATGAAAGTGTGACATTGTATATAAGTATAGTGTGCAAAGGGTGGGCCATATAAAACTCACCGTGATCTGACACCATCGACAGTGTAATCCAGTAATGCCACCCTTTACGGGTTTCCGACATCGTGCACATTTACCGTGACAATTTCCCTCCACCCAGTGATGCTGCAGTGTTTGTTGCGATTTTTTGCTCTTTACATATGTTGCAATGCAGCTCGCAGGTGCTCTCTGCACGCAACGTTCATGCACCGTATATTTGCAAACTAAAATTTACAACAAATATTAAGTAACTTGAGGTCTACGACAATAGAATATTAGCAAAATAAGAAAAGAAGAGAATAATTAAATCAATGATTTATAGAAAATTACGGTTGATACATAAAGTTTGCTACACTAAAACAAAGTCAAGAAAAGTTGAAAACTAACATGTGCAACATAGTCCTTTCTTCCCTAAGCCGACGAGCATGTTCAAGCACATATTGCAGTAAGCCGGTCGACTGAAATGCTTTAACCGCCACAGATGATTCCCATCCTCTTTTACATTAGTATCCAGTCCGAGCAATACTAATAACGGAATGGTCGTCAAACCACCCCGTTTCCATTCCTCAAGCGAAACCGTACCATCGGCATCATAGTCGATTTCGACCATCATGTCTTGCAGTATCTGAAAAGTAATCGAATATCTAATTTGTGCTTACACCCCAGTGATTACAACAACAAAATTTTTATAGGTAAGTTAGAATACATAATTTCTATTGAGCCGTAAATAAAATTAGAAACTAACTGGTTTTAATTCAGACACGTCCCAACCCAGATACTCTGCGACGGTCATCATCTGATTAACAATGCTATCCATTTCATTCGTATCCAAGACGCCATTGCCGTCCGTGTCATATAAACGGAACATAACTATGCATAAAAACATGGAATATGATTAAATTATTATTTATCAATGATTCTTTTAGGCTTACACTCAAGTTTATCCTCAGGACGTCCTGCTTCTAAAAGTGAAAGATAGCAAACAATATCTTTCAAAGAGACCTTCACTTGATGTACATCGATGGTGCTGGATTTTCGTACGATATGTCTTACTTCTGCTTGAATAAAAACCAATCATCACATGAGGCAAACTTAAGATTTCCCTCTAAAATATAATGTTACCTTCCAATCGACCATTGTTTACCAGCAAAGAATTGTTCGACTTGCGCGACGAGTTCCTTGAAACTTGACTGTGTGACGGCGAGGAATCAGTGGACTTCTTACCGAGCACTTCGTGACACGAATACGAAGTATGCGTTATCGTCAACATCGGATGTACAGTGCCTTTGAAGGTATTTATAACATTTGTACAAGATAGAAATCGTCTATATTGACCGTAACAAACCAAAAATATACATGCTTACACCAAAACTCAAAATGGTCATTACTGGGCTAAGAAAAGTAAGGTTACCAATTAAGGCTAGGTTATAGCGAAATGAGGTTATATGCTTACCAGTTTTTGCTCTTGCCGCGGACGTATCACTATCAGAGCGGTGATGGCCCAATAGTTTTTCACTAAATCCATGAAATTTTTCTGCGATCATTTCTCCGTAGGTTGCGACCTTTTCCGTGCTCACGTATATTTTACTTGTGTCCACCGGCTCACAGCACGAGTAAACATTTGGAGTGGAACCTGTAATAAAGTAGTAAAACCATACAGAAGTTACTTAATATTACTTAATAGCATCATAAGCGTTATTTAAATTTAACACACTACATTGAAGATTATATTAAAGATAGTCAAAATTTCAGAATATGTATTGTGATTTTCGAAATATGGCTTATGATCGCGTTTTAACGAGGTACATATTAGCAAAACTAGCAAAACGTATGTAATAATTTGTATTCCTAAACTATGAAAGACAATTTCAAATCATGTTGTGACTGACGAGTATTATCAAATCTGTACGTTCAGTATTGTATATAAATATATTGAACAGCAAACGCTCTCTCGGTAACTGTTAACTGTTAACTGTATTTCTTTAAACTAAAACAAAATGTTTAGTTTCACTCAATTAATTAAGTACTAGCACTCAGTTTCAATATGGCGCCTAATTTTTGCTTATAGCTGTAAAACTTAAAAAGTTTATTTTAATAGTATGCTAAATAACAAGTTCGCTAATAGTATATTAAGTATCAAGTGGCTAAACGGGAGTTTAACAACATTTAGCCATGTGATGCTTACGCATTTTTTCTACTTTTACTCTATTTCCACGTTGGGGTTTTTTATGATCTTTTTCTTCGAAGTTCGTTAGCACACTACTGGGAAATATCCCTACTAATATTATAAATGCGAATGTCCTGATGTTTATCATGCTTTCACGCAAAAACTACTTAACAGATCATCATGAAAATTTGTACACATATTCTTAGTGGTCCCCGAAAGGTTATAGACTACTTTTTATTTAATAAAAAAAATTATTTTTAAAATAAAATAAAGAAATTTTTTAGCCAATAATACCTCTGCATCTGGCTAATTAACTACTTTAACGCCATCTAGCATTCCAGCAATGAAGCTCAAACCTAAGTACTAGAGTACCATCACACTGTATAATCACACTGTATTACCGACAGCTACGTCAACATCAAATCCAATTGACTACACTATGGAGACTGTACACTATACTTCCATAGACTATACATTCAGCCATTTTAAACTTCCCGCCATTCTACTTCATTCTTACATCTTCTGTGACTACAGACGCGTACGGAAGCAACTTCATTGATTTCTAATATTTATTTGATGGATTCAACGCGAGGGAAGCCGCGGGATAAAGCTAGTGAGAATATAAACGCCGTGCCGCGAGCAGCAGCAGCGTCCATTTGACTTGTTTGACTATCGGCGTATTGCATTTCATATGGTCTTATAGTCATCCGCTCCGTGAATAAAACCCGTAAGTAAAGTACTTTACTCACGGTCTTGACCGTTCGTGTATATAGTACCACTTTTTGTGTCTAAGAAGCGTGAAAAAGCAGACGCTTTAAAGATGAAAGTAGAAAAACGGCCTTTACTCCCGAGATTTATTAGACGCAAGCGTAGCGAGCTTCACAACTTCAGTATATTAGTATCAAGGGCGCTAAACTGTGTTTAGTCATATGTTTTTAATATCGTGATGCTACTATATACTTTCAACTTAATTCAATCTATAAGTTTCTGTATTTCAATTTTTGGAGTTTAAAACTTTATACAGATTACGCACACTTCGCTCTTGGGCTCTCGAAGCATGGCATGTCATACGATGCCTTGTACTACAGTAGTACCACAATACTACTTCTCATATTTTCCCCTTTTCCCCAATAAATTACAATTTCAAACAGCTAATGGACACAATGAACAAACACACATCATGTTGAAAGATTAAAAATTTTACCAATTATTCAATGACAAGGTGTGCGCTATGCAATACTCTAGCCACTGCTGCGCTAATGTCACACCGGTTTTGTGATATAAATGATGTGCGATGCGACAGACTCCCGCATGATTTACGATTCAACCAACCTTCTATGTCATGCACATGTTACAGAAAGTTTACACTTCATTCACAAATGTTCAAGTCCAATCTGAATTGTGCACGAATTTTAAACATTTACCCGTATAAACTTAGACACTAAAAAGCCTATTAATGAAAGAGGCACAACATAGAAACGCACAGTAGCAGCCAACTAGCAAAAATGTTAAATGGTATGTATTAAATTGTGGAATATTTTAATACAGGTAAACATGTCGCTCGAAATTGTCGGTTTAATTATTCTGACTCAGGATGACACTAAACAACGAATCATAGATGTTATAGCAAATAAAATGGATGGACCAATGCCACAAAATAACAATAATCATTGTTATAAATAAAAAGGCAACTGCACGCGGAGTTCCCAAGCGGTCTCCCATCCAAGTACTACCCGCGCCCGACGTTGCTTGACTTCGGTGATCGGACGAGAACCGGTATATTCAACGTGGTATGGCCGTTGCCTATCCGTATAGTATTAAAGTTGATATTTAATAACTTAATTCGTCCTTGAATTTTTTTTAGCAAATTGTTTAGAGAATATATATTATACATTATATACTAGCTTTTGCCTGCGACTTCGTCCTGGTTTAATAAAACAGATAGGCACACAATTTTTAAACGAATAGATATATGTTAATATATTGGATACAATGTGTATTATAATAAACTTTTACACAACAATTGCATAATATGTAGATACCATGCACTATGCTCTGCAAATTGCCGTAAAATATATAAATCGCAAAGTATAAAATGAATAAAGGCATTACTTGAATTCTTAAAAATGGCACCTGTACGATTTTTATTGTGCGAGGTGATGGCGGCACAGGCGGTAGTCGAGCTTAAGACCGCCATCTCCTTGAATGTCTTTCCGTCGACCAGAACAGGACCTCCCGGCTTGACAAATGAGAGGAACAAATGGCGACATAACTCCTCCGGGGTCCGCACCTCCAGGAATGTGTCCACAAACTTGCAGAAACCGTCAAAGTCAATATCCTGCAAACAAATAATTATATTATATAGTGTAGTTAATTATTATTTCAACCACCAATAGAAAACCAGAATTAAAAAAAAAGAGAGAAAACACTCCTAAATTTTGTTCACCCATCTGTATGATAATTTTTCCAAGCATGTTTTTCAATGAAATGCAAATGACAATGAGAATTAAAAGTGACAAGTGCTCAAATACACAAGTTTCGGAAACACAAATCTAACTAATGATTATTTATGCTGAGAGAATCGCCGATAATAACAGTATACTAAATTTTTTTTTTTAAATCGATACATATAAAGTTAACACCAATTTTTTGAAATCACTGATGATTGAAAATGAAATGTAAAATCTCTCAACGGCCAACAACAAAATAAAAATTATATATCTGCAGTTCAAATCCAATAAAAATTTCTATTATTTTACTTTAGAAAATGCATACGGTAAGTAAAATTTGAGAAAAATTGTGAACAGAATTTATTGAAATTATCATATTATAACTTGTTATTATACAGTCTCCATATTTTCAATTTCAGTAAACAGCACGAGGAGATATGATAACTTCAACAATCAATATATGTTTTGGTAATTGATCAATACATGTATTTTTAAAATACAGCGTCAGAGTAACTGTTTAAGATTTTGTGGTATATTTAGTAGAACTGAGGCAAATATTGCAGGCGCTAGAGAGAATATGCAATAGGTCTCAAATAAATAATATGGAACTGACTATTTTGCTTTTTGATTCACAGGGGCATAGGTGCTTGACCATTTCCTTTTCGTTCATACGATTTGCATATTGATCTAATAATATGTGTAAGTAGCAAGGAAATTTGGAAATATCATCAAAAATAGTTAATTCGCACAAAAAAACAAACAATACATTTGCAGTTTTTGCCACATATTGCGGCGTGTAATATTTAGTTTTTTTTAAATACTTTTAAGAAGAATGCGTTGCAACATCGCAGAAAACACCCTTAAGAGTGCTTATAAAGCAATGGTATATTAGTATATAACTCGTTGAGCCTCTTTTATTATATGTCTATATTTGATGCTCCATTTACTACCAGTTTGCAACGGATAGATCTCCTTGCAATCAGCACGGATTTTGTTTTCTCGGTGGAGAATGACAGCTTGTACGTTTTCGCAACTGTTGTAAATTTGTTGTAATCTCTAGTCTCTTAAAATTGGTTAGGGTAGTGACAGTGGTAGGAAACATGTTAGGAAGGTTAGGATCGGGGACTTTTAATAAAAATGTGTATTTAGAAAATTCAGAGACAAAGTAATATAGTCGCAAAAAGAAAAAGACTATAAATCGTAGTAAAAAGTGTATAGTAGGTAGACGAAGGGTCCCATTCAAATCATAAATATGCCTATTACCAGCTGATAACCATATTGGCTAATGACCGATTTTTAGGAAAGGTAAAGTTGGAACATGACAGATTGAAGTGAAACTACTACATAAAGCAATAAATAAGATAAAATGAGATACAATAAGACAGATCACAAAGACAGAAATTTAAACAGTAATGATAAACATTCATAAATGAAATCATGGAGTAATGTAAAGAACATTTATGATTAAAGTTTGACGGGATGTAAGGATTGCCTAAATCATAAGTGGGGCAACATCCCTATAAATTTAATTCCGCAATTTAAGCGCAGAAAAGCAGGAAGCATTAAACTAATAATAATATAACACAAGAATTAACATCACTATTTCAAAAAACTACAACTACTGAAGAAACATCACGAAAGTAGAACCACACAACCACAATTCTTCTCTGTAAGGAGAGATCAAGGAAAGACCCTAACAACTACCGTGGCATCACCCTCATCTGCTTGACCGTGAAAGTTTCTGCTCAAATACTAAACTAGAAGATCTTAAAAATTTTACAACTGAGCATAGAACAATAAGGCTCCCGCCCACATCGCTCAATAATTGATACAATCTGTACTCTACGGCAAGTGATTGAGAAATAAATTGAATTTTCAAAACGACAACCTATGGATTAAGGAATATATTACAAACGGTGAGTAAACATAAGATCAACCACAAGATACAACAAATACGAGTAATACAATGCCTGAACAGAAACAATACCACTGAAGTCAAAACTTTTTCCCGGCGATCAGAAATAATCCCTGTTGCAAACGGCATAAGGCAAGACGATAGTTTAAGTCCAACCCTATGTAATATCATCATGGATAAAATAATTGAAAGCGTGAGAAACCTTGGTCTCGGTTATCGCATGAGCAGGAAGAAAACGAGCATACTATATTACGTAGACAAGGCAATGTTTCTAGCGGAGACCGAAGACTATCTCCAATGGCTACTACATGCATTCACACAATCCCAATACAATCTCAAAATATCTACGGAAAAACGATGTGCATAGTTGCAAGAAAGAACACCGAACAGATGCAAGCTTCAAGCGGATACAAATATAATTGAACAAACATAAAATTTTACATACCTTGAAGAAAATATAACAAGCAGTTGTCAAACCATCTATGAAGCTGACTTCACAGATCTGAACAAGCAGGCAAAATAGCACTAAGGATCTCCGGTACCCTCTACCAAATCATTTGACGGAAGAAATATAAGAGCGACAAAAGTAAAGCATGGATATACAAAGCAAAACGATCCGACCAATCTGGACCTATTCAGCGGAGACACGAACAAATCCAAAGAACAGCAGACATGAGAACACTCCGAGCCATCCACGGAGTTACGCTACTAGACAAGATAGGAAGCAACCCAATAAGTGAAGCCCTGGGAGTTCAGAACATAGTACTGGAGTAGAGTACGAAGAAGATGCTGCAGAGACCTCGTGGATCAGAAAGAACAAGAGAGAATAGTAAAATGGGCATTGACAGAAATATCCAACATAACTAGACCTATGGGCCACTCCATAGAAAGACGCTTGGACGTCAGCATCGGTTTAAATTAAGAAGTAGAAAGACGAAGAGATAATGACATTTGCTTTTGTTTGCAACGCTGTTTTAACAAATACCAAAAGTTCCAATGTAAATGGACACCACGATGTGTTTGAATGAAAAATGATTGCATATATTTACAGACATGAATTTTGATTAAAACACTCCATTCAAAGAATTGAAAACGAGCAAATGTGCGCGAGTCACAAATTAATTCATCTGCGTCAACCAAAACGCAGCTCAAATGAATGCGGTCTACATGGACACAAAGGATTATAATTGTGCAACGGCCGCTATGTTGTTAAATTGGGAAACATGATTTTTTGCATGATGACAGTTCCGCTGATAATATTTACTTGTTAATTAATTTTATAGCATGAAAATTTAACTTGGGTCACAAGAACGCACAATGTACAAAATTTATTAAATCTTGCGATAATTCCAGAAATATCCATATCTATTCTAACCATCGATAAGATTTATTTATTGCAATTCATCGTAATTTAACTCTATTTAGTAAACGTTTTCGGCGTCCTGGATTGAACAATACCGATGTACTCGTAGATCCAAACACTCGAATTCCGTGCACACATTACTTTGGTGCGTCGTAAATGACTGTGTCAACCAGTCGACATAATAGTCCACAGCCAAGGTGTGCACGCGTAATTGCCAAGGCAGCTCTTGAATCTACAATTTATGCATTCAGACCATAATATAAAGTTAGGACGCTGTAAGTCGTAAAAATAATTGAGATTAATTATCTTAAACTCACCGGTTAATGGTTAGTGCTTACTTAACTTGGATAATTACTCATTAAAAAAATCTACGTCTATTACTAAAATTAATATACAATTTAAGTTTTACTTTGATTTGATTTGTAAGTGTGTATTTACATTTAAACTGCTGAATAAAATCATTATTAAACACAAAGTAATCAAAATTTATGTACATTGAAAATATAATATTGTAAATACAAATGCTCTGAATACTATTTACAAATACTCCTCTCACACATAGTGTTAAGACAAAAAGCAATAAAAGTGAAAACAAATCACGGCATGTGGCAATAAAACCGAGTTTACTGAGGAGCTCTTAGTCTTTCCGCGCACTGCACCGTTTAATTAATTTCGGACTTGGCGACCGCCCCTCTTAGTCCTTTCAGTCCTTTGCCTGTCATTACCAATGTGCATTTTAAGTCTACCGGAGTATTCCAGTACATCAGAATTGGTTGCGGCAGTTTAAAGTCAGCTAGTACTCCTTTAAATGACTTTAAATGTATTTTCTAAGATACTTCAGTTTAATTAAAAACAGACTTATGCAACCACGCAAAATTTGGCGTAACAAAGTAGTCTATGGTCTAATGCAGTAATGCAAATACATCTACTAGCGAGGTTTATTTTGTTTCATTTGTTAAAAATTAAAAAAGCTTTAGCCAGATAAATCCCAGAACACACTTTGATATCCTATCTGAAATTGAATTTGTTTATTGATACTACCCATGCATCATTTGGGCATTTGTCACACTTTCAAATCAAAAAAATCAAACAATCCTGAATTTTGTTCTCATAACAGTATCTCGGTTGTATTACGTGTGGCCCACGAAGCTTGCCCTAATATAGATATTTATGTGACTCTCACGCTTAAACAATTTCCCTTTAACTTGCAATTTAATTAATTAATTAACTATTCGTGCGGTTCATTGGTTCATTCATTCGCGGAACGGGGCGCCCTCGTATTTGCCAGTGTTAAAAATAAACGTGGCGGTAACTCAAAACTCCCTTATTCGCAGGTGGGTTGCGCCAATTCTAACGTTTTCGAACATACGCACGGAAAATTAAAACGGTAAATCAATATTGACATTCCAAGTATCAGCGTCACACAGCGCCTATATGTTAAAAGAAAATATTTAGTTAAACCATTTTTATACTGACGACAGAACAAACTAGGTATAAGAAAAATACCTACATTTGACATAATATATAAAACACATTTTTACCTAAAACTACTCGATAGTAGTAATTTTTTTTAGGTGATTTACTTTTTATGAGACAAAGCAATATTATAA